TAGCTTGTCTTTTGAGCGGCCTTTTGAAGAGCCGTTCAAAAGATTTGGCTTGTGTTTTCCATAAGGTGGTGACATAATCCCATGCTTCAAGAGTAATATCACTATTTTGAATTTTTCCCTCACCTAAAAAACTTTATGTTATAATAAAAACTACGCAGGCTATAACTTCCATGCAAAACAACTTTAATGTCAAATTTACCACCCAAAACATTTTATCCGTGTGTGTGTGTGTGTGTGTGTGTGTGTGTGTGTGTGTGTGTGTGTGTGTGTGTGTGTGTGTGTGTGTGTGTGTGTGTGAGTGCGGGGGGTCACTTTAAAGAGCCGTTCAAATGACTGACCCGTTCGTGAACATCATGACTCTACTGTAGAGCAGCGGACCAGTGTGACCTTACTCCAATCTTGGTGTCACCTGTTGGAGGCAGGCTGCTCCGTTGTGCCGGACTCGCAGATAAACCAGTTAGGAGATTCTATAACACTGACACAAGTTCCCCTTTTGAACAGTTTACATCTATTTTCTCCGATTATGACGACATACGTTTACTTTGTGCTTTGAAACTTTGCATACATCTAGTACGGACACCATACATTGTAACTTTGCAGTTTTTGTTGTAGATATGGAAAAGCACAATACCACCCCTTTAACTGAAATCCAGGTTAACTCATACACCCCATCTACAACATTTACCCATTGATCAGAGTTTGCTCAACTTATGTCTACAACATGCACACCTGTAGTGTCCAGTTCAAACCAAAGCACAGTCCCCCCTGAGACCTGCAAGATAATAGGCTGAAGGAGTGAGTCGCAGATTCCCCCACCGCGTGATTGCACCTTCAGAGAGAGAGCTGAGGCTGCTGTCTCTGCCGAGTGCTGCTGCATGAACACGCTGCAGAGAAAAGCCTTGAAGAGGCAGTGAAGAGAGAGTGCACCATTCAGCTGTATCATCAGGGCCATCAATGTAATGAGAGCGGATCGGTCCTGAGCAAAGAAAGGCAAGGAGCGAGGAGAGAGGGAAAAGGGAGGGGGTTAGATGGTGGAAAGAGGGGGTGATAATGGGGTAAGTAGAAAGATGACGAGGAGAGGGTTGAAGCTGGAGAGTGGTGGGGCTAATAAAACATGAAAATGAGAGAGAAAGAAAGAGAGAGGCAGACATATGACAGAGAGTTGAAAACAAACTGTAGACAGACACAGGACTATGGCGAAAATGGAGGAAAATGCCTGAAGATGGATTGAAGATCGGCAAACAAACATTTCTCCCAAAGTGCTTACATGAAAACATCAGAGGCTGAATTACACACACACACACACACACACACACACACACACACACACACACAAAAAAAAAGCCAACTGCTGGGCGCTTAAGACTTTGGCACTCAAACTGTCAGAAAAATATCACACAAAAGGGCAAAAGAAAGAAAAGATGACAAGATAGTTCAGCATGGGAAAAGAGAGGGGGGGGCATGGCAGAAGAAAGAACGACTCTCCCTCGTTTCTTGTAGTGCAACTTGGGACAATATTGATTATCAAGGACGTGTCTAATTTCAAAATGTTGTTCATAGCAGGGTGTTGATATTTAATTAAACTGCCATTTCCATGATTTAGTCCATTAGCTTCGTGTTCTCATAACGCCATCAACCCGTCGTCTCCACAGCGGTGACAACCTCAGCCTATTGTTTGCGATCAGAGAAGCTGAACTTCCAAGAGGTCATTACTCATTTCTGGCATTCGTCTCGGCTTTGGAAGAACAAGTCATAAATTATTTCTCTCACACATAATCCCAGTGCCAAAGCAGTGTGTCAATCACTTTCAGAGTCACTCCCGGCCCCCTCACGTCAGTTCCGTCACGTCCGGGCCCGGCGGATCATCTATCAGTGGGCGATCGTCCGTTTGGAAGGGTACCCTCTGTTATTACCCTCACGTCTCGGGCTCCCAGCTGAATTACAATTGCAGAGTCAGTGAAGAGTCAGGAAGCTGCAAGGGCTGAGACCGGGTAACGAGCTCTGGGGTGGGTAATTAATGCCTCCATTTCCTCCCGTTTGGATTGTCAGGGGGAGGAGGTGGCATTGATCAGAGAGGGATCAGGCCAGAGGGAAGTGGGCGACAGGCCGAGGGCACCTCAGGGGGGATTTGAGTCTAAATGTGAAGCAGAAAAAGAGATGGTCGGATAGAAAGGTGAAAGGAAGAGAAAGAGGAGCAGAGGAGGGTTAGAAGAGGGGTTAAAGCCTGGCAGAGCTGCTCCTCTTAAGATGGATTCTTCAGCTGGGGCTGGCGACTCTGTCAAAAAGCTTGCAGCTCTGACTGGCACTTCAATCCAATAAAAAACACACAGTAGTTTTGAAGTGTTTTATTAGGATCTTGGTGGAGCAGATATGTCCACCTGAAAAAAATCCAGGCTATATATAACCTCTGGTCATGCACAAGGTTTCTTCTTCCTGTCTGAAGATATGTCAATGCAAATTTTGGAAAATGCATACTTATTTTGGTGATTAAAGCTACAGTATGTAGAAATGGGACTATTAAATGATATGGTTCGATATACTTCCTTACTCACCCTGGCAGTGAAGCAACGGTGGCCTCAAGAGACAAAAAGCTCCAGTGATGCATGAAAGGTATAATCCTCTATTTCTCGAGTTTTTCACATTAAAAAAAAATGTCTATCATTAAGTGATCTTTTGCACACACAACTCTCTTCTTTTCCCTCATCCAACTGGAGCATTCTGTGCAGCAGCTCAGAAAATTAGAAAACTAGTTTGTTACAAAGTGTTAATTCTGGCAGCTATTTAAGATCCAGTATTAATCTTTGAATGAAAAGGCCTTTTAGTTTTAGCCACATTTAAATCATTTTTGCTCTAAATAGATGAAGTCTAGTTTTAATCAACAAAAGGTCAAAACATTGTCTGTCTTCAAACAAACTTAATTAATCAGAAATTGGTTATAGGTTATAGTAGTGTTTAAATCTGTAGAATTTCACTCGTGTAATATCATGCTTCCTTACCTCCATATCTAAATTGTATAATTTAGTTCTGATTCTCCCACAATCCAATGCTGCTGTGCTGTCACTGCTGATATACTGGGATACTTCAGAGGGATGATCCTCTCTCCCTATTCTTTCTGTATATATTATGGATGTTTTTATTTCCTTTGACTCCTTCTTTTTGTGGGGTGGGGTGAGGAGTCTAGGCTCAACCTCTCATGTCCCAAAGTTTGAGAAACACCCCTGGGAAGACAAACTGGATAAAGACTCAGCTCACTGCTCTCTTGGCAGCGTTGTCATCTTCATCTTCAGGGATTTAGTTTGTAGCTTTTTTTTAGCTGTTTATAGTTCGGTTTTTCATTGCTGTGAAATGTCTTTTTAAATAGTCTCTCTGTCGTGTCTTTCAACTAGGATGAAACAAGGTTTGGACACAGAGCAGGAAAAAAGGGCAAAAGGCTTAACTGATGTTGCCCGGTAGCTGGTTGCATCTTTTTTAACATGCAGCTGGAAAAAGTTTCTAAAAATGAGAGAGGTGGATGAAGGCAGAGAATTATGGATGAGTACCAGCATTAATACTGTGCCCCTCAGCTAACTCAGCTTGTTACAGAAATGCATCGCTTGTTTTTAGGGTAATGAATTAGATGCACAGTGGGGGAATATGATGGATTTGAAGTGTCCATCCTTAACAATTTTGTTTCCTTATCGTCTCGTTACGATAAAAAAAACATATATCTAGTATTTGTTATTAGTGATGTATTTTAGCTCATCATCATCTTGTCTTTCTCAGGAGAAAAGGATCATTGATGAACATTTATCACCATAATTTTCATTAACAGAATAAACACCGGTTACAAATGTGTGGAAACACAGGAATACAAAATGGCAAGATGGCAAGACAGTCTAGCTGCAGACCTCCACTGTGAGGACCCACCTCCACTAAGCAGACCCGAAGTTGATTCGAAGCCTTTCAAATTAAAAGCGGTTGGACTGAAGGGAAGTTCGTATTTTTTTGGTCTGGTGTGAATATTTTTTTTTTCTTGGGGCCTTATTTTAGGTTGATAATGTTGATATGATTTTTTTTGTATTCATGTGTTCAACAAAGACAACATACAAAACAGGATGACCCCTTCAAACAGTGGAGGTCTGCAGCCAGATCCCTCTCCAAAATGACAGTCCCCCGTAAAGGAGATTTCCCTTAACACAGATCTAAAGACTCTTTTTAAGTTAAAAATAAAAAAGTGTTTTTAAACTAAATTGATTATACTTGTTTAAACAATAACTGTGAATATTATCGTACATTTCTACCAAATCTGTTCTCAAAAAAATAACTGAATACTTCACACTGTACCTTAAATATTGGCTAAAATGTCATGAAATGACTCGTGTTGGCATTTAGAAATCACCGGTGAAAGAAAGCCAGCATGAAATCAGCACCAGACAGGAGAGCAGGAAAATACAAATATAATTGAAACAGCATATTCAGTGACATTTAGCATACAATCTAATGTCATGTAAAATGACATTTGTGTCTTTAACCCATGTTGACTCCTCTTGTCTGGGCTTCATGTAATTTCATATAACATGAATGGCCGTATTAGTTGGGTTTGTGCACTTACAAAAAGGTCTAAAAATCCTTTCAACTACATCATGGTTTAAGATGTGATTGATTTCTGTGACACATGCTGTCAGCAAAGACTTCACGGTCGGTGCTCTGAAGAAGTGATCTTTTTTTGTCCCATTATCAGGATATTGATTTGGGTTGACTGGGGAGTAGCAAGAAAGTTTTAATGACACACACAGTATGCACCCATAACCATGGTAACCCTCACTCACACCTGCACCAGAGAGGTGGGGGGCTAATGGCCACTCCTATCAAATAATGCAAGCATGCAAAGAGCAACACTGAAACAGCAAACATGGGTAATTGCTGTCACTTTCAGAACAGTTTCAAGCTTTATGCCAGAATTAGTGTGATAACTCAAGAATCAAAAGTATCATTACAAATTTTACATGTCTTTAAATTCACCTTGTTACATACAGCTGCTTCTTACCCCTTGTCTTTTATAATATTTGTAAAAATTTCTATGACTCACCTCTTCACATCAGACATTCAGGATAAATGTGGAAGAAACACATCCTGAAGAGAGGCATTGATTAAATGACTGATTGATTTAGAAAATGCAATTTTCATCACTGAGTCGTAAAAAAATGTGGGCAATCATTCTACAAATAATAAAAGGAAATTTTCAACCACTGTGCAAGGTCAGCCATAAGAAATAAAAACAACAGTTCCTAATGATGCGTCACCCAAACAAATGTAAGTGCTCACATAACCGGAACTGAACCGCCACTAAAATAGAAAGAAGTCGGAAAAAGCCAACTGATACGGTGAAACAACAGAATACACAATTTACTCTCCTTCCCCCGAGGGACTTAGTCACCACGTATAAAAGGACGCACAGCGCTATAAAAAAAGAGCCAGGAGCCACATGGGAGTAAGTGGAGTGACCGTGGCAGCCACCATTGCTCTTACTGCCACGTCTTCTGCTGGAGTCTCCCTGACCCCCTCTCTGTTTGCCTGGGAGGCCAGGCCCGGCCCTGTTGACGATAAAACAAACAGACAGGACCCATTTATACAGTCAGGTGTCATGACAAGGGATAAACAGACGACTGCTTCGGGCTTCTGGAGGTTCAGTGTGCACTAATAGAAAGGGCTATCATGCTCCTCATCCTCACCATCATCCTCATGATCATCATCATCAAGGACAGCAATAGCAGCATTGGCAAAGGCTCATAGGTGTCTGCTGGGAAACAGGCGAGGACTGATTCAGATTGGACAAAACTCGAGGGTCGCATTGTTTACTTTGCCGGGCTGTATTCATTCGTGCCGCTGAATTAATCAAGGTAAGAAGAAAAAAAGGCAATTGCCAAAAACATTTGCTGTGGAAGAGGGGGTGTGAAGAAAAAAGAACAGCCTCGAGTAGAGCGAGGCGGCCGTGGCAGGAGCACAGCGGGAATGACAAGAGTATGGCTGTCATCGCGAGGGATGAAAAACAGCACCTCTCAAACGAGGCGAGGCAGCGGCTGCCTCTTGCGCCAGAAAGGAAAGGGATGTACAGGGACCACAAACACAATTTGTTGTTTGTCAGAACTGGCTCACATTTAAGGACTTGGGCGTACTGATTATTTGACACCCGTAGAGCCTTTAGGGTGGACAAGAGGCAGCCGGCAGGGAGTCATTACCCAAGCCAAATAGACTCCTCATTTATTTTTCCGTCAGGATAAAGCATCAACAGGAATAAACAATGGCTGATTGATTCTCAATCAGCGAAGGGGCGCACCCTTTCAGTGGGTGTTTTTCTTTTTGAAGATCCAATTACTAAGTCCTAGCATCTAATCCTGTGAAGTAAATGCTGATGTGTGGGGTTTGTGTAAATCAAAAGAGAGGTTTCAGACATACTGAAGACTGTTCAGATACGAATGGTGTCTGGAAGTGAAATCGCACATGACCACCTGACAGATGGCATAATGTGGGCACAGGGGTTATTTTCTGACTGTGTGAAAATCATCATGCTGGCACCTTTCAATATCGCCAGCTGGTCTTTTTCATAACATTCAATCTAATTTAGGCAAAATAAGAAAGCTATTTTCTTCATTTTGTCATGCCTTCCCAGCGAGTCACCATCTTATCCTGAGAGTAAAGCTTTGTGAAAATACCCTGAGAGCTAGTACTTAATAGCAGCTATTGTGAAAATACCTGTTGACAACCTGCAATCTCTGTGCCAGGCTTAGATGACCGTTTACACTGGCAGCACGTTGCCTACAGTCTGCTGGGCCAATGCCAAGGTCACACACACACACAGACAGGCTGAGTCCAAACAGAGACAAAAATCCACAGGTGAGAAGTGTTTTCTCTATACCTGAGTAGACAGGCTAAAAGGTCAGACAGGAGCGTCAACAGCTGCTGCTGCTACAGGTTTTCAAGCTTTGAACAAAATCGAGTTCCACAAAGACAGCTGTACACAAGTTCAGCAAGCTCAAAACAACCATTAATCTTAAGTGTCTTGTGACCCTAGACTTGACCGTATTAAGAGGCATATCAAACTGTATAAAAGTACAACACTCAGCACTAATAAAGAGAAGCTAGGACTATAGTGAATATGTTAGACAGTAACCACGCAGATCATTATGAATTCACCTAAATGCACTAAATCTAGTCATTTAAGCCACTTTGTAAACGTTTACACATCCATGATTTTAAGCTAACTGATGTAGCAACTAAAAGTCGCAATGCCTAAAAGCTGATGTTAATCAGGTTTGATGTTCACCTGCCTGTTTGCAAATGTGCTCTGCACAGCAACATTTTTCTTAGCTATTATGTGACAAATATTGCAGAGGCAGCTACTTTATTTACTCTGTCATTTGAGTTTCTTTCTAAAATCTATACTTAATACCTAAATGCAAGCTGCAGTAAGTATTATTTGGTGCTATTTGGCAGAACAGATTACATTTGTAAGGGTGCCAAATATCACCTTGGAAAACAAAGAAACAGATTGTTGTGTCAGAATGATTTTTACTTGTAGAAATTTTTAATCAGAAAATTTTGACACGCACCCTCCGTTAAAACCTTCTGTTCAGTCAGGACCACCTCAGTCAAAATTACTTAGATATTGCAAGCGAACATTTTTACATTTGGCGGTATGGCTCTGTTCTGAGAGTTCCCTACCTTCCATGTGCTTGCATGGAATGCCACGGCTATAGGGGGAAAGCCCCTCCTCTCCCTTTCATGTGCATTCATGAAAAGCCAATGCAGGAAAAGCAGCAGCAGGCAGAATGGACAGGAGAAGCAGCTTAAATAGGGCACCAATTTGACATTTGCCGATTGGATGCGTAGAGGGCAATCAGCTGACTGTAGCCTTTAGCTTGACTTTGTGTCCTGCCTGAACTTACACAATGCTCAATTAAGAAATGTTGTTCAGGACCATGCGCAACATCCTCACTCGCACTTCCTACCCATCCTGCTACCATAATTACCGTTGTTCTGGTCTACACGCAACATTTTTTTTCTCATTCACGAAACACTAAAATCGGGGACATTTCCAGGGACAGCTTTAGCCAGGGACATGTCATCCAAAATGGGGACTGTCCCCAGAAACGTCTGGTCACCTTAGTGTGAATGCTTGCATTGAATTTAAGATGGAATTGGGATATATTGTGCGGCCCTATCAAATATGATTAGGTTGCTGGAGTCCAAATGTATTAAAAAACTTTAGGAAATTTAATTTGCTTGTGTACAATAACCATGGTTTCTCACTCAGCATGTGAACATTTTATGCACGGTCATACTTTTACACTATTACAGAAACTTTCAGTTATTACAGCTTAGGGTAAATATGTGAGTTTAAAGCAGATAACAGCTAGAAGACTGACCTCGCTCTGGACCTGTGATACAGTCTTAACAAATGAAACCTATGAGTGCAAAATTGCAGTATTTTCCATCTGTTATGAGACAATATATTCTATTTAGACTGATTACATGTAAATTACATGTAAATCAAAATGTTTCAAGCGTTTCTCTGTTTTAATTTAGATAATTATGGCCTACAGATCAAAGATTGTATAATATATGTCTCAAAATATTCGTTTTTCATTTTAACTATAGAATAAATAATTGTCCATTCAAACAGTATAATACCCAAGTGTAGATACCCTGTATCTCTCAGTCTAGTTTGCTCTATGCAACCACAGTCATGAGGAATACTGCTGACTTGACAGTTGTTGAGAAGATTACCATCGACACCCTTCACAAGGAGAGTAGGTCACAGGAGGTCATCGCTGTAAAGACTGCCCATTCTCGGTGTGCTGTATCGAATTTGATTAATGGAAAGTTTAGTGGAAGGGAAAAGTGTGGGAGGAAAAGGTGACCAAGCAACAGGGATGACCACAGCCTTGAAAGAGAGAAAGGTTGATTCAAGAACTTTGGAGAGCTTTACAAGGAGCGGACTAAGGTGGGAGTCAAGGCAGTAAGAGCCACTACACACCGAAGTCTTAAAAAAAGGGTCTACAGAAATCACATGCATAATACCAAATCTCTACCGAACCAGAGCCAACATCTGAAGCATCCTTTTCCTTCTTTGTCAAGAGAAGTGAAAAAGGAGGAGAAGGAGGAGACTGTTGTTCAATGGTCCAAAGTCCTGTTTTCAGATGAAAGTACATTTTCCATTGCATTTGAACATCAAGGTCTTCAAGTTTGAAGAAAAACTGAAGAGCACATGGTGTTTGAAGTCCAGTGTGTCAGTCTGTCATGATTTGAGGTGCCAAGTCGCCTGCTTGTGTTGTTCCACTGTGTTTCATCGAGTCCAAACTCAGCACAGCCATCAACAAGGAGATTTTAAAGCACTCCATGCTTGTATCTGCTGACGAGCTTTTTAACTGTGCCAACTGTCTTCTCCAGTAGGACTTAACACCTGCCCAGCACCAAAACTTCTCCCAAGTAGTTGGCTGGCCATGATATTACTATGCTTGACTGAATGGCCACCTCATCTGATCTGAACCTCATGAAGCATCAAGAACATGAGAAACAACTTATTCAAAAATACAGAAGACCAGGGCTTCAATAACATCTCAGTCCAATTGGCTAGTCACACTCATGCTGTGCCATATCGGTGCTTTTATCCATTGTAAAGGAACCCTAACCTAACATTGAGTGTAGAAATAGAGAGGACAGTCACGGAACAAGCGTGTGTGTAGCGGATGGCAGTGCTCATAAGAAAGCTAGTTATGATATTAACTTTAATCATGTCCATAAAGACATTAGTGGCCATGAGCTGAATAACTCCTATGCTACCCACTTCTACTAAACCGACAATATAAGGCTGCAAGCTAGCGTGAAGACAAGTGTGCAGAGCAGCGCTGCATCGCCCACGACTCAGAGGCAAATTGCTAATGAGCTACTGGAGCCCTGCAGAAGAAAAGCCCTTGAAAATAACACAGGTAATGTGATTTTGGCTAAAAACTTCATAATCACAACTTAAAGACCACTGATAACACTTTGAGTTGTACAAAAAAAAAAAAAAAAAAACTCGGAGTGGGACTTTAATTCTGGCAAAAACGCAACAGACCAGAAGCCTGACAGACACTTTTCTTCAGGAGCAGCTTGACAGAATAATACATGACAAAATAAGTCGAAACCTAGGGCCATTAAAGATTTACTGCACAAAGAGAGTCTGAAAGATTTTTTTTTTTTATAAATCTCTTACCTTCTCACACCAGGATACTGCTGCATGACGTCAACTTGCTGATCAGATCTGGTTTTGAAAAATTACAAAACTTGCTGGCCCCAACTAATTCCAAATTCAGAGAAGTGTTTGAAGGCGGTTACAAATGCTGTTTGATGATCTGACAAGAACTCCATTTGATGCCTTTAACCAGAAAGCTTTGAACAAAAAGTAATCAATTAGTGCCTTATGTTTGAGTTCACCCCTTGATCTGGGATCCTCAGATCCTCTTTTACTTATTGTTCCAAGATGTGGACTCTTAACACTGAGGTGATGGAGCCTTTACTGTCAGGACTGACTGATCTTAAAAGCACATGACGGGTGAGATCAGAGCAGGGAAATGTGTTTGGTCTGCTACATACAGCACCAAGAATAAGAAACTGTTGGATTTATTAACAACATTGATCGTTTGAACCCATATTTGATGGGTTATTATGATGGTCTGTGGTCTTGTTCGGAGGTGCTTTGCTGCTGAAAATGGTTTTTCATGAGGTAAATAAAGTATTCAGACCTTACTGAAGCACACTGAAAGATATATGATAGGATTTGATTCCTATATGAAACACTACAGGAGCAAACCAATGTTTTTTTTTAAGTATGCCCTCTTTAATTTGATAGACTTATCTTAGATTTATTCCATGTTACCATGTTATGCTCTTCTATTAGCTTATTAATGGAAAAAATGGCTAACTCCATAAAAATAACATTGGAATTCCTGATAATATCTGCTCTGTCTATACGCTGCTCTTTACTTTTACTCAAAAGCCTCATCTCAATTATGGACTGGCTATACTAACAAGGCATGGCCTTACTACATGCTGTATTTTAATGGCAATGCTGTACATCGATTGCTGAAGGGTCTTTGCTAATGGTATGAGGGTGTAATTCAGACTCAAGCTCAGTGTGTTTGTGAAAATCCCTCCTGTGATCTCTAACCCCAAGTGTCCATGTTTCCAGTATACTGTAATTGCTAGATTTGAGCATTTCTTGATGGGCACATGTACAGACAATCTGACAGTTTGTTCCTATTGATGGAACTATTCCCATCACTTTATTTACAAAGAGCAGCAAAATAGACGAGACCTCGCTCATTTCCATTTATTGAAATCCCATTTCTTTTCCATCTGCCACCTAGTCACCTGTGAAACTACTTTTTAACCATGGTTTGGAAGCAGGCTTGCTTCAGATGTCTTACCCCATCCTCTTTACTAGTGTTTATTCCCAACCATAAAAACTGCTGGAGGGGCACACACTGCCAGCACAGGTCATTACATTGTATAACACAGTGGCGGGGGGTAGCACACAACATTGGGCATTGAGAAGCTGACTGTGTCGGGAAGGAATTAAAGAATAAATTCCCTCTTCCAATTAAAAGGCAAATTTGTGCAACGTGGAAAGGAACATTATCAATGGGGGAAAAGAAAAACACTGTTACAAGTCAGGAAGCACAATTACTGAGGATGGTAGTGTGCAATTAAATAGTGCTATTTAGACAATGCTGCTCTTCACTAATAAACACCAAACATATCGAGGAGACAAAACAGCTTTGGATGAGCCTTCAAACTCAAACAGCTGGGGGAACAGATGACTGAAAAGTAAGCACAAACTGTGGACACGTGGCAACAACGGAGGAAAAGACTACAAAACTTATCCTCACATGAAGAGTAAATCCTAACTGATTCCATGATCCACAATCTTCAGGCCTGAAGGCGAAATCAACTCGAGTAAAAGAAGAAAGAGACGGCTTTTGAAAAAAAAGAACATTACAGATTTTATTGTGAAAAGATGCAGTTTCTCAGAGTAGATCCAAATAAATCGTATGTAGGGCAAGCAGCACACTACTCCCACACTGTATTAAAGCATGTTTGAGTCATCAACCTCCTTCTTTCTGCAGCCCAAATCACACTGTGTATGGGACGAGTGGAGCTCACTGGCATTGTTAAAAATGTACACTTTAAAGCCTTAAGCTAACAACAAGTCAAAATGTGTCAGAGTAGAAGAAGTGGAAATCAATCGGTGGATGAGTCCTTTTTATTCATGTGTCAACCTTACTTACATTTTCAGAATATCTTCAACACCAATTACTCCTAGAAACTCCAAACCCTCCCTGTTCACCCCCTACCATCTCGCCACCTCTATGCCCTCCTCTTTCATGACTATGCCTGCTCCTTGTACTGCTGGTGCAGCATGTGCACGTCTTCCTGGGAGATTATGGTCCAGCCCTTGTCGTGCATGTGGTACAAGTTGACCTGCCCTCCGCTGTAGGCGTCACGGTATGTGGCCTGGTAGATGGCACGGCGGCCCAGCTCGCAGGCCTCCTCCACAGTCAGGTCGTTCCTCTGGCCGCTGTCCATCACACCGTAGGCATACATTGAACCTGAGCCGACGGCGAACAGGTCGCCACACACCCGGTTCCCCTCTGAGTCAACGTAGTACAGCCCTGAGGACAGAGGACAAATGGCTGGTCAAGGGGATGGAAATGCAAAAAAAGAAAGAAGTAAATCATATCAAGGGAGACACATCCTCCTTTCTCCTCGCTCAGGTGTAGAGCTTTGTCAGGAAAACTGAGATGGCGTATATCTAACACCGGCGCTCTTGCACAAACAAACACACATACACACTTGTGAGTGCACACTCCAGGTTCTCTGGAGAAAAAATATGAACAGCTGCAACCTCTCCAAGTAAAGAAAGGCTGGCAGATATGAACAGCTGCATCCTCTTCAAGTAAAACGAAGCCGGCCACAGAACCTGCTGACGAAGCACAGGCCACATCGCTGTCTGTCCGGGGGCCCTGCTTCAGGCCTTATTGATCCTTGCAAACACGCCAAAAATTAACTATCGACCTGCAATCTGAGCCGTACAGGTAACGGCACCTCGCACCTCAAGGAGGACAAAAAAAACAGCACATCCTGTGGACATCTGAGGAGTGCAGCACATTTATTTCTCACCACAAATACACAGTGCAGACATTTCTTTCTTCCCCACACAGAAAATAAAACTTGAATGACACACAGAGGCTCGAGTTCACCCCACACAAAACACACTAAACATATAATCCCACATGCACTGCAGATCTAAAATGCTCTGATGGACCTGTGAGGGACAGTTTGCTCCACACCACGCTTCATGGACACATGCGAGACATTTTGTTCCGCGCCGTGACACACTCACTATGCCTGATCCCAGAGTGACGTGGAACGGGTGACTAGCACCAGCCTGTGAGCTCGCCCACAGCCTGCCTGCCTGCAGATGGTGAAAAGACAGCGAGCAGAAAATGCATGTTTTTCATCACACTTCACCAAGACAAACCTGTGAAAAAGATACTCGCTGACAAATTTCGGAGGCACGTGCGCGCTAAATTGCCTGAGATCCGCAGCCATTGCTCATCTCTCGCGTTAAAACACACTTCAAAATGCCCTCAGATTGCACATCCTCGCTCACAGTGTTTCACAGCTAAACCAGTGACAGTCTATTAGGGGTAGAGAGCCACTTGCCTTTCTGGAAAAAAAGGGGCTTACCACCGCTTTCAACTGGCAAATTGCAGCTTCCTCAGCATGTTGTTAGCTTGCCACGATAATCATCCAGTGCCTGCCTATGCGCGGGGGTAATTTGCCATTCTGAGACCTGCCTGTTCCTCTTGAAAACTGCAAGGCACTCGTTAAAAACATAATAGCCAGGGGGAGAGAGTTGTAAAGGCGGCCTCTTGTGTTGAGTATCGCAGTTGTCGGAGTTGGATGAGGACTCTTTAAGAGGTCCAAGTTTAGACGCAAAGCAGCACCAAAAAACACTTTGCCAAATCTGTTCCTCTCCATGCGCACCTGGGGTCTTTGTAGACCCAATGCCAGATCAATTAACGGTCTCTGCACCTTGAAAACTGACTTAGAAAAACACGAGAAATTCATGAGGCCCACTTAAAGCGGAAGCGGGGGCCAGGCTGCCTGGATGGGTGAGGCGTTGCAGCGGCAGCGGCCAAGTGAGGCTCCTTCCACTCCATCGATCAACTGACAGGTGCTTAAGGAGCTTTTTCTGAACAGAAGCCTGTGCAGCTGGCTGGACTGACAGCTTTTAGAGGCCGGTGATGAGCACAGAAGAGGGAGATGGGTGGCTGTCTGCAAATGGGCAAGGGTTTGTCCTTCCCACTAGATTTCACCCCTGGGCCAGGAGTACAAAGGGAGCGGCGGTTGAACTGACGGGCAAAAGCACTCTTACAACCTTCTCTTGGGAGTGGCTGTAAAACTGACTTCCTCATGGGTCTCATTTCATACACTTTCCTCCTTTTTATCATGGCCGCCTCTTCCCATTTCATCTCATATAGAGGAACCCTTCCTGTCCTTGTTGGGAGAAGAGGAAGATGATGCTCAGTGCACGGCTCTCTGTCAATTACAAAGAGCCACAACAAAGTTATCATGAATTAACTACACACTGATTACAAGAGTCATAACATTTAATGTTATTACAAAGAGCCATATTTGACAAGCTCCTCAACACAGCTCTTATTTGATTTATTTGGCATGCAGCTTAAGACACTCCATCAGGGGAATAAGTGCTCTTGACATGATTGTAGCCGGCTAATGAGCTTCCCACCTAATCGGGATTGATTTAATTTACATGACATTTACCTCTTCATTCAATCACTGGCATTGTGGGGGCCATGGCAAGGCTCCCACACCTATTGAACCTATAAAGGAATCATTATTTCCCCAATTGATTGCCTGTGATTTAACACGTGTCATTCAGGTTTGTTGGCACACCGGTCGACTGCTGTTTGCACAGCCTTGTGAGCTTTCCAGACAAAGCCGGCATCGATCTCGGTGGGTGTACGGGCATTATGCACGCGACCCAATTGTCCAAGGCTGAGACCCAACGTCCATCATCCAGCCACGTTCTCCCTGGCCCGAACTCCCAGCCTCATCGATTTCCCATTACTGTGTCACTGTGGCGGCCTCTTTAAGCACACGTACTGTGATGTACGGCCTCACACAGCAAGGCATCCAAAACTCTCCGCTTTAACTACAGAGAGGGACAGAGCATAAGAGAGGCTGCAGTGCCATCTAATGGACACCTTTGGAAACGGCATGTGTGTTTCTAAAGTATCAGAATACTGTATTTATCCCTAAGGTGGAAACTCAGTAGTGACAGATCTATAGGAAGGAAACTTTACATTTTAGGATGGACAAGAAAAACATGACACAACTTGAAAATCATCCTGTAGATAGGTGTTGCTACAGCTCTTTGTTTGCAGAACTAAAAAGATTAAATACTTACCCCACTACACCCCTAATAATAGACAATTAGAGCCTGTGCATGTATGGGTGTGTGACTGAAACCTGGAGTACACCGTATTCTCATAGAAAGTGTGTGTGTGTGGGAGAGGCAATGAAACCACTTTCAATTAAAGGAAAAATAATAAAAAGAATTGCATTAAAACAAGAAATAAAACTATGTCAATATTCTTGAGGCTATAAAATGCTATTGTTAAAACTTCTGTCAGGAACTTTCTCTATGTAGGGCTGGGGGATAAACTGAGAAAAAGAAAAAAAAAACTAAATAAATAAAAGTTTGTTTTGGATGTGTGTAGGTAGGCTATGGTCTCATGTCCCTTTAAGATGCTGTCCTACATAAGAGACGTGACTCCACCCCATCCAGTCCGTAACAAAGAGGGAAAGACAGGTGAGGAGATGAAGTACGGTTCAAAACTTGTAGTGGCTGGAGCAGCAGCTGAAGTAGAGGAAGTTAATGTTGGATGGGGGTGAACAGCTTGTGGAGTAGTTATCGTCCATTTATCGTTTTCGAGGTGAACTGCTCAATATATCATGATATTGATTTGAGGCCATATCACCCAGCCCTAATGTGTCAATTTGGTGCAGCCTCTGTATTGAACAGGCCCTTTTTTATCTTTGCTGATTTCATCCTGTGTTTGTTGCATTTTCCAACAAAAAAAATCTCATCATGATTTCTTTTAACAGTTAAATGCATCACTCACTCTGAATATTTGCTTCTGAAATAATAGGAAAAGGCTGTTTCGTCAGTGAACTATACAAAGTGTCACATTGCAGTCACATCCAAAATGCAAAAAATTTCAAAGTTGTAGCTTTCAAAAGAAAGATTTAAAATGTACAACACTGAACAATGTCAATCTATTTCATTCATTTAACAAAATGTGTGTATTAAACATATTTGTCATGCTTACCTGGGCCCCTCTTGTCCCAGCCACACACCATGGTCCCCATGCTGAGTCCCATGCCCTTGTACTGGTACACCATGTTAGCCAGGAGTTTGGAAGCTGCAGCAACAGAGATGCGCTCCTTGTTGCGAAGCTCATAGATGCGGCACTGACGGGCCAGCAGGCGCTCCCAGAAGCTGCAGTCTGCAGCTCCTCCAGCCATTGTTCCCAGCAGGTACGGGTTGATCTCGATTACCTTCTTCACGGTCTGGGAGGCAATGTAGGAGCCTGCTGTGGCCCGAGAGTCCACCGCTACAATAACACCATGCTGGAACTGAGGGAGGAAACAGCAGGGAAGGACATGTTAGAGACTCGCATTCACTGATGGATCACTGATCACTATGTACACATCCGTATGTCCCTATTAAATCCCTCTTATATCTGTTTAGACAACATAGAAACGGCTTCTGGTCTTCAGCTGTCAAAGAGATAAAATATAGAACTCAGCTCTGCCAGGGAGCTGCTGGATGAGAGGGAATACTTATTCCCTGAAACAACTCTGTATCTCTAAACTGACAGTCAAACACCAGCATAGCACTTAAGTGGAGACAACAGATCTGGCCAGTCAGAAGGAGATGTCTGCTGGGGAGGGTTTCGTCTAACACACTCAGGGATTAAGGGATAAAGATGGCGTTGTTTTATCTTTTTCTTTTTATCAACAAATCCCCTGAAGAGACAAAAATCATCTGCAGAGATGTGATTCAGTATTTACACTGCTCTGCCAGAAGAAAATGCTACACTAGCTGTTTTCACTCTAACGACAAAATGATATGTCACCCAAACACAATAGCTTCCTTTTATGTGTTTTTAATAGTTTTGGACTCAGTGGGGCTCTCTGACACAGAGGGGGAGCTTATGTCAGGAAATTACACTATCTTGTTAGTAGTATGAATTTATTGTCAGTCGTGGTGCTCTCTCATTGGGCTTGATAAGAATGACATAACAGTGCTATCTTTGTCATATTTGGGTTGAATGTAATTTTACACTTCGATCAAATTTTAAGATAAGTTTAAGTCTGTATCGCACTGTTGAACTGCCCTGACTTTGACAGGGTTGCTGCACACTTTATAAATTCAAATGTAAGAATTTTTAAAGACCTTTTTAAAGACCAAAACTAGGCTGAACAGACAGGAGTTCATACTGATGGGGATATTTGACGATATATCCCCTTCAAAGCTGTTTTGCACATCTTGCAAATCAGTGTTCGTCCCAGCTGAGCATTCCCACTTCCCTTGGTCTTACATTTTCTCATCCTCATCTTCTGTTTTCTCTCCAATCCGCACAATGTGCCATTTCTAAAAAATCACTGTACTTAAACTATCCCTTTAATGCTCGAAACCACAAATTATGGCCAGAAAACTCTTTTTTTTTGGAACTGAAATGTTGATTTCACTTACTACTGAAAACCAAAAAAATCTAAATGTCCTTAAAATTGAAAAAATATACTTATCATGTTTAAAACACTGGATGTTTTTAGAAACTGATTAACCACAAGAACATTTTTATCATTTATCGGACTGTATTCAGGTGTTTTTCAGTAATTTGTTGATCATACTGATTTGATAGAAGTATCATAAAAGTATGTATCAAGTATGATACAAAAGGCATAAAAGGGCTAGGTGGTATAGATCTAGTGTGTCCAGACCCATTCAAAATGTAAGACGTATAACAAGATAATATAAGACGTTTATAACCCTGAACTTCACAAATCTAACAGAAGACACTATTTCCAATAACATACTCCACTCTCCGCTGACATGATTCATCAGTGCCTCATGAACTCCTACTTACATTTACTCCTACGACATCTTGTTGTAACAGTGCCTCTGTTATTTTTGTGAGTATGACTCAATCACAGAAAATCTGTTACTATTTCAAACAAGGACAAATGGTGTAGAAAAAGAGCTTACTTCTATTTCAAAAATGAACGGGTTATTGCAACATCTAACTTAAGATCCTGCCGTGGCACACCAGCACATCATCACTAACAACATTATCAACAATTTTAAATAAGACAACACATATAAAGAGGTAAATGACTATTATGACAATTTACTATCATTTACTCAATGAACAATAATTATACGGGTCATGTACCATATCACTAAGTGTGATCTCATGGCTCAATTCTCTGCATCTCGAAGGAAATTGTGATAAATCTGAGACATCCTCCACCGTACAAAAACTTTTGGTTCTAGCACACAAGCTGATATAACAGTATTAGATTCCTTGCTGAAGTCATTGCCGGATGAAGCACTGATTCTGTTTCAGTTCTTGTGTTACATTAATCCTTTTTCTTCTGTGGACGGTGCAAATGAACTCAAACTACACAAAGCTAAACTCTCAGTTCCTGCAATTCTTACAATGGCTCTATGGTTCAGAAAATTGATTTCAGAATTTCTCTTCTTGTATATGCAACTCTTCCCAGAAACATTATTAAAATGTTTTGGACTCATGAAGTATCTGTGACCCTGAGGACAACAAGGGTTGGCACACTGGCTGTACCAAAAGTTAGGATAATTTTATCATCAGGGAAGATAGATCACCTTTGCCTCTAAACAAAACCCTTTATTTTCATTGCTTCATTTAGGGTTGTTGGATAAAAAGGTGGGGAAATATGCAGAGCACAAAGCAGGATGCGGTACAGATTAACATTTTAACAGCAAAAATAAAAAACCTTCATGTTATGTTTGAGCGATACAACTGCTGCATCTTAAGCACCTGTGTTCAATAACTGCCAATAAATAAGTGATTTCAGCTGAACAATAGGCCACAGCACAGGGTCTGATGAGGAATGCCTAATCTTACTGCACTTAATGGCCCTCATTTATCAATCAATCGCGCCTGCAGATCTGAGCGCAGGATTCATCGTACGATAGGACACACATGAGATTTATGAAGGGTTCGTATCTGACCAATCCCAGCATACGCATGATCGGGTCTTGATAAATGCGGCGGCTGAAATGGATCATCATTAACATGTTATGCCCTTAAATATGCATGGGTCAGAAGCCTCGCCCACTGAGGTCAAACATGAGACAGGAGAAATATTTAAAAAATTTGAAACTTTTCCGAGCTGAAAGTGGATATCCTCGCATCTGTGGTGGAAACTAACAAGGATTTTCTCTTTGGAAGCATCAAAACTGGTATAAAAACAGTCCAGAAAACTCCTGTCTGAAGCAGGATTATGGTGGCGCTGAACAGCGCTGCCGCGGAATAGCGGACAGTGGCTGAAGTTTGAATAAATCATTACTCAGTAAGTTGCTCATGATGATAAATTAATATCTCATACATGCCTCATATTTTTTTTATTCCCATGACATAGGTTGCACCTATTATTGAAAGTATTTAGTTTTAATTTGTTGCATCTTTGTAATGTAGAGCAGACTGGAGACTCTGACAGAGGCTGAACAAAAATAATTATCAACCTCACCAAACGGTGTGTTGCTGCCCCTGAGGCACATTTTTATGGATTTCTATTGGATTTTTATCACTGAATAAATAGCAAGAACACTTTCTAAACTTATATTTTACATGTCAGAATCCATCGATAAGGTCCTGTCTCCTCAGTGCAGCACCTTTGTGGAGTCTCTCCTCGTTATTGTTCTCCGGGCATCGGGTCCTCACGTTGCAATGGCACAGCCAACAGCACTCCATTCGCCAGTGCAACATTGTGCACAACTGTACTGGCCCAAATGATGTCCCACACTCTTTCAGGAGTGTAGAACAACGTCCCCGCTGCTGGGCCAAGACAGAGACACCTGCCTTTTAGGAGTCAAACACAGCACTCCACAGTGGCACGTGTGCTTGTGTGCGTAATGTTAAAACGGCGCTCTTGCTCTGTGGCAGTGTTTCTGGGCAGAGTTATCAAATAGATCTATTCACTAAGGACATAACAAATTTATTTTATTCATGTCTTAATCTTTAAAGAAATCTGGCTGATTGTGCTTAGTGACAGGTTTGAGGTTTGTTTATCAATTATTTTGAGATAGACATTTGCTGCACCGCAGATCCACACTGACTCAAACTTGCGTAAATGATGTCAGACCTGTCGTGAGATTTGGTCGTAGCGTACGCTCACGTGCAGATTGATAAATGCCGATCCCCACGTCAAAATTTTCATACGCAAGTTTTCTGCCGTACGCAAGCTTGATAAATGAAGGCCAATGAGTGAGAAGACAATTTTCTAAACAAAAAAACTCTTATGCCCTTTGGTGGGATCTTCAGAAACCACTTGTCTTTCTTGCAACAATTTTTTATGTTAATTTCCCTTTTACTCATCTCTGTGTAATTTGCCTTTTTCATGCATCTCTACAGGTGCATCTGCCACCATTTTACAGCAAGGAGAAGTTCATAAGTCAGGGTTCCTACTCAAGTATGGAAAGAATGGAAAAGTATAAAAGTAATTTGATCAATTTCCAGGTCTTAAAAAGTATGGTAAATAAAAAAAAAAAGTATGGAAAACTATTAATGTTAACAGACATTATTACCACAGTTAAAAAATGCTCTCTTCTAAAATAGAAAAGAAGGATTTTTTTCAAAACTAATTCTATGGAAAAAAAAAAAAAGAGGGTATGGAAAAGTATGGAAATTCCAACCATGGTGGAACCCTGATAAGTAGAAATTTATTGATAAACCAGTGGCCTTTTTAATCACAATTTTAGCATAGTTTGATTTATGCAGCTGATCTGTAACTTTTACAAACACTGTTATCATATCATATCTAAAAGTTATCTACTATTTACACAAGAGTTATAAAGTCTGATGGCTGTTGGTACAAAAGATCTTCTGAATCTTTCTGTCCTGCAGCGAAGAGAGAGGAGCCGTCCACCACCACTGGCCCTTTGGTCCATCAAGGTGTTGTGAAGTGGGTGATCCATGTTCTTTAGAATAGTCTCCACCTTCCTCAGACAGTTATTGATGGTCGAGTGACTGGATTACATTAAAGTGGTCAGATGTTCACAATGATATGGATTATTGGTGTATATCAGTATTGATATGGGCCAGTCAAGATGGATACTGGCAAAAACCCAATAGAAAAAGAAAAACTTTATTGATACCTGAAGGGAAATTCAAAATATCATGCATCTGAATGATTTGACTGGTTTAATGAAATGAAATGAATGAAATGAATGAAATTAAATGACTCGTTCTAAGGTATTTTGACCATTAATATATGTTTATGTTATTAGTTTTTGTTTTTACATCGCTGTCTTTCACAATATTTCATGATGTTCAGACCCGATGGCCTAGCCAATGTATAAAAAATTATGCTGTACAATTAGAACTTTCTTGCATTGAGACTGTTGATTTACCCATTCTGCAGGTTTTGCCCTCGGTTAATAAACTTAAACTCGTAGTGTCCTTTCAAAACAACAGTTTCCATCTAAACCCTTCTCATACAGTGTGCTGTCATGTGGACATCTGCAGTGAGAAAGCGGTTTGTAGCAGCCTTAGCATGCTAACGTTGAGATGAAGCGTTAGCCTTCCGTTAGCGCTTTGAGAAGTCTAAAGATTGACCTAGGATCTGTTTTGTAAGCTATAAGCATCTTTTTTTTCCTTTGAGCTGCCTATGACCCACACAAAAGACATTCGTTGACTTACTTTGAATGCTAAGGTGGTTGTTCCATGTAGAAACTCTATTTTCCTCTCGACGTCACCCTCCTCCCCGGCAAACAGCGGGTTCTTAACGGCAAAACTGATACCGTCCCCCGGCGTAGTGTCAAATCCCGACCCGCTCGGTTCGGATCCCCATCCAAAAGTAAAAGGCTTGCGATTATCAAAAGAAAAATCCGCACAATCACTGTTCAACACACTAGCAAGTGCCATCTTTGAAACTGACTGATGATGAGCAAGCAACTTCCGCCGCTTAGGAGAGAAATTTATCACATTTTGGTAGCAAAATGTCCACAGCGCCCCCTGTGTTTGTGGCAGGCGGTAACACCAACGAAGAGTCATAGAAAAACTGTGTAAACCGTGAGAACAATCACAAACAGCATCTTGTAAAAGGGTGATTACTCTACATGGGTAAGCAGCGAACACTAACATTTCAAAAACACAAAGCGAATTTTACCTAACCTAAGAACAGATAGATTTCATCAAAGACATAAAAAAAATAAACTTATACACATTTTTTTCTTTATCAACCTTAAGGTAGGAGGTTTGTTACTTTGTATGTTCTTTAATATTGTTTTATGAGTGCTGTATATGTTAAGTTGATTTTAAATTCTTGAAAAAATAGATAATAAAGTCTAAAAACACAACTGACAAACAACAAAATAAGAAAGCACAAAATATTAAATGAAATTTGAAAACATTTCACAAACTGCTGAACTGTAAAGTGTCAACCTCACAATATGAAATACAAAGGTACTTTACATATCAAATAAAAACATTTCACCAAACCATCAACATTCCACCAAATGTAAAATGTTTTTTTCAGTATTTGAAAATATTTCTTTGTTCATTACAATTTCAGTTTATAAAAAATTTCATAACAGAATAAAACTGGGTTGGTGAAATATTTCTGTGCTCATTATATATTTTATAATTTTTTTGAGTTTCTTCTTTTCTTTGCATCTTTGAAAATATTTGTGTTTTGCGAGATATTTTTGTGTTTTGAAAAGTTTTTGGCATTCAATATATTTATTGTATTCTATCTATTTATTTATTTTCATTTCTGTGGTCATGAAGGTTTTTTGCAATAAACCTTCACAGCCAGTGTAACAGTAGCCTGGCTGGGCCATCCTGTTGCGTGAATCACAGCGGTTCCTTCACACAACAGGAACGGCAACAGGATGGCCCAGCCAGGCTAGTGTAACAGTGCAACTGCAGCAACTTTTGAATGTTTTTACCATCTAAAAGAAATGCATAGTAATTTTGAACAAACAATACACAATGCCTCGTCTGGACATTTGGAGACACTTACAGTTTCCTCCTTTTTACCCATAACTCTTTACTGAAGGAATAATGCACAGCAGGCCTAAAGTACCTTAAGAGCATCTTTCAATACAAAGACCCAACAGCACTCTTAGTCATTTGTCTTCTGAAAAAAAAGCAATTCAAAGATAAAACTGTCATTTCAGGAACTCTGGATGAGATCAGTAAAAGTAAAGGTAATATTGAAGATAAAAAGTTCCAAAAAAGATCTGACTTTACTTTTTTGAATTCAAGCCCCCCTCATCCTCATCCCCAAATTTATCTCATCGTGACACATCTTACTTGATCAGTCTTTTCCTTTCCTCCACTAACTTCTCCTTCCTCTTCTTGTCTCTATAATACTCTTCCTTCAAGTCCTCTCTCTCCCTTTGGCTCCATCCCTGAGCTGTGATGTGGAAGAGGTCCACATTGTTCCCAGAGTAAGCATCCCGGTGGGTGGCTCTGAACACAGCTTCCCTTGCTAGGGCGATGGCCTCTTCTTTACTCAGATTCCACCTCAGCTCTCTATCCAGGACTCCATAAGCATAAGGAGAGCCTGAACCCACTGAGAAGACATCTCCCTGCAGTCGAGCTCCATCACTGCACACGTATATCAGCTGTGGGCCACTGTTAGGGGATGAAGCAACTTCTGTATCCCAGCCACACAGTGTAAGAGCCACACACACTTCAGTCCCTTTGAAGGGGTGCAGCATAAATGACAGGAGTTTAGCTGTACCTCGAATCGAGAGGTGATGTCTGTGCCGTAGTTGGTAGAGTCTGATCTCTCTGGTTAGAATTCGCTCCCATAGCATGCAGTCTGCACCACTCCCTGAGGAAGTGACCACTAAATGGGAGTGAATTGGGGAAATCTTGTGAACAAATGGGCATGCAACAAGCCCCCCAGCACTAGCTCGAGTGTCTGCAGCTGCAATGACCCCACCCTGAAAGAGGAAACCCAGAGTAGTTGTTCCATGAGACAGAGGGAAAGGCCTGCAGACCATCTTTGACTGTTTGGCTGGGGGAGAGGGCAGTGGTGATCTGTGGTTGAAAGTAGCGGAGTTTGACGAAGGTGGTATGAAGAAATGCAGGGGTATCTCATTATCAGTCCTTGATGTTTTTCGAGTCCTTGATCCAAGGCTGAAATAGTCAGTCATATGAATAGATGATGCTGCATCTTTGAAGGAGGAGGCAGGACACCACTTATGATGCAGGGGGGTGTCTTTAACACCACAAATATCTTCAAGAGCCATTGAAGTGTAGTAAACCAGACTTGGAAGGGGAAAAAAAATCTCTTTTTTGGTAATGTCAGACAAAAAGTACTCCTCAAGTACAAATAAAATCTGTCTGTCCTTTTGAAAACTGGTGAAACAAAGTAATGAACCTGTAAAGTCCTCTGTCGTGTGTTTCTACGACTGCTGCCACATTGTCAAAACTACTGAAAAACTGAAACTCTTGCTCTTTTATAGCTGTCTCGAACATGACACCTTGCAAAAGCAAACACAGCTGAAAGCATTTGAGTTGACATAAGGGACATTTTATCCTCTTTCTTTTGTGAAAGTAATGACCAGAGAAGCCATTTTTTGCAAACATCACATTTTTTATGCTGCCAAGTCATTTTTTGATAACTGTGTACAAGTTTATATCTTTTAATACAGTTTGCTGCCACAGGAAAGCTTCAAGCGGGAGTAGCATTTATCATTCTTCTTCAACTACTTTTTCAAACAATTGCTTAAGTGGATCCACAAATGAAACCCAGTGTGATCAGAATTGTAGAGAGATGTAGAAAAACAATGTGACTGACAATAACAGCTTTTTTGCATTCTGGGCTGTTTTTAAATGCATTTGAATGCTGAGCAGTGGCAAAGTCATGGGGTGGCTGTGGCCACTCCTGGACTCTTGTTGGCCATCCTGAAATCCTAAACCGTTGATTACTTTTCTTGCCTGAGCCCATATTCATATTGAAATCAACTACTTTGGTTGAAATCCAGCGGGCTGATGGTGGCGGGAAATCAAAAGAATAAGTAATATCCAAATTAGATGGGAAGAAACGGTGGCAGTGATATTTTTGAAGACATATTGAACTATATCCCATTACTTTCACTTAATTGTTATTTTTTCCACAAAATTTCAGCTGAAAGACGAAAACTTTTAGAATTATCAACAGTTGAGACTATTATTCACGAAATGAAGAGCCAGCATCTCAGCTATCGCGTTAACTCGCGCGATATGCAACTGAGTTACACACTGCGCCATTGTGGCTCCTAGGTTCCGCACCGACCAGTGAACGCTCGTGTCTGCCAAGAGCCATTATGGTGTCAGTTTCCCCGGCTCCGCGAGTAAGCAGCCAGCCTGTTCAGTCAGCTCAGTCGGCTAGAGTCATGGCGTCCGCCAGCACGGGGAGCAGGGTGTCCTGCGGGAGGGATTTGAATTGTGTGCCGGAGATAGCAGACACGCTGGCCGCGGTTGCCAAACTTGGGTGAGGAGGATGCCGCACTCCTGAAGATATGTTAACATTACATAAGAGCCTACATAGCTGTTTCTTTAGTGTGATGTTTGTGTGTGTGTCTGCTAGCAAGATGACTGTGTGATGCTTGCTAAGCTAGCCGGTAAATTACCAGCACGTGCCCAATCACAATGATGCTTGACACTCGTTTTACAGTTTGGTTTTCTGTTCAGGCTGCTGTTTTAAAACACGTGAGATAGGCTGGACAAAAAAATCATGTTTTTGTTTTACATGCCTTTGGCATTTTAACTCATATCTTTGATTTACAAATAATGTGTTTTCTGTCTGTAATGTCCAGGTTTGACTTCCTCTGCATGCCCCTGTTCCACTCGAGGTTCAGGAGAGAGTTTGAGACGGAGCCCGCTAAAACCAGATCTGGAGCTCAGACCCGATCAGACCTGCTGCTCTGTGGGAGAGGTCAGTGCTATTAAACTCTCATGTCATCAAACTTTAGTTGACATTACCTTTATTCTCTACGTAGTTAACTGTACTCCTGTTTGCTGGCTGCACAGGGCCCCACGACACCATTGATGGATAAATAAACTGATTATTACTATGAACACATTTTGAGATAACAATTATGATTGAACAAAGTTAGCACTAAATGAAAAGAAAAACAAATAGAAAAGAGATATCTAAAAAATTATCTTCATAATGACAAGTGTTTTTTCAATGGCCAAAACTAATGCCAATCATTACAGGCAGTCAGTCAATGGCCCATATTTGATGCTGGTATGACCTTGTTCATTTTTTTTACGATAATTCTGTATGCCATAACAGAATATATTTTAACACGTCTGAGTAACTACCAGATTTGATATGATGTCACTTGGGATGGGAAATTTTTTTATTCTTTAAGAGTATATTAACATTGCTTGACAGCAGCCATTGTGGCAAGGCTGTGTGCAGTGTCTGCAAAAATATTTAGTTAAAGGGGTGGGGGTACCACGCTTCTCCACATTTACAACAAAAACTGCAAAGTTACAATGTTTGGGGTCTGTATTAGATACATGGCACCTAAAATAAGGGCTGTTTTTCTAATCCTGAAATATTCACACTTAAACTGACACATTAAGAGAGGAGAAAGTTCACTGAGTTTTAAGGGGGTCTCACATGAGACCTTGTTGCTTTATCTGAACTATCTGTCATGCTTTGTCTAGACTGGAACACTCTTATTGTTGGGAAGCTCTCTCCTTGGATCAACGCAGATGCAGAAATCGAGACAGAACGTAGAAACTCAGAAGCGGTAAGTTCCTGACTGATGTTGACCTTTTCCTAATTTCTGGTTGAGTTTGATGATCTCAAGATTCTGTGTCATATATGTAGTAAACTTTTACTCTCTCACATTGAATTTCCCTTTGGCGATTAATAAAGTTCTTCTCATCTTATTTACCTCTCAAAGCATTGTCTCATGTGTTCTTGCTGTGCCCTCATTTTTTTTCTCATGTCTGTCCAGGCTTTGGCGCAGGAGCTAAACTTCTCAGCCTACCTGGGTCTGCCCGTCTTCATGGTCCCTCTGACAGGCTCAAATAACGCCAATCTCGCCCGTCTGCTGCTAAACCACATCCACACTGGACACCACACCTCAAATGTAAGACGCACTGATTTGAATAACTCAGCATGACTGTGTAGACTGTTATGCAGCAGTGAAGTCCGACAGATAGTGAACTGCTGTTGTCCTCTGTTTGTGATTAGTTCTGGATTCGTGTCCCGCTGATGTCCCCAGAGGACATACGGGAGGATCTGATTGAGGATGAACCAAACACTTGCATTGACGATCCAAGTGTTGATGAGAAGACCTGGAGCTGGTTAGTTTCACACAGTCCACTTCCCGAGCAGTCGGCTACTGCCTGCATGCTCAAACAGCTCCTATTGATTTCCTTTAAAATCCTGATGCATGGTGTTTACTTGGCTCTGCTCTTTCAGGTGGCACTCATTCAGAACCCTTTGTGATTACAACAAGAGGATCTGTCTCGGTGAGAGGACACACTGAAGAAACAGCCTGTGGCAAAGTCAGTGCATTAAGAAATAATTATAGTCTACTCCGCCACTGAAAATGCACTTTTTGTTTGTATTCCTGAAGCTATCGAAGTGGGAGCAGACATGCCGTCAGACGCTGTGATCGATAAGTGGCTCGGGGAACCAATCAAAGCAGCAATACTTCCCACCAGCATCTTCCTTACCAACAAAAAGGGCTTCCCTGTGTTGTCAAAAGCCCATCAGAGGATAATCTTCTCTCTCTTCAAGGTAAAAGTTAAAGAAAACCACCCAAATAAATCACCTGCCTAATGCACAAGTACTTCAGTAGACATCTCTCTTCTTAGTTGGAGGCCCAGTTCATCTTCACAGGGACCAGTCGCCACACTGAGAAGGACTTCAGATCCTACCTGCAGTATCTGGAATACCTCAACCAGAACCGGCCTGCACCCAATGCCTACGAGCTCTTTGCCAAGGGCTATGAAGACTACCTGCAGTCCCCCCTCCAGGTAGGGCTGTCGAATTTGTGTTAACATACTTAAGATGGGTGTGCATATTTGTGAGATGAGAGACTAAACTTGTGTTTTCTTCTTCTTTTTAGCCGCTCATGGACAACTTGGAGTCCCAGACGTATGAAGTGTTTGAGAAGGATCCAATTAAGTACTCTCAGTACCAACAGGTAAGACTGTCACACACTGCGTTGAAAACAGTTCACGGTAAATGAACACAATCACGTCATAGAAAGGAGTTTGTTTGAGAGATTGTCATGCAAGAACTCTTTGTTTATTTTGCTCCTTATAACCCACCCCACGCTCCCGCTGAGATGGCACGCACATTTCTTTGACTTGGTAGTAAAGTCTGAGATAGGTAATACAATGCTCTGCCCATTGGATTTGCAACAACCTGCATTCATTTGCTGTTATCTGCTTATACTACAACTGCATGGCCTTAAATGTGAAACTATGTAGAAGAGTTGGTAATGTGGTTTAGGACTTAGGTCTGAGATTTTTATTCTTTTGGACTTGGAGACCCACAAACCCTAAAGCCAGTCAAATTATAGGTTCTCATTTTACTGTTGTACATCTGGAGTAATCATCAAAGACTGAAGATTTGTCATGATCCTGTAAACTTTCAATTTATAGGCAAATAATGTGTACTTGGTGAAAAGTGCTACTGTATTTGGATTACTCACAGATTTAATTCCAACAGAGTCAAGAAATACATGAAGTGTTGTGTCTTTTGTATCTACTGGTGTTGTTCAACCCAAAGTTTTTCTGAGCTATTTTCCAACTATTTGTTCATCAACCATCAAACTGTGTCCCGCAAAAGTCTGCCTTGCAAACTGACTTTGGACAACACAATTTAGATCTACTATCTTTTAGTTAAATCTGGGCCTGACCCTTCCTGTTAATTAAAGTCCCACAAGCCAACTTGTGATCAAACAGACACAGTCACTTGTTCTAATATGCTTTGTTTGTATGTATATGATACATACAAAATACATCCATATGTACTGTAGCCTTTTCACCAAAACCAGTCACTGAAGGTATTTTTAATTTAGCGCGCTGCTTTCTGACATGTTGAGTCCTGAATTTAGAGGTCAGGATTGTTTTAAAGGCAGACAATAAACGCTCTGGGAAATTAATGATGATTCAGTTTAAAAACTGCTCCCAAAAAATTTTCAATCTTCTACTAAACCTCCAGCTTTTCTCTTTTCTTCACTGCTTGTCCTTCAACATTTACTGGTGCTTCATTTTTGTGAATTAGATTTTAATGTTTTACCTCCAGCTTTTTATTCTTAGCAATTACCTGACTAGGTGTGGGTTCCTGCTGTTAACTGGATTCTCATGGATCCGGCAATAGTCTCAGACAGACATCAGACTGATTTACAAAGTTTAACATTGTAAAATGTCTTCAAAATTCTCACATGCACTTTGAGAGGTCTTAAATTTTCAGGTGGTACTTGTTGCATTGCACTCCTGATAGCATATTAACTTAACATTAAAAAAATTCTAAACAGAAAAAAAGAACAAAGGGTCAATGCAAACTTAAGAAAATTGGTCTTTGAGATGAAATGCAGCGGTGAAGGTTTGTGGGGTACAGAAAACTGAAAGAGCTGAAAAGACAAGCCTTTGAACCTGGGACATGTGGTTGAATATATCGCACCAGCATAATTGGTGTTTGTGCTGTTCTGTGGTAAATTGGTATTGATTTCTTTCTTCTTTGAGTCTTAATTTTGAGTTTAAAAAATTTCCCAGCACCCTGATTTGGTTTATTCGCACTTTTACTGAATGAAGAACTCATGCAGTGTTTTCACTGTGCTGCCAAGTCTCTTTCTGTGTCAAATCAGGCTTGAATAAGTCATTAGTTTGTGGGTTTGATGAGCGAATCATCCATATTGTTGATTTGTCTTTGTGTCTACAGGCTGTTTACAAATGTCTACTGGACAGAGTTCCAGAGGAGCAGAAAGACACTAATGTTCAGTGAGTATAAATACATAAATCTAGGCATTGACACAACATTGAGCTATACTTCAAAAAAATGCAGCTGTATTTAAATTCTTATCAGTGTCATTGATCCGTAACTTGATTTAAACTCAGCAGTCACCCTCCAGTGATACAACACAGTCTCATTTATCTTATAATAACACAGCGCATCGTTTTGGGAATATTATGACAGTGTTTCAGCTCCTGCAGTAAAACAAGTCATGTAGCTGTAATGGAATCATCCTCAAAAACTGTGCACTCTCTCCCTGGCAGGGTGTTGATGGTGTTGGGAGCAGGGAGAGGTCCTTTGGTTAATGCGTCACTGCGCGCTGCCAGACAGGCGAACAGGAAGCTGAGGGTTTATGCTGTGGAGAAAAATCCTAATGCTGTGATCACGTGAGTGAGAAACTACCATTTGTGCCTGTTTGGGAACATTTCATAGTAAGTGTGTTGATATTTATGAAGCTGTCACTTAAACTTAACTGGACATTTCTCATTGGATGACACTGTTTTCAAATCTTTTGGTTCAGTGCGTCCTGGTGAGATCAGTGACTTTATCTACGTAGCCCCTTTTAAAAACAAAAGTGTACACGATGCTTTCACAGACGAAGCAGAACAGGTGGATTTTAATAGCAGAAGATGACAAAAATATGACATTACAGTATTGATTTTACAACAAAATAGTCTGTTAATGAGAGGAAAAAGAGTCTCAGAAGTTGTACTGCTGAATTTTGTCTCTCTACACAAACATATTAACGGGTCCATTCTTGTCCAGGTTGGAGAATTGGCGCTTTGAGGAGTGGGGCGATCAGGTGACAGTGGTGTCATGTGACATGAGGGAGTGGGCTGCACCCGAGAAAGCCGACATCATCGTCAGTGAGCTGCTGGGTTCATTTGGTGACAATGAACTTTCCCCTGAGTGCTTAGATGGAGCACAGCACTTCCTCAAAGGTACTTCAGTCTTATTTAAGTGGATTCTGTTGGAAACTGAATGTGATGCTGCTGTTTATGACAATTAACAATTAACTTCTTTATGAATTTCCACTATTATGCACCATATGTAAAAGAGGCAGCATGGGCTCTACAAAACACTTAATTTAAGATTTTAAACTTGTTTTAGGTGGTAGGCCGACTAATCGAGATGAGGTGTGTTCCTGTATCACACAGATATCACAAGAATTCTTCTGTCTGTACTCAACAGGTTTATCAAAGTGTAGGGACCCTCCTACCTGTTCCCAGTTAGACCTGGGTTCAGTTAATAAACACATTTGTGAGACAGGAGTAACTATGGCTGCATGTGAGCTGGAACATGAGTGAAATACTGATGAAATTAGCCAGAGGAACAGCTTCATAGGAAAACTGTCTTTGTTGCAGCATGGTCAAAAACAGACTGCTCTGTGTAGGTAACCGTAGACACTGCACTCAGAGCATCATTGGGGACGCCATATCAAACATTCGCCACCCTCCATTGCTTTCCATGCTTGTTTGACTCTCAAATTCTTTCTCTTTCTGCTGTCATCATCGTGTCATGTCCCTCTCAGATGACGGCGTGAGCATCCCCTGCTCTTACACGTCTTTCCTGGCTCCGCTGTCCTCCTCCAAGCTTTACAATGAAGTCCGGGGATGTCGGGAGCGCGACAAGGACCCGGAGTGCCATTTTGAGACGCCGTACGTGGTGCGCCTCCATAACTTCCACCAGCTGGCTGACCCCAAACCCTGCTTCACCTTCACACACCCCACAACAGGTAAAAACAAAGACACTTACCTCAAACGCAGAAACAAGAACACTCTAAGCTTTACTTTTCTCAAGATACTTTATTCCTCTTTCCTCCACCAGACATGAACAATAACCGGTATCAGTGCCTCAGGTTCACAGTGGGTTGTAACTCAGTGCTCCACGGTTTTGCTGGATACTTTGAGACTACGCTGTACAAAGATGTCACACTTAGTAAGTCTACCTTATATACAGACAGTCGCACAGTACTGGGATGAGATCTCAACAGGATTATTTTTAATGTTGTGTTTGTTTGTGACAGGTATAAAACCAGATACACATTCACCTGGAATGTTCTCCTGGTTCCCCATCCTCTTCCCCCTCAAGGTGAGTTGGCTTTTTCATCGTGTCTATTTCCTCCGCTGTGCACTTTGTGAACTCATTATGTCTGTGGAAGTCACTCGTAAGGGTTCTATTTGCTGTGGAAAGCAGCTATTTCCTCGTCCCAAAGACACCTTAAGACAGCGGGAAGTTTTCAGGACAATAGCCACAACGTCACTGAAATGGATATTCCGGAGTTAGCTTAAGCAGCCACTTTTTGGGGGGAGACCCTGACGAGTCGATCATGGAGTGCAGTGGAGTTTCGCAGCTCAAGGAAGAATATTTATAATTATTACGTCATGGAAATGCAGTCAGAGTTTTTGTGTATCTTATAGGTGCACTGCAGACGCGGTAGTTCTTCCGCATTAGCACCTTGGTCGAGTGCCTTTCTGTTGAGTGGCAATGTATGAATATCTGATGTATACTAGGGAACTAAATGGGTGTTAGTGGCTGGACTCAGGTTCTTTCTGTAAGGGCATAACTTTCAGGTTATTTTATGACCACAAAGCTGCATGAAAAGTTCACCCACAATCTGTGTCTAACCACTAAAAAAAACAGCCAGAACAAAATGTTTCAGTTGGAGGCAGAATAGTTCTGAAATGAAGGTTTTCTCAGGCACAAGAGTAAAATAGCTTCAATGTTTTTGAGCTCATGCAAAGCTACTGTCCAGGTGTCCCATACTGACATAATGAAAGATGGAATTGAGTATAAAAGGTCTCTGTAACATATTTGCAGCTGGTGCATGGTCTTGATCTCTTTTTTTTTTTTTTTTGGCTATTTATTTTTTTTCGCCCTCGGAATAAATCCCCAGTGAACACTACAGAGCCAGTATTTGGCTTTGCAGTCATAGATTTGAAAACAAATAAAGGTATCTCATCTAACAAAGCACACATATGCTCATTGATAACATTGGAGTGGAAAGCAAAGTGCTGTCACTCACCATTTAAAGAACATTTGAAATGAGTATTTCCTTTTGGCAAGAGCCAGTGCTTCCAAATCAAACATGTCAAACATATGGTGCAGGGCTTCAAGAAGCTGGCTCTTACAGACAGTGCTGGCTATGTGCGGAGCCAGGGAGATGTCAATCAAATTTTGATACATGCTTGCACAGTCTTTAGGAGTGTTTTAACAATAAAATGAGCTGATTTTGTGGATGTATCAGTCAGCTTTGACACAACAGATTGAATAAGACTTTGAGGAATGTGGTTCTTCTGGAGATTTCCAGATTTTCCAGCTGAAAAGAAAAAACAGAACACAGATGAATTTTTGTGTAAAAGTAGGTTAACATTTCAGTTATAGTTTTAGCCATGACTTTGCTGGTTATTATTTCCTATTTAAATGCTATAAATTATAACCATGCAATCAGGATTATGGTGTTTATTTCAGTACATACTGGCTGGATTACGCACAGCTGGCAGCAACAGAGCCACTCTCTCTCCTCTACTGCAGACCCCAACATATGCTGGGGACAGATAGTTACTGCAGATGCCGAAGACACGCTGTTTGTTCTGCTGAAACTTTCTTTCAGCTCTTTATTTTGCTGGCATATTATGATATGAAATAGTCCTGGAATAGACACCAACTGGCTGTTTTTTTTTTGTTTGTTTGTTTTTTTTTTGCACAAAATGAATTTAAAATAATTGTAGTTATTTGATCTTAAACTACTTACACTGTATACTGTAGAGAGAGGCTGTAAAAATAAACAATAGAATAGAATAGTCTTTAGTGCCATTACATGAGGTGCAATGAAAATTCCTTTGTGACATGTCTGAGTAGCAAAAACACTTGCATGTACACATTCTCTCACACATATATACCATTAATTAAAAAAATATATATGTATAGATATATCTATTGTGTACATATATTTACATACCTGTACATACACACATATACACATATACACGCAAGCACAAGCTGTGCTGAATTTCTCCTACAAGAAGTCTGTTGGTTTGTGAATGAATCAAGATGAACCTTTTTTGGTGCCAGATAAAAGCAACTTTTTGCTGCCTCTTTCCAAGCAGGCACTTTCAAACCTAACCTGTGGTTCATGATGGTCATGTATTTATACAGTTAAAATTTTGATATGTACCACACTCTGTTTCATCCACTAGTTTCTCGACTGTGTCGTCCACTGCAAATCAAATCTCTGCTCTTATGTCAACTTTTTCTTTCAAAATTTCCCTCCTACAGCAACCCATCTCTCTGTCCCGGGATGACGATGTCACTGTGCGGTTCTGGCGCTGCAACAATGGGAAAAAGGTGTGGTATGAATGGGCCGTGACAGAGCCCTCCTGCTCTGCCATCCACAACCCTGCTGGACGCTCCTACACCATTGGCCTGTGAGGACGACACAGCATCACGTGTCAGCAGCCGCACACACGTTACTGTAAAACCTGGTGGCGGTTAAAGTGAAGGTGGCTCCTTTTATATTCACATGTGAAACCTGGAGTAAGTAATCTGGGTTTTAAAAATGAGCGGTGGAGTGCACTTTGGAGCCAACAAAAATGGTTATGGGATAAATCAGATTTCAGTGTGTGTTTTCTTTTTTTGAGAAGTGTACTCCAGCAGACATGGACTATCTCCTGTGCACAAAGTGTATCAATACTGCTACAGATGCGGTCAAACAAGCGCCACTGTTTCTGTCTTTTAAGTCTGTTTTCTCCCTCTGTTCTCAACTGGTCCTAACAGACACACACACTCAGTACAACCAGACCTTTGCCTTATCAAACACACATTCCATACTGATACACAAACACACACACACTGACAAAATGCCCCTATCGTCAACTGTGTGTGTCAGAGGAAAGTTATGTAATTCAGGTCCCATACCACCTTATGTAAAGGCTGTCTGTCCATACCTTTTGTTATTCTGTTTGTGTATATTTGAACCTTGTCAATAAAGACAACACTGTAAAATTATTCATACACTCGGAGAGTTTTTGATATGATAGTGCAAACCTTTTCAAGTATACGGTACTGTCAAGCAGTGATGTGGGATATGTGTTTCAATTAAGTGAGGCTGCAACCTGTGCTGTAAGAATGTAGACTGTCCAGCAGATGTCACTATAGATATCAGGGTGTTACACAGTGGTGTGGACCAGTGTGGGTGAAACTTCAAACTGATAGTGTTATTTTACCTCAGTAGGACTCCTTTTGTTCCTCTGTCAAATGTAACAAATCGGCTCTAAACCAGACAGTAATGCTGGATTAAAGCAGGATCTTTTGCATCAGTAACATTAAGAAAATTAAAATCAGTTTTTCTCAGTTCTTTAATGCTCTTTGCTGCTATGTACTCCTAACTCACAAAAGTCTTCTCCATAGATCTCCATAACCTGCGAGAGTGGACCCATGGCATGCTCCTGTCTGCTTCTATCGTGTTGCGTACAATGCATTTCTAACAACTGGGTTCAAAAGAGGATTGAAATGTTTTGTCTTGTAGTGGCTTCCTCAACCGAATTTGGGTCATTTTTGGTCGACTGGGATTATCTTAATAGTCTTATTTAAAACTAACATAGTAATAAAATGAAATGTGTCTATCTAATATTATGTAAACGTTTAATGTACAGGTTTTTTTTTTTTTTTTGGTTTTTTTTAGTGACATTTTAGAGGCTTGATGTCTGCTGGATACCAAGGATATAGTTGACATAATACCACTAGCTAAAAACCTAATACGTTCTTAAACCATTATTTACATAACGTTCATTTTAAATTTAATATATAAAAATACAGCTGCTTAAAGAAAGCTGGTACAAAAATTTCAAGTTGGTCAAAATTTGTCTTTGACCCAATATTATTTACCTGCGAGTCATCTTACTTGCCGTTTAGCAACTCTTTCGATAACCCTGAACACATTGACCCTGGTTTTAAAGTATTTTGGAAGCTGTATGTCCGAATAACAAAAAGACCTATATTCAATTTTAATTCTGCCTTTAAGGTTTTATTTTAATGTTACGAATTTTTCAACAGTGTATGTTTTTTTACATACAATGTCGCATTATAATCCGATTTTAGGGACAATTCGTGGGTATTCAGGTTGTAAGATTTGTCAATGGGAGAAAAACTACAGTGGGCGGGGCCTGAGACATGTTGACAATTTAGACTTCACTGATTGGCTGAAAATAACCAGAGTTTCTATTTATCGAGGCTGTCAGCTGGGAATCTTTTGTTACCCGATTCTCATCACGGCCACTCATCAGGAAAAACGCCTAACATGAAGTCAGTCACATAAGACGGAGCTTTCAGGCGTTTTTCAGGTCACTGCAGCTGCTTAAAAGGTAAGTCAATACTTCAGTCTTATTTTTCGTGTTACATTTAGGAAGTAGCACGAGCGTAGTGCTGATTGGTTAATTAGAAACTCCGGTATTAGGCTACGTTGCGTTGGTGGAGGAGCTCGTGCTCGTCCTGTCGAGAGCCGTTGAAGCGGTCAGATTGAAACGAAATAAATCAACATTCACAAAGTCATTCAGGTTAGGACTAACTCAACGATGTTTAACTAACTGCGTTTACTTTAAAGCCCGTTAATGGTCCGTGGTAGCATAAACCTTTAAGCTGAAGTTTCCGCCTGGACTGCTGTTGTTTGCACTCTAAATTATTAATGCTGGGATGTGGTTTCTAATTTTAGCTCCACTGTAGTCAACTAAAGATGGAAACCACTGCCATCGGCATTTTATTTTTAATCTAATGGACATGAGGGAAATTACTCAGCAAATATGAACGGGGAAAATATGCAGAGCTCTTAAACTTTATTTTAAAAAAAGATCATCTTTAAACTTACACTATCCTTTACTAGAAGGATAAGCAGGGCGGTGGTGCTTCTGGCACCCAGACCTGAAAGAGGAGGCCAGGGTCTTCAGTATGACGGAGGGACCAAGGAAGAGGAACAGCAGCGGCGTGGATGGAGGTCAGTTTGAGTCCTCAGACCTCCAGCCCGGTTCGGGAAAGGATGCCGGAGGATCCAGGGTGGCTCTGCAAAAACAGATCGGCCTTGTCAGCGCCTGTGGTATTATCATCGGTGAGTGTATTCATGTGGCGTTAAGCCTCATTCAAACGTAGACCTTTGATCAAATCCTTCTCTAAAGAGCTGACTTTTTGATTAACTTTGTGATATATCATCATCCTATCATTCACACCATAGACTGTAGGCTTGTCTTGTTGTCCTTAATAACAGGCTAAAATGCTACTTTATGAATTTGTTTGCCTTAAACCACAGGATTTAATCTTGTCTAGCAGGTTGTTTTTTTTAAACATATTCTGGATGGCTTAAATTGTGCCAAAAAAAATCATCTCCTGAATGCTGTGCTTCTATTGGAGATCTCTTATGGCTTGCATGTGTCAGGAATCTAGCAAAATGACATCCAGTATTACAACTCACTTTTTGCCAGTTTTAAGTTTATTTGAAAATGTTTTGTGTTGTGATTTAAGTCTCTTCATTTACATGCATATAAATAAATCACTTTTGATTGTATATACCACACTTATCTGATTACTTTCATTGTACTTTTAAGCCTAGTGGTAGAGAAAGAACATAATATGATTGCTCGAGTCAAAACTTGGACACTCTTGGTCAAATATTACTCCAGTAAAAGTGGGAGTCGTTCAGTTGAATTGTTACTTAAGTGAAAGCACTGGAGTGCTTGCTTCTAAAAGTACTTAAAACTGTGATGAATCATTTTTACCTGGTTATGAAACACACTCAAAATAACAGCATTATTCAGAGGTAACCTCATGACCTATAAAAGCAAACCAGACCCCCTGGAGGAGGGGGGATTAACTGGACCCCCATTCATCTGCTGCACAAGAGAAAGGCTTTTTAAAAAATATCTCTACTACAGAGATTCAATTTGGGTTGCACATTAGAAAATAAAATAAAAAATTAACAGAAGACATTTTTTTGCCAGAAAACACAACTTACTCTTCATCATCAGCAGCAAAATCTTCTGTAAATTTTCCCATTTTGTCCACTGTGTTTGGGGGGCTGATCCCCCCTTCATGTCATTCCCTGCCCTACCCTCAATTTCCTGCTCTATCCACTGTACTCTATCATAAAGAAGAACATAGAAAAGGATACAACTCACTCTTCATCTTACAGTCCAAATCACACGCTTAACAACACAAGGATAGTTTAGTGTCTTTTGGATCAGGTTTTTTAAAGAGAGGAAAAATCCTTGACAGATATCATGCAAAAGTAGTGAGTGACAGAAACATTGATTAAAATGTAGCGGAGTCAAAAGTCTTTTAAATGTTGTGGGATGAAAATAATTAGATCCCCCCTGAAACAATACTCAAGTTAAGTAAAGATACTCAGACATCGTACTTAAGTCCAGTCCTCAGGGACATTAACTGGATCCCTGTCTTCCACTGTGCAAGTGGCTAGTCCTGAGATGTCTCCCTCAAGTAATGCTGACTTGGCGTCTTCAGTACACTCTTGGTATCAGACATCTTGCGGAGTCTCTTTCATCATTGCCTCATGCTCCTGAGAGCTCTGGGCCTCAGTTTGCTTCTCACATATGCAGAGACGAAAAAAAAAAAAACGTCAATAAAAAAGCAATCCCACTAATGGCTGAGAGTCTACCATTATAGAGACACGGTATTTTTCAATAATCTGATGTGTGATTAGAGCACTACTGAAATAACCCCCAGTGTTTCCTCTGGGGAGCCCTCTGCTGTGGAAGCAGTTGTCAGCCGTGGTTTCAGGGCCCTGTCTCGTGGGTTCAAGGGGGGTTTGTGCCTCCTATGTCTCTCCTCTGGCCCTGTGTTAGTGTCCTGTGGCTGTGGGTGGCTCTCTGCTCCTGGTGCAGACGGCTCCTCTGATGGCGCTTTCTCAACAGGTTTATCTGTACTCTGCAGGGGTGTGGGTGTGTGTGTGCGTGGCCTTGGGTGTGACTGTGTATGTAACTGTTGAATGCGGGTTGTATGGTAGTAAGGGTAGGGTGATATGGTGGAGGGGCATGGGACTGTTTTTGATAAGCTGTAAAGCACTTTGTGTTAGATATTCTGTATGAAAAGCGCTTTATAAATAAAGTTTTGATTGATTTTGGTATCAGCCTTTACAACCGGTAGTTTATGGCTGTTTCCATCACAGTTCAGATGTTTCTCAAATCAAATCAAATTTTATTTATCATCCCAAGATGCTTTTCAAAGAACAAGAGCAGGTCTAGACCACGCTCATTGTTTGATGAATTATCAAGACCCAACCTAAGATGGGTTTTGGCCCATCTCATCTAACATGAGTAACAGTGGCAAGGAAAAACTTCCTTTTAACAGGCAGAAACCTTGAGCAGGACCCAACTCATGCCAGACAGCCACCATACTGCTGCTGGGTTGGGTTTCTCATACAAACTTCCTTATGTTGCATGTAAATAAGCTCCTCTGCCTTTCCTAGCCTTTAGGTTCTTCCCTGTGTATGTTTTCAGCAGAGAAACAAACTTATTTGCCCCGAAACTTTAATTTGTTGTTTTCCACTGCTGTTCCCAGCAGGCAACAGAGATGAACTCATTCTGCCAGCTCTTCAGACATAAAAAAAGACAGATCAGACATCTTGCTGCTCAGAAAAAAAATGGCATAAAAAGGTTGCAGATAAAAATATTTTAGCTGTCTCAGCTGCAACAACTATAAAAGCTTTGTACTGCTAAGACAGCTCAGTTGCGTGTGTGAGGTTAACTGGAAAGATCCAAACAAGCCTGCAGCTTTCCCACATTAGCTGGCCACACACACAGTCTGAGTTAATTTTATGATGGCAAACTGTGAAACATTAACACAGTTGGAAACAGGTCAGCTTGTAGCGGGAGGTTGCGTCTTCCTCTGCAATCCGTGTTCATAGCTTTGGGCTTGTTTTCATGCTGTTGTCGACCTGCTGTGAATGAGCAGAAAATCATCACTTACATGATTTCATATGCCAGAGCACCCAGCATTGTCTCAAAATTGTGTCCATATCTGTCTGCTTTTCTACTCAGGCAACATCATAGGATCGGGGATTTTTGTGAGTCCCAAGGGGGTCCTGGAGAACGCCAGCTCAGTAGGCGTTGCCATCATTGTGTGGGTGACTACAGGAGCCATCACAGCCATTGGTGCTCTTTGCTATGCAGAGCTGGGCGTCACTATCCCCAAGTCAGGAGGAGACTACTCATATGTGAAGGACATTTTTGGAGGGCTGGCTGGGTGAGGAACAAAGATATTTGCCTTATCACCATGATGAGATTAAAGGGCACTTCCGCCACTTTTATGAAGGTGTCAGAATCAAAATGTAATGCAATGTGAAACTGATCAAATCCTCAGTGTGAGCACCATACTGATAAAGACAGTCAAGGGCCCTCTGTCTTAACAGTTCCCTCTCCATTTCCACACTTCATGTTCCTAAACAAGATGTCACCAACATGCATTACCATTCAGAGATGAAAAACATCAGAAGTGCATTGTAAAAGCATTATGTGGTAACCTGTGAAAGATATTGAGGGATAAGTTCACCAGACTCAGAGTATGCCAGCCCCAATGCAGCAAAAGTCATGTGATGAATCAGCATCCCAAGATCGTCATACTTAACCCTTAGAGGTAGAAGTGCAGTCATCTGAGCCCTGTCCACAATAAACCTCTGTACTTCTCTTTCTGTGAAGCTATGAGTGCCCTTTCCAGTTAGCTCCTGTAAATTTCTCAGCACTCTGCTTATGGGATATAGCTGCTACTGTAGGTAGTTAGCATGACAAGTTCAGTTGGGGGGCTATAAAGCAAATCTGTAGCTGCCTGCGGTTCCTCCAGGATTCAGTTGGTAGGTGGAAACCATTCATCTTGCAGTTGCTCCCAAAAGACAAAAAAACACCAGCAACAATAGTGCTCAATAGCAACAATAGCATTGATATAGAGATGAGACAAAAAAAAAAAAAACGTACCATTTGTATTTTAAAGGTTCTTCATTGAAGAGGTTAAGTCTTATTGAGGAATATAGAAATTCATTCTCAGCTATTGTTAACAGGAATTGCAATTTTGAACAAAACCCCAGACTCTGACACATAATTATCTACACAATGGGGCTCTAAGAAATTACATGGATTTCTGTATGAAAAAGCTTTGTTCCAGTTCATTGTTCATACATTATAATGTGAAATGATGCAGAAAAGCACTCGACAAAAACGTTCACAGGGTTGTTACGAGCCTTTTGTAATTAATGAGAATATCCAGTAAACCTCCGCCGCCTCCTCCTCCAGCTCCATGCTCAACGTGTAATTATAGCTTCTCTTAATGCACGTTTGTATTCCCAGCATCCCACAGTATCCCTGACCCACTTCACTCATTTCTCTGGTCCTGAAAGACAATGCTCCACTGCATTCCTATAATGCTCTCAATTAATATGCGTATTAACCTTTTGTTTTTCTATTACATTTCACTGTAATGAGAGGGAGTATCCTCAGACTCAAGTGTATGAGACAGGTCTTTTGACACAGCTCATCAACCTCCTGTCTTTTTTTGTCTCTCAGTTTTCTGCGGCTGTGGATAGCAGTGTTGGTGATCTACCCGACTAACCAGGCTGTGATTGCTCTCACATTCTCCAACTACATCCTGCAGCCCCTCTTCCCCTCCTGCCTCCCCCCGGAGAACGGCCTCCGCCTGCTGGCTGCTGTCTGCCTGTGTGAGTCCCTTTAATAAAACTGATGATTAAATGGCTCCCCGTGAGAGATTGTGCATTTGCAGATATGGATCATGAAGCAGCACAATTGAGCCCTCTCAGAAGTGTTTCAGGCGTGAGGAATTCAAGGATCACTTTTTGATTAATCGTTTTTATATTTCCAGGAAGAGAGAGGGACCCTACTTTCTGTTGAACACTCTTTAGCTGGCAGATATAAAGTTTGCAACGCTGTGTAATCGGCATAAAAATCGAAATAGATAAAGTTTTAAGATTTCTATCAGTATGTAAATAATGTTTCATGTTTGAAATGCATTCCCGAGAAACACTGGTTTAATATTTCAAGATAAGTTGTACAGCTATTGTTGCAAAATTAACATTATTATTGAATGCCCTATATTGTGCATGTCTTGTGGCTCACAAACCACCCAAACACAACAACCTGGGATGCCCTGACACCTTTCTGCTAGAACTAGCATTAACTTTTCCAGTAGTTTGAGCTCCAGTAGCCTTTCTGTTGGATCAGAACACACAGGTCAGCCCACCTGCCCTCCACATACATCAGTGAGTCTTGGCCACTGTGACCCTGCCTCTAGTTTTCCTTCCTTGATCCACTTTTGATGGGTACTGGCCCCTGCAGACAAGAACAAAACCCAGGAGCTGCAGTTTTTAGATGCTCTGACCCAGTTGTCCTTTGTCTAGGTTGCTCTTACCTTGCACCCATTTTTCCTAATATGCCAACTTCAAAGACAACGTGTTTACTTACCTGTTACTCAATGGTTACCTGTTCGTGATCATAGGGGTATGAGTAATCACTGTGCATTCTTGCCTTGCTGCCACCTTTGCTGTAGAGGACAACATCCCCTCTAGATTCATACATGTTTTAGCATTCATCACATACTCAAAGCTGTAAAACACTGCAGATGTGGTTATATTCTGCAGCTCCCAGTTGAAATTCCTGAAGTTGTCAAGTGTCTTGAGGCTTTTTTCTTTTTGCAATGTGAGACAACTTTTCTTCTTTTTTTTCTTTTTGTTTGTGGAGTGTGACATTTCTAAGCTCACTCTTGAACTGAGGATGAGTCATTGTAAAAGGCTTAAAGTCCTGAGCCAGTAAGCTCTTTTATTAAATTAGACACAAGTATTAAATATGAATGCAAAACAGGATGAGATAAAACTAAATTCAACAAGGAGAAAAATGAATACCCCTGTGACAGATGGGATTAAACACTCAAGGAGTTCTCGTAATCATTTTCAACTGATGAGATTGTGTGTACATATAGAATTGTATTAAATAAATTGAGAACTCACTATTTTAGTAATGCTCAAGTCTTGTGTGCGCTCATTTTTTGCATCTATATTCTACACTGTATATTTGTAAGAATAATGCATGAAGATAAAATGGGTCAAACGTATTCCATAAACATCCCACAAATATAGTCAATTCTAATTAAGCTGTTTCACTGTCTTTCAGTGTTGCTGACGTGGGTGAATTGCCACAGTGTGCGATGGGCCACATGCGTCCAAGATGTCTTCACAGCAGGGAAGCTCTTGGCTCTGGGCCTCATCATCATCATGGGTATAGTCCAAATATGCAAAGGTAATGTTTGCTTTCTCCATCTCATCTGAATAATCACATCATCATCATGACCCTTTCATCTGTCCTGAATTACAATTTGAAAATAACTCAGGCTTAAAAAGACAAAAGCTGTTTTTAGAACAGCAGCGTTTTGGTTACCGGCACGATAAACTGGTGCCATATTTTACTTCTCATGAGATTTAGGATTTCAACATAAGAGAAGGGATTACAGCCTCAGAGCTCGACATCTCTTGATAATCCATGCACACATTTCCCAAAGAAGAGACTTATTCGTTTGCCCTATTTTTTGTGTCATGGAGGATAGAGACTTTTAGAGTCAATAGATTTCCTTCTGACTTTAAATCAATCTGGTGTTGCTTGTGTGGCTGAATCCTGACCAAGCTGGGACTGCATAGGTGCATTAAATTAACTACAGAAATTACCTTAGATCTAAAGATTAGATCTAAAGATTTGTCAAACTTTGTGTGTTACTATATGATTAAAAAAGCTGACCAGCTCACTCTAAAAAGAACAAAAGGAAGTTCTTCCAGACAACACAGATGTCCATATTGATTAAGTGTCAACATTTATTTGACCCATTTTATACACAGTGATAAGAAAGCAGTGCACTGAAAGGTGGAGTAATTATAACAGAGAGCTTTAAAAAACTTAAGAAAACGTTGGTGTGTCTGGTGCCCCCTGCTGCTGAGGCTGTGGAGGAGAAAAACATTTCACATCAAGCTGCACTTCAATACAGTTTAACATGAAATCATTTCTGGTTCACAGGCCACTACTACTGGTTGGAGCCGGTCCACGCCTTTGAGACTTTCAGAGATTACGATGTGGGTCTGATCGCTCTCTCCTTCCTACAAGGCTCCTTTGCTTATGGAGGCTGGAACTTCCTCAACTACGTCACAGAGGAGCTGGTTGATCCGTACAGGTGACACATCACATTTACACACTCTGGATTTTTTTTTTGTGAGGAAATGAGATATTGATGGTACTAAATACATGAAATGCATACGATCTCTATAGTGTTACACACACAATCTGTTAAACTAATGACATTCAGCGTGACAGCCATATAGACTACTGTATCCATGCTAAGGTAACAGTGATGAATGGAGTGCAATATTTGCAGCTATGGGTGGCTGTGATATTCTTCTTTTTTTTTTTTTTCTTAGAATAAAAAAGACCATACTTGAATTTAAGTAAATTACCATTTGCACAGATACAGGATAAAATCAATAGAACTGTAACCCAAAGATTAACAGTCATACACTTAAAAACATTTTTAAAATATATGAGAAGACATCTTATAAAGTGTTTAATGTGAGTTATTGCACATAAGAGATTTTGCACAGCTCTGGTTACATACAATGTTGTTGCACTACTTCTGTTTGATAATTTTGTTGCGCTGTGAGGTACTTAGCATCCAGAAAAGTGTCTAATCAGTTGGCCATTTAATCAGCCTTCATTTGGCATAAATTCATGACAAAGGTTTAAAAAGATACTTTACAAAAATAACAGATGTAGACCACGCTCTTTGTTATATTAATAACACTGAGAAAAGATTCACTCTTATCCTAATCCACCATGAGTAAAGCACTACTCAGCAAGCAACAGTGCCAAGGAAAACTTACAGTAACACAACAGAAACCTTGAGAAGAACCAGCCTCATGTTAAGCAGCCATCTGCCGAGATGGTGTTGGGATTTTAAAGCGAGATAAGAGAGATTCAGAGGAGAGAGGTGGATAAAGACACATAGCAGCAATGACACAAGCGGCTCATACAAAGTTATGATGACAAATATGAGAATATTAAAAATATGTTTACAATTTCAGGAGCAGCAAAGCAATGATTTTAGACTCATTTTAGTGCCGAATGTTAAAGTGAAAAAAGGAGACACCATAGACAATAGAAAAAAATCATAAATGATCATTTTGAATTGAAGTCACGGGAGTACAGGGGAAGCTACAGTGGTCCAAAAGTGGACTCCTGAGGGATGCCCTTTTGTGCCTTTATTCACTTTTTTTTTTACTGCTGCTGAGTATCTATCTAATACTGTTGATTTGAAGGTTTGCAGTGATTTATTTTCCATGAGAAAATGCACAAAAATGAACTGCAATATTTTCTTTCATCCCCACAGAAATTTACCTCGTGCAATCTTCATCTCAATCCCTGTGGTCACCTTTGTATATGTGTTTGCCAACGTAGCCTACGTCACCGCCATGAGCCCGCAGGAGCTGCTGGCCTCCAATGCTGTGGCAGTGGTGAGAAAACAAACTCTCATAGTTCAAATTATAACATGATTGTGTGCTGTGATGCTTTCAAAAAAATGCATGCACTCAAAAAAAGTCTGTAATCACATGTAGATGGAGTTGTGCTACACCAGCCTTTTAGGTGGACCACGATTTTAGATCAGACGCATGCTTACTCTGTCGCCCTTTACACCCATTTAGAAATCCTCTGTTTAGTTGTTAATACTCAAATGTACTTGTTTTCTCCGCCTCTCTCTCTGCTCCTAATATTTCTCTCAGACTTTTGGAGAGAAATTGCTAGGAGTAATGTCATGGATCATGCCCATCTCTGTGGCGCTCTCCACCTTTGGGGGGGTCAATGGCTCCCTCTTCACGTCATCGCGGTCAGTTTGTCTCCCACGTCTTCACCCTCTCTGCCCCCTCCTTCTTTCCACTCAGGCCTACAAGGCAGTTGTGCTTGTCTTTTCTTTGGTGAAGTGTTGTATTAGACCGGTTATCTTTGACTTACCTCGGACTTAAATGGAGAAGCTAGATGAGCAAAGTGAAAATGTGAAGCTTGGCAGAGTTATGGAGCTTCAAACTGGATGTCAGATTGAGAGGGCATGTTGACATTGTTGTTCTCTAGAAGGTTATTTTACCCTTCTTAGATATGCCTGTGAATGAATAACATATCTCAAAAGGCTTTGGTAGATTTTTCACTGTGCAAATACTGCTTCTCCAGGCTTTTCTCTTTACCTGTGCTTTCATAGTCACCTGACCTATGTGTGTTTCCTGAGCTCTTCTTTCAGCTTGCAGGTGCACAGGGTGAACAGGCACCAGATGGCTCTGCTCTCATGACTGAACCTGTCTCTTGCTCTGTGTCTCAGGCTGTTTTTTGCTGGAGCAAGGGAAGGCCATCTCCCACGCCTGCTGGCCATGATACATGTTGAGCGCTGCACACCCATACCAGCATTACTGTTTACTGTGAGTCCAAACAAAACCACTCTCTTTTTTTGGAGCATCCATCTTTATCTCATACAGAAATAAAAACTCTTCCCTCTCATCACTGTGTTTAGTTAATCTCCACTCTGCTGATGTTGTGCACCAGTGACATTTACACCCTCATAAACTATGTGGGTTTCATCAACTACCTCTTCTACGGCGTCACTGTTGCCGGGCAGATTGTGCTGCGTATCAAAGAGCCAAACATGCACCGACCCATCAAGGTGAATAAACCCAATATTTTAACATCAACTTTTAAAACCCAACATGCCGTTATGACAACTTCATTGTCTATCCCCTCATCCTCCAGGTGAGCCTGGTGTGGCCAGTGATCTACCTGCTGTTCTGGGCCTTCCTGCTCATCTTCTCTCTATACTCTGAGCCTGTCGTCTGCGGTATTGGTCTGGCCATCATGATGACAGGTGTGCCTGTGTTTTTCCTTGGAGTCTACTGGGAAAACAAGCCAAAGTGTTTTGACAACGCTGTCGGTGAGACAGCACACTTATTTTTTGAAATTATTTTTACCATAGGTATAAAGTAAGCTGATGTTGAGTTTTACTACATTTAGAGAACATTGGTTGATTTTGTAATTTTGTCTTTTTGACTAACATAAAAACCAAAGAACCAAAGATGCTGCCATTGAAGTTGTTTGAATTAAAATTATAATGTTGAATTCATGGAGCAACTGTTGATTGACAATGGACAGGGAGTTATTGTTGAAGGTGAAAAAAAAGTTTCTTTGACTTACTTTGGTCAGTGAAAAAAGGAGCCGCAGTGATCAGACGGATAGAAAGTGGGAACAGCTTGTACGTAAAAAAGAACAGCACAACCAATCCTCCCTTTGCCATTGTTTTATGGTTGGATTCCAGTACTAGATGGATGGATGGATGGATGGATGGATGGATGGACGGACGGACGGACGGACGGACGGACGGACAGATAGATACGATAGATATGATAGATAGATAGATAGATACGATAGATAGGTAGATACGATAGATAGATGGATGGATGGATGGATGGATGGATGGATGGATAGATAGATAGATAGATAGATAGATGGATAGATACTTAATTAATCCCAGAGGGAAATTCAAAAGGATGGAGTCATTCCATGCCACTCATTATATAATTACTCACATATACGTATATGATTAATAAGGGATGTATTTATTGAAATAAAAGCCACAAAGTGACTTCTGACATGAAGGTTAATAATGTGTTTACATTTAGATCTAACACAAGATCATTTCCATCCCTATCTGTGTCCAGGGAAAATGACCCATCTGTGCCAAAAGCTCTGCTCAGTGGTCTACCCCGTCATGGACGAGGACCAGACGCCTGCTGCTTCTCCAAAAACAGACGGAGATGGTGGAGATGAAAAACTCTCAGACAGCTGATTGAACATTTGCATAAAGACAAAGACATTTAATCAGTCAGTGCTGATGGGGAGAAAAGACACTTGCTGAAACACTCACCCTCTCCAGCAAGGTGTTTAAAATGAAATAACACTAAACACTGAAATGATGGACCACAGTCTTGGTTACTTTCATGTTACTGTTAAAACTTTTTTTTTTCACAAGCTGTTATTGCACTGTTTGTTGTATGTGAGTCTGCTGTGGGAAAATGGTTTTAATATGCATATTGTTTGTATTGTTCAAGCTGAATGTACTTAAGATATTACCTCACTAATAACACTAAAATGTTTTCTTTTCCAAATGGTTTCTTTTTTTCCACTTTCACTTCACTCGCATCTTTACTGTGCATAATTGTATCAATAGCAGGTGGGGAGACTTTGTTCTTTAGAGGAAAGATTTGTAGTCATAGAGGGTTGAATACTTTCACATTTAATCCTAGAAGCTTTTTTTCCTTGAACATTGCTGCTTTGTATACAAAGCCTAGTTGTTTTTCCTCAAAATGAAAAAAAAATCTGCTGGGAGATTCAGCTGTTTCTGGATGTAAACTGAGGGCTAACTGAGGGCATGGAAAATTGAGTACTTAAATGACCTCATGGTACATCTATGTTTTTACATCTATGAAGGATGATAAAACTGGTGGTTCACTGTATGTCACGGGATAATTTCGCAATAACGCAATTCAGCTTTTCCTGTCACTCTCCGTGTTCAATACTGCTGTTCAGGAAATGCAGCACAAGTGTGGGTATTGTGCTGCCTGCTGCACCTCGTCATCAATGTTTTATCCACCTGCTGAACACCTGACGTACAAGGGGTGGAGTCCACGCACATTGAACGATAACATTACGGAAGTCATGGACAGCTACAGCAAGGCAAGGTGGGTCAGTATTTCAACGTCCTCAAAATACCGCAGGAAAGTGAACAAACGTGCTTTCAGGTTAAAAGACCTGAAGTTGCATTAATTTTAAATCATAAAAAAATATCACAATATACTCAAAGGTAGCCCCTTTTCTATGGTCTGAAATTAGTTCTAAAATGTCTACTAATTGCAAAAAGGTGTATGATCAATGTTTGAAATTTGTGCTTAGAATGTAGGACCGGTATACCTTAATTTAAATGTGTTTATTGGTGAAGCGATAGGCATCAAATGAATAAAATATGCGAGTATTTCCTTCCCAAACAACAGCTAAATCGGGTACAAGATGTTGCAACATGGAAGCACTAATTGTATATTATATCTAACTTCTGTGTAAGCTTCAGTTTGTGTAGTTGGTATTGATGTTGCTAAAATGTGGGGAATGAAATGAAACTTATAACAACTGAATGTGCTTATTTTTGATACAGTGATACAGTAACAGCTATAGGCCTACAAACAATGTACTAAAACTAAGTCATAACCACACCTATCTTAATGGATGAATCTAGTGCCAACTACTAAAACCTGTACTTCCTTCAGTATCTACTTGGGGCTGGCTGCAAAAGCCCCAGAGGCCATGTGCCCACCCATTCCTAAGTGCCCATCTATGTAGCAAAAATAAACATGTTTACAGCCTGGATTAAAAAAGAAAAAAAAAACAGACTGAGTCTTAATAGTCCATTTCTCTATCTTTAAACTTAAATTCTTTGCTCCAATAACCAACAGCGGATGCCAGTACATCCATCTCAGGACTGGAGGTTATCACTTTGCTTGCCACCAGAAAGAAATGCAGCCCAAATGATGGTGTTGATTACAACCCAGCGTTTGGTAAACTATGAAGGCCGATTAACACATCGTGTTCCTAAGAAGAAACCTGATATTGTCCATTTTACCCGATTCGTTTTATTTTGAAAGTCTAAACCGGATGTGGCACGAGTATTTCCATTGAACTTGATGCTATATGGATCTATAGTCTTTGGGTTTCCAGCCAACTGTCTGCTGCCGAGTATCGGAGGGGGTTCGGCTGAACCGGTCTACTTTGGAAATACCGGGGACTCTCAGTACAGCGTAGAGGTATGATAATATTGTATATCTTTAATCGTTGACAGAAACAGACTGTGATGCTAACAGAGCTAGCTCTTTAGCTCGACAGTCTCTCTCTCTCTCTCTGTGAGCTGGACTGACAGCATCTGAAGGTTAGCTCTGAAGGCTCAGTGTGCTAGCCCCTGACTCATTTTACTGACCTGTACTATTGACTCTTGAGGAGGGTCGGACGAACCTGTCTGTTAACTCGTTGACGGACACGGAGTTGAACTAAGTTTGGTATTATAGACGCAGATATTTGACAGTAAGTTTCTGTCAATGCAGACCAAAATGTGTCAAACACAGCAGCAGTCTGTTATTAAAAACAGAGGTCAGTTTACAGCTATGGTGGGTATATTCAATTGTTTCAAGTCTTTTCTAAGTATGTGAACATTAATTATACTTTTTTGTATCAGCACATTTGTTAATATTGTATTTAAGAAAATAATGCAGTGAAATACAACTGTACCACAAATTCCAGCCTGCTTTCAGCTTTGACATTTTCAATTTAAGTGCTCATAATGTTGTGGCAGATGAGTCCAGGTGTATATGCACTGAATAGTTTTGCAGGAATGCCTGTATGAGTCCTGAAAAACCTGACAAATATGTCAGCCCTCTACCTTTATTCCCAGCTGGAAAAAAAAACTCAATTTATGCTCTAAAATCTGCATACACACATACTGTTTATACTTTAAAATAGGGCTGGATGATATGGCCTCAAATCAATATCAAAATATATTGAGCAGTTCACCTCGATAACGATAAATGGACGATAACTACTCTACAAGCTGTTCACCCCCTCCCACATTAACTTCATCTACTTCAGCCGCTCCAGCCACTCCAACTTTTAAAAACGTCCTCCATCTCCTCACCTGTCTGTCCCTCTTTGTTATGGACTGGATGGGGTGGAGTCACATCTCCGACATAGGACAGCATCTAAAAGGGACATGAGAACATAGCCTACCAACACACACGCCCAAAATCAACTTTTATTTATTTATTTTGACACCAAATTTACCTATATGGGTAAAATGACATTGTTTATTGTCATAAATTTAGGTATCAGTAAATTTTCGGTTTATTGCCCAGCCCTACTTTGAAATGCATTACACCAGGAAGTATTCAAGATAAGATAAGATAAGATAAGAAGAACTTATTAATCCCAGAAGGGAAATTCAATTGTCTGTCGTCTCATTTGTCATGTCTCTAAAAGTTATCTACTATTTCCAGAAGAGTTGTAAAGTCTGACGGCTGTTGGTACAAAAGATCTTCTGATTCTTTCTGTCCTGCAGCGAAGAGAGAGGAGCCGTCCACCACTACTGGCCCTCTGGTTCATTAAGGTGTTATGAAGTGTAAATACAGACCAGGCATGCTTATACCTTTACTGTCATCATCATTTTAAGTTTTATCACTGAAGATCATCATGGAAATGATAAGGAGGTAACTTTTTACAGAAGCACAGAAGCCTTAGGCAGACATTCAGCCACTTATTTTACTCCCACTTATTTAACTTATCTCATAATGTCGACTGATCGATCATACCCCAAATGTCCAAGTAGGCTTAGCTTACCTTATTGGTGTTGGCAATGGCATGGCGTGTCCTGGTCTGGCCCATCACAGTGACCAGCCAGTTGTTATGTGTTTTAGAAAGCCAGAAAAATGTTCTGCTGCCACAAGAAAATAACCCTCATTAGCTAAGAGCAATTAAGTCTTCCTAACAGAGAAAGAAACAACTTTGATCATTTAAGATGATGATATAAATAAATCCTTAATTAAGAATGGTGTTAAATTTTGGGCTGAGCCTCTTATCAAGATGGGGGTTATGCCCTTTCCGGGGAAATAAAGGATATTGGTCAGTGCATTTACATTTTTCTATCAAAAAAAAAAAAAAACTCACAATGGTAATGCACCAGCTGGAGGGTCTGTATCAAAACCAGCCCAGTACAGCTGAAAAGGTGCTGTCCAAACTGCCAAAGAAGAAAGGAAGTGAGAAGATTTACACAGAGAGTCTTGTCATTGTACTAAGCATTGTCTAAACATCAAGATATAATACCCAATCTTGGATGCAAGCTTAGCCTGTGGAGAGATTGGTCACGAGAGGTCGTTGTCACTATTTGTCTGAGTTAACAGAGACTCCAGACTTCAGTTCATTTCATACACTCATGGACGTCTTAGTTACTCAGAGTGCAACTTGATCAAAGTGTCCATATTTTTTCAGTTCCACTCTTACATCCAGATTTTGCTCTCTTGGTTCCCTTTGTTTTCTGCTTGATGACATTTGACTTTAATGCGTATGTTTATTGATTGTTACTTTACCACAGAGTGCCGTCATGTATTCATTACAGCACGTTTGCGTCTTTTTTTTGTTTGTTTTTTTTTAAACCCTGACATGCTAGTGTGTTGATAATAGAAGAATCAAAACATTTTGCTACTTTGATATAGACACTTGCCCTTAACACAGTCTTGCTTTGTAGAAAGTCTTGGTGCCTTTGCAGTGAAATCAAATAAAGGATCAGGTTTATATCAGAGGATTTACAGTAAATCAAGATCTCAAGAATTATCCTGGAAGATTGAGTAAATTGAGCCCCTCCCTCATGATCGTATTTGATTTATGTCCAGTGATCTGTAGCAGCTTTCTGTCAGTTCGCTGAACAGATTTGTCTTTACATGTGGAGGCTTTAAAGATGTAGGCAAGCACAGTTTAATTCTTCTCATTTAATGATTTTGATCTTGACTAATGTTCTATTTTACCATCACATACCAACACACATATCAATACACACACACACACACACACACACACACACACACACACACAGCCATGTCTCCATCAGTCCCCCTGCAGGAGATGATCCGGGCCATCAGATCAGCCAGGACACAGTGTGAGGAGCGGGGTGTCATCCAGAGAGAGTGTGCAGCCATCCGGGCTCAGTTTAGACAATCAGACAACGGAGGACGGTCGCACAACCTGGCCAAGCTGCTTTATGTGCACATGCTGGGCTACCCCGCTCACTTTGGTCAGGTGAGAGGATTTTGCTAATGCCTATCATGGGTTTGCTTGTGTTAAGAGTCCTTTGTCATTTCAATAGTGGGAACTGTGGTTGATTTCCTCAGGCTAAATCTGCAACATTGCTAACTCATGTCTAAAAATGGGCCACTGAATCCCCTCCAGCTCCTGTTCTGCTGTACAAGACCCATGCCTGACCTCCTCTCTGAGCTGCAAAGAGGGAGGAACTTTTAAGTGACTTCACATTAAAGGAGTTTTTCTTCTTCTTATTAGATGGAGTGTGTTCGGATGATAGCCAGCCCTCGCTACAGTGAGAAGCGAGTGGGGTATCTGGGAGCCATGATGCTGCTTGATGAGAAGCAGGACGCCAGTTTACTCATCACTAACTCCATCAAAAAGTAAGGACTGTCCTTTTGATTTCTTTGCAATCTGCATGAGTAAAATCTGGAATGCATTATCACTGAGTTTGAACAAATGACAAGGAACACATAGTAGTGTGTGTGTGGGAGCATGATACAAACTTTACACATGCATTGTGGTAATTTTATATCAGGGAGTAACATAACAGACAGGGTGGTCTGGACTTCACCATGCTTCCATTTAAAAAAAAAAGTTTTATTCTAGACAATACAACAACAAAGAAAGGCAGACACAGGCATACCCAAAAATATACAAAAAATAATACACAATTTACAGACAAAAAACACTAAAATGACAAAACATCTTTACAAGTAAAGTAAGTACCACGCAAGACAAAGCCACTTAAAAATTTCAACACCGTGGAAAGGATAGAAATAAGTTGGCTTCCTGTTGTAGCTATTAAGGGGTCAAGGTTTAAGGGGAAAAAAAACAAAAAACAGACAAGACAAACCAAAGACAAACCAAAGTAAACAAAGGCCTTCCATCACCACAATTTATATTAATACCAGCCTTCACCCTGACTCAAAGTTTCCCATCCACATTCAAGAGTTACACATTGTTCTTTGTTTCTTTTGATATATTTTTCAATAGTTCGTGGAGATTTCAAAATCATTTTGAAGTGGTCAGTAGTTAATCGTTGTTTTTTTTTTTTTGTAGTTTTAAATAGAAAAGCTTTTCCAATCATAGTAATGATGTTATTCAAGTCTTTTCCTTCTATTTCGTCCCTTAAATTGCCAAACATAATAACTAAAGGGCAGCTATAAAAGCTAGGGCTATAAACAGAAATTCATTGACCTACAGTAAACCCAAAAAGAGCAATTTCCTTACAATACCAAAATCTGACTCCTGTTCCTCTTCACAAAATTTGCACAAGTCACAATGTTGAATACCCCATTTTTTAAATCTTTTTAATCTACATGGGAAAATCTACATGAATAAAATCTTGAATGCATTATCACTGAGTTTGAATAAATGACAAGGAGCACATTGACATGTGTGTGGGAGCATTATACAACCTTCATAAATGCATTGTGGTTTTTTTTTATCAGGGAGTAAAATAACAGACAGGGTGGTCTGTGTCTGGTTGACCTCTTCACCATGCCTCAATTTTTCCATAAAATGCATTTCACAACATTAGTGGAGAACATTATAATCACGTGTCTGACAATATTTAACTGTCATAACTGACACTAAGCGGTCTGTCACAGAGTAAGAGTGAAACAAACAAAAAAAGAAGGCAGACACTAAACAGTCAATATCAACAACAAGGCTGATACTGTCAGATGATTTCAGTGAAACTCTGTTCATTTTCACTGTAATAGAAACAGATATCTCCTGTCCTGTGTGTGTTTTTCAGTGACCTCTCCCACAGTAACCAGTATGTCCAGTCCCTGGCTCTGTGCACTCTGGCCTGTATGGGTTCAGCTGAGATGTGCAGAGATCTGGCGCCAGAGATTGACCGGCTGCTCCGAGCCTCCAACTCCTACATAAAGAAGAAGGTGGGAACTGACGCAGGGATAATGTTTTTTTACTCTCTCTTTGATTTCCTCTTTGACCTCTGCATCCACTATGAATTATTTCTACAAACTTGTGTATAGACCTGTGGTTTATACTCTACTTAACCTTATCGATTCCTCTTACAAAGTTATTAATGGATCTTTCCACGCGTTTAAGATATCGAGTTTCTCTCTGAGCAACACACAAACATTAAGGTTACCTATTTGTTCATTCACTTCAATTCATGATATCCTTCTCTGGACTGGTGTTTGTAATGATCATCATCCTTTTGAAGTTAATTTATACATTTGTTCATTCAGATCCAACAATCTCAGTGGGAGGTAATCCGGCTTTCTAGCCTGAGTGTTGACTGTTTAAATAATCCTTGTGTACACATTTCAATCCTCTGTCAGCACTAACGCTCGCTGGGTTCATCTGTAACCTGCTCTGGTTTTGTATTGGTGGTGTTTATTGTTTTGCTGTTCCTCCAGGCTGCTCTGTGTGCTGTTCACATAGTGAGAAAAGTCAACGATCTGGGGGAGCTCTTCGCCCCCGCAGCTCGCGCCCTCCTCTCTGAGAAAAACCACGGTCAGCTGATCCGCCTTTATCACAAGCCAGAGATACCAGTTCATTCATGTCACTCCCTTGATTCACAAACACCCATGATCCCTCATGGATTTGTCTCTGTTTACCTGTAGGTGTGTTACATGGTGCTGTGGTGCTCATCACTGAGCTGTGTGAGAGGAATCCAGAGACCCTGGAGCGCTTCAGGAAGGTACAAAGGGGGTCAACATAAACTCTTTGCCTGCTTTGATGAAGTGAGTTTCCTGCTCTCTGTTGTTTCTGTTGTAATGTGTTTTTGTCTTGTGTATCTCAGACAGTCCCAGACCTGGTCCAGATCATGAAGGGTTTGGTCATTTCGGGTTATTCACCAGAGCACGACGTGGCAGGAATCAGTGATCCCTTTTTACAGGTCAGTCTGTACTTTGAAGTTGTTTATCAAGGTAAAAAAAAAAAAAAGAGAGAGAGTTTTCAGACCCACTAAGATGACAGGATGGCAGTTACTTCTTGTTTGGCAGTTGGCTGGTGTGAACATTAGTGAATATCCCAAACTGGTCCCTCCTTAGCCTGCTTTAAAAGGTGAACATATAGATAACGACACAGCACTCTGCTAGCCTTTCATGTTAGTCAAAGTTAAACTAGCATTGTTCATTGCTTATCCGTCCATCCATTTACTTTCACTTATCCGGGTCGGGTCAGGGGGGTAGCAGTGTAAGCAAGTTGACCCAAATATCTACCTCTACTCAGCAACACTTTCCAGCTCCTCCTCAAGGATTTCAAGGCCTTTCCAGGCCAATTGGGAAATGTAATCCCTTCAGTGAGCTCTTGGTCTGCCTCAGGGTCTCCTCCTAGTTAGATGCTCCTCTAGTGGGAGGCGTTCAGGAGGCATCCTTATCTGGTGTCTGAAACACCTGAACTGACCCCTTTCACCTGAAGATGTCTGAGTTTCTAATCCTGTCTCTAAGGCTGAGACCAGCAATCCTTATTTCAAGGTGGGCTCATTTCAGCCGCTTGTATCTGCGATCTTACTCTTTTGGTCTTTACTCAAAGCTCATGGCAATAAGTGAGAGTCAAGCGGTAAATCTGAAGCTTTGAAGAGAGCTCAGTTCTCTCTTCATCACAAAGGACTGGCCCTACGCTCAGAATACTGCTGATGCTGCAACAATAGGCCTGCCAAACTCACATTTTCCAACAGAGAACCACGGCCTTAGATTTAGAAGTGCTGACTCTTATCCTAGCCACTTCACACTTTGCTGTAAACCGCCCCAATGCCTGCTGGAGGTCACAGCCAGAAGATGCCAGCAGAACCACATCATCTGCAAAGAGCAGAGATGGAATGCTGAGTTCCCCCCTCCAGGCTTTGTTTTGAGATCCTGTTCATGAAAGTCACAAACAGAATCAGGGACAAGGTACAACCCTGGTCAAGGCCAACCGAACTAAGGCCATGTCTGACTTTGTGCAGAATATATGGTACAGTTCACTATTATTGATTAAAGAGCCATTACAATACAGCACTGACTCTAAAGTAACAGCAAAGACATCTTTTTCTCACTTTATTTTTTTCTATAGTGGTGGACAAAAGTATTGGCATCCCTGGAATTTTTCCAAAAGATATTTCTCAAAGAAATTGATGCAATTACAAATATTTTAGTATACATGTTTATTTCCTTTACGTGCACCAGAATAACACAAAAAAGGAGAAAAACAAAGATGACTAAATTTGACACAAAACTCACCATTTTAAAGCTGTGGGTAAATCATTTTATTCCAAGTATATGATGCTCATTTAAACTCACCTGTGGCAAGTAACAGGTGCTGGCAATATAGAAATCACACCTGAAGCCAGTTAAAATGTATTAAAGTTGACTCAACCTTTGTGTTGTGTGCCTGACGAGAATCATCTGACGATGTAAGAAGCAAAATTGTTAAAAAAATATGAACAATCTGAAGGTTACAAGAACATCTCCAGAGATCTTGAAATTCCATAGTTTATTGTGTGTAATATGATCAAGAAGTTTAGAACCCCTGGAGCTGTGCCAACAATTTATGTCAATTTTGGCTTTTTCTTCTGCTTTTTTCTGTTGTTCTAAATAAAAGAAAATGAAATGTGTATACCAAAAACTTTTGGGAAATATGGTGTATTTTCTGGAAAAATATCAGGGCTGCCAATAGTTTTGTTTATGACTGTGGATGTCTCAGCAGACAATAGACTTCCTGTTCCACTTTGAACAGGAGTGGGCGAGTCTTAAATTCAATAGGTTACTATTTCTGTGTTTATATTTGACTTTTCCCGGTTTCTTTTTCCACAAATATCCCCCATATTGAATTTCCCCTGAAGGACCAATAAAGTTCTTCTTATCTTATGTTCTTTTCCTTCCTATATTGCTGGCCCTGTGTGCTTAAACAAATTGTTCTCCATCTGTTCACTGTCTGTGTCCCCTCCATCCTCAGGTCCGCATCTTAAGGTTGCTTAGGATTCTGGGTCGTAACAATGAAGCAGCCAGTGATGCCATGAATGATCTACTAGCTCAGGTATGACACACATTTTTCCCAAACTAATCAAAGCAGTTCAACTGCTTGTTGCATGTTTGTTACTTCTTGGCCTTTTAAGTCCAAATCAAAGACTGTTAATGATAATTTGCCTCATTACCACTGGTTGCTACAAGAGGTCTGATTGCATCTTGTAGCACATGGTCTGTTTTATAAAATGCTACCACAGCCTATCAACTCAGACATGACATTCTGTATCAACCCTGTTGTACAAATTTCTGTTGTCCTGCAAAGAAGCAAAAGCCTACATATCCCAAACTCAGTCATCTATCTGTAATAATTGTTACTAATTGGTGAATGTATTTCTTTATCTGACTACTGCTCTGACTTGTTGTACAGGTGGCTACCAACACTGACAGCACAAAGACTGTTGGCAACGCTGTGCTCTATGAAACAGTCCTCACGGTATTAGACATCAAGTCAGAGAGCGGCCTCAGGGTGAGACACAGTAATATGTCCTTCTTATACTTTTTATAAATCATAAGCAAATAAGCCTTCACTAAAAACACATGATTAAGTCTGAATTTATAAGAAGAAAAATTTAAAAAGAAAAAAAAATTTAAGAAAAAGATGTAAATACAAACTCTGCTTTCTTATCCAGCATGAGAGCTTTTACCTCGTTCACCTGAAGCTTGGTGTTGTCTATGTTTTCACACTGTTTTCAGTTAGATGACATTCAAACAAGCTGTCAGCCACTCCCAAATTAACTGGTGCCAATTAAAAGGTTTAAAGAAAGTGCTAAGGCATTTATTTTGGATGCAGGAGGAACTTGTTCAAACACTGATGCAAATAGACAAAAACTGTGAGTTGAAGTCAATATGCAACTTTAAAGCCTCTGTGAAGAGTTCTTTTACGTTCATAAAAAAACTCAATTCATATTGATGCATTTTTATGATGTACAAATAGGGGTGTCCCAATACAACTTTTTTACCTCCGATACGATGCAGATATTGTAGCCTTCAGTATCGGTCGATACTGACATTGATCCGATATTAGCATCAACCTGTGCGTGACAAGTTTTTCACTCAGCTGCAACGTCTTTTTTGGACTGTAATGCAAAATACTACCACAGGGCCGACATCACTACTTCTCCTTGCTACTTTGTTAGTACCTTCGTGCACACTTGTCGTGATTACAGTAGAAACACGAAAGAAAGAGCCTTATTTATGACATTCGACACCTGAAATATTCTCAATGAATGTTACATTTCACTGTCAGAGATCAGTAAGATGAGATACTTTGTCATCTGGTCATTACTGAAGCATTTTAGGACAAGATACAAACAGACTACTTTGTCCACAGGGGGCACCACAGTCAACACAAACAAAAAGTTCTCACAGCACCTTTAATATTTGGCTGTTTGTTTTACTTAATACTGTTTGGCAATATTGAGATACGTGCTCGGTCATTGCCTGTTTTTATTTTTTTGTGCAGGCCTAATTTACATTTGATGTCTCACATAAATTTGATGCCGTTGTGTTTTTTGTCCTGTTATTTTAAGACAGGCGAAGTATAACTTCATTGATCCCTAAAGGGAAATTCATGTTGCAATCGGCCCTTTAAAAAATCCTTTGTGATTGAATATATTTTGATTTGATCTTAATTTTAAACAGATGCTTGTCTTGTCCTGTGCAACAGGTTCTGGCTGTGAATATCCTGGGAAGATTTCTCCTTAACAACGACAGAAACATTCGGTTGGTTTCTTTTAATCTTCATCCCCCCCCTCTTATGTCAGTGTTTCTCTTCCCGTCACTCACTCCTATCCTCCCTCTTTCCTCCCCCTCCTCTGTTATCTCCCCGGGTTATTTTACCTTTTCCGTTCCACAAGGCCAACAGGCAGCTCACTGCTGCTTGAGAGAGAAACTTCCTCACATGCTGTTATCAGTCTGAGCTCACTAATCACTTTCACTGGAGTCAAACCAGCAGACTTATAGTCTCTGTCAGACTTATTATGATCTCTCCATTTTGGGCAGGTCATTTCTCCTCAGACAGTGTGGAGACCTACAGCAGGCTCCTTTATGGAGGTTGTTTTGTTAGTATTTTTTAAGTTTGTCTCCATAGGGGTTTTGTGGTCAGGCAGGCCTGTCTGGTTCTACCTGCAGACTGCTGAATGTCTCTGTGGATCGGTGACTGGAACAGGACTGGTTTATTCCTCTGAGCCCTGCACGGCTGGATAGCATTTCCCTCTTACTCCCATAAATACTTAATGAGTTCATGAGACATTTCAAAGTGGAAAGATGAATAATTTATCATGGCAGGTCAAGAAAGTTCTGTTTGTACAGAGCTTGTCAGTATTAATCTGATGGTTACAAATTAGTTATATCAATGACTTATTTTCTCATTTTTATGGTTGCAGATACAAACTGGCATCTTTGATTTTGTCTGCTCTGTTTGCATGTCCAGGTACATCGCCATGATCTCTCTACAGAAGATTGTTGGCACAGACCATAACGCAGTGCAGCGCCACAGGGGGACCATCGTGGACTGCCTGAAGGACCAGGATGCTTCTGTCAAACGGTAACTTTCCCCTCCATATCACTTGACGTGGTCAACTATTCAACGCATCGTTGTAAAGTTATCTGTGAATATTGAGTGGTTATTTTGCTTGAGATGCCCATCACTAATCAGTGTAAACCTTATGCTATTTTAAAGCACCTTAGCTCGTAAATGTAAGCATTTACAAGCTAAGGTTGGATATAAACTTGTACCTGAGGGCACGTGTTGGTCTGTGTAGTTCTGAGGAGAAGGGTTGTGTATTTTGTTGGTCAAGGAGTGTCTTCCTGCTCCCTGTAGATATCTGAATGAGGATAGATCAAAAAGATTAAACTTGAAACGCTGACATGCGGAAAATGTCTGTCAGAACTGTGTCTGCTTAGTTCAGAACATACAGTAACACTTAATATGAGGTCCTTGTAGGGCTGGGCAATATGGCCTCAAATCAATATCAAGATGTATTGAGCAGTTCACCTCAACAACGATAAATGGATGATAACTACTCCACAAGCTGCTCACCCCCTCACACATTAACTTTGTCTACTTCAGCCGCCGCTCCAGCTGCTACAAGTTTTGAACCGTCCTCCATCTCCTCACCTGTCTTTCTCTCTTTGTTACGGACTGGATGGGGTGGAGTCACGTCTCTGACATAGGATAGTGTCTTAAAGGGACATCAGACCATAGCCTACCTACTCACATCCAAAACCTACTTTCATTTATTTATTTATGTATTTATTTATTTGACACCGAATATATTGACATGGACAAAATTACTTAAGTTGTCGTCGGTTATTGTTGTAAATTTCAGTATCTGTAAATTTTTGGTGTATCGCCCAGCCCTAGGTCCTTGTAATAAGCATTTATTAATAATCACTTTTAAGATCTTATTGCATGATGAGTTTTAAATTAGATGAATGAAAGACAGACAAAACATGGCCACAGTAACTGCAGGGTCACAAGGTACAATCTGTGTGTACATACACTATTGAAGTGTATAACGATCAACACTCATTACTCCTTCTAGCCGTGCATTGGATCTGTCCCTGGCACTGGTGTCAGCCTCCAACATCCGCTCCATGATGAAGGAGCTGCTCATCTTCCTCTCCTCCTGCCCACCTGAGCTCAGGGCTCAGGCTGCCAGCGGCATATTTAATGCTGCAGAGAGGTGAGGGACTGACTGCACACACATGTATGCTCATATACAGGACTGTATCACACACACAAACACACACTTATATACTTTGGTCTGCCTGCAGAGACAGTTAATGTGCGCTGTTGTCTCCGGCTGGGTTGAGTTAATGTAGGCATTAATGTGAAGCAGCTGTTCAGGCTGTAACAAATGGATTCTGTGCTTAAAGTGCACTGTTTGTGTCTTCACGTCTCACTCTGTGTCTGTCTCCTCTCTCAGTGACGCCCCTGTCTCCTTTAGTAATGATGAACAGCTCTCTCTGTTTATCTTTTGTTTCACTCCTGCCTCTTAGTGTGTTCTTGTTTTCTGTGTGTGTATATGTATTGACAGATGTGTATGTATGTGAGACTGCCCCTGAAGCTCCACTGAGTGTGTGTGTCTCTGTCTTTGTCAGGTATGCGCCCTCCCAGCGCTGGCACATTGACACCATCCTGCATGTCCTCACCACGGTAAATACAGACTGAGCCACTCACTCTGATGCACTCTGCTACAAACCCTGTTTACACCTGTGTCAACATGTGTCCTTATCGACCCGATCACAAACGGACAGTCTTGACTGCATCGATTCACTAGAATGTGCCCCTAGATGTGTTTCCTATCACCACTTACAAGAAGATTTATGGAGTTATTGATTAATTTAACCAGAAAAGCCTCGAGATTAAAAATGTTTTTTACTGGCCAAGACTTGGAGAAGTACCTTCCAAAAAGTTAAAGACAAACAAAACACAGAACTATTCTGAAAACATTTCCTTAATCATACAACAGAATGTCATTATTCCAAGCATCTACAGCCTGATGCATCGTCCTCAAACACCTTCGATCTCGGGTCAAAAACATTCAGAGGGACCAGCTCACTCAGACCCAAGTTCTCTTACTAGAGTTTCCAAAGTGCAGAAGCAGCATTTCTAAAAGTCTGGTCACTCATTTTAAGATACATTCTGGGGACAGAAGGCAAACAAAAAGGCATGTGACTTTTTCAAGTTAATGAGGTTAGAACTACGTATATAAGGGGAGTACGCCCTGCAAGTAAGAACATGCCAGTGGTTTTGCCTATATGTAGACAAAGAGAGCCAGCCAACTCAAGCATACAGAGTCTTAAGAACCAAAGATGAACTCAGCGCTCCTGAGAGTGAAGGTTTTGTAATGATGCATGCATATAAAACATCACCATAGTCAATCAGGAGCTGTATCAACAACAGCATGTTTTACTTTTTCTTTGCAGCAAAAGAACAAAGTAACTTACACTCACCGGCCACTTTATTAGGTACACCATGCTAGTAACGGGTTGGACCCCCTTTTGCCTTCAGAACTGCCTCAATTCTTCGTGGCATAGATTCAACAAGGTGCTGGAAGCATTCCTCAGAGAGCTTGGTCCATATTGACATGATGGCATCACACAGTTGCCGCAGATTTGTCGGCTGCACATCCATGATGCGAATCTCCCGTTCCACCACATCCCAAAGATGCTCTATTGGATTGAGATCTGGTGACTGTGGAGGCCATTTGAGTACAGTGAACTCATTGTCATGTTCAAGAAACCAGTCTGAGATGATTCCAGCTTTATGACATGGCGCATTATCCTGCTGAAAGTAGCCATCAGAAGTTGGGTACATTGTGGTCATAAAGGGATGGACATGGTCAGCAACAATACTCAGGTAGGCTGTGGCGTTGCAACGATGCTCAATTGGTACCAAGGGGCCCAAAGAGTGCCAAGAAAATATTCCCCACACCATGACACCACCACCACCAGCCTGAACCGTTGATACAAGGCAGGATGGATCCATGCTTTCATGTTGTTGACGCCAAATTCTGACCCTACCATCCAAATGTCGCAGCAGAAATCGAGACTCATCAGACCAGGCAACGTTTTTCCAATCTTCTATTGTCCAATTTCGATGAGCTTGTGCAAATTGTAGCCTCAGTTTCCTGTTCTTAGCTGAAAGGAGTGGCACCCGGTGTGGTCTTCTGCTGCTGTAGCCCATCTGCCTCAAAGTTTGACGTACTGTGCGTTCAGAGATGCTCTTCTGCCTACCTTGGTTGTAACGGGTGGTTATTTGAGTCACTGTTGCCTTTCTATCAGCTCGAACCAGTCTGGCCATTCTCCTCTGACCTCTGGCATCAACAAGGCATTTCCGCCCACAGAACTGCCGCTCACTGGATATTTTTTCTTTTTCGGACCATTCTCTGTAAACCCTAGAGATGGTTGTGCGTGAAAATCCCAGTAGATCAGCAGTTTCTGAAATACTCAGACCAGCCCTTCTGGCACCAACAACCATGCCACATTCAAAGTCACTCAAATCACCTTTCTTCCCCATACTGATGCTCGGTTTGAACTGCAGGAGATTGTCTTGACCATGTCTACATGCCTAAATGCACTAAGTTGCCGCCATGTGATTGGCTGATTAGAAATTAAGTGTTAACGAGCAGTTGGACAGGTGTACCTAATAAAGTGGCCGGTGAGTGTATTTCTGAAATAGTGGTGCAGTCACAGCTTTAGCTTCTTTACAAGTTGCTGTATATGAAGTTAAAAGACAGAGCATCATCGATTGAGACCCTTAGGCATTCATAAGAAGATACAGACTCTGTACAGTATCAAAAGCAAGCAACAACTCAGAGCCTGGTATTGTGACGGAGCTGCGCAGTATATGACAGTGTCATCTGCACATAAATGTAAATTTACTTTTGGAACATTTTGACGACTGCTGTTGAAATAAAGTGTAAATAACAGTGGTTTCAAGACAGAACCCTGAGGCATGCCATTTACTACTTAAAGATGAATGAAGAATTAAATCATCAGTGGCATTACCAGGTACAAACAGGGTCGCACTTTTTGAACCAGGGGTACATGTATGAAGGCTGTCAAATAAATTTATGACTTACAAACAAAGATTTGACAAATGTTTGCAGCTATTTTGTGCAAACTTTCTTTCTTGCATCCCCAGGTCACGAATAAACCGTTTACTCCCAAAAAAATTTTTCATTTGTTGCATCCTGACTTTTCATTTTCTGCTACATTTAGTAAAGAAGTAAAGGCTAATGCTCTTTGCAGAAATACCATGTATACAGAGGGTGAAAGAAGAGGAGGATGTCTGATTAATTAAAGTGAATCCTTATCTGTAATTGTCTTTAATTGTGTAATGTAGGAGTACTGTGATGACAATTTTCCCCATGAGAGCTCATTGTCTGGTCAAAATATAGGGCGACCCAAATACTAAGCCCAGCTGCTTGTATTTGACTCTGATCTCCTCTCCATCAGGCAGGGGGCGACGTGAGGGATGAGACTGTCCCCAACTTGATCCAGCTCATCACCAACGCCTCAGAGCTGCACTGTTACACCGTCCACAAGCTGTACAGGGCTCTGCTCACTGATATCACTCAGGTTAGTGTTTTAGTCATCTATTTTCTATGATTTGCCTGCTCTTAAATCAGTGCTCTAAAGCTCTGGAAGTTTGACCTTGGGGGATTGAAGAAATGAACAAAATCTGTAGAAGGATTAATTCTATGGACCTCTCTCTAACTGAACCCTGATGACTTACTCTCTCACAGAGTTCACTTTGTTTGAAGCTAAACCCACAGCTGACACTTTAAGGTGGAGGCTCCCTTTACTCCCTTTACTCCTGCAGGACTCGGACTTAACATGCCATGGTCTTGTGTCGTACAACTAATTATCAGGGGTGAAAAATAACAAATTGCATGTTCTCATGTTACTGTAATCAATCAGCCTTTTAAAGTAAAGAGAAATCTGAACTTTTAAAGTGAATTTTGGAATTGTCAAAATATCTCATTGCACTTGAACTATACTGACCTGACAGGTCTGAGTATAAATCTTATTTGAAGCCAAATTTATCTGGAGAAGTTCCTTGAAATATGTATCATATCACATCTTAATTAAGAGAAACTTTCAAGAAAATTGTGCTTGCTCTATCTGCAGCCATTTTGGCTCATGACAATGAATGAAGTCCTTGTTTTGGAGCTGAAGTAACAAGTCTTTTTGCACAGCCAGCTGTGACTGCAGTGTACAGGAACCATTTACAAAGTGCAATTTTGACAAAAGTCGCTGCAAAATTTTCAGTGACTTTATCCTTGATAGATGCTGTTGGCTGTGTTATAGCATTGAGTACTTAAGTACTTCACTTAAAAGCTTCTATGAGGAGTTTTTTTTTTTTTACATTTATGAAATGTGCTGAAACTCAAATTGCCTTTTCATGATTTCCAAAAGCAAATGCAGACAAGATTGACTGAACTCCAGGTTTTAAATATGAGTTCATGAATCCGTTTGTTACAATGTCTGTATCTCCATTCACTTCTTACCACACAATCAGTGTTTGTAGGCCAAAGTGCTCATGATAATCCTTGTCAAGTTCATGCTTTATTCCTGCTGAGCCTGTATTACACCATAAGCACTGAAATATCTAATCTGTCCTTCAAAGACAGAAAGTTAATTGATGTAGTTTAACCTTTAACAGCGTATTAAGTCCAGGTTTGTTTTGGTCTTACAGTAGAATATTGGCCCACTGAAAGAAACTGACTAAATACAACAGTGCAACCCTGCAAACTACCAAGAAATGAGCTGGAACCACAGGGGGGCACTTATAGGAGGAACCCTGCTGAATGAAGCTGAATGAAGACTTAAGCTTTTTTTAATCTTTACTTTGGCCCTGACAAAGCCAGGGTACTGAGATTGTTCACAACCCGTCAGTGTTTCAGAAGCAAAAAGATGATGAGAGATACAAAATGGGTTAAAAATTGATTTATGATGAAACCAGATGCTTCAACCAGGTTAAGATCGAAGTCTGATATTTAGACACAGCCACACATGATATGCTCATGCTAAGAAAACATCTTTGCGTCTGCATTTTGCCACCCTGATGAAAGGATGAAGAGTTCAGGACAGAAATTTCTTTTATTTGTGTTCTCTGTTCTCAGCTTGAAAACATCTCAGGAGAGAGATCTCCATTTGTTCAATGGCTTTGGTTTATTTCTGTCTGAAAGTCTGTGTCAGACAGGGCTGCTGCGGGTTCATGGCAGTGGGAATTGCGGGGCTATCAGTGAAAAAAGTGGCTGATGCAGTCAGGTTTATTTTTGGAAGCAAAGTCGGATGAGCAGCAGCCATGTACTCATCTGCAGAGTGCTGCAGTTTCACATCATCCACCACATTAACCTCTGGTGAATTGTGGGAAACAGTGTTTCCAGTCAGAGAGTTAACATTGTAGGGAACTCTGTGTGCTCTACCCTTTTGTTTCTGATTAGTTTCTGAACAGAGTGTGAGGATGTAATATCTGTGTGTGCAGCAATCCCTTGTGCAGGTGGCGTGTTGGTGTATAGGAGAATATGGAGATCTGCTGCTGAGGGGGGAGTGTCAGGAGACGGAGCCTGTTCAGGTACACCGAGCACCTGCTCAGTTTTAATACAACATAATAAACCGGTGAACCTGACTTATAGTACAGGGTCCTTTGTTATTTAGTGATATTATGTAGTAATAAAGTCTGAGTGAGATGTAAATAAGTAGTTTGTAAGAAAACACCAAGTCAATGAGGGTTTCATGCAGTAAATCAGTGCACAGCCATTAACAACAGTATAATAACTAAGTCATGAAATCATATATGTGATCAGCATAAGTGTTTGCAGTTAAACCACAAAGGCAGTAAAAACTGTAACATAACATATAATAACATAACATATAATAACAACATCTGTAATTACACATAATGATGATAATAATAAAAAAGTAATACTGCTGATAATAAAAGTGAAAATAGATATCTTTGAAAGTATTATTGCAAATTAAAACAGAAATGACGGATCTTAAGCTCATATGCAGTTAACTTTCCCTAGTTTTGAGTGTGATGAAATGTTGAGAAGTTGAATTCCAGACTCTGAAATGAACATGTTTCTCATCCAGGTCACTGAGGACGACGTCTTAGACGCCTTGGAAACGGTTCTGCAGTCCCACATGTCGTCCCCAACAACCAGAGGCTTCGCACTGACAGCCACCATGAAGCTGAGCACACGCATCACTGATAATGTGGAGTAAGAAACAATGCTGGACAGAGTCAGCCGCAGCCCAGTTCTGGTTACAGGAAGTTGTTTCTAACTAAAGATATGGAAATGAGACACTCAGTCTTTTAACTCAAAGGGAACAGAAACACGCAGTACACTAGCTTCATGCTCTATTTGTCACAGCCTGTAGGTTAATAGTTAGCTTGTCAGTGGCTCTCAGACTGGTTATAAGATGAGTGAGGGCTGAATTCAGCTTTCTCAAGTTAAAAGTGGCTGATCAAAATTAAATGAAAGCTGAAAAAATTGCATATTGCTATTTTTCAATCATCTTCCATTCTTATGTGTCTCTACAGCAAAGATTTGATGTTGAGCTGTCATGAATATAGAGTAAAATCACAGATCATTTTCATAAGGCCTATCTCTAAGAAGTCACAGTGATTTCTGACTGCTTCTCTCTCTCCGTCTCTTTCTCCACTCTCTGACAGTCGGATCAGAAGCATTGTCAGCATTTACGGCAGCTGTATAGATGTGGAGCTCCAGCAGAGGGCAGTTGAATACAATGCTCTGTTCAAAAAATACGACCACATGAGGTATGCCAAAACTTTTTTCAAAAGTTAACTTGACCTGCTCTTCATCATGTCCATACACATGTCTACAGTTTAGAGGGGTGTCTGTCAGTGCCTGGTATTAACATGCATCTAATCACAAGTGGGCAGCTTCAAGTGCAAGTGATCATACTTTGCAACATCATGTATGTGTAGATGAGTCTCCAGTGACCTTATGTGATAGGATCTCATTCTCCTGCTCTGTATGCAAATAAACACAGAGCCCTTTATTCACCTTCATCAGCCTGAAAAAACATCCACTTTAAAAAGAGGCAGTGCAAACTCACAGTACTGAAGAGGAAAGCTGCACATATTTGCATGAGCTGCAGAGAGGAGCATGTGATCACGGACTGAGACTTGACTGTGTGATCATGATTTTTGTCCACAATTGTGTTGTTTTTCAGAGAATGTGATAACTTCATTGCAGGCCAATGTCTCTATTTCAAGAGCACACTCCATGTTCTGAAATGTCTGCCACACCAGTGCACTGCTTATTGTGAACTGATCTACAGTCTCATCTCCTGATCATGACAGTAACAAGGAGAGGATGTAGATTAGACGTAGATCAGGGCAAGACAATTACATCTACAGTCTACTTCTATCTGCTCTTCTCTGTAAATCATAGATACAATCATAGGTGTGCTGTTTTATTCTAAACTATGATAAACTGTCCTTTCATTTCATCTCTGACTCACACCGTAGCCCCCTCTTCTGCACCTCCACATGTCGGGTCAGGATTGTCCCATCTTCATTCATATATTCCCATAAATGTGGGTGTGTTTGCATTTGCATCCATACTGTTGTATCGACTTCATGTTCACATACTGGAATGGCTGAGAATAAAAATCAGTAACAATATTCACAACTCATGGTAGAGAGATAATAAAGCTTATGTGAGAGCCAGGGGGTCTGATACTCTCACAAGCTGCTGTTATGGATGCTGGGGGAGTGGATGTACATAAACGTGGCCCAGAAAGCAGTGTGTCTCAGACTACTTCCTCATGAGTGGGTTTCCATCTGTAGTTGAAGCTGTCCACTTGTGTTCAGATGACCCATGAGACGTGTTGATACCAGTTAAAAACAGGGTTTTAGAAGGTCTTGGGATTTAAAGGTGGAGTAGGCAGGATCTGAGGAAGTGCCAGTTTTGGGGAGAAATCCTGAATGTAAACACTACCCCTCTCAACCAGTTTTCCCCTCAGCTCCTCCTCTACCCTCCCTCTCTGGTCCAGCAAGCCCTGCCCACACACAGACACTCATCCTCACTTGTATCGTTTCAATTAAATTCAATTAATAATGCAGATAAATACTTCAGATAATTACAAATGGGGCCCAGTCGACGTGAAAGTAAAAAGCATTGGTGCTACTTTAGATGCCAACAGACTACCAGCAAACACAATGTTTGCAGGACTTCTACAACTTGGATAAAGTGACATAGTCCAGGACCCGAGGTAAACAGTTTAGCGGCGCTACAACACGTAGCAGGTCTCGTTTGACAAGAAACACTTCTGTTACAGACACTTGGCTCACTTTGTTAAAGTAGTTTACCTGTCCAGCAGAAAAGTTACAGAGTCCGTAAGATCCCGAAGCGTCCCCCATCATTGTTGACCCGGCTTCTTAGCTTTTGTCTAGTCTACCTCTGTTTTAAGCGCCCAGAGTCTCCAGTATTTACTTCGTTTTCTTGCTTGTGTTGGCAGTCGTGGCCAAAGGAGGATTCAGACAATTTTCTGGTTGGTTTCTACTGTCTGATATTGTAGCACGCTAACTTTGTTTGGGCTCCTGAACGACACGGGGGAGCAGTGTCTGCCTCACAACCAATCAGCACTAAGGAGCAGCGTCCGCCTCACAACCAATCAGGATGGGGGAGGCGGGGAATGGCTTTGTTTACAGTCAGAAAGAGTGGAGCGCTCTGAAATTTTAAAATGTTGACTACACAGACATAACAAAACACAGCGATATCGTTATATAACCAAATTTCATCGATAACTAATAGTTATTGACTGATATTAAAAGCTTTTTTGTATATACACCACAAAAAAGATGCTTCTTAAATGGATTCCTGCCTACCTCACCTTTAAACAGATGTTTGAAGGACAAAAAAATCCTTCTTTCTGGCTAAGATAAACTGAATCGTCGCGTCTCTGCAGGGCGGCAGTGCTGGAGAGGATGCCTGTGATTGAAAAAAACTCACCTGGTCACACCAACGGAGAGTCAGCAGTAGAGACCCTCAAAGAAATCCCGCCAGCCAAGGTGAAGCAGGGGGAGTCCCTCCTGCCTCCACAACCTACTAACCAGGTAAATCCGAGCCGAGATTTCTCTGCGTCCGGCCTCTCACAGCTTCTTTTCTTGTTGATTACAAAGATCTGAATGAGCATCATCATGCCAGGCTCTGGATCCAGATATTCCTCCTCATGAACCGTACCCCTCCGTTATATTCTATGGAAATTAGGTTAAAGTTTGTTCTTGTTTTTTTTCGTAGCACAGTTTGCCTTGGCGGGCTCACGCCTTTTCCTACATGTGCTTTCATGTAAATCCCATTACAGTGTAGAAAAGCAGCAGGTTCAACAACATTTTTTCCTGTTAAATCTACAACGACAAACTAAAAGAGGAAGACTGCAGCAGTGATGTCTTCATGGTAGATATGTTTCATGATGATGAGTGATTTGACCCTGTTTTAAAAGTAAAACTTTTAAAAGGATTTTACATTCAAACTATCATTTACTCATAATGCAGCAGTATGTTGCTTTAGCAGTTCTCCTCTTCCCATTGTGACTTTCCTCAGGTGTGTGATCTTCTGGGCCTGTTGGGAGGTCCTGAGGAGACCCTGCAGCCCAGCCCAGCACTGAGCAGTTCAGCACCTGGTCTGCCCGTCAACACAGGCGGCACTGCTGGAGGAGACCTGCTGGATCTGCTGGGAGAGTTAGAGCCTACACCCGTCGCACCAGGTCTGATCATTACCCCCACACAAGTTTTAGAGAAAAGGGACTGAGAAATGTTGTTACTCTAAATCAGACCCTGATTACAGTTTCCCTTAGTCTCCCTTAGTGTCATCATGTTTTTTTGTTTGATGGTTGGTGGTTTTTGATACAGCGTACTTTTCTCCACAGCTCCCGCAATGTCGGTGTATGAGAAAGACGGCGTGACTCTGACACTAAGTTGTGAGAAACAGTCAGACTCCGGCCTCACAGTCACACTGACAGCCTCCAACACTGCCGACTCAGACATCAGCAGCTTCACCCTGCAGGCTGCTGTACCCAAGGTTTGTTATATACAGATCCACTCACTGGCGAGCAGCCGTCTCTGTCAGCTGTGATTTCCGACTGCCAAGGGGTGCTATTACATTCAGAGGCCTCCGGCATGATGTGCATTTTTTAAACTTTAATATCACAGATACCTCAGTACCAGTCCTGTCTCTTCACCGGACAGTTCAGTTTTGTTTCCTGCAGTGTTTTTATGGCAGGCCATGTTTATGGAGCTGTACAACATGCAAATGTTTTGGTGCCGTAAACTTCAAAGCTCTGTCTGATCTTCCCACAGAGTGTCCAGTTACACATGAAGGCTCCCAGTGGAGACTCACTACCTGCACAAGGGGCTGCGAAGGTGACACAGATAGTCATCCTCAACAATCCCAACAAAGTGAGTCTGACCAGAGGTTTTCAGATACTACATTCTCCAACGTGAAACAACAACAAAGTGTTCGCAGACATCAAGTACCCTTGGGAAGCTAGTGTTATTGTTAAAGTTTGAGGGCTGTCAGCGTTAACATGTTTATAAATGCTGATAGTGCATTATTTTCTAAAACTACACGCAATTTCCACACCATGCAGCATCTTCCTTCTGCCAGGAAATGGTGCATAAAATAAACTTCCATACAGCTCAGTTGACACAAGTAAAAAGACGTCAGCAAAAAAATATGTAGCAGAGCAGTATTTTGGTGTGTATGAATCGTCACACGTGGATGAAGAAACAGACAAACTATCCGACCTGGAACTCCTGAGACGTGCGAATAATGCTGGAAATCACTGGACATCAGAGAGGAATCAAAATGATCACTGACATTTTTCATACTTCTGTGTAATAGTGTCAACGTTAAGAACCAGAAACAGAATCTCGCTGCTCAGTCTGCAGCCTCTCCTGTTGCCTCATACCCGTAGAAGTGTTGAGATCTTCATGAGTGTGGTTGGGAAACACACATGGCTGATATTTTCTCTTCTAGATCCATGTCACACTTTGCAAGAGCACTGCTTTGTTTAGCTGCTTTGTAACAGTAGTTGTTCACACTAAATCTCATTTGGAGTATTGTTGTTTGGGTTACTGTTTTGGAAAGAGGGAAACAAGCTTATTCTTTAATTCCACAAGTTTGGCACTCTCACAAAAACACTTGGTCTGCTCAGGTAAAATAAACCCTTCCTTTAAAGTTTGATGAAACAACATTAGAATAAATCTTAATACTTAAACTCCTCACATTCTCATACAGCTGTTGTCATAGTTGGTACTAGTGATGGGAATTACTGCTCTTTTTAGTGAGCCAGATCATTCGGCTCAGCTCACCAAGAAGAGCAGCTCCCAAACGGCTCTTCATTTTACCACTAATACATTTTCTAATTCAGCCAAATTTAGCATTGTTTGGATTATGATATAATAAATAATTCAATACATCCTTTGTACTGAAGTATTCCCAAGTAAAAATTGTATTTTCTAATATCAGTAAATTGCTGTAGACATCCTGAGTGCATCCGTGTAATGAGCACAAGCACATGGCACACCTTCGCCCCCCTTCTGCTTGGTGTATCCTAGCCTGATTGGTCGCACACAGCATGCACGTGACAGTCATGCACTGCACGCATGGAGCACCCGTCACACCGTCATTCTGCGTTGTAGTTTTTCTCTACGGTCTGTGCGGGGGAAAAAAGACAGACAGGAGCCAGCTCCCATCGTTCACATTAAAGAGATCCAGCTCTTTGAACCAGTCCATTCGCGACCGACACATCCCTACTTGGTACACCACTTTCGAGTGTGTTTCATGTTTCCAGGTCCAAATCTTACATTGTAACTACCAAACTACCATCCTAGCTGAAACAGAGATGATTCTAACTGTCTGAACTCTTCTTCCACCAGGTTAACTTAAAGATGAGGGTCCGCGTATCTTACACCAGACAGGGCGCTGCCATTCAGGACACGGTTCAGATCGACTCTTTCCCCGGACTCTGACTGGAGCCGCTTAGTCTGACAGGACTATGACGACTGAGGTCTGTGGATGAGTCAGCAGGCTTCATCACCATCATCATCTCTCTCGAAAGTTCTGTTGCGACACAACAGTCCAAGCTGCTGTTTTCTCTCTGAAATTCCTGCGTTTGTTGTTCTGAGCTCAATCTTGTTTCCCAGGAAATGATCACAGCCTCAATAGTTTCATCCTCCTCTTGATTCCAGGTGTTAATGGGAAGGATGATAAGACATGACATGACAAGATTTAGAAAATGCTACTTAAAGGAAAAAAATGAATGAGATATATCTGGAATTTCTGCAATGATATCAGTCAGGAGGAAGTTTAAACCATGCAGGGTTTTTATCAGCAGGTGTTTTTTAATGTTTCACTTCATAAATGCTTACTTCCTGGGGCTCCAGTGTCAGATTGAGCCACTAGATCAATTTGTCCTCATAAATTAATGTTCACCCTCTTTGAACAGCTTTTACTTTTTTAATGAAATGTTTGTTTTCCATCTTGTGTCAGTGGAAAGGCAGCTCCCTGAAGACCCACTATTTAAAAGAAAAAAAGCAGAAGTTCTAACCCAGTAGACTAGATTTCACTCGAAGAAGCAAGTTGACTTGAGATTGAAAGATGGCGTTTTTTTTTTTAACACAACCTTGTGTGTTGCACTTCACTTGTCCTGTTCCTGTTTTATTTTTTTAGCCTTGCTCAGTTGAACCACCTCCTAAGTGATTCCCCTGTGCCTTTCATCCTCCTATGAAATGCAGGTTTACTCATGTACAAAAGATGCAATTTTATTTAGTTTATGAAGCAGAGAAATGGTTTTAAATGTAAGTGGTGTTATCGTATCAAGATGTTTTTATCACTCCCAATCAGCGGTTTCTCCTTGCCTACTGTTTACAGAAGTGTGAAGAAGAGCAGACTTGAAAGATGATGGACAATATGCTGTCTAAAAATTGTAAATTTTACCTTTTAAGAAAATAAGCACAACAAGAGGAGTTTGGAGGATGTAGACAACAACTCTTTGTGTTAGAGGGAAGTATCGGCTTTATTGATGACTAATTTCTTAATCCTGGAGCTCTGTTATAAACACTCTGGACATGTCAGTAATGGTGCTCCTCATGAACTTCAGTGCAAACTCTACCAGACTGTTTCAGATCACTACATCAACAAAACGAAAGAAAAGAGCTGGAGGAGTACTCTGACAGGTGTGTGAACTGTCTTTAAATCTTTAGTTTCATGTCATTTTCTAATAAAAATGCCTTTTCAGAATCCTCAGTTCTGATTTGTTTTTGGAGTTTGTGTTTAAAGTGAGTATTAGAGGATGAGGCGTCATCAACTTCAGCATTTATTCACAAGCAAAAAAAGACCACAGTGTTCTCAAACTGTCTTTTGAATTGCATGGGTGCCTTCATCAAATGGTCAAACTCTAAGAGGCCAATGTGGGTTTACAAAAAAAAATGAAAAAAATGAAACATCTACATAGTCAGAACGTCCTTTTATCTGTGTTGTTGTTGCTGTTGTTGGTGGATTTTTGCATTTGTGTGGCCTGGGAGCGTGGGATGTCAGATCTCTGTGCTGCAACATGGTAAGACTGTGACAGACACCTAAAGCGTTGGCACTCAGCTGGCCCCAAGCACAACAGCCAATCAGGACAAGCAGGTGAGGAGCGTGCCGGGCCTGTGGAGCACGGAGCCGCCTCTTAGCGCCAACACAAGATGGAGCACCGAGCCTCCCTGGATCTTGTAGTCTGCAGCTGTCTTTTCATCGTTCCTGAAGAGGACACAGGAGGAGGTTGAGAGGAGGGATAATTAAGTACCCTACAGCTGTTTTATGGCAAGATCGCTTATTTCAAAAGGACTCACATCTGTTTTCCACTGTAGATGAGTCTCTGTTGTTGTGGTGGGATCCCCTCTTTCTCCTCCACCCTTTCTTTGATTCGCTCCACCTTCATTCACAAAAGACAGGATTTATAGTTTTGAAGTTTGGACAGAAACGTTAGATTTATCAGGTTAGGGGAAAGTGTTGTTCACCTTGTCTGTGGGCTCGATGTCAATCTCTATTTCTTTTCCGGTGAGAGTCTGAAACACAACAACAACATGATCCAATTAATCACAGTCTGATAACATCTACAGTCTCAAAAAATCTCCAGCAATACAGGACAGAGTTACAAAAAGGGCTTGTTTCTTTCAATCAAATAACAACTGTGTTCAACTAGACAGGGTAACACGTCAAATTATTTGAAGTACAGAGACATAATAGCTTCAGTGCCACAGAAAATGGATATCACACTGTTACAATGTTAGCAGACGCTTTTATCCGAAGTGACGTACATTCAAGAATAAGAACAACACAAGCACAGATCTAGACGAGAGGAAACAAGATCAGAAAAAGCAACAAAGTGCTTCAAGTCCATTTGGACACAAGTACTGCTTAGCAATCTTAAAGGCAATGCAATAAGTGGATAAATGATTTTTTCAACGAACATCAACAATAAAGCAACCAAACATCAATGTAAGACCTTCACCATCTCCATCAAATACAACTTGTCTGCACCACAAAGATGACCAAAGAAGTCCCAAGGCTCACTCACGAAGGGCGGGGCAGAAGTATCCCGGGAGTAGAGCTGGACAGTGTGAGTCAACTAGGTGTTCCCTAAAGAGCTGGGTGTTCAACTCTTTTTTTTAAAGTAGACAGCTAAAGACTATGTTTTCTAAATTCATTGAACATCTATTCCAAACATGTTTACATATTTATTTTAACATATTTATTGTCAAATTAGAAAACAGCAACAACATAATATTAGAAATATATATCGGTCCCTGGCTGACCTGCTCTATCATTTAATATCCTCAGCTGTAAGAATCGACCGCCAGTCATGGATACACTATTTAATCACTTTTTGCTAAATTGTGCATTTATTTCAAATGTTCCTAAGGCTGGGCAACATGGGAAAAAGTTTATCACAATATATTTTTTTCGTATCAGTCAATATCAATATATATCACAATATGAAAAAATGAAATTTAAGAGTGCTTATTGGTAGCATGTCTTTTTGCAACAATAAGCAAGTGCATCTGTGACGTTTTCACCGACGTTTTCGTGCCAGTGTTGTCAGCGATGTCATTATCTGTTGAGCCTTCATCTGCACTTCTGCTGGGGGTGGCACTCATTTTCTTTTTTTCTCACCAACAGCGCTGTCGGCTTCACGTGTTAAAGTGCTATGCAACTTGGTTCTAATTCAGCACATGATTTGTTCAGCGTGAACCGGACCCAGAGCAACTCCCCTTGGCTAACCCCATTGGCTATTCTTGTAGTCTACCAAAACATGGCAGGATGCATACTCCATATTGACCATGTTTTATATTTATATTGAGGGAAATTAATTTTATATATATATTATCGTTTTATCGCCCAGCCCTAAATGTTCCTCATTATGATTCACGTTTGAGAAAAATGAGGCTTTAGTTAGACTCTCTGAAGAGTGAAGGAGTTTGGATTGTAAAGCAGCCAACAGCATTTTTTAAAATGCTTTTTAAGATGTATGAAAGAAGGGTAAACAAAAGTTGTTTTTTTAAAGCTCGTAGGATTGAGTTAGTGTCCATTCAAAGATAAAGCAATGAAGACCTGGGTGTTTTTTTTTCTTCCCCGTTTGCTACGGTAGTGTTATGATGAGAATGTAGTTGGGCCCTGGCCCTGATGAGAAAGAAATTTAGATGGAATAAAATAAGCCACATCAATCAAAGAAAGAACTTCGGTGGGTAAATTTACAATTAGCTCAGCCTCACTCGTTACTTTCAGACCCAGTCAACCTTTTTCTTTGACAATCTCCCCAAATTTACAGAGTCTCATTTACTCCGTCGACTTTAAATCAATAAACTTTTACCTATTAGTCTAAAGAAAGCAGGAAATGGGAGTCATTAAATGCATCCTTTAGACTCTGTGATCAGTAAGATTTCCTCATATTGGTGTTTGTTTTTCTTTATTAGTGAATGAGTTGAAGTCTCAAAACAAATAACGTGCTCTGACTGACCACAGGAATAGTAGTTTGTCGGTAAGCTTCTTGAAAACTCTATCTTATATTTACAAAACAGGACCAATAAATAGTATTAATTTGAGAGAATCACGCAGCAGATGTGATTAAAAATACAAAGAGTGTCTGCTCCCTCGGCCCAGACTTGAATCAGCAGATACCGGTCTGAGATGTTAGCCAGATGCTAACATTAGCATCTAGAAGACCCCAGAGAAGTAAAGCCGAAGATAACGCCATGCTCTTACCTTCACTTTGATCAGCATGTTGAATTAAGATTAGAAAGGTTTTCTAAAAGAAACTGTATACTGTCCTAAAGACTAGTTAAACTAGCGAATTACAACCTGCTCGGCTGGATGACTTGAATTTACTTCCTGTGTACGCCACTAAAGTGACGTTAAGGCGTCGAAATACTTTCAACAAAGGTTCCGCTGTCTTCAGCATCTAGTAACGACGGTAGTGTTCATTTTTTCTTAGCAGCTTCGTGTCACGAAAAGACGCAGAGTCACGTTAAAAATTACGAAGGCCCTTGGCGGACATGCATTCATACATTTATTTACTTTGAGTCCCCCCTTTAGTCAATTTCAGCTGCTTCTTTTCGAAATACTCCATTTAATTAAAGTTGGAAAAATTCTGTTGTCATAAAAATTTAGAGGAACAATGAAAGGAAAAATACTTCATGAAACATTAGCCCGGAGCATTTTTTTTATTGTTGCACTTCAGAAAAGCAATCTTTTTAATGTTTGTCGTACACTTTTTTAACCTTTTATGGTATGAATCACACAAACCATCTGGTGTGGTTGCAAAAATAGAAGGTAGAAAGACAAGATATTTTCTTGCAGAAAACTCAGTTAATTTTTTCAAATAATTACCAGCAATCAGAATAGATTTAGTAGTATGAACATTTTTGTAGCCTACTTAAAATGTGTCTGTTAAGTGAAGTGGATCACCCACTTCACAACACCTTTATGGACCAAAGGGCCAGTGGTGGTGGACGGCTCCTCTCTCTTCGCTGCAGGACAGAAAGATTCAGAAGATTTTTTATACCAACAGCCATCAGACTTTACAACTCTTCTGTAAATATGACTTTTAGAGACATGACAAATGAGAAGACAGACAATTTAATTTCCCTTTGGAAATCAACAAAGTTCTTCTTATTCTTATTCTTAACCCTAACCCGAAGTGTAAACCCTAATGTTTACTAGTCGTCAAATAATGCAGTTAACACTCTATAAGCCTCTAAAACATGTCCTGAGAGGTACAAACCATAGTAAAGCAAAATGAAAACACAAGAAAATCAGAAATCTACATGAAACTGCACTTGAACAAATTAAATCATCTCATTTCACCTTTGCAATTATATACTGTCGTTATACACATCCTGCAATCTCTGCAAAAACACAGAAAAACAACCCAGAGTAAGAAAAGGATCTGTATGGTGCCCTGGCCTCACACAGATGTTGATCATTCAGCTAATTTGGCAGGAAGTCTACAAATGGTCTCAGCTTGTGTGTGATCTGGATCAGTCAGTCATGGTGAATCATCTCTCCCTAGGTGTGATAATCGTGGCTGTTTTAGCAACAACAGTTGCCAATGCAGGTAGGTAGAGCTGTGTAAGCATTATTTCCTATATTCCATTTTGTTTTATTTTATATTTAGGTATTTATTTTGGCATGTAGAAAATGTTCAATTTTATTTCTCTGCAGAGATCAATTTAGTCTGTGCAAAAGATTCTGTGAGAATCACATGGAGGATCAGCCCCGAGTTGGTGCCACATGCAGCTCGTCTCTTCCTGGGAAACTGCATGGCCTCTCAGTTTCATGTTCTGCCCACTGGAGAGGGGGAGGCTAAGTTCAACTACAAGTTTGGAGACTGCAAGTTTAAAAAACTGGTAATTTCTGCACCAGATTAAACTAAAACACATCCACATGTTCTATTTTGGTGTCTTAATTCCCTGGTTTTCTTCAGATGAAAGGGAAAAAGCTGCAGTACCTTAATGAATTGACTTACAGGCCACAGGCCAAACCAAAACCTGCTGCCTTTGTGTACCCCATCACATGTACTTACAAGAGGTAAGAGTGTCTTCATGAGAAACTGCAATTTTTAAAGCTTACTCAAAGGCAGTGAAAACCTCTTCCATATTCTAGACCTGAGGGTTGGGTCCCCCCTTTCCTGAACCCTGGATCAGGAGTTTCTGAAGGTCGAGGTGGGCTGGTCTTCCACATGGCACTCCTGGATGGTGAGTTCTTTGACAGCTAAAAACCACACCAGATATACACAAAACATATTTTAAGCCTTATCATTCCCCCCCAACAGAGCAGCTAAAAGGTTATGCAAAGACTAATATCATCCCACTGGGCTCCTTCATGCCAATATGGGCAGCAGTGGAGCAGAAGTCCCATCAACCTTTGCTGTTGCTCATGGAGGAATGTGTGGCCACTACGTCGCCACAGCTACAGCCCAGCAGTCAGGTTTACCCCATCATCACCAATAATGGGTGCGCTGGTTTGTCTCTGCAGTGATTGTTTAGATAACAGAAATCTTGATGCAAACTTGGAAACTTTGAAATATCTGCAGGTGTCTGATGGAGAGCATAAACGGAAACTCCAAGTTCCTCCCTCGGTATCACACATCTGCCATCGTACTTTACCTGCAAGCCTTTAAGTTTGGTCTTGGAGAGGAAGTAAGAGTGTTAACAGTCCGTTGTATTAAAAGTATTTTGTTGCTAGCACAAGCAAGCTAAAGTCTCTGTTCTCTTCAGGTCTACATTCACTGTAAACTGGTAGCATGGGATCCCCAAATTCTTGGTGAAAGCAAGAAGGCCTGCCATTTTGAGAAGCAAAATATGAGGTAACGCAATATCCCTGATTATCCCTGGTCAAGTGTATTTTGATTAAAACAGGAAGCTATCTCGTCTTTTTATTGGCATACCCAAATGTTAACAACTTTGTGTTTCTGGATTGTTTACCCCCTGCAGAAAATATTTATAAGAGAAATTAAGGTTTTTTTAATGGAAATATTCCAAAAGTTTCTGACTTATTTTGTCAAATCTTTGGAGAAAGCCATGCTAGTATTAAACTGTGTGGCCATGCAGCCACAGTAAATGGTGCTTAGCTCCTTCACAAAACTTAAAGCATTAGGTTTACAAATTACATCTTACGGTTAACTGCTGAATGACTTTCATGAAGTTTTACATTTAAAGATACTATGAGGGGTTTGTAGCTGGTTGAGAAACCGACTTGAATAGATGCTAATGACTCCCTTTGATCTTTTAAAATGCTAATAAGACAATTAACAACTTCACTAATATGAATTTTCCTGTAGTATCTTTTAAAGGTTTAAAATGCTGAGATGGTATGTGTCAGACAAAGTGGTTGACAGCAGGCTGAAATGTTACAACATATTGAAGAGTTAGTCTTCAATTGCACTAAACCCAGTTTACTAATATAATTCCTACTGAAAGGAGTATTAATAGAAATTTACAAGCTGACTGCAAACAGCCAATTGAAAACCATGTCAAAAAACATGCTACCAAAGAGAACTGCTTTTTTTCCCCCCACAGCTAATAGTCAAAGTGAGTCATACATTTTATTGTGAAAAGACCAACAGGATGAGCATTTGTCTTTAAAACTCTCCTACCATAACAGGTCCATAATTAGGACTGTGTCTACAGGGGTTGCCAGCGTCAACACATACCACAAGTTCTACAGACCAGCTTTAATGTGTTTTAATGGAAATGTAAAGCTATAATGTACCATTTATTTATTTTTAAAGACCATTATGCAATAATACTTTTTTGTTTGCTCAGCTGGGAACTGCTAGATGACCCCTCTCAAAGCGCTGTCTGTAGCTGCTGCAGTACAACCTGCAGGTCTCGCTCCAAAAGAGGAATCCAATCAGGTATCATTTGTGTGTGTGGGGAGGTTTTGTTTGTTTGTTTTTTGTTTGTTTTAACATACACTTTTCCCTCCGGCAATCACATTTTTCTTCTTTTCTTTCAGAATCCCATGGCATTAGCACCAATACTGTGTTGGGACCCCTGATAATTGTGGACCCCTCAGACCCAAGGACACAAACCATATCAGGTAGGGCAAAACTGACTTGTATGTAATTTCAAGTAATGAAATATGAAGTTTATGCTCTATCCATGTTAAAGCAATTATGTTGTCTGACACTCTTCACATCTCTGAACAGAAACCCCTGCTCTTAACTGACAGAGGCTCATTTAACTGATGCCCGACAAAGAAGGAGCCAGGAGTGGAAAACTGATGTTTGATCCAAGCTTTCTATGATCCTATTAAAACCTCTTTGCCAATAAACCTGGTAACGGCTCCTAAAAGTCTATTTTGTGTTGTCTTTGTCCTTATTATGCTGGCACAATCCTGCAATCATGAAAGTTACATACTTAATCTCTTGGTTGTAAACCCTTGCTCAACTTATCAGTGTTGAAAAATGTGCTCTTGTCCCATTTAATGTTTCGTATTTATACCACTTAGCAATGTTAAGGTGACTGAACTTCCAAGTTTTGACTTTACACTCAAGGACAAGCCTGAAATGTCCATTTTCATAATGTAGCCTCGGGGTTTGTGCACTTAATCTTCAGGATATGTTATTTGGGGGAAAAAAAGACACTTTGTGTCTGTCTTAAACCATCCCTTAGACTTTATGGTATGGTATGGTCTTTATTGTCATTGCAACTGTGCACAATGAAATTGCATTTACAGATGGGGAAAGTACACACAAGAGGGAGAGGAGGAGGTAAAAAAAGAGCGACTGCTCTCATTAATATGAGTGCAGTGACAAAAAAACCCTCAGCAACATGAGCACATTACTGACACCACATACACAGAGATAGCAACTTTTTTATATACCAACTTCATTCATTTGCAGGAGTTCTATCAAAAAAATAGTGTGTGGAGTTGGAGTGCACTGTCAGCCCTTGCTCTCCACAAATTTAAGATCCATGTTCGAACCTGCACAGACACAAACTGCTTTTATTAAGATAAATATGATACAATCATTCATGTTTTATGCTGTAAATGGTTGATCGCCCAACATATTTTAGGATTTAACCAATCCTCCTAGTCTTGAAAATAGCCTCATGCCAGTTTATTGATGCAGTGCTTCATATTTGCTCTAGTTGCAAAAATAAACTGAAAATTGTAAGTCCACAGAAAAGCCAATGATATCTTGAGTGATATTTTTTGTGTCTTTACGAAAGGGTTACTCAAGTAAACTACTGTGACATTTATATGACATGTAACCATGGTAACATACAGCACAGTTCCTGTTTTCATGGGAGCTCTGTCTCAAAGCATGCAGCCGTATCTGATCCCTCAACCTTGATGAAGGGTGCTTCATTCAACTGAGAGCATGTATCTGTAGTGGAGTGGCAGCAGGAAGAGAGGTTTGAGAAAGATCCTACCTTCACCCTTCTGATTCTGATCACAGTAATCTGATCATACTTATACACGGGAAGCAGCATAACGACCAGTCATTAACTCAATCTATGAGATGTAAAAGACCATAGAATTATAATGCAAAACGATGCTATAAATGGTCAAAGCCAAACCATTACCTTTAAAAATCTGCTATAAAATCAAAACCACTAAAGAAGAACATTTTGATTCTAGTTTAGAGATTAAAAGATTTTTTTTCTGTTTTGTGGCTATAAAATTTTACTTATCACAAAATACCTGATGCAGAGGGAAGTGAGTGTTCAGCAAAAAAAGCTTAAATCTTTGCTGTTGTTTTTATCTAATTTCTCATATTACAAAGTCTCATACAGCTTTCTTTAAGCTAAAGGTATGTACTGGTTCAGTGTGTTTGCAAAGAAGACTGACTTTTTTTTGTTTACTTTTATTTTGACTGAGTGGTTATCTTTTTTTCTGATCCTAATTATGCATTTTCTAGGATTCTTGTCTAAAGTGTATTTCGAACATTTGTTTGAATGTATATATTTTTAATGTGTCACATAAAAGTGCCTTTTAATGACAAACTTATAAAACTAAATATATTTTCACATACTGCAGAGCTTCAAGCTTCACCTTCATTGAAACTCCTCCTTGTTTTAATCAGACTGATGGTCTCAGCACCTGAAACTGTTGACACCCAGCAGGTGAAACCTTTTACCCTGATTGATGATTGGCAGGTGCAGGAAACAAAGAAACTACCAGCATCACTGACTACTGTCCAGTCATGATGGCTCCTTTTTGGCTGTGTGCACTGTTGCTGAGCTTGGAAGCTGCCATGTCTGCACATGCAGGTAAAGCTGCAGTAAAATGTTGGATTTTCAAAGTTTCTCATCTTAAACTAAAACTGTTCATGCACAGGTTTAAGTACTTCCCATGGTCTCTCCTGCAGATATGAACCTGGACTGCAGGCCTGGCTCTGTGACTCTGGTGTGGACAGAGAGCAGGTCTGAGGTTGATCCATCCCTCTTTCGTCTTGGGAACTGTTTCCCTTCCAGTTTTTCTGGCCAGGAGGCTGTTTTCAATGTGGACCTGAATGACTGTAACTTCAGGAGGCTGGTGAGCGGCTGACGTCTTCATCCAGCCTATGTGTTTATTTTTCTTGCAGATAAATATGTGATGTTTATTCTCTCTCATAGGTTACAAGTGATAAGCTGATTTACACCAATGATCTGACCTACATCTCCCATCCTGATTCTCTCATTCTCTCCTTCAATCATCTGGTCGTCTGTACATATGAGAGGTGGGTGTTCAAACCAAAGCAAAAGGGAGTGTTTGCCACATCTTGATTGCTGAAGCTGTTGGTTTATTTTTGCAGGCCCAAAGACTGGTATCCCCTGATCTACAGCCCAGTGTTTGACACATATGGCGAAGGAGATCTGGAGTTCCATATCAGAATTATGAATGGTGAGTGTCGAACAACCTCCCTGGTAGTACAGACGTCTTGTTGTGACATGGATAATTGATCAATCAATGTGTCTTTCCTGATTTTAGATGACTTCTCAGGCCCAGCTGAATCCACCAGTTTCCCTTTGGGCTCGATCATCCCCATTAAGGCCACTGTGGAGCAGAAAACCCATCAGCCACTGCTGCTGCTGCTTGAAGAATGTGTAGCTTCAACCACAGCAGAGCTGCAACAAGACAGCAGCATTTACCCAATAATTGACAACAAGGGGTAGGTTTGGCAAACTGGTAATACAAACTGGACTTTATTCTTGGTTATGGTACTGAAAGCAAAGTGTTTTTTTTACACTACACAGATGTTTGTTGGACAGTAAGATTTCCAGATCAAGATTTGAACCAAGGCAAAAATCTTCAGAGATCCAGCTGTCTCTTCAGGCCTTTAAGTTTGCTCTGGGAGAAGAGGTAAACTTTGTCATTCATGGTTGCATGAACATTTCCTGATGGCTTTGGTCATAAGCTTTTTGCATTCCTTATCTTTTCACAGGTGGTTATTCATTGCAAGCTGCTGGCCTGGGATCCAAGTCTTCTTGACCACACCAAGAAGGCCTGTCACTATGTCAAGGATTATGGGTAAATCTATGTCAATCAGGAAAATCTTGATTTGTGCAATGATGTCTCCTGCCAGTCATTTGGCCCTAAGCTGAATTCACTCATGCACAGCACTCTTAAAAAAGTTTCAAAAATGTTCTTGGCCATAAAGTTGCTTGTGTGAACATGAACAACCAGAATTTCTCACCAGCTTTACCCAGACTTTTCCTGATAACTTCTTGATAAAATTTTGGTATGAAGTGAGCTGACATGAATATGCTTAAGGAAATATTTGTAAAAATTTCACTCTATGAGAGTAGGTGGGTATGATTTTATAGTATGACCAGTGCAAACTTCAAAGAGTAACATTAAGGGAGAAATAACAAACGTACACTGTTGAAAAAGAGGACACAAGAACAAGGGAGATAGCTGCACATGTCCAAGTACACATCACACTGTTACAAAAGTGTTACAACTGTGTATGTCTCTGATATCATCCCTTGTCATGTTGTGGCTCTCAGATTGGTGTCATGTCCTGCCACTTGAGTCCCAAATACAGAGATGGAGCACCAGAAAGAGTGCAATCATCTTCACACTTTGACAACATGTTTGATATAATCCTACCTTTTACTCATTGAAGTCTGTGGGAATAAAGACACGATTTGGTGTTTTTGACCATCATCTCCTTCAATCCTTTTGTATCTAGTTGGGAGCTGCTGGACAATCCTGGATACAACAATCTTTGTGACTGCTGTGAATCCAGTTGCAAGTCAAGGAGGACAAGGAGTACAGTATTAGGTACTTTTCACTGCTTTGTTACCACTTTATTGAACCAGTATCATCGTACAGAGGTAAAACTGTTCTTTTTTTCTTGCCAAACAGGGAAGCACGGGAGAGTACAGAAAGCAGTACTTGGGCCGATCACTATCACAGATGTGAAGTCTTGAACTACCGCAAAGGTAAGTTCAATAATGCAATATATTCTAGGCAGAGCAAATTTATTTGTAAACCACCATTCATACACAAGGCCATTCAAAGTGTTTATAGATGCAAGGAGAAACATTGGGAGTGAACTCAAGAAAGTCAATGGTAAACCAGGTGTGCTGTTAACTCATTTTTTCATCATTTCACATTGACTTTGAACAATTCCTTTTTGTTTTTCAGGAATGATTCATCTGAGGAGCACTGTTTTTCCAATCTGAATTGTGTTTTTATTATTTGAATCCTATGCTCAGTGCTTGTTTGTATATGCATTTCAGATTGTAATATAAAGATGTTTCCCAACACGCTTTGAACCTTACAATTTTGACTGCTTAATGTCTGTTAAAGGTGTTCGTTGTAGATTTGCTTTGTGTGTCCAAAACAGGGATCTCTGAAACAGAGATGCACAATATTAGCACCATGTCAAATGCTAAAAAGCCGTTCTCGAATTCACAATACAAGAACTTTACTGATGCCCAACGGGAAATTTTTGCCTTTACTGATGTGACATTCCAAATAAGTCCATTTATATTTATTTCACTGATGGAAAAATGTAACATGGTACTCATGTGAGATAAGCTATGGAGTTAAGGCAGTGGTGTACAAGGCGCATCAATCAGCCATAATATTAGGCCATTCATAACATGGGTTATATCCCAAGCCCTCCCTCCTACCGGAGATGTAAGGAAGTAAAGAGGGGGAGAAAAAGAATAAAATATATTGAAAGCTTTTCTAGATTATAATCTCCTGTGCTGTTCCAACCCATGAAGAATTTAGGGATTCTGCCTTTTGAGCTTTTCCTTAAATATTATTCAAACTACTTACATTTTGGTAACATGTATTGTTAGACACAAATTGTGGTATTCACTGCCACGAAGAAAACACACCACTCCTAAAGGAAAAAATTAAATTAATTTCTCAATTAACGAAGATATCAGCCTATATTAAAAGAACACTTTGTAAAAATGTTTACACTGTTTTTTTCCTGAACTAATGAGAATTAATTTGTTAATTCAGAAAGAGTGATTTTTTTAATATGCTCCTGTAGAAAAATTAACAGAACATTTTTGTAAATGAAAAAATACTGTCCTGTTTTTCTGAATTGAGAAAATAATTTGGTTACATTTGAAAAACAGCTAAAGTTTGTGTTATACACAACATTTTCTCATAATTCTGAGGTTTTCACATCAATTCAGGAAAAAGGTAAGGATTTTTCCTTTCCGCGCAAATGTAGTAATCCGATTTAAATTATGTTCACAACCAATAAGCAGTTAAAAGTCTAAAAATCACTCTTAAAAATCAAAATGTCCCAGAAATGGATACAAATGTTTACAAGATTTTATTTTTAATTTGTGAAACTAATCTCAAAATATATTCCTATTTACCAAATACAACACCAACACAAACATTACAGTACATAGAATATGGATTTTTTTAAAGGACAGACTCTAATTTAACGTAACCGATGATGGTAAAAATCGCAAAAATAACTGAAAATATTTACATGACTTTATATGTTGTGCGCGTAGCAGTTGTATGCGTCATTCCGTCATAACACAGCGGAATCGCGCGAGATTGAAACGCGGTGCCTCTGGGAGAAATGCCGTTCGGACCAAACTTCACTTGGTTCACTTCCAAACACAGAGACAGGTACGTTTATGCTAATACCTTGACGCGTAAAAGCGGGAGATTTATCAAAGTGTTAAGTTTGGAAGCTTTGAGTTTGTCTAGCGAATTTTACTCAATTTCCAGCTGGCCGGCAAACACCGTTGGTCTACTGTAAAAGCTGTTAGCTGTTCATTGTGGCATCATTAATACCTCCGCTGGGGGGAGGGGACTTGTTCACTGACTTTGTCCAGGATGGCATATAGTATACGAGCACAACTAGTCTTGTTTAGTTCGGTTGCACATGATGAAAATAACGATGAAGAGCTATGAATGCTTAAACATTGTACAGTGAGGGTTTGAAGCCCCAAAAGGCTCATGAGGATGCCTCCCCTCTCGGAGAGACAAGAGACATAACAATGCAGAGCAGTTAGAAAGTATGACATGGTGACATGTTAAAAAGACGAGAGGTACTGCAAGACTTTAAGTTGGTAAACTTTTAAAAAGCTTTTCTAAATATGATAAAGAAGATGCTGATTGTAGAGATGTTGGTAAACTGTTCCAAGGTTCTCTGTATTTCAGTGTGAAGTCACAATTAAAGGTAAAAGTCCTCCTCCTCCTGATGTAATGTGTTTTGTGAATGCACCGACACCTCTGCCTATCACAAGTCAAATTCAACTAAATATAATTGATGGGTTTAATCTCAATTTGAATATCTGTATAATTGTGAACTGCTGTCCTGTTTTTTGTGTGGATGTCTTCAGTGAATCCTGAGTGGAACTTTGCCCATGTTAGTCAGCTGATCAAAACCACCGAATATTCTACCTCCTACCAACTACTTACACTGAATAAAATATATTACATTATTGCATTGGTACAAATTGTGTATTCATGTATAACTTAATACAATCAAATGTCAACAAAATATCCTTTACTATAAGACTAAAAAGTCCTAAGTATGAAGTTTAAGTACCAACAAGTTGCAAATAAAGAGGCCTAAAAAGAAGAAGAGACAGTTAAAGGGTAACAAATGGCTGCAAGAAGATGACATATAAGAGAAAATAAAACAGGGAAAAAGACTTTCTTAATAAGACTACTTATTAATATAAAAGCTGGAGAAGTTTGCGGCTCCTCCAGCCCAGAAGGTTTAAGGGGGGGACAGAGCTTTCTACGCTGCCGCCCCCACCCTCTGGAATTCACTCCCCAAACCAATCGTTGACTCTACAGACCCCCATACTTTCAAATCACTCCTTAAAACACACCTTTTTAATTTGGCTTTTAAGCTGGGAACTGTTCTTTTATTGTCTTTTCATATTGTGTCTTTTTTAACCCTCTACACTGTTGGTCTTATTACTCAAAAGTTTCTGTATTTTAAATTGTGTTTTTTTTTTTTTTTGTAAAGCGTCTTTAAGCACCTGTAAAAACGCATTATAAATAACATTTATTATTATTATTATTGTTATTATTATTATTAAGTCATTAATATTAAGGCTCAGGGTGTTTAGCAGCAACCTACCTCATGATTAATACCATAAAGTTTGAGGTGTGACTTTATCCAAAGGATTATTGTAACTTTAAATCTTCCATTCTCCTGGGGATGAGGCTGGGTTTAAGCCAGGAAAAACAAAAAACACTCAAATTGCACAAAAGTGCGAGACTAGGGTGTTCTTTTACATTATCATTCATGTTTTTGTCTTATCTATTCATTGTGCAGAAAAGGAAAGCCACAAGATAAGAAATGGACTGGTTCCACTGCAATCATTGCTTTACAAGAAAGAGTTTCAACTTTGCTGTGTCCAGCTGTGGACACATCTTCTGTGAAGGGTGCATTAAATCTAGTAAGACCACTATAAATGATCTGTTGTTTTGGCTTCAACTTTTTATACAGGATTTTTATTATGTCTTAACATCACATGCATTTTAAGGTTGCTAAAGCTGATTGAGATCATGTTTCCCCACAGAGCAGTGCAGTGTGTGTGGAGCTAGCTGCAGTTACCTACCCATCACAGATAAGGTTAGTGAGGTCACTGTCTGATACCACCAACAGATATTGACCTTATTTAACATACTCAACTTATCATCACTGCAATTTTGTCATTACAGATGAAACCACAGGAAAAAGTGTTTTTTAAAGACCCTGTGAAGCTCATCCAATCAAGGCTGGAGCACATTTCACAGGTCTGTCCCTCTGTGCAGCGCTCACTCAAAGCTCCTTCTCTGCTTTTCTTTTTAATTGCTACAGCCGTGTGGTAAATGTCAGAGCGGGGAGTTAATTAATGAGTCATTCAGCTGCAGACTGGATTTTGACAAGATTAGAACTACTAAGGACTGGGAATTTCTGAGCCATAATACAGCAAATGAGATTTAAATTCCAAATTTTCAAAGTGTTTATCTGAATGGAAGAATACTAATAAAGGCTTTCTGTCCCTTAGATTGCACTTTTTCAGAGGACACAAATGGAGCGGGTTACAATGTACTTCAAGCGCAAGTCTTTTGAGCTGGAAAGGCATCTAAAGGAGGTCACTGAGCAGAGTCACAGGTGAGTTTTGTGGTTATCCCGTGGTTGTGTAAATAACATCCCCACAGAGTATAACACTTCTTTTCCTATGTCTTTAATCACAAGGCAACTGTCTGAGCTGAGAAGAGAAAACACAGACTTAAAAAAGCAGCTTTCAGAGCTAAAAAGAGAGAATGCTGAACTGAAGAAGCCACTTTCCCAGAGGAGGGTAAGTGTTCTGAAAGTCTAAAAACTAAACGATTTTGGAAAAAAAATCTGGTAAGTAGACACTGACACAGTATGATTAAGAATATGAAAACTTTATTTATCCCTGAAGGGAAATACAATTTGATTAAGCAAGCTTTCTTTGTTTTTGCCACAGGTTTCTTCAGGACCATTTCAAATAGAAGGGTGACACAATGAAAATTTCAAAATTTTAATGTTTGTTTTTTCGCAAATTTTCTGGTTTTATACCAACTCCTTAGACAACAGTGTCACAGCTTCTTGTTTCCTTCATAGCTCTCAAAGGATGTCCCTCCCAGTAGCTGTCACCTCCCCAGGTAGACCCAGAGATTGAGTTGAAACGCTTATTTCAACATTTAAACTGCTGTGTTCATGTGTATTTGCTTTTTAAAGTGTGCTCACGTGTTTTCTTTCTGTCTCTTTTTTTTAACTAGTTACCCCTCGTTCAAGACCTATAAGGTATGTTTTACATCATCATGTTTTTTGTTTTTTTTATTATATTTGAAATCATCAAATCATCGCTTCAGGTAATATAAATAGTAAATAATAAAGATTTAAATCCAACAGATCTGAAGCACCTTAATACAGCCTGGTCACACTGTTTGCAAGTGATCAGACTGGATTTGTGTCAAGATATCACCAGCTCCTTCTGCATGAAAGTTCATTGTCTCAGCCTTCAAGTGACAACTCATTTCAGGTTAGGTTACATGGCAGACCAAATAGAAAACCTAATAGTTATTTGTTGTGTATGAATGGAAAAATTACCATCAGATTTTAGGTTACGTCGTCCCCCTTAGTTTAAGGATCAAAATAAATTAAATTAAACATTTATTTATTTTGATACAAGTGGTGTCCCCAGGATAAACTTCCTGATTCAATTAGTTAGATACTTGGTGGTGAGTGAGAAATGATGCGGATGTTGTGCATTGGCAGTGGCAAACACCACATCTCAACATCAGTGAGCTTTCTGTGAAAATTATTGGACCATTGAATAAAGCATTTTTATGTTCCTAATTCAATCATACGTGTCTGTTGCAATCATGGTGGCCTGATGGTAGGACCCAGCTGCCCACTGCTGTGCCAGCATGGGAGGTAAAAAAGGAGACAGGACAGGGGTGAGATTTGATCACTGTGGACTGGTGGGGGAGACAAGAAGGAGCAGTGCTTTCTGTGTGTGTATATCTGAGTTAGTGTGAAGCCCACGTTGTATTTTAGCTCCTATACACTGTCATGCCATATGGAATTACACACTTTAATACCAATTTTGTTGCAGGATTATTAAAAAGTACAGTGGCATGATGGTTGAGGAGCTTTATGATAGCAGACATTTTTAAACAAGACTTTAAGATAGCCCTTCTGCCCCCCACCCTCCACCATCATCCTAATACATAACAATTAAAGGTTAATGAGTATACACACCATCTGTCCTCTATGGTAAAGTGACTCATGGGTTAATTTCCAAAGTATTGTAAGTTATATGGGAGCACATGGTGGCCTAACACCAGATAAAGACAAACACAATGATCATTTTTTTAATTTGTTGTTTTATTTTATTTATTTAGTCTTTCACCTTGTGCTAGAACTGCAAAACTATTTCATGCTCTAACATGCTGTCTCTTTTGTTTTGGTCACTTCAGTTCAGTAGAGCTGCAGGGGTGGACAAGAGACAGAGGTCCCAGTCTGTCTTCTCTCACAGTAAGTTTTGTGAAATGTTATGAGACTCACTGTTGACACTTGTTATGGACAGGATGTAAAAATGGTAGTGCTTTACTAACAACAACTGTGTAGTTAGAGAATAGACTTAAATGTAGTTTCCGAAAATATTTGATAAGTTTTTTCAGACTTTGGTGGACACATTCATTTCAGTCTGACAACACAAATCTCTAAAATTAAGGTGAACTTAAAATAATATTTCAATGCAGCTCACAGATTTTTTTATGTCACTGTATGAGCTCTTTTACTAAGACATGAAATCTCCATGAAACAACCATTCACTAAATAAAATGTTGAATATGCCCAAAACTTTGGTTAAGAGATACCAAGATTATGTTTTATCCAACTACTACATCCAAGGTCAATAGTAATGACTCGTTGATAGTAATGACACATCATATATATATATGAAATCTAAATACAAAATTATTATGATTATTGTTATTATTAACTGGAAGCAGGTAAATGAATTAGTGATGATTTGTGCAAGGTGAAGGGGTTGGACCAGACAAGTTTCAACTTCCTCCCACTCCATTTTAAACATGCAAATGATAAAATTATTTGACTCTGTGGTTTTGTTTTCAGTTTTTTTTTATGTCTTTATTTGTACTATGTATGATTGTTCATGTTCAAATAAATTCCATAAAAAATTCAAGTATTTCAAGCTGAAACTGCAGTTGGTTTGAATTTTTGGAACATGAATAAGAGGAAATACCTCACCTTTTTTTTTCTTTTCAGACTCCTGGAACAGCTTCTTCTATTTCCAGCCACAGTTCTCATGAACATGTACACAGTAAGTGTGGTAATAGCTCTACCATGGCTTTGTTCTCAGACTGGATACACCATGCATTACAGACTTATTAATACATTTCACTCTGCATAGGAACACCGACATCATATGGCACTTTCGGGTAAGGAATACTTTCCAAAAACCTCAGCAATCCACTTAAATCTGATGTCAGTTTTCAGACATACTAGCTCAGTCAACCCATTTCTCTGTCCTCAGAACTCAGCGTCAGACTCCTGATGCTTTCCAGTTCCAGTTTATGGGTGGATTATCAATACAGTCACCCAGGCGTTGATGACAGTTACCTCTTACCTCTTGTAGAAGCTTTTTTTCACCTGAATTCATCAGCCAAATATGTTTATCACAACTCTCACATTTTTTTCCTGACCCAAGTTTTTGTCAGAAATAAATTTGTTTTGAAGGTGTTACCTTGTTCTTCTGTTTTCACAATGCACGCAACCTGTAGTTTTATGACCATGCAACTACAGGCTAAAAACTTTCCTACACAGAACTTCTACAACCGCTTTCTTTTTTCTCAAAAGGCAGAATTATCAATCACATCTGGTTGGAGTAGCCAGAACACAGAGGGAAAACATGGCTCGCACACATGATTATAAAGGCAAATCTTTTACTTGTTTCCAGTGACACAATTGTGCAAATAAGACCAGGGAAAACACAGAGAAAACCTGCAAAGGTAGACACTAAATGTTTTAAGGGATTCTCTACAGCATCATATCGCATGATCTTTTCATGATAAAGAGAATGACAAAACATACTACAGTGATGCACATTACTTTCTCAGCATTGAGGTAATTTACTTTTGTAAAGGGATTTCTAACAAACTAAGCTCTTCTCAAAACCCACTTCAGCTACTGAAGGACAACGTAAAAGTACATTTTACAGAACTCAACACCTTAATGTTCAATGTCTGCACTAAATTACTTAATATGAGTGAATGGTGGTATTTTCTCTGTTGATTTAACCTTTTAGTTGAGCAGCACGTAGATCCCAACAGCTGTATTATCTAGCTTGTAAATGTCATAAACTTACCAACCTACATCCTACGTTCAAAGGTGGGTCAGACATGTTGCCTTAAAATACTTTTTAAATCAACAATTGGAAATCTGAATTGATGTTTAACATCTGTTAAGTTTGTGTTTGCTGCTTTTTTCTCTCAATATTAGCCTTCACTTTTTAAAAATGAAGTGCATATGACAAGCAAAATATTTATGAAGGACTATATCAGAGCCTAAAAGACAATTTGGGAATGTCATTTAACGAATATGTTCTCAACCGTAGGTATACTTTCTGCTTTTTAAAGTGGATGGCAATAGGTCTTACTTTGAAGGGATCAAGAACGTCAATCAATTAAGAACTTATATTTTTAGAAAGAACTGGATTTAATCAAAGTAATGGCAGCAGGTTTTAAAACCAAGTGCACGATGTAAATTGAAAGCATACATGTCCAGTGTGCTTTTCATGACAAGGAATTATTGGCTGTTCAGGAATGATGACACACAGTGATCAGTCAACAGATCCATTAACAGACATTATTCTGAAGCAGTAACACACCAAATACCATCTGTCAGGTACCAACGGTACAACCTTTTTAAATTATACTGCTACAATAACATACTAAACATATTTGTACTTGTGATGTCTAAACGATAATAATGAACTCGAAAAACATAGCAAACCAGTGTACAAGTTACTGTCCTATTTACAGCAACACAGGCAGCACAATTATAATTCAAGTCCAAATATATTACCATAAGCAGGAAATGCAGCATGTGTAGAAAAACAAACCTCACTTTGGGCTTGTACCGGGAAGACTGAATGTTACAAACCTGCTTCAATTAAAGCAATTTAAACCAAACTAATAACTATGCCTGTGGGTGCAAAGGATTTGAAGACAATTATACCAACTTTAATAAATCGTTTCAAGTCTGGCTCCAGTGTGTTCATCAGTCACAACAGGTTCTTGGTCAGTCTCTGAAACTTCCTGAGCAGCAAACCAGTCTCGCACTTGCTGGTAGCTCATTCTTGATTTCTTGCATAGAGAGTCAAGGTCTTTTTCGTGAAGCGAGCCATTACTTAGGTAATATGTTTCCAATGGCTGGGTATCAGGGGAATCAGTACTTGTCCCATTTGAATGAGATTTTCGTTTACGGCCGCCACCTGCTCGAGTGGATGTCCCCGAGCCACTCCCATTGGTCAAACCACTGTTGCTTTGCTGAGCTGCTAGTTCTGCCAGGAACTGGTCGCGGACCTCCTTCACCCAGCGTAGTTGGCCATTTTTAACGGCATACCGCGTGTCCCCAAACCACTGAATAACGTCTGCACGGGGTAAACCTGTAAGCTTTACAAGCTCAGTATAATCTTCACTCTTGGGCCACTGGCAGCGTAAGAAGTGCTGCTTTAACACGTCCAACTGCTCCTTGGTTTTTCTTGGTCGCCCAGCAGGAGTAAGCGCAGGGGATGAGGATGCAGATGAAGAGGCGCCTGTTGTGCGAACAGGCGTTTGTGAGGGGCTGGCTTTGGCTGAGTGGGCTGACTTCTTTGATGTGCTGATACTCTTTGAAAGAGGTTTACTGGGTGATGTACTCAGTGGTGGGCTGCCAGATGGAGTGGAGCAGGGGGAGGATTTCAGTATTTCTGACTGCCCCTGAGAAACATCTGGCTCAATCTTGCAGATCTTGATCAGCTGGATGGGTTGTTCTTCATGTTGTTCCTCATCTTGACTATCTTTACTGTCCCCATCAACACACAGCTCTTCCATCACAACATAATTGTCTGTATCAAGGACCCTTTCTCCAAATGCTTCTAGACTGTTGGACAGAAAGGTCTGAAAGAAATGGGAATTTTTGACCCCATTATTACGGACTCCTTCATGGCCCTTTAGCCCGTTTTGTTGACGAGGCTTTTGGGTAACGAGTGAAAGAGGTTGGCTTTGTTGATCTTGTTTACTTCCAATAGCAGTCTGTTGAGAGAAGTTTTGGGCTGCTGCCAGGCTCCCTCGGCCAACCCTAAGCTGATAGCGGCTGTCACTGAACCATTTACGAATGTCATTACGGCTCAGACCAGTCTCTTCTTGCAAACGTCTGAGCTCTGCCTCTGCGGGCCAGTTCTCTCTTAGAAAGCTCTTTCGAAGGGCTGCAAGTTGAACCTTTGTCTTTTTGTAGCGCCCATGGCGACTCTGTTGTGATGACAATGAAAGATCGAGAGAGATGTCATCAGCTGTGCTTGCCGGTGTGTCAGCTGGTGTGTCTACTGGTGGGTGGTAGAAATAAGAATCCTGAGGAGGAGGGAGGGTGGAACTGAAACATGGGGCAGTGGGTTTGGATAATTTATATGAATTTGGTGACTCCGAGTTTGGTTTCTTTTTTGGAGGAGGGGAGATGGGGAGCACAATCTCAACTTCATCACTTTCGTCATCTTCAATGACCAGTTCCTCACAGCTTTTCCTTTTGCCCTTCAACTTGACCTCCTCGGTTACTTCAGAAGAGTCATCACAAAGCTCAGGCACTTCTAGCTTTCGCCGCGTCTCCTGTATTTCCTCTGAAGACCAGCTGATACCATATTTGATCCTTTGTACCATAAACCACACTTTAACTTTATCCAGTGGCAAGGCACATACACGGGCAAGGGTGTTGATTTCATGGGATGATGGATATGGAAATAAGTTAAAGGCTTGGACAAGCTCTGGGACTGTGTCAAGTTCACGGGTTTGATCTGACTGTGTCCATACCAATTTTAGCCCCTCTGATACAAGAGGCAGGCACACAACGGAGTTGTGGTTAGTGGTGAAACTGGCAACACCACTTGCGTTACTTTCATTTGAGCTGGCAGAGTGGTGCAAATCCGTTGGGGAGCGTTGAGCTTCGAGCTTTTCCTCACATTCTTTCCCTTCAATCAGCTCCTTCATGCCCATGTGAAGTCCATTTCTGCCATTCTGATCACTGTAGGTTGCCATCTGGGATATCAGAAGAGTTTTTTCAACTAGAAACAAAACAAACAAAAAAATTTGTTATTACTGATATTGCCAGTACCGTTGGAGAGACTGTTAGCACTTTAAAGATAAGGAGAAAGAACTATCTGCTATGGAGTACAGTCATACAGGAGTACGGACTATGATGATTTAAGAACTTTTTGTTCTCATTCATTCCCGTAGTCAGTTATCTGACAGCTGTTTACCCTCCCCCTCTTCTTTGCACTTCTAGTTCTGAACTCCCAATGAAACTAGTCGTATCCCAAACCCTGTTCAGACTGGGTCCCCCTCCCCCAAAAGTGTGGTGACTGACTTTTGTTTTGTGTGAGTGGGGGGACTGGTCGCAAAGGGTGGGAGCGTGGGGCAAAGGGATCTATGAGGAAATCCATCTCCGTCTCCCTTCTCACCCTTTTCCAGTCAGGCTTTGTTTCTCTCCCAAGTTCTCAGCCCACAGAGTGAAGTGCAGCCCCTTCACAAAGGCCAATTCCACAACTGAAACCTGTGGAAGAAGAAAATTAGTTTTGTTAGTCATACCCGAGTCAGAGTCTAGTCATAGTTCACAAGTGAAACATCAAAATTCCTTACAAAATGTTGTTTTAAATCTTAACATGAATATAATTTTGATCATAAGCAACAGGTGTTGATTTCCCTCTACAAAATATCTCAATGGGAAAGTCAAGTTGGCAGTGAGGCAGTTTGATAAGAGGACTATTTATTTTAGATTTTGTTTTGACAATACAATTATTGCCATTCTTCTCTCTTTGTACTTATTACATATTTGGGTGAACTAGGTGTTTAAGACAACAGTGTAAAAAGTGTCCCCTGTTGATACAGGAGGAAGTATTATTTGTGACAGCTGTAGAAATGTTGCGCATTATTTTTGTCAGATTACGCCATGGCAGACGACATGGGTCGCTTGAGGCTTTAAGTAAACGGTAAACAGTACAAAAACATTAGCAAACAATTATGAAATCACCGTATTAGTCATACGTGACACATAGCAACCCACGGGTATGAGATCATGTGGTGGCCCCGCCAGTGTTTGATGCTTTACTTTAACACATTGGGGCAGTTTATGTGGTGTATCTTTGTTTCGGTGTGAGGAAAAGCTGTAGAAGTTGTACGAGTGGCAGTAACAGTCCAGTGACTCCCCCTTTATGGCGTACTAACTAAAAGGCTTCACACTGCACAGGCGCACTTCGCCGTCAGACACGCTTCACTGAAACACAAAAATAAACTTACCGAAAATGACAAAATACGCCTTTCTTCCTGAAATCCGATTGAGCTGAAAGTAAAGGACAGAAACTCAGAGTCCCACCTCAGCTACTCCGCTTTTTATGGCCGAAGTTTAGAGGAAGAGCAGGCAAACAATACCGTCTGTCTGCCTGTTTGACCCTTGTCTTATTTATCCAGCACCTCGACGGATTACTGTCGGGATACAAAGATGCGAGGCGACCAAGTTTGTCGCCTTTCGTAGGAGTTCGGTCCCCGACTAAATCCTGCTGAAATCCGGTACAAATATCTCAATCCGTGAGATTCAGGTCCGGTGATGAGTCGCCGTTACTTCGTCCTCTTCCGTCCATCCGTTGTTGCTTTTGTTCTGAAACTGAGAAGTGTTTTCCCTGTCCGGCCAGATCGAGGCGAGGCGGAGCTGAGGACCAGGAAGCCCACAAGGCCCAACTCTCCCACAGTGACGGCGGGGTGGGTGTGCCAGTCTGGGAGAGCTGGCCATGGATTGGAGGGAGGAGGCGCCTGTATAATAAATCCGTGGCAGTAGGCTAAATATTTTCACGTCAACCACCCACTGGTCACCCCGCAAATGAAGCCCACAACATCTGGTGGAATTATGAACTAGAATCATCTTCTCATTTTAATATGAAAACCACCCGAGCCATAATGTTCCTTATTAGAGCAGAAAATAACAAGGGGAGCAGAAGTTGTATTTTATTTACAAGATTGCCGTTGTACTCTCCCTAAATGCCCCTAGAGGTCATTGAACCCAATGTATCGAGCTCATGAGATACGGTTTAGATGCCTTAAGAGGGGTTTCAGTTTGTGTAAATAAACAAAAGGAAAGAATTTGGGTATTTTAACGAAAAACTGTCTGTTTTTATGTTTGCTTTCATATCATTATTGACAAGTTTTTGGTCTGTAGATCTTGCTACCTCCATAATGAAGCACTGATATCTCTCTACTTACATTGTTGCAGACAATCTAAAATAAATGTATTAACCTAAGTTTGTTCCAATAAAAACAAACAAACAAACAAACAAAAAACTAGGCTGTTAGGAAGAGATCACTTTGTCTGACAAATGGAAGTGGAACAATTTTAACTTTCAGGTTAGTGAAACAACTGTCAATACAATTAAGCGTTTCAATTAAACCATCTAATTAATTAACAGTGAATAAAACGCTTTTAAGAAAAGGTATATTTGCTAAAATTTACTTCACTGATTTTGAAACCATAGGCAGTAACCTGCATCATTTTCTAACACATAGCAGTAGAAAGGATCTGTAGTTTACAGAGGTTCGAATTGACGGTAGTATGGCAGTAAAGTGCTGTTTGTTTGAGCATTACGATCGTTTAATCCCCTAACAAGGCATGCTGTCATAAATAATACAGCCGCTGTATTGAAGTGATTTGTGTCAGTTACAGTTAATTAATTCAATTCAGTGTCAATGCTGATAGAAAAAATTTTAAAGGTGTAATTTCCACTTATATGCACAAAGTTCCACATTTATAATAAGTTTGGAGATGTCTGGACTTTATTTTGAATAAACAAATTGGGAGTGCAAACACATGAGGGTTAATATTTCTTTATCTAAACATTTTAATTACTTAGTACAAACACTACTTAACTACTTAATGTCATATGAATTAGTCAAATGTTAAGTATATTTACAGGTAATAGAAAAATAACAGATGCAAAAATATGTGCAAAAATAAGTAAACATGCATATGTTTTCTTAAATGTGACTTCTTCTTCAGATATTTGTCAGAGTAAAGTGTGTAGTGATATTAGATTCCATTTTCACATTATGCAGCTTCACTCACAGCTTGCATTGTTGTCCATGTTGAACACAGAAAACTTGGCAGAGTATCCTTTTTACCTTATCAAAGGGCCTTCATAGCATACTCAGGGTAAAAAAAATAGTGCACAAGGTAAATGACACAATACTCCTTCAAAAGTATTGTTAGTCTGAATGGTTACTGTCATTTTCTAGTCATTGTCATTCATTTAGTCTTTAGTGTTTACTTTAAGCACAGATACTGCCACTGCAGTGCCTGATACTGGAAATGTTTAGAAGCGGCTATAAGCCAGTGAGAGCATGAAGCGTGGGATGCGTATGAATGAAGGCACAACAACTGAGAGCCAGGACAGATATGGGGCCTGGGACAGGAGGAATTTGATGGAAGTGTAGTCAGCAACACTGCGCCCTAGAAATAAACAAAAAAAGATCAACCAGTTGTAAGAATTATGTTTAAGTTAAAATTTATCATCAAAAATGACACTGTAAAGCAAACCTACCATCAACATCTTTTATCCCATAGCGCCTTGCCAGGTCACAGGTCATGAGTATTTTCCCAGTCAGTGACATCAGATTTTTATCTTTTGGTGTCAAAGGAAACAAACAATTGCTCAGTTTGAAAGTGAACAACACACCAACATCATGCACACATCAAATAATCAAATATGACCACGTCATCAATGTCCTCTACTGTTGAGCCCATCTAGCAAAGGCAAAGTGAATGCCATCTTATTTGTCACACTCAGAGTGGGAAGCTCGACAGCTGTTGTGATGTACTGCTGAATAACAGGTTGCAGAATACCTTCAAGTGGAGAATCTTTGTGCCATTTTACAGTTTCCCAATTAAGCAGTAACTAAAATGAAAATGAAAATACTCAGTGAAAACCTCAAGGGGCATCAGGCCATACCAACCAGCAACCAACCAGCCACCCATTACATAGTCTACACAACTATTAACTAGATGTGAAAATAACTCGACACAGAGTATTTATTTAAAGATGATTTGATAGATCTCAAAGTGAGTAATCTATGCAATTTAACAAGCCCCCCAGATTTGACTGCTTTCAGAGCAACAGTGTTCTTATCAGCTGATCTGCAGGTCACATTAAAATTTTTTTGCTTTGTCTCTGTTTTCTAAAATGTTTTGAATATCTGTCTTTCCCGTGGCGCCTTGTGTGGCTCATACCCTTTGCTGTCCTCGCAGCCTCTCTTCTTCATCTTCTTTTCTATCTGTAACTGGTCAGCAGTTGACCATGAACCAAGGGTTTAATAGTCTCCAACTAAATTTAGAGTAATATTAAGAATTTCCTCTACGTCACTTCCTGAGGCTGTTGAAAAGAAACGTTTTTCTCACTTTGGCCACAGGAAGAGGTAAAATCGTAAGTCTAATGAATGTGAGGGACTCGCTTCTGCAGATTGATTTGACGTGATGGGGAGCACAACTGTTGGCTAAGAATTTAGGCCTTTTATGTTGTGTCATGTCATCAGAGTGACATCTTGGCCAAGAGTTGGTTGAATGCTGAAAAAAATATATGACCAGGCAGTGCAAAATACTTGATCCTGCTTGGTCAAAATCTTGTAACAATAGCAGTTAATTCTCAACAGCATAAATGATGCCAGAGACTAACTGATCACAAGGTAGGCAATACCAAGTTAGTCTGGAAGAAAGTCAAGCCACTAGCTGTTGCTTCCGAGGCAAAAAAAAACATTAGTTTTGATCTCAGGCTGGTCTTCAGAGTTAGACAATAATTACAGCTACTGGACGTAGTTGTAAGAGCAGCCTAAGAAGGTACTGGGCTCCAACCATCCCTGATCAGGAAAAATGGAGCAAGCTCCTGTCCTTCAGCCCAGGCAACAGCAGCACAGCTGATGAGAGCAATTCTAAGTGATTGATTGCAAAACCTTGCTTAAACCAAGAGCATGAGTGATGATAGAATATGTTAAAAGTTATGAGTCATTTACAACTCCAATTCCCATGAAGATGAGGCATTGTGTAACACATGAATTAAAACACAATAAAATGATTTGCAAATCCTTTACCACCTATATTGAATTGAATACATAACAAAGTCAAGATATTTAATGTTCAAACTAAAGTCATGTCTCTCAGCTGGCTTGGGAACACCTCGGAGTTACCAGAGAAGAGCTGGATGAAGTGGCTGAGGAGAGGGAAGTCTGGGCTTCCTAGCTAAGGCTGCTGCCCCCGCGACCAACCCCGCAGAAGAAGGTTCAGTTGTTCAAAAGCAAGGACGGGGCAAGGTTTATCACTATACGAACATTTCAGCAAGACAATGCCAAGACACATTAAAATGGGTGGGAAAGGATTTGTAAATCATTGTATTCTGTTTTCATGTTTTACACAATGTCCCTTCTTCATGGGAATCTGGGTTGTGTTTTAGAGGTGGTATCAGCAATTTGTTGTTTGGTTCTTATTCTCTTCTTAAATCTCAGAGCTTCAATGAAAATGAAAATATTCTGATTCTGAGTTGTGTCATCTGCAAAACTCTGAGAAGGAGAGCTCTATATGAATTGAAATATATGAGCTTGGATCAGCAACTGTCTTGCGGTAACTGGCTGGTTTACAGATATGTTGGTAATCTTAACAGTCTTAACAGTTTTCCTCTGGAGCGACACTATCTACTGATTTTTAACTGCTGATCAATCAAGAAGCAGCAAGAGGTAAATCATTTTTTTAATCCCCTTCATTTATACCTTTTGGGAGCCTTGAACACAGCAGTATAAGTCTGATCCAACATTTGAGTTTCCCTCCTTGATCATCATGTCAGACAAAAATACCCATCTTCTAAATTTGGCATATACAATAACATCCTACCTTGTGCCAAGTTCACGATACACTTTCCGCTCACTTCTGTGGTTTCTCCATCAGCAAACACATCCTTGAACTGTGGAGGAAAAAATCCATCAAGTAAGTTCAAAAGAAAGAAAAAAATAAAAAGAGTTACCATGAATACAGACTGGCTATTAAATGAAGTCTACCTTTGGATTGACACCCTCTGGAGCTTCTTTCTTCAGTACCAACTCTGATACCAACTCTGTCTGTACTGCTCCAGGCCACAGGCTGACGGATGCCACTCCTCTGCGTTTCAGCTCAACAGCCATGTCTGCTGCCAGCCTGTCACACTGGAAACAAAGCACACAACAAAACAGGCTTTCATCTCACTGACCTATGTGCACAGCACACACACTTGGGATGAATGAGATATGGTCGTTGATGAAATGATTCTAATGAGAAAAGAACTTACAGCCGCTTTGCCAACACCATACGGCACATTGAAGAGATAATAAAGCCCACCAAAGGATGAAATGGTGACAATCAAACCCTGACCTTGAGCCACCATCAGCCTGGATGCATGAACTGAGAAGAAATAGTGGCCCCTAGACAAAAAACGGGATTAGTCACATCCTGTAGTTTTTAAATATCTCTGATCAACTGTAAATCTATTCTGCTTAATTTGCAGTGACTGTACTACTTTGACAACGCCCTTGAGTGCACTTTCTGGAAAAGTTACTCTGAGGAAAATTCCTGTCTAACTCATAAACAAACTGGACAAAAACAACTGAGTAATAAATAATAGCAGGATATATGTCACCAGACACCAGTAGATGATTCAAAGGTTTGCTGACAATTACTTTGTTAACATGACTAAGCACAAAGCATACCTGAGGCCTGTATTGTTGATTGAATCCCAGATGGTCGGGTCTACCTCCCAGAACTTCTTCCCCATATTGTCAAAGATAGCCTGGAATGACCCATCATGTTCAGAGTTTAGGTAAAACAGGGTGTGTGGTGCATGGGTGTGTGTGCGTGTATACAACATATTGGCAGAACCAAAATATCAAGACTTCAGTAGTTTAACTTGGCAGGTATGTTCACAGGTTATTTGACCCTCAATTCAATTAATCCTCAAGGGACCTTTAGTGGACTCCTGGTGGACTTCAAAGCCTGCTTTGTGAGCTGACTTACCAACTATTGATTTGAAAACTAACATGATGCTTCCGATTTTACTACTGCCAAACTGAAAAGTAAACTTTTTAATGAATATGTATCAGTTAGTTAGAATATGCTTGAGATCAAATTTTCTGAAGTCACATCAAATTTAAAAGCACGCACACCACACTGAACACACAAGATCGAAACATGCGTATGCAATACCCACATATCTATAAACAGAGAATTAGATAAAAAGGAATAAGATAAGAAGAACTTCATTAATCCCTGAAGGAAAATTCAGTTGTCTGTTGTCTCACATAATATGCCTCTAAAAATTATCTATTATTTACACAAGAGTTATAAAGCCTGATGCCTGTCGGTACAAAAGATCTTCTGAATCTTTCTGTCCTGTAGTGAAGAGAGAGGAGCCGTCCACCACCATTGGCCCTTTGGTCCATCAAGGAGTTATTCCACTTTGATAAAAAGTAGTAAATTTAGCTCTTTTTCAAACAAATTCTGTTTTCTCACTAAGATATCTATTGTGATTTATGTTCAGTGTCCAGTGTGGTATTGGCTTGAGGTCAAAAACAGTTAGTGAGCTTGTTAGTGCAAGCTTTAATTACCCTGATTACCCTGAGGGCAGTAGGTCAAACATGATGTTGGCAGGGTGGGATATATCTTGCAGAATGCAGATCATCTTCTAGCCTTTGGAATTTCTTTTAATTAATGAAGTAAAAATATAATTATTAACTCCAGCATGATATAACTAAAAACTTACTGGAAATGTATTTTTAAAACTCTAACTCTCAGACTTGTTTCTCACTAATGTAGTCTCATACCCTTGCAGAGTTGACATGACAGTAAAGACATCAGAGTACATACCACTGGCTTCGACAAATTCTCAGTATGCAAATCCAGAAGGCGGAAATTTGCCTCACTGTTCCCTCAAAAGTTCTACTCTTACAGTTTTGTGGTATACGATGTTGTTCAAAGCAGTTCAGTAATCCTACCTGCACCCCAGCGTAGGCATTGTTAACCAGGATATCCAGCCGGCCGTTCTGTTCAAGTTTGATCTGTTCAAACAGGTTTTCAATGTCCTTGTCCTTCGTAGAGTCACAGATAACAGGCACACAGTTTCCACCTCTCTCTTTTACCTGTTTTAAGAACAAACACACCAGATGTTGACCTTACAAACAAAGCTGACTGAAACACTGAGGTAACCACATAACATTATTGTTTCAGTCTTGCATGAATTGAAGGTAAGTTGAATCATAACTTGAACTCTACTGAAGAGTCGGCTAACTTGACATTACTTTTGTTTTTCAGCCAGGTTGCATTTCAGTTCAAGCCTTTTAGACAGCAAATCTGAAATCTCACCTCTGCAGCAGTCTGTTTCAGGGTGCTCTCCTGCCGCCCTGTGATGTAGACGGTAGCTCCAGCCTCTGACAGCTGGAGGGCTATTCCTCTGCCAATACCTCTGGAGGCACCTGTCACCAAACACACCCAGCCAAACAAGGCCATTTTCTCTGGGACAAGGAAACAAAAACACCGTAAGCAGTAAGAAGCAAGATCAGGTACACCGTTTGGTTTAAACGGAGACTGGTGTAGGACGAATGTGAACAGAGGTTTACACAGAAATGCAAAAGGAAAAAAAATATGATTACATAAAAGTAAAATGAGCTGTCCCCTCCCACCGTCCGAAGTTCACTTGAAATCTGGAGGAGCTGTTATGTCTTGCACAACTCTTCTGATTCATCATTTGCATTTTCCATTTAACAATTCACACTGACAACATCAGCTCAACGAATGGAAACATCCCACAATCATGGATATGAAAGTGTTCCCAAATTAAATGATAAAACAATATAGGACCTTTATGCACTAAAACATTACAGAATTGTCCATCAGGGCTGATAGGCCAGTAAACTCTTCAGTCCTTATGTAACAAGCCCATTTAAGTTTTTTTATTTAATTTGTTTTAAATTAAAACAAACTTTATGGCCATATGGTCCGGGTTCTCGACATCAAATGGCAAATGAGCTCGTTTATTTGCCTTTAAATGTTATCAATAACTGTTACATGCTTGTTTCCCTCTCAAAATTACAGTTGTTCTGTAGTTAACTTTTTTAATTTGTCTTGTGACAAGATAATTTGGTAAGGCAAGAAGCTTTCATAACAAGAAAGCGTCTATCAAAGCACGTCCATGCCTTTTCTGAGTCAATGGCGATTCATTTTCAAGACCCACTCAATTTCGAGTCACGCATATCAGCTGTAAGACTCTGTTGTTAGTTAAAGTGTTAGAGAATAAAATACAAGATTGAGAAGTGTAGGAAAAGCTTAAACGCATAAAAAAAATCGATACCTTAGTTCAGAGCGCTGGATCAGGTTTAACAGGTCGCAATAATAGTTTGCCGGACTGCTACAAGGAAGCGTCTCAGTATAAATGTCAAGGTTGGTGTGTGCAGCAGTTATTAAATCATGCAGTGTTCAACATCGACTGCAACAATGTGAACTATGATACAGTTACACGGCTATTGAGGCCAGGCGGACTCTCGCGAGAATACGACCATCGACGAGTGGTTTCCAGGAGACGCTAAAGGTTCACTCAGACTAACTTCCCTTTTCGCTTGAATTATTGCTTGAGTCCTCAGTTTTTTTGACCGGATTTTTTGAATAAGAATCTAAAAAGACCTTTCAGTGTCTAAAATCACTTAAAACTGCAAAATATTATTGATATGCAATTACAAGTACGATACTGTAGCCAGTTGTCCTTACGTCTAAACTGCATTTCGGTCACAGGTTTTTAGGTATTTTTATTAGGACCATTGTGATTTAGACAGTAAATCTGATCATAATCTAAACATAGACATAAAATGTTTAATTCATGGCCAAATAGATGAACTGCCTTGCTGTTAAAGAATGTATTTCGATGAAGGAATGCTCAAGTATATCTTTGTTTTAGACAGACGATGGCGCTCTTGTCCTCCTGTAACTGCACAGTGCCTACAGAGATGGTACAAATGATTCAGGACCAGAATCAGAGTTCCTTATTTATCCACGAGGGGACGCTGCAGATTTTTCACTCATGTACTTGACTGCAAAAACCCAACTCAAATATTTGTGAAGAGTGTTAAAGTAACAGTTCCAGTTTTCTGCCTTCACTGTTTTTTTACATGACAGTGGAAGTGGCAGTGGTGTTTTTCTGTTAAATGGCAGCTACTTAAAACATGATGTTTGTTTTTCTCCAAAGACACAATGAGAACCACAGGGGAGAGTGGGGTAAGTTGAGCCAAAGGGTAAGTTGAGCCACCCCCTGTTGTTTAGTAGTGGTAAAAGATATTGATCATGTGACCAAATATTTAGGAGATGGGCATCAATTCATGGAGTCTGAAGATTAGAAGCACATGGGTAAAGGGGTTAGACATTTATTTAAAAATAAAAACATTTTTCTCTCTTGAAAGTGAATTTAGTCTGTCATAAATTTTATTAGAATTGTGTTCAGACCAAAAAAGCTCATTTTAAATTTGATTTATACATCAATTGTGGTATCTATGAGCGACAACATGAGGTCAGAAACCTGGCATAAAAGTCCACCATTTTAGCTTAGAGGACTAATAAAGTCATCATAGTAGTTCTGGGGTAAGTTAAGCCAGTTGCTCAACTGAGAAAGTAAAAGAGTCTGATGAAAGGATCAGAGTTTCAGCTCAGATTGTTGTAATTAGTTACTTTTTCTTTTCAAAAATATAGCTGTGAATGTTCTGAATCACTTAAAGGCATTCTCATGTTAAAATGGCTTTTTACAAAACAGCTTTTTAGCAGTTATATGTAATAATAATAAAAATAATTATTGCACCAGTTGAATAGAGTATAATAGATAAAAATACACATGAATGTGAAGAAGTGACTGTTATTTAGGGAGAGAGAAGGTGAGGGAGGGCTGGGGTGGAGAGTGGGGATACGGCTCAACTTACCCCGCTCCTATGGTCAACTTACCCCATACACGGCGTAAGTTGACCATAGGGGACCACTTTTTTTGGCATGCTATATTATCAAGACAGTTATGTTTACACTCATTCTGTTGGTTTGCAGGGATGCACAACGTCTTGAACAGTGGCGATTGCTCTAAGACTGCAAGGGAAGCTCGGCTTCCCTTAAAATGTCACCCCCCAAAAAAAAGAAAAAGTGGTGAAATACGTACTGCTGTGTGTACATTTCATTAACTAAATACGCACTACAAAGCCTTCATCTTTTGTTCAGACACTGTGATAAGAAGCTGATAATTATAGGTAACCGGCATAACTTCGTTCTCATTCATCCTCGCAGCGCCTCAGCGCTTTAAACAGCCGGACGCTGGGCTTCTGCTGACTTCAATGTGGAAGCTAAAAGTGGGTTGTTCCAGCAGCGAAACTAGACGCTCATTGGATAAATGCTGGGCTTTGTCCCGCCCAATGGAAGCTAAGCTTCACTGGAGTTCTATGGCGAGAGGGCGGTCCCGACTTTCTCCCGGACTGCAAGCTTCTGCATCCATGATTGGATGAGCTGTCTGAGGCGAAATCCTTTTTTGATTGACAGCTAAACAAGCGAATCAGCGATCTTAAAGAATAAAACATCTACCAGAGCATTTTCCAAGTCATTCATTCCGTTGTTCTTAACTGCTCCGGAGACTTTACCGATCCTCAGCGACTTCTGTCTTTATTAAAAACGACTGCCGTTGTGTTTGGCGACTCTGTTCTGTTACATACTAATAAACAAATACAATTATGATGTAGGCCAAAGAATGAGCTTCCCCTCATTGAAAGACCAGCAGCCGCCACTGGTCTTGAAATATATGCAGATACACTAGTTAGAGACAAAACTATGATTGCTTTGATATAGTGATCCGAAATATGAAAAATGGCTCATCTTACCCCACTGTCCCCTATTATCCATCTGGTTTAGGGGCTTGTAAAAAGGATGTTTATTCAGTGTGGACTAACACAAATTGTGTTGTGTTCAGCAGCTTGGCAGTTCAGCAATTTGCATTTATCATGGAGAAGGTCTCAAGTCCAGGTACACAGCCTAACTCAGGCCTGTCAGTGAGTTTACACCTGATCCTTCAGAGGTTTTTATGCATCTCCCTTACTTTCATTTTATCTCTCACCACCTAAAAACTCAAGATGATAGGAGGTCAAGTGGTGGTTTAAAAATGTCGTAATAAGATCAATGTCAGTTGCAAAGTTAAAGCATTACACAAATCAACACTAAGGACTGTTTGTTGAGCAAATACTAACACCAGCTGGGAATTCATTCAACTGGTTACCGGCATCCTATTACGTAACATACCCAAAATGTGGAAAAAAAATAGTCGGGCAAATATTGACAACACATTTTTCCAGTAAAGCCACAGTGGATCCATGCAAACATAAAAAAAAAAACTCATATAAATTTTCAAGCCAAACCAAACAAAAGGTGGTTCTCCTTTTATTTACAGACCCACACTTTGTTTTATGACAAACACAGCTCCTCCATGGGGACCAAACATTTATTTCAACATTTTTAGAAATTTTAAAAAAGTTGTCAGAACAAGCTAATAAATCTCAAAAGATCAGACAAAAAAGGAAAAGGAAAGTTAGAAAAAAATCAGACAGAAGCTTGGATATCCTCAAGTGGTGCCCAATGTAGTTCTAAAACAAAAATGTTGGCAAGGAAAATATTTATTTGCAAACAGTGATAATGGTTGTATAATAATGTCATGCAAAATGAGCCAAGCATTTTGTAAAGACGAACACTAACATATGCAGATGGAATTGAGTTAATAACCACAGCATGTGCATGTAAATGAACATCTATATAAAACTTAATGTTTACATTCTTCTGTTTTTGCTCTCTAAATCCCTTTAATGAATCCTGATGCTGACATTTAAACTTGTCAAGATATAAAATTCTCTCTTGAAAATCACAAAAGTAAACCAAAATTTATATCCTGTAGCAGTCCTCCTGATGTGATTTGTTCCTGATATTCAAATATTGGCCTTCCGGCACTCTGACCTTCATTGATTATCTGTTAGTGTTACCACAGTGTTTGCTGAAGACAAACAGAAACAACGACAGTGAACCTCCTGGAAAAAGCTTTTGGATTTATATGTGAATTTAAGGTTGTTGTTTTTTGTTTTTGTTTTTGTTTATATGTTTGTTTTTTTTAATGTGTTTCAACCGCTTTTGTCTTTTCTTATTTTACCACCGATTTTGTTTTTTTTATTTAGTTCATTAACTGTAAATCCAATGATAGTCTGAGCGGCTGAAGTTTGTGATGAGTAAGGGCTTGGCTCTTCCTTTATTGGACAGTCTCAATCCTCCCCACAAATCGATATTTTAGAGTTGTACAAAAAGCTGTTGGACTCTTGATAGAGGAGGAAGATTTTACAACACAAGACAAATGGCTGGAGCTTTTCACTTCACAAGACTCTTCCCAATTCTATTCTTTGTTTTTTACATCTCTGACAGCATAGATGGTAAGGAACTGTAATTTGTCTGCACCTCGCTGAGTCAGGAGGCAAAAAATACATATTAAAAGAAATCAAACCCCTGAAAGTTGTTGTTCATGTCAACTTTTCTTCTTTTTTTCCAGTCAATAAGGATGAGTGTACGTCACCCACCCCGACAGAAATTCCATGGGATGTCCAGTCAGACAGCGTGACAAGGATCTTAGTGAGTCAACACAACTGTGACTTATTGAGTGCAGAACTGCATAAATACAGCATGTCTGGGCAACTCTTTTAATGCTCAGTCATATACCCTAGTGTCTCCAGATTACTCTAAAAGATGCAATAAACCCAGACCACACAAATTAAACTTTAAGCGAACAATATTGTATGCCTTGTATTGCTTGTGTGTATTGCGATGTTTGATTTTTGTCAGATAATCTTGCTTTTCTTTGCTTTTTTTAAAAATAATTTTTACCCATTATATTTCCTTTGCTCCTTTACAGGCTACCCTAAAATGTCCTGGTGAGTGTACACGTTTGTCCATTTCAAACATACTAATAGATGAAATATTCTAACAAAAAGTGATATGTCTCATATAACAGAAGGTTAAAGTTGACAAGAGGTAGCTTTATGCTGAAGAATTTAAATCTCATAGTAAGGATTTTTTGTGTTTATGAAATAGACTGAAGTCACAATAAAGTCCCTTTATGGCACACAAAAGCAAACAAAACCATAAGAGACAAGATTAAAGATTTTCACATCATCATTTTTTATGCCTGTAACAGTGGGAGGAAGTATGCGCCAGCGCAGCAGCTGAGGAAACAGCCCTTTTTTTTTATATATATATATCAAATATTCATTATAAATGATTCATTTGATTGTCAAAGGCAGCTGGATGAGAGTTTTTGTCAGAAGACACTACCTGTGTAAAGACTGCTTCTTTCCACAGGGACACTGAAATTGACACAAACCAAAAGTTCCCCACAGGAGCTTTACGTCTGATTTTAGGGAAACTGCAACAGTATAAAGAACAAAAACTGTACGTGTAAAATTTGTGCAAAAGTTGTTTCCTTTTCATGAAAATTAACCAATGGGATTGCAATTTGTTTCTATCACAGTTTCTTCAATATCTACCATCACAGCAATACCTTTTGCACAAGCAAAACAAAGTACTAAACATTCCCTTTAACAGAAGGAAGATTAAGAAAATGTAGGTAAATATGAATATTTAGAGTGAAATTCACATAGTGGTGTAGATGGACGTAGAGGACAGAATACATGACATTATAGGATCATAAAATTTACATGTGACATTTTGAGTTAATCTGCCAAACTAAACTTCTCCTCAGGCATGGAAGACGAGCTGTCAGAGGTTGACAGGTTGATTCAGCGCACAAGTGAGCGCAACACTCAACTGGGTGAGTATTGACCCTGTTTAAAAGAGGCTGAGGTGAATATCTTACAAGGATTGGTGAACATAAAACTTTTAAATCCCTGTGATATGACTTTTGCTCTGTTTGACAGAAAATGAAGCAATGGGCTTAAGGAGGAATCTCAGACAAGTAAACGATCAGCTTTCCACATGCAGCTCCACAGCCTCAGCCATTACTGATTGTAAGCTTGAGGTCAAAATCCAGATTCTGATCACATGATACGAGTACTGCTCACAGATTAATTCCAACTCTCTTTTCATTTCACTGACAGCATATCAAACCCACTTACAGACCAAACTGAAGAACCTGTTGGGCAATTTAGACAGTGATAAATCTCTGAGTAAGTCCACCTGACCCTCAAGTCCAAGCTGTCCTATTTCAGAAGGATTAATCTGCTTACTTAACAGTTTTTTTCTGTACTTCTGCTTTTTTGTGTGGTAATTAAACACCAACAGAATCTACATCTTTTTCATCCATGGTAAAGTAAACAAGGAAATGCAATCATCAGCATAGGCCATGCAGCTAGCTGGTCTTTTTACACCGGTCTGGCCTCTATGTTAGTATTTAGGGCTTTATAATAGGTGTTGTGTCACCAAAATTCCCTTACGCATTAATTGGTTCCTGTTGGAAAAAAATCTTTGATAGTTAGTTTGGGAAAATGTGCTGAAATATAGTTTGGGGTCATATATTTGGCGTTTTTTCCCCTTTAGTTGAGTCATCCCTTAAAGCAACTGCACTTTTTACTGAAGCACTGCAGAGCTTTTCTTTAACTGATTGAAACTGTTTCTTGCAGCTCTGAAAGTCATTTCTAACATCAAGGAGGTTATTGCATTAAAAAATAGACTCCAGCATGCTGCCAACTCTACCAAAAGTGCTGCTGAAATTGAAGGCAAGTGTTTTATCTTGATTACTCTTCATCTTTTCCAAAGTGTAGTAGTTTACATTGAACCCAGCTGCTGCTGTAAAACAAGAACTTGGGCTCCTGCTGCGTTATGTTTTCATCTACAATGCTAATTTTTCAGTTTCACTTGCACTATGTTAGTGCTGAAATTGTTTCATCCTGAAACTTTGGTTTCACAGCAATACAGAGGGAGCTGCAAAAGAAAACCAGTGAGCTCAACATGAAGATGACACAGATAAATGACCCGCTAAGTAAGGGCATCTCTTTTTATTTACAAGATATATAAACTTTAAAAGGAATGAAAAATAAAGACACTGAACTGTTCTGATTCATGCAGACTCAAAGTGGAAATATCAGCAGAAAGAAAGTGGTGAAATCAAAGTAAACAATCTTATTTGACTTGATTCTATGTTTTGACAGTTGCTGAGATTGTCTCACTGCAAAAACAAATCTGGGATTTAGAACAGACGGAAACAGGAAGAGACAACAACAATCTTCTGCCCAGCAGAGAAGTTCAGGGTAAAATTTTTGTCCACTTGACCGAAATACGTGTATATTTTTAAAACTGTGAAGTTTTCTTCTCTAAGTTCAAGGCTGTGCCAAATAAGGTGAGACGCTGCAACTTTTCAGACACAAAGTAGCAGAATGTAATTGTTAACCTTCTCCTTAAATTCAAATAAATGAATATAATTTATAATGTACATTGTCAGCACAGAAAGGTAAATGAAGACAACATATTACAGTTCTCTTCTTTTTTTAGGAACTTCAAGATCTTTTCCAAATTGTCAAAGACAAGCATTCTGGCCTCTCAGCCTGCCCAAATTTGTATTTATATAACATTGTAAGTTAAACTTAAAAATAATCATATAAACAGAAAAATAGATTAAAAACTAATACAGGATATGAAATGCAGGCCCATATTTTCCTTTTGTGGATTAAAGTTCAGAGGTCTGCTCTCGATAAGAAGTAAATACACACACCAAAACAAACTATAAGCACATATTTATAAACAATGTGAAATGTAAGAAATAAGAAATATTTAAGAAATTTTACTTTACTAGCATCACTCGCCTGCTCTTGTACTGTCTGCATTGTGGAGACTGCAACTCCAGCGCACAAACAAACGCATGCACACCAACATGTACACTGGAATATCATGCACTGCTTTGTACTGTTCTGGGCATCAGATGCTCTACTGAAACTGAACTTTTCGACATGTTTTACAGGGTTGCAACACACACTAGGGACCTTGTTTTTGAATGACCTTAAGCTCTGTGTTGAGAAATGTCAGTGCACACCGGCACCAAAATAAGCAGAAAAATTCTCTTGACTTTTTTTTTCAGAATTCTGTCTTGTGAAAGGAAATTTAATTCAGAATTTAAAAAAGAAACAGTTCTTCAAATTTGTTAATCCAGTGGCTCAAATCCACTTCCTAAGAGACAAAAGTTAATGAAGACATGTCCCTCCCCATTGTCATATTCAATGTTTTAACCACTGTCATTGCTTGTCATTCTTGTTTGTCATCTGTGTGCCTGTTTGTAAAAGTCACATTGTCTCATTATTTCACACTGTTGATCTGTTTTGGCCATCTTTTTGAATGTCATTGCTGTTTTTCTTTCTCATTGTTTGTGTAATCATTTTTCACTTTATCAGCTTTAGAAGAACAACTGAACCCGAAGCTCAGTGAGCTACAGAGAAGGAAAAACCCATCCTCAACCAGTAAGTTTACATCTTCAATATTTGGTTTTGAAGTTAATTTTGTTGAATGATGTAAGATTTCCTGACATCCATCCTCCGCTCCTCAACCAGTGCTGGCGCTGATTACTGTGCAGAACAAGATCACTAAGATACAGAAGCTCATCACTATCGCCATTGAGCAATCCAAATCTGGTGCTACAGGTAAGAATTTGTGTAATGAGGTCAATATCACACTGAATCTACCGTCTGTGATATTTTTCAAGCTTCATTTTGTTCAGAATGAACAGCTTTCATTCTGTTTCAGTCTTTCAGAAAAAGCGGAGTGAAAAAATTGAGCTCCTTAAACAGAAGATTGGAGAGTTGAATGACGATGAGAATAACTCAGACCTCAGTAAGTGGACTCGTCTCCAAAAAGCATTTTTTTTTCTTCTTGATATTATTTAGTTTACTGCAGCACAAATTTGACTTCATCTGTTTTTTTTTGTTTTGTTTCTGCAGCAAAGGAAATTTTGGCGCTGCAGTTGGAAGTGGATCAGCTTAGAGCCTTAATTAATAATGCCAAAAAGGCAAAAACTTCACAAATTATTGGTAAAAAAATCTTCACAGATCAATGAAACTTGATTCACTTATATTTAAGTGGAAGTCACACTGTGGAAACAACTTGTGACGATTAGGAAGAAAATGAACAAAATGTTATTTGGAAGCAAAGTCATGAAGTTCTTAAGTAATGAATGATTTTTTTTCTTCTTTTTTTTTACCATAGAGCTTAAAGTGATTTTGGAAACGGAGAGGACCAAGCAATACAACTTACAGAAAGAACTGGAGGCAGAGGATTATGCCAAGGCACAGCAGAGTGAGTCTAAAAAAGAGAGAACAAAAGTGTATGATCAGTGATGTTTGAAACCAGAGTCTACCTCTGTGAGGAGTTTTTTACTCTTTATTCTAAAATACCATGACACTCACATTGATGCTTTTTTTTTGACTATGGACAAAATCAAACAAAACCATCAGCTTCATGACTCAAGATTTTTAAATCCTCGGTTTTCATACATGAATTTGGTGTGAAGGGCTAGGTCTCGGCCATGCTGCTGAAAAAACAACCCTGCTTTAACAGTTTTACATAAAACACTCAAATTGAATGATGTGTTTGGGATCAAAGTATATCTATCTATCTATATTAGACTGACAGAAGTCAGCACACACACACACACACACACACACACACAGTTTTTACTATTAAGACAAACACTGCAAAGCAACTGTAAACACTTTTTTTCACTGATAAAACACCCTCAAAAGTCTAATGATTTTATCCTTAACTTTAATCAGTCTTGAAAATTATCACCATGATGAAAGAGCTGAGGGAGCTGCAGGCTGCTGAGCAAGATCAGGCAGGGGCAACCAACACCACTACCACCACCACCACCACAACAACACCAACAACAAGTGGTCAAGTCAATAGTGAGTCCAACTGTCCTTTGTCCCTTAGTAAAATTAAAGAGCTGTCATAAAATTCAAGAGCTGCCTATGAACCCTCAAAACCAGAGGCCATTCAAACTGGTGTCTTAAATCTCTCACACTCTGTTGTCTGAATCAGCTCTTCAAAAACTGCTTGAAACTAAAGAGAGGGAATATGCCAGTGCTCAGGCTGAGATACGCGGTGAGTTCATATATTTTTCTTCTGAAAACACGTGTGAACATTTTCATAATCTGACTCCATCCCTTTTACATCAGAGCTGCAGACGAAGCTGCAGTTAAAGAGTGAAAAATGCTCTGGACCCAAAGACAAATATGAAGGTGAGTTTTCAACCCTGTGACAGCCAAACGCCCTAAAGAGTCTGGTTTGAATCTTGGTATGTCTTTGTGGGGTTTTTCAGAGATTAAGACCAAGTTTGAAGAGAATATTGCAGAGCTGAACAGAGCTGGGGACTCAAAGCCAGCACTGGGTGAGTGAAGTATCAACACAGTTCAGCTTTTTTCAGATACTGATGGTTTTGTTTCTGATGTTTTTTGTTTGTTTGTTTTGTTTTGTTTTTCCTGTGACAGTTCTGAGTGTGATTAACCTGCATCATGATGTGAAGACTCTGAGAGATCAAATCGAAGCCTCAGAAGACCCAGACAGGGTCTCAGGTGAGTAACAATGGTCACTTTCAATGCTCAACACAAAGGTAAAAGTGTTCTAGTTCTTTCATTCACTATTGGTTTCACTTTTTAATAACTCTCTGGCAGAGTAATATCTTTTTATTAGAAAATCTATGCTGCAAGACGTGGCAGAAACTTAAATCAATTCAGCTGTTGCTTTGATTAAAACATTTGTGCCATAAAAAAGAAAAAAGTGCCTTAAAACATTTTATTTCCTTTTGTTTTAACAAAAGTTTGTTACATTAATGAATAAAACTTTTGTATGTTAGATTGTTTGACTTTAATCTCTGTGACTACTTTTCTCCTCACAGAGTTGAAGAATCAACTGGAGAGGAAACAAAGTGAACTGAACTCAAAGTCTGATGAGATTGAAAAAGTGTTTTCCAACCCAAATATAAGTGAGTTCACTGATTTGATTCTCTGCTTTAACCTCAGTCTTTGTTTTTATCCCAAACAACTACCTAGAAGCAGGGCCACAATGTAAAGTTTTGTGTTTGACAAATGCTGACGTAAAGCTCCTGTGAAACTGCCTTTAAATGAGTTATGAAACAGAGCGAAATGAATACAGATGCCTCTCAATAGCCAGGTTTACATGTGCAAAATTTTCCTGATCCGATTAAAAATTTGAGGGATAATCTGAACCCACAGTTTATATGGGTGCAAAATCAAATAATCCATTTGTAGGAGGAGAAGCATTTGGACATGCACAGAGTTGTCTAATTTTGCCAAAACAACTACAGAAGAAGGGTTGTATCTACGCCTGTGCTGTCAGCAAACCATCAAACGCTGTAATGGCTCACTCCATCCAATTCAGGAGTTTTCCCCCTGTTAAATGTTGTCACTAGATGGCGCCCTTGCGTACTTATTTTACTGTTCTGTCAAAGGTTGCACTCAGAGCAATGGATTAAAACATTTTTGTTTAATCCATTGCTCTGGTTGCACTGTGCGTGCAGATGTGACATCATTACGCTGTATGTACGCCTTGTTATGTTATTGGAGGAGCAGGCACGGCATCTGTGGTTGTATATTATGCCAGAGTGTTAATAATGATTCCTCCTGTACTGACCTCAATAAATAAACCAAAGGCTAAAGAATGAAGATTGAGCCAGGTAATAGAGTCATGATCGGAAAAAAGTGTTGACAAGGACGCGTTTCGGAATAACGATCGGCATAAACCACCCCTCTTGATCGGAATACAATTTCTTTCCGATTGAGCCGAATTGGATCAGAATCTTCCGATTGACATGTTTATATGACGCATTTTTATTCTGATCGGGCATTTTTTTATTTTCCGATTATTTGTGCTATGACCTATTAAAGCAAAATCAGTTCTTAGGCAGCAGGACCCAGACTTCTGCCACAGGGTAGATGTCAGATGTGTTGAGTGAGTAACTGGAAGGAGCCAAAACAGTCTCTGTTTTAAACATTTTTTCACAGCAAAGATTCTCAGTTAGAGACACATTTGAGAGTGGGGAAAAAAACAACAACACAAACGTGTGTGGGGTATACTCAGCAATAGATAAGAGGCTCCACTTTGTGTAATAGACAACAAAAATGGCCCTGTAAACTTTAAAGAGCTACAGTTCTCTGACAAAGGGTCCATACTATAATAATCAAAAATCTTAAAACATGAATACTTTTAGTTTTTTTTACGTGTCTGATACAGAGTCTATTTATGTTATATCTTCTCAAACCTTTAGTATATTTTGTAATTATCCAAATTCTCCAAACAACTCAAAAAACATCTGCCATCCATGAAATTAAACAAACTTAAGTATATTTTTACAAAGTACACATTACTACAAGCTCAAAATGATCTCAAAGAATCTTAAAGAAGATGACAGCAGATGTGTTGAGTGTTTGACTTTGATCAAGAGGAATCGACAATCCAAAGAAAAAAATATATATATGGAAATTTGTTCAATCATAATAGAGGAACGCTTTGAACAATTTCTGAACACAAATGCTTTAAACTGCCTGCATGTTTTTATGTTTCAGTTCTGACAGTCATTGAGCTGCTGGATGATAAATGGGACCAGCAGGACTCCAGTGACTCCTCTTCGAGCTCTACACAAGGTTAGTCTTTGGGTAAATGCCTAATCTGTTTCAAGTTTCATTTGATTGGACTCACTGGAGGATATGGTGGAGAGATGCACACTGAGAAAGGTAGAGGCCATTCTGAAGAACATGGATCATTCACTCCACAACACCTTGATGGACCAAAAAAACAACAGTGGTGGACGACTCCTCTCTCTTCACTACAGGACAGAATGATTCAGAAGATCATTCGTACCCACAGCTATCAGAATTCTTGATTCCCTTTGGGGATCAATAAAGTTCTTGTATTTTATTGTGATCTATAATTTGACCATGAAAACACTACAAATAAGTTCAGTCATAATAAATGCACTTTTTGTTTCTAGATTATGAAGACAGAATTGGTGCCCTCATCAGTAGAATAAACGGCGATGAAAGCACAAAATTGTGTAAGTTTGTAACAGCACTGAGCAGAGAGGATCACAGACGAGTAGTTTGGTCCTGCAGAGTTTGTCAAAGGCTCCACCACACCCTATTCTGGTTTAATCTACATTTTTGCTCCTTCTGTTCTGATGTATTTCAGTGCTACAACTGCTAACATTGCAGACACAGCTGGCAGACGTACAACCAGATCAGACCACTCGTAAGAATCTTTTCAGGACCTGCTGCTGAGATTTTTAAGTGTTCTCATTGTATCCACATCATCTGTATGTCTCTGATTAAACTGTTGTAACTTTTTTTTTTAAATATCTCTTAGAGCCCACAGATGAGCAGGTGGCCAAGAGGCGGGAGCTGCAGAAACAGATCAATGAGCTAAAAAACAAGAATCAGGCAAACAGCAGATTGAGTAAGTACGAAAAGGGGGCAAAGTGTCTAAATTCATTCAAGAAAAATATAATTACAGATGACTAATAGATTACAGGACAGGCATAAAATCAAACACCATGTAATCAGCTGATGGACACAAAATGCTCCGACAAAGTTCAGTGTAGAATGGATGTCTATAGCCCCACCATGAGAAGTGACCCAGTGAGACGGATTGGAAGAGAAAATGTGGTTACGGGGCTGTACATGCACTGGGAATATAATAACTGTATTAGATAAGTCAGGTTGCTATATAGCCTGGTGTTAATATTCTATTTCACCCCTGACCTTCATAAAATGTTGTGTTTGTTTTTCAGTTAATTCGGTCACTGATCTGCACAATGATCTCAGAAACCAAGAGAAGAAAAAGAAAAATGAGGGCAAAACTTCAGCTTTAATTGCAGGTGAGTGTCTCATTTCCCACTGAAATGACTGTGTCAGTGTATCACTAGCAGCAAGTAATGATTCACTTATGACTCTTTCCAGAGCTCAGAGAACAGCTGGAGGCAATTAAGGAAGAGCACTCTCATGATCAAGCTCAGATCCAGAGTAAGTTCAGTATCAGTTAATCAAAATTCTACTGCTAAAAGAACATTGATAAAAAAAGGGTGTGATTTTTGTACTTAAGCTCTGCAGAATCAGCTCAACCAGACAGAGGAGGAGTGTGCCAATAATGAGCAGAAAATTGAAGGTGAGAATTGTCTGCATTTACTTGATACAAAATGTACCGTCCCAGCTGACCACCAGATTCACACCCTTAAACTTCAATTCTTTAAAATCAATGAAAATGTGATCTTTTTAAAGCAGCTGTCACCAAAAAAATGAAGAACCCTAAAACCTTTTTTTTCTTTTCAATTCAAAAACATTTGGAACAGGTAAAAACATTGTTTCAAATGGTTTGATGGTTGACTCTAATTAAAATGTAGGGAAACAGCCACCACTTAAGTTTCATTGTTAAAGCCTGCACACAGTATATCACAGTCCCGGATCTTCAGCGCATGCACTGACGCAACAACACAGTCTGTATTCATCTTCATGTACCAACTAACTTACTTTACTGCTTGTCTTTTCCTGCTTTTTACTCACCACATCTCCTGTCTGATAAAAGCTAAAAAAAGACCCAAAAAAGTAACTTAAAGAAAATGTAGCTTTTATTCCATGAATTGATTTACCCTCTGAGTATTGAACAGACACAAAAGATAAAGTCTGAGCAGTTTACTGCCAGCCTGTCAGCTTGCTAGCGTGTAGAGAATGGGGTATTTCATACATTAATGACAGTACCACCGACCAAAAAGCTGCATAAGTTGTTTAGAGGTCAAATAAAGATAATAATGGGCGTAAGGAGCAACTAGGGCCAAGAAAATACTTGTGTCCCCACATCTTCATATAGAAGGTTCTTAGGTTCCTGATAATATGAGTGTGTCTTTGCAGATCTTCAGGATGACTTGGATGCCAAACTGAAGGAGCTGGAGTCAAAATCAGACACAGTGACTTCACTTGGTGAGTGCTAATTCAAGGACTGAGATTCCTCTACTGTCATTTGATTTGTTTCCAAGCAGAGCCATTGAGAAAGAAAGTGTAAGGTTGATTGATGATTATCTGTAACTTTTAATACTGTATACTGTAGTTTTTTTAATATATGTATAAATACTTTTGTTTTATATGCACATCAATGTTATATGTTATGAATATGTTTGAAATTCAAAGAAAAAACAGACAATCTGGATACCATTGACTTTCCCCCATCCTGTCTCTTTAGCTCTTCAAATTTCCACATTAACTCAGCAACTGGAGGACCTTAAGAGACAACTGCAAAAATCTGATTCAGAGAGCAAAATCAAAAGTAAGAGAGTATTATATTCAAGATTCTTTGTTTGATATAACAAGAATACTGATATTTTTTTAGCCTTGGCTGATATAAAATATGTACTTTGCACTAGCAGCTTTGTGCTGCAGGTGAAGATGCTGGCAGCTCATCTTTACGATCAGATACAAACAGGAGCTGAAATCTAAATGGGCATTTTTGCACTTGAACATCATTAGTACAATGGGCTTAATTAATTTTGGCTATAAGATTCTCATTTCCTGCTTCTATTGAAGCCATAATCTTTGAAAATTCTTAAATACCATGTTGTCTAGGTTAATAACTGGCGAATAACTCTAATGTATGCACAAAACATCTTAACATCATCTTTGTACTTTTTCTTTGTTCTGCAGAACTTCAAAAAATTATTGAAGAGAAAACTGATGAGCTGGCCAAGAAAACGGAGGAGCTAAAGAAAAGAAGTGCTCAGCCACATAGATGTGGGTAGAATGAAAACCCACTTAAAGTTGCAAATAATTCCCAGATTTAGGTTCTGGAGTTGAGCATGTAATATTTCATCCTTCCTACAGTTCTGCAGATATTTGAACTCCAAACAAAGATTGATAAACTGGCCAGTGTTGCAGCGAACAGCACAGATTTTGATATGATTAGAGGTAAGTAACAGAGACATATGACTAAATGTGCTAAAAAAGGGGATGGGGGGTGGGGGGTCAATAAGTTCTTATATTCCAAAATCTGTTCATCAAGTGGCAAAAACAACACCTGTGCTAACTTGCATGATGATGTTGTTATGTGTCTTGTACGGCAGCACTCCAAGATCAGCTAAACCATTTAATCGAGGGAATTCAAGATGAAAACAATGAAAACACCAAACTGAGTGAGTCTTTTCCTAATTATCAGTCAAACTTGATTATCATGTTATTGGCCCTTTATCCACGAATCAGAAAATGAATCACATTTCTTCTCTTAGTGTTTCACATCTTGGCTCAACATAATGAAATAGCAACACTGAAGAAGCAGGAAGAGAGTCAGCTCCATGCAGAGCTGGAGAAAATCAAAAGTGAGAAAGCAGTCTATTGTACATGTTGAATTGATTTTGTAAACTTCTTCTTACATTTGGAGGATTTATAACTTTCTGTGTCTCTCAAAGGTCTGGAGGATGAACTGGAGGACATCAGAGAGCAGATAAAAAGGAAGACGCAGTTGCTGAACTCCAGTGATATGAGAATTGCTAACTTGTGTAAGTTGGTTTGTCAGTTTCTTTTAGAAAAAATAAGGATCATTTAATGGCATCAAATTGTTATAAGTTGCTGTATTAATCTTTTGTGTTTCAGCGGCTCAGATTGTGGAACTTCACCAGAAAATCCAACCACTGCAAGACCAGATATCAGACCTGAAAGAAGTACACGCTGAGAACCTTGAAGGCAATTCACAAAACACTACAGTTTCATGGTAACAGGAGTCAAGTTATGCAGAGACAGAGAAATTAACTGATGATCTCTCATATTTCAGAACTTAAGGACAGACTCAATCTGACAAATCGACAACTGCAGGACAGTGAACATCGACTCCAGGATGCAGATGCAAAAAACTTTAAATCAAGTAATTTTGTAGCCTCTTTTTCTTTAGCACTGTGTTGTTTGTTTCTGTTCTGTGCAAAATAAAACTGCCGCTATGTTTGTTTTTCCGATAGTCAAGGAGATTGCTGACCTAAAGACCAAACTGAAACAGGCTCAAAGACAGGGATCCAGACTTGCTACAAGAGATGTCAATGGTTTGTTTGTTACTTTACTTATATTTGCTCTTTACTGTCATCAACACATCATCTCTGTTACTTTGAATTCTTACTATGGGTCTTATTGTTGTTCTCTGAGGCTCGCATTTAATTTTCAGGTTCTTTTTCTGATAGAAGAAACAAACTCCCTAAATCCTTTCTTCTTCATCTGAAAGTGTGTTATAAATAATATCTTTGGTTAATGGGGTTATTGTTTGTGTCTCTGTCAGAGCTGAAACAACAGTTAGAAGCTCAGCAAAAGAAGAACCAAAAACTTGAAAAAACAAATGAAGGTATGAACTCTACATTTCTATGTCTTCAAGAAATACATTGTTGTTGTTCATTGACTTGCCCCTGCATTGTAGAGATCATAAATCAATCTCTTCAAACTGGTCTTGTCCAAGATTTTTTCAAACAAGCAGCAGTGGAGCTTAAAGTAAAGAAACTTGGGTCTTGCTGATCAAAAAAAAATATAGGCCCATTTTAAAGCTCCCTCTTCAGGCCAAAATTATGGAAAAGATAGAAGCTGAACAATTGACTGCCTTCATTGATGCAAATTCCATCTTTGACACCTTCCAATCAGGGTTCAGGAAAAAACACTCCACTGAGACTGACTCTCTGTGAAGTTTCAAGTGATGTCCTGATGGCAGCAGACTCTGGTCAATATACAGTCCTGGTATTGTTAGATCTTACTGCTGCATTTGACACGGTGGACCACAAAGTCTTAATAAAAGATTCAGAGACAATTTTGGGATTACAGGTATTGTTTTGAATTGGTACAGGTCTTATCTGACTGACAGGAGTTTTGTAGTTCATGTCAACCAGTTATTACCTGACTCAACAGGGCTAGGCTGTGGGGTTCCACAAGGATCAGTCCTCGGCCCTTTTCTCTTTTTGCTTCACATGACCCCTCTTGGACAGATTATCAGTGAATTCAGTGATGTCTCCTATCATCTACAGTATATGCTGATGATGTTCAGCTCTACTGCTCCTTCAAACAGAGCGAACTACATCAATTGGACAACTTAACTGCCTGTTTGACTGAACTCTGCCAAAACTGAAACCCTGATCATTCCCCTTCATAAAGCAGCATTTAGGTCAGTTAGGTCTCTCTGTCCAACTTAGCTTACGTAACCTGGGTGTTGTGTTTGACAAGGACATGTCCTTGGACAACCACTGTAAACAGTTGGTGAAGAATTGCTTTTATCATCTGTGGAACATTGCAAAACTAAGGTCCATGATTTCAAGACCTGAAATGGAGATGATAATTCATGCCTTTGTTTCATCTCGCAATGACTACTGTAATGCTCTTTTCATGTGTTTTAACAAAAACACTGTAAACTGTACTAAATGCAGCTGCAAGGCTTGTAACTGGATCGAAGAAAAGGGACCATATCACCCGATTTTATATTCCCTACACTGGTTACCAGTTAATTTTAGGATTCCTTTTAAGATTTTAGTACTTGCTTTTAGAGCCCTCCATGATCAAGCTCCCTCGTACATCACTGAGCTACTGAGACCCTATTCCCCCTCTCGTTCATTAAGGTCATCAGACCACAAACTCTTGGTGGTCCCTCGCGCCCGTTTTATAACACAAGGTGACTGCTCTTTCCAGGCCAGTGCCCCTCACCTCTGGAATGCCCTACCATTGACCTTACGTAGCATATAGGCTACTGAACGTTTTAAGAAAGAACTTAAAATCTTTTTAGACAGGCTTTTAACTGATGTTGACGTTGTGGGGCCTCTGGGAGGTGCTTGTATCTGTGCCATTATATGTATTGAGTTTCTCTTCATAGATTTTATCTATGAAAGTGCTATATAAATTAAATTTACTTTACTTACTTACTTTATGTGAATTAAACTTATTTGCTGTCTTCAGAAAGCTGGAACTGATGTCTGCGGGTCATAATTCTACAGTATAAAGCCGATTACACTAGCTGTGCACTAAAACCAGAAATATGGGGACACAGCAGATATGATGGTGTTCACAGTGAACAGGGTGTATTGTGTTTTTCAGAGATAGATTGTTCATATTGCAAAACAACTTCACAACACTGATTAGAGATAAATGAAAGTTTCCAAAAACTGTCAGGAGTTCATGTTTAAAAAGAGTTACTTTTCAGTGATACTGGCCTTCTGCTGTAGCTTAACAAGAAAATGGATCAGATTATCTCTTTCACTTGTATACTTAATATAACTCCCTCTTTATTACTTGTTTTTTAACCTTCTGAACATACATCATTGTTTAAACCTTTGACCTCCTCCAGAGTTGAAGCACGAAATCCAGGAACTGAAAACATGCTGCTCTGATCAGGACACCCAGTGTGAAGGTGAGACCTTAGATATTTTCTTTTTTTTTCAATTTTACGTTCTGTCATTAAAAAAAATCATTTCATCATCATCACATCATTATACTGTGTTAAAAATATTTCAACAATTGTGAAAAGAATCAAGAAATACAGTGGACAGATTAAGCCTGTGGGGACAGTTATTTGATGTAAAAATCAGTTTCAGAATAATAAAAATCACACTGACAGCAAAAAAATAAAAGTAATACTCCCCATTCAAACCTGACCTAATCCACACACACACACACACACACACACGCACACACACACACACACACACAAACAAGGATTTTAATAGGATTTGAAGATGCAAATTTCAAGGTTTGGATGGTGGTTGTTTTTACATAAAATATAGATGGAAAGATTGACTTTATGATCCTGTTCTAGGGAAAATTAGGTGACAAAGTAAATGTATAGTATGAATGCACTCACACATATAGTGTCAAATATATTCATCAAAGATGAAAAAGGAGTTAAATATTAAACAGATTAAGATGTTGATGTTCAGTGATTGAGTTTTTTAACTGTATATCTCAACAAACAGATATACAAACAGAGCTGGATCAGAGCCACAAGGATACAGATCGCCTGCAGCAGCAACTTCAAGACAAGGATACAAACCTCAAACAGCTGCAGCAGGATTTAGCAGAACAAACCAGGAAGACTCACGTCTTGCAGAATGAATATAGCAGTAAGTTTACCCCTGGACATGAAAAATAAAGTTTATCTGTTGAGTTTGTGTGCTTTAAAGAAATATCAATAATGAAAATTGGGTGACAAGTTTAATTTTAGGGTTGTTTTTAACTTTTTTAAACAGAATTGAGAGAACAGCAGCTGAGTCAGGGCTGCACTGATCTGCAGCAGCAGCTGGATGAGAGGGATGCTAGGCTAAAACAGCTGCAGGAGCAGTTTGAAAACCGGACCAGGGCGTACAACAAGCTGCAGGATGACTTCAACAGTAAGGCTGATTCTGTAGAAGGACTCATGTATGTAGATGCACTTTTTAAAATCCCAGCAGAAAATGTTAACCTTTTCTGTTTCTCTGCTAGACCTGGAAATTAAGAAGAACCAAGTTCTGGATGACATGCAAAGTAAGTATAAATTCTGCTTGATATAGTGCAGGGAGTATACAGAACAAAAATATACAGAGTAATAATAACTTTATTTATATAGCACTATTCAAAACAGAGTTTCAAACAGAAGGAGAGGAAGAATATACAGCAGCAGACATGAATACCATTTCCAAAACAATCAGTCAATAGGAATAATATAGAATTCAATAAAAGATTAAACCATGTTAAAAGTTTTTAAAATCAGTAAAAAAAAAAGTAATAATGATTATAATAATAAAATAAATAAATAAAATAAGTGTAAAAAAATTAGACTTTATTCAAAATTGAGAGCTCAGAGCTGAGTTAAAACTCATATCCAGTAAGAGCACACATATAAAAATGTTTTTTTTTAACAAGTTTCAAAAGAGGATAAGGAACTTGCCAGTCTGATTTCCTCGGGCAGTTTGTGCCAGAGAGCGCGAGCCCCAACAGAAAAAGCTTGGTACCTCTTGGTCCTCAGCCCGGACTGAGGAATAACCAGCAGACCCTTGGCTAAGGACCTCAGGGTATGACCAGGTTTGTAAGGTTTGAGGAGATTAGCAATGTGCTTCAAGTCGTATCCGGATAGTGCTTTAAAGGTTATCATTTAGATCTTGAAATCAACACAAAGATTAACCGGGAGCTTGTGAATGGACTAGTTATAGTTTAAGTCTCTGCTGTGGTAGACAGGAATCTGGGGACTTACAGTAGTCCAGGCGAGAGGAGATGAAGACATATATGATTGTGTCAAGGTGTTCTCAGGAAAGCAAATGACTTATTTTGGAAAGTCTCCTGAGCCATAAAAACATGATTGAACCAATGAATTTGACATGCTTCTCCAGATTGAGGTTGTTATCAAAATGACTCCAAAAGTTTTGCAGCTGTCAAAAATGTCTGCTGAGAGAGGCTCTACATGTTCAGTGATATGGGTGTGTGCAGTGTCTAGGCCAGTTATGATTTCCTTTGTGGTGTTCATGTTTGGCTGGAGAATCCTGTGGGCCATCCAGTTTTTAAGGTTGGTTAGAAAGTAAGGAGATGTGATATGGGTTGTCATAGCCAAAAGAGAGATGAAGCTGGGTTTCATCAGCATAAAAGTGAAAATCAATGCAGTGTCTATGGCTTACATGTCCAAGGGGCAACATATAAATTAAAAACAGGAATGGACCCAGAACTGACCCCTGAGGCACCCCACAAGACCAATTAGCACTGGATGACAGTGAGTTGGTAATGACAACACTAAAAGACCTCCCTGTTCAATAAAAATAAAACCATTCAAAGCTGATCCAGAGACATCAACCCAGAGTTCAAGACGTTGAAGCAGAATCAAATGGTCAACAGTATTAAATGCAGCACTTAAGTCTGAAAGGACTAAAATCAAAGATTTACCACTTTCTGCAGCCATCAGTAAATCATTTATTACTCTAAGCAGAGCAGTCTCTGTGGTGTGGTCTAGCGAAAAGTCTTCAAAGGTGAATTACTAATCAGGTGTGTCATTAACTGATTTGCAACCACTTTTTTGGAACCTTGGAGAGGAATGGCAGGTTGGAAATAGGTCTAAAAATTTTTAATGCATCAGGGTCTAGGGGTGGTTTTTTGAAAGTCTGTTCAATGATTGCAGATTTTTAAAGCAGACAGAACAGAACAAGTTGATATAGAGTTAATTTTTATCTGTGATCTTTCTATCTTTTCAGGACTGAGGGAGAAAGTGGCAGGTGTGTTGGAAAATATGATCCATGGAGGTGAGTTTATAAGATATTTCTCAAATTCTCTGGCTGAAATTTCTTCGATGTTCATTCATTTCACTTCTGCTAAATAAATGTAATTTTCTAACTCGATGACCAATAACAGACACTCTTTATCAAACACTGTAAACTGCAGGCTTGGTGAGGTAGAGTCTGAGAGAGAGAAATACAGTATAGTTGGAGCAGTATGCTTAACTTTGAAGGGGCACTCTGAACTTTACACATTAGAGCTACTTACTCAAGTTAGTACTATGATGGACTGTATACAAAGTTTGATCAAGCCTACATGTCTGAAAAGTAGGCTTTGGCTAGTGGCAACAAAAATAAAAGTTTGCTTGTAAGTAAATTAGTCTCTTGGGAATTGTCTGATCTTTAACTCAGTATGTTTAGAATGAAACTCATTGTGCTTTTCACAAACCAAGCTCTTTTAACTCTGTAAAACTAACCCTTTGCCTGCAAGAATATGAAACAATTCTGGCTTATTTTTAGCCTGCTACACGAGAAGACCACCAGATAGTTAGTTGGATATGGAGGGTCCAACAAAAGATGTCAGGCAGTTACATTTTACTAATGTAGTTTAGAGCCGTGTTTTGGCAAAAAACCCTAAAATACGATTAAAATTTAGATTGCTAAGCCTTTGCCATTTCAGTTTTGACCAAATGCTTCAATGATCAGTCCATGTGCCATTTCTGTGTTTACAGAGACGATAAACATGGATCCAGACACAGCACACAAAAGAATCATTCTGTCTCGAAACAACACTGAATTGAACATTGATGCGGAAAATCAAGATGTGGCTGATCAACCAGGCCGATACGACGTCTCTCTGGCTGTCCTGGGCTCTACTGGTTTCTCATCTGGCAGGCATTACTGGGAGGTTTCTGTGGCTGGGAGACTTTGTTACCACATTGGGATGGCCAGTGAATCAGCTAAAAGAAGGGGGACAATAAAATTCAGGCCTTCAAATGGTTACTGGACCATAATCCAGGACAGGCAGGGTCAGTACATAGCTAAGGACAGATTAAATGTTCGTCTTCCTCTTCAGACGAGGCCTCTTTCACTTGGTATTTTGCTGGACTATAAAGAGGGACAGATCTCATTTTTTGACCCCGAGGCCAGGTCTCATATATACTCTTTTGTGAGTCAAAAATTTTCAGGCAAAGTCTTCCCATTCATCGGTTTTTGTGTTGAGGATGTTGAAAGTCAGACTCCAATGGTGTTACATACTCCTGGATCAGTTGACTGGTTGGAATAGAAGAAAGAAAATTCATGTTTTATGTGTAAAATCTTCACTACGTATGGCATTTATGACCTCCAAAGAGGTAGTCTTGAAAAATCTCTGTGACAGCAGAGTCATTCTCTCAAATACTTATTATTTCTGCTGCTGGATTATTCAGACATTAACATGACAACAAATAAACAACAATTCTTTTATTTTGTTTTTTGGGGGATTTTAAAAAAGGAATCCAAATTTTGGGTATAAACCCAATAAGCCCAGTAAAAAAAAAGAGCAATAATCTTCAATTAGTTTCAAACCCCAATGGCACAATGCCATAACAGGAGCATCGAGCAAGATATTCTGAGTTATTTTGAAAGAACTGGAACGAATGACTTTATCATTGTGGGGCCAGTTAAAAGAACAGATCAGAAGCAGCTTTTACTGAATGATGTATCTTTTTTTTTAAGTTATATTTTGGGGCATTTTTGCCTTTAAATGACAGGACTGATTAAGAGAGACGGGAAATATGGGGAGGGGAGAGCTGGGGAAGACATGCAGCACAGGGTCGAGGCTAGGACTCAAATCAGCAACTACTGCATGGGGACTAAAGCCTTAACATGTGGGGTGCTAAAACTGCTAGGCTAGATGCCTCTGTTTTTACAAAAAAACAATGAATGCCAATCATTTCATGTCTTGGTTGATGTGGGAAACCCAGACAGCTGTTTTTTAGGTTAAATTGAAGTCCTCCTGGTTAAAAGTTATGTGCACATAGGATATTTTGGTGTTGGTGATTGATAGCTTCCAAATTAATGCCAACGTAAATGGAAGAAAACTGCTGAAATTCTGAGACCAAACTACAGTAACAAAAAAAATATGCATATTGAGAGCTCATGAAAACTCATCTTACAAGGTTTCTGTTAGCATTTGAACACCACCAAGCTAACACTGAATAATAACATCACAGTTTAACACAGGATTAATGGGATATGACAGAAAATATCACATTTTAAGTTAAAACCCAATTTTACAGCTTCATTAGCTAGGAGGTGGTTTAATGCTTTATGCTACAATGTCACAGTGTAAGTACTTAGACTCTCCAGATTTTAACAGTTTATTGTCTTTTCAGTTGCTGATCAATGTGAAAGCACTGACATGTATGCAATTGAACCTGAAACCCAGCAGAATAAAAGTAAAATAGCACTGGAGATTCACAATCTGACCTTATGGCTACCCTGTTCATGTGGTCCATCACATTCACACCAACATCTCCTGCAAGAGAACTATCTTCAGTCTTAGCACATTACCCACATCTTATGACCTGACGAAACACATTGTTTTATCTTCACCCTATCAAAGTGTAAACATTGCTCAGTCTCTTCCTGCTGTGCCAGCTACACATCTGTAAAAGTGAGCAACAAAAACTGGGTCCCACTCCTCCAGCATGTGAAGAAAATGGTTCCTCTCCTCTTCTCCCCAAGACTCGAACCACTGGGTCCACAGGCGCAGCTGGCATTCAAAGATGTTTGGTAGTCTGTCTTTTACCTGGTCAGAATACAAAGAAAGAGGGAGAGAGTGCAACAATTAGGGATATAAAGTAAGGTGAAATTGGTTACTGAGATTGATGGTAACCATCTTTATCAAAATATTTAAAAATTATACGATGCTTAACATAAGGAAAATGTCATAGCCTGAGTTCCTTTACGCTGGTACCCACACATCACAAAACAGAGGCGAGATGAAGATGTAACAGCTGACTGCCTGTGAACTAGCTTAAAGCAGCTCCCTGAGCAATACTTCACAGTTATAAAAAAAATTATAATTGCATTATTTTTTTATAAATCCAAATGCAGTGTTGGAACTTGTGCCTCTTCGATACGCTAATTAATTGAAATTGTATACTTCCTGTACTTTACTGTTATCATTCAGTCCCACAACTTACTTTGAAATAAAACCATGGTTTTACAATGCAGGAAATAAAGCAACCAAAATGCAAGACAGAAAACATGTCTAAATAAAAGCATGCCAAACAATTGTTTATGAGGCGATGTCTTCTCTAAAAAAGTTCCAGTTACACGCCACGGATGAAGATAAATCATAAATTTTAAGATAATTGGAAATAATGACAACATGAGTTATCTGTGTTCATCAGTCACATTTATGGACATAATATTTATTTGTGCATACATCATGTTGCTTTTTGTTGTGTTTCAAATTTCAAGTTTTCCATAAATATTTCAATAATATCATTGTCGTAATATTTTATAGCCACAAGACTCATGTGGTGAAAACCTGCCAAAGGCTTGATTTGAATCTGGTTAATTTGATGATTGTTTAAAAGACATGAGAGGAGACCTGTGGAGGAAGTGCAGAAAATAAATAAACTGAATGAAACACAGACTTATCCTATACATCACCCAGTGGTTTTCAAAGAGGCATTTAAAGCCTCATGTTATGGAGTCAAATTGTAGATTTTGACACCTGTACTTTTCCTCAGCCTTGACACAAGGAAAGAGGGGTTTTAGCTACCTGACAAACAGCTCCAACAGGCCACCTGTTACCGAGCCCAGCTGTGCCCCTTAGAAATGAATTTCCCTTTGGGGATCAATAAAGTTCCTGTATTGTATTATGTTGTGAAAATGTACAATAACTAATACCCTAGCCTTATAGTTGGGCATTAACAGTGATTTCTTTTGCGCCAGCCTGATGTGTCCATTCAAGGAACTGCAGAATTTCTACAAAACTGGAGACTTCATATGGAGAAAACACTGAGTGGTAAACTGTATAGGATACGTGGTGTTTATGAAGGGACATCTTTAACCTTTTTTTTTCTTATTTTAAGTGAAAATAGGAGTCATTCAAGGTGAAAAACTTCAAAAGTCAGTGCCCCAGTTTGGCCACCCTAGTCAAGAAAGACTGTCTCCATCACTTATCATGCAGGTATGGTCACCTACTTCACCATCAACAAAATTGTGTAACTTGTGTTAGTTATATTAGTTATCTTTAGTCTGTGATTTGAGCTGCTTTGCAACAGATTCTTTGTGATAAAACTGGTCTGCTATCTAAAAATAACAGAGCCGTGCTATAAACTGTAGCTATGTAATGACCAATCAGAGTACATCATACAACACAACACAACTGTATAACATATACAAACATTAAACAACTCTGCTTAAAAGGCAGAGAAAGTACCTGAAGGGTACTGAGTGAATCTAGGAGGGTGCACACTTTCCCAGGTACAGCTTTTCCCAGGAGATCCTGCAGGAACCTCTCCCTCTGAGTGGAGCTCCAACCCTTAAACCAGCTCAGGACACACCGCTGCTCCTGGAGACTCACATAGGAGATGGGCTCCGGGTCTCCCACCTGACCTGCACTGGGTGAAGCACAGGAAAGCTTCTCGAGACTTGGAGGATTGACTACACCCTGTGGAGCTGAAGGGAAGTCATCCGTGCTGGGGGTGCCGGGGAAGCCTGTCCAATGTTGTGATGCCATGAATGGTGGTCCTCCAGTTGGACCTCTGAATCCGGGGTTGTCATTCAGTCTGTGTCCGTCAGTGTGTTGCGTTTGTTGCTGCTGAAGTGAGGCTTGATCAACATGGTTGAACCACGACATTTTGGAAAGACCAGGTTCTTTCCGTCTTGTAATCCAGTTATCTCTCTGCCCTAGGTTAATCAGTACTAGCAGCTGCCGATACAGACTCCTTGTACTTGTAACATGTAGCTTAGCTAATGGGAACACCAGCGTTGGAGTCTAAATCGCAAACCACTGCCACAGGACGCTACTCCTACAAGACGTGACCGTACATCATCGTCTTCTTTTTGATACGAGTCACTTCATTTCCAGCATATTTTAAGAGTTTTTGCGAGCGCGCTTAACCCCAGCCGCTGCACCAAACATAATACAGGAAGAAGAGCGTGCGGCGTAACTGGGTAAAGACGAACGAGTCGGCTCATAACACCAACTCCTTTAGTGACGAGGGATTCGGTGTCCGTTTGAGAATGTTTGGGAATTTTGTGGGAAATCAATGCATAATATAAGGTTGGGCCTGTAGGATGGTGATTAACAACCACACTTTTCCTTATCGCCATGGCCGAATATGTTGATTTATTCAAGGTAAAGATCCTTCCTCTTTATTAACACTGGCTTTGAATGGCTGAAAATGCAGACCTTTGACAGCAGGTTTCACAGTGGGATTTTTTGAAAATCTCCTGCCGAATGCGCACAATGTTACTGCGCAAGTGGTGGAGTGCATCTAACGCTACTGTGCAATGTTGGTTTCGGGAAGTGGAGAAAAAAATGCAGAATGACCATGAGCGTTTTGACCTCAAATCCATATACTGGCGGAGGGCAGGAACAAGTTTTCCATATACAGTCTCTGGATGTCACCCATTGATTTCTGATGCACAGGTTGGCTTTTTACCTACCCACTCACAGCTACAATGTGTCCACCCATGAGTCAAGTCAGCAGTGCCTTTAAGAAAGCAAAACTGAATCTTATATATTTTCGGAGCTTTTGAGTACTTCTCTGTACTTCGTGTGCTGATAGAGGGAGATAAGGTATTCAGAACAAAATCCCTTGTTGTGCTAGGATGTAAACACATTCATTTTTATGGGTGTCTTCTTGGCAAAGTGTAATTCTGCTGCTTTTACCAGCTTGTTTGTTTTGTCCCTCTTTTTAAGCGTCTACCTAGGTCCTTGGTGATTCATCAGAAACTTTATACTGCAAATGGCCTAGGTATATGGTGTTTTGTAATTTTTTAAGGACAGTCATGTTTGTTGTAAATGGGGCCGTTCTTGTCTAAACAAAAGCCTGCATTCTTCATAAATTGTTCCCAGTCAAGATCATAATCCACTTGAATTGCCAGGTTGAGTAAAATTACCCGAATCACTGAAGATAGTTGTAACGCCCATTGAATTGTATGCGTAAACGAGCTTAGATTTAAAAGAAACAGTCTGCGCAGCGTTTGCGCAGATACGGTGATTACTCAAACTAAACTATAGACGGATATTAAGGTGCCTAATACGACACTTCGACATTGTCACCTCGTGACAATAAACGAAACAAACATCAAGGTTATTTTATTTATTCACTTTTTTTTATTAAGCGGAAGTCGTCGATCAACTTGGTTGCTCATTGCTGTCGCTGGGAGAGGGACACAACTGCAGCCCAAGATGGCGGACCCAAAAGATGAACTTCCGCAATGATCTTCCGCAATACTCACTCAGAATTGCCTCCGATTGGCGGACCCAAAAGAATTACCTTCCGGCGGATGGGCTTTCCCGTTGGCGGACTTCCGCCGGCGAAATATTTCGCCAAAAGTTTGTTTTTTGGTCACATCCATGCGGTACGTTTCTAACGGAATTAATTCGTCCAGCTAAATAAAGTAACAACATGTGGGAAGGTTATTCCAATGATTGATTTTTTTTTTTGTCAGAAGGGACTTCCGGTAGTCGGATTTAGTCATCGGAAGCTTTTTTTTTTTCGCTCCATTCATTCCATAAGAATCGAATTGAATTTATTATTGAGCTAAAAATCAAAATAAAACGTTTATGTATTAATTATGACTACTGTTTTGTTCTGATTTAATTCTGAAGTTTACAGTAATATGTATATATAGACTGATGTCCTCATATTCTGATAATTTGTCAGAATAGGTATAAATGTATATAGAAGTTATCATCTTACTCAAATTCTTATGTAAGAGTTTGCTACAAGTATGGACTGTTTTAACCTCTTGTTAAACATCATATAAGAGTGTTTTCTAACCTCTCTCTCCAATAGCTTTATGACACAGCACATGAATGTTTCTTAATTTCTCTGTGACCTTGTTTCTCCTATTAGCAGGTGTGTGTGTGTGATGTATCCTCCACTGTGACTCTATTAGGACCTCATTTAATGTCAACAATGTTGCCCTGACCCTCACATATTTTCTGTTGTTCATAATTATGTTTTATGAGAGTGCTTACGTTGCTGCACATATTTTCCCCCCCATCCTTTAGTAACATTGTCTAACCAGGGACATAATTTATGAAATGGTGTGCTTCCTGGTGAGCCTCTTCAGGATTGCTTGACTGTGCAAAATCCAAGTATAAAATAATTGTGAGACACAAGTCACATGATCTGTTTAAGGTTCAGAAGAGCCATTTAGCAAAAACAATTGAATTGCGATATCATAACAGACTGTGTAAAGAAATGGGAAATTGTCATACAACTGCTTCAAAGATTTCTTTAATTTTTTCCAAAAAATAAATTGTAAACAGTAAAAAAAAATACAATCGTATATACATAATTAAGAGCGTTGCCGTCGGTGTGGTGGGGGGCTTAAAATATGTTGCCACAGGCCATCATCTGCTCTGCTCTGAGTCGGGTGATGCCATGCTCCTGAAGTGCTTTGATCAAAAGCTGAAAAACATTCAAATAATGTGAACAATTGAAGTTATGCAGTATGGGTTAATTTTTGTTCTTGAGCTTTCCAAATGAATAAGAACAACCTCTTAACAATATTATCAATTTTCAAAGCAAGCTATATAGTTTGATCTACTCACCTCTGGGAGCATGACATCAAAGACAAAATCAAGCAGGTGAATCTCGCCTCTTTTGATTTTTTCCGATATGGTTGTTGCCTCCTCAATAAACCGCAGGAGCTAGAACATCTATTGAAGAAAAACACAGAAAGTAAACACCTTTCAAATGTAACACCTACGAGAGTAAAAATACTCATGATAGATGGCATTTTTACTTAGGCGCTGCTCACTCCAACATAGTGACCTTATCTTTAGATGCTGCTTGAGCCGGAGTGAGGTGGCGGGTTTCCTCTAAAGAAACATCCTGTTGGAGCGGATGTTTCCAGAGAGCAGATCATCGTGCAATGTCTGAAACCAAAGAGCAAGAGACAAAAATGTAATCATCTGTAAAAGAAACGGTGGCTTTAACAACTGATAATGCATTCAAAAGCAACCTTGATCTGTGTCTTAGAAAAGACAGCACCAATTCCTCCACTGTCAACGGCAGCCTTGATCCTGCAGAGAAATAAGAAAAAGAGCAAGCCCTCATTTTTTCATCCTTTGAGCCTCGTATTTTTGACTGATACTATGTTTCCTTGATAAATTATGTTATACCGAGGATGCTCAATGGAGTCCTCACAGCCACAGTCAAAGGACTCCATGTCAATCCCGGCACAATCTTGATGCAGCCAGCCCCTGCATGTCTTGCACTGGACCCATTTTTCAAACTTTACCTCAGGGTAAAGCAATCTGATCAAATGAGAGACAAACTTAATTTTAAACACACACACTGTCCAATTGTTTATACTTCGCACATTTGAATGTATAAATAATTTTCCCACATGATTCGTGCATTCAAACTACATGTAAAAGTGGTCACTTCATGGAAAATCACTGAATAGGCCCCGATAATTGCATTTATTAAATTGAGTCTGCAACACACCTCTCTCCTGTGGTGTCGGATGTCTGGTAGACACAGAATTTCATGGAATCTGCCATGCACACTCTTTGGACATCAATGCGTCATAGTTTCCTGGACAAGTCAATTTGAAAAGTAACATCAATTACCAAATACATCGAGACAATGTTGATCCATACAACTGTGTGCATTTTGAAGGACTGTTTTTCGAAGGCAATTTTCTAACCTCTGTGTCCTGCTGCTCTGCCATCCTCTTTAGACTTAAGACCGGAGTATGCTTTCCAGCAATAAGCTCCTGACATTCTTTGGTCCAGTGGGCAAAGATTTTCCCCATATCTGTAATGACAATATATCTTTAAGTACAATATATTGATTGTCTTCCAGTTCAATAGGGCATCTAGTTTACTTAAACTGTCTACCCGTTCAAAGAATTGTTTTCTAAGAGCAACAGGCACCACCATCTCCGCAAAACAGGCATGTCATGCTGAAATTGTTGTTTGTATTTCATTTTAGTGCACAATACAAAATACAACCTTGAGGATGACACTGCATGTTGAAAAGTACTTACAACTGAGTAGTCAAACTGTGACTCCATAACAATGTACATGGCAGACTTAAAAAAAAATATGAGACAACATGTGAGAAAAAGTCCATGTTGGAAAGTTATTCTAGATACTACAATATTTGTGCATCACAGCTCGTTATGACCTACCATCAACATGAACATGCCACAGTCTGAGCCGAAGTCCTGGCTGGGGAAGCCCTGATTTAACAAAAGCAAACGTTAATCATCTTGTCATATACACTTTTCAACTGTAATATAGAGCATGCACTAGTTCTTCGGCGCATCGCCGTTGTAAATAGCACGAATACAATCTCTGAGACCATGCCATACTCGTCAAATGGTGATTAAAATAATATTTTCCTTACAGTTGTTTCGCTCTACAAATGTGTATTGAAAGGTGTGTGCTTCTGTAACGACGTCGATCGATTGAATGAATGCGAACGGCTTGCTATTCTCAAACTTATTGCAAGTTCTTCTTCTCCTGTAAATTTTGCCTTAAGAAAGTTTAGGTGCATACCGCCACCTACTGTTCTGGCATCGCAAAGCCTATCGGAGGTAATTGCGGAAGTTCATCTTTTGTGTCCGCCAATCGGAGGTAATGCGGAAGTTCATCTTTTGGGTCCGCCAATCGGAGGTAATACTGAGTGAGTATTGCGGAAGTTCATCATTTGGGTCCGCCATCTTGGGCTGCAGTTGGGTACTCTTGGCTGTCGCTGGGGTTACACGCTGTAGTCTTCGAAAATGGCGGATCCAGAAGAGACGGATCCAACCTGGAGACCGCCACAGACCCTTCTTCCTGGGGAGATTAAAAGTGACCCAGAGGAAAACAATCAGTTGATAAATGGGCAGAGGATTAAAGAGGTGAGTTCTGTAAATTATGTTACGTTATTTGTGAGATTTAGAAAGCTCTGTCGTTACAGTTGAACACTTCTAGAGTTTTGGAGGTTCACAACCAAGTCTCCATTCAATGCATGTTTTTCCCCCTGCAATAAATGTAGCTAAGCGGATTCTCAAACCTGCAGAAATATCGCAAAGGCACAATTCTGTTTTTTTTTTTGTGTGTGTGTGTGTGTGTGTGTGTGTGTTTTTTTTTTTTTTTTTTTTTTTTTTTGAAGAGGGGTTGCATGCGCGTACTTTACACCATGGATTTCGTTCAGTTCTACTCTTTGGACGAGGAACTGCTTAGAGAACTGGCTTCCAAGCTGGGCTATTGTTTTCCCTTACTTGGAGCAAGTGTGCCACATTGCTAACAAGTGGCACGGCCCGGTCTTTAGAAATGAAATCGATGCTAAAGTGCTAAAAACTACAGTTCCCAAACTGTCCACATGAGGCTGACTTCAGAAACACCGAGGTCTGTTGTGGCTCATTCTCTTAAATTGATCTTGTGTTCCTGTTTCAAGAGCACTGAATTGTTCCTTCAATGTTTCCTGTTTTTTGAACATGTGTGTTAATGAGGAGCTTGTGTTTTACCTGCAGGAGGAGAGTGGAGATTTTGAGGTGCAATCACAGCTAACACAGCCTAGTGGACCTGCAAATGAGATGAAATCTGGAGACACAGCCATCAGACGAGAGAAGTCTCCTGTGGTGTGGTTACCTCTCACAGTTAAGGTTTGTGAAACTGTTTTTATGTGTCAATGGTATTTTCTTGCATGAGGGATAATAGAGAAGAGTGTATACTTATTTAAGATGTTGAGAGAAAGGAAAACTGCAATCAATTAGTAGACACTTCTTTCTATCCAAATCGACACACAAAATAACAGTGACAGACTGTCCTTACTTTCTCTCTCATCACATAGGGGAGAGTTGGGTAAGATGAGCCATTTTTCATATTTTGGATATCTACATCAAGGCAACCATAGTTTTGTCTGTAACTAGCGTATCTGCTTACATTTCAAGATGTGCATCCCTGCAAATTAACAGAATGAGTGTAAACATAACTGTCTTGATAATATAACATGCCAAAAAAAAGTGGTCTCTTATCAACTTATATGGGGTGTATGGGGTAAGTTGACCATAGGAACGGGGTAAGTTGAGCCGTATCTCTACCCCCCCTACACACACACACACTCCACCCCAGCCCTCCCTCGCCTTCTCTCTCCCTAAATAACAGTCACTTCTTCACATTCAAGTGTGTTTTTATCTATTATAGCCTATTCAACTGGTAGAATATTTTTTATTATTATTGCATATAACTGCTATAAAGATGTTTTGTAAAAAGCCATTTTTACATGAGAATGCCTTTTAGTGATTACGAACAATTACAGCTGTATTTTTTAAAAGAAAAAGTAACACATTTCATCAATCTGAACTGAAACTCCGATCCTCTCATCATACTTCATGACTTTCTCAGTTGAGCAACTGGCTCAACTTACCCCAGAAATACTATGATGACTTTATTAGTCATTAGTTATTCATAGAAACCATAATTGATGTATAAAACATATTTTAAATGATCTTTTTTGATTTAAACACAATTCTAATAAAACTTATGACAGACTAAATTCACTTTCAAGAGTGAAAAATGATTTTTCGGAAATAAATGTCTAACCTCTTCACCCATGTGCTCCAAACTTTCATAGACTCCATGAATTGATGCCCATCCCTTACATATTTGGTCACATGATAAATTTCATTTACCATTTCCAAGAAACAGAGAGTGGCTCAACTTACTCTTTTGCTCAACTTACCCCACTCTTCCCTACTGAGTTGCCCAGCCTCGGTTTTCAGCATGAATCCTTCTTTATTTTATTTCCACAGGCTGCTGTGACTAACTTATCAAGAGTGCAACATGCACAGTCAGCAAAGACCAGTCCATCTGCACCTGCTGCTGTAGAGCAAGAAAATGGTTCTGATGTGCTGCCAAAAGTGACAGCAGTATGGTCAACATGCATGGTTCGAGTTTTGCCCACTACACTCTGTCTGATTTATCCTTTTTCTGTTATTACTTTCGCTGAACTTGACATTTTTCCTCTCTGTTTCTGTTTTCTTCACAGACTGCTGTAAATGGATTATTAGTAACGCCGCATACACCGCTAGCTTGGCCAACACTGCACAGAGCTACTACTTTGGTGCATGTACGTCCAGCAGTTGATGCTTCAGGGCCAACAGTACCACCCAAACGGAGCAGACTGACACAGCCTGTGATCCCTCCTGAGGCACCAGCACAAATGGAGGAAAATGAGAGCAAGGTAACTTTGCCAGTAAGAAAAAAACTAACATTGCGATTTTTTTCAACCCTGTGATATATATTGCGATTCTAAAAATACAGGAATTGTCACCAGATGACCTGAATAGCACTTAATGTTATGCTGCGCTGCTGAAGTCTTGAGGACAGTCAACCTGCACTGATCTTACCTCTTTTTAAATGTTAGGAGAATGGCTTTTGTCTGTCTCAGAGATATTTTTAGCTTTTATTGTGCTGGGACGTTATTGTGGAAACAGATGAACACAGAACACGTGTTTTGGTCGACATCATCCATCTTGTAACTGAAATAATTCCAGATGACTGACTTTCCTTTTCTTTTTGGCAACATTTTATCTTCGGTGGATTTCTCTGTTTGTTGCTCAGTTTACGATCATTGTTGTTGTTATCGGGTTGTGCCGAGAAATGCATCTCCTCCGAGAATTGCATGCACCTCCCAAAACGCACACTGCTTATAGTAGAGTGGTCCACGGAAATGTACAATTCTTATTTGTTGGGCTAAACAGTGATGAGTAATGTTATGAAAGTAATTCTCAGCGGACACGCGTTTCTCGGCTCAACACAGGTGTTGTGCCATAGAGTGCACCCCTGCAGTAGAATGCCCGCCTTGACAGCAGCGCGGTTGAAGGTGCACAACAAGGCGAAATAATCAAAGTTTTCCTTACTGTTGGACTGATTCTAAAGCGTGTGCCTTCAATGATTTCATTCAGGCTATTCAGATATGCTGAAAACAACAGCCCTCTGATTCAGAATGTTTGCTGCCCCGAAAATATAATGTTCTCTACCATGACAGCTTACTGTACAGTTTATGTGCCCAAGTACACCTCTATATGTGCATTTTTTTAAATACCCAACAACAGAACGAAAGTTTGCTGCTCCATTTGACATGTTGTCGTGATCCAATACTCATGTTTTTTTTAAATATGAGATATTTTTTTCCATTTTAAGAGAGAGGGACCCAGATGCAGCCAAGATGGCGGACCCAGAAGATGAACTTCAGCAATTTTGCGGCAGAGAATAACTTCCGGGTCATTCTTGTATTCATTCTGGCGGACAGGCTTTGCGATGCCAGAACAGTAGGTTGCGATATGCACCTAAACTTTCTTGCGGCAAAATTTCAAGAAGTTTGAAAATAGCAAGCCATCCGCATTCATTCAATCGACGTAGTTATAGGAGGACACACCTTGCAACGCACATTTGTAGAGCGAAACAACAGCAAGGAAAATATTATTTTAATCACCATTTGACGAGTATGGCATGGTCTCAGAGATTGTATTCGTGCCTTTTACAACTGTGATGTGCCGAAGAACTTGTTTCATGCGTGTGGATTTTAGTTTTCTTTTCTGTCGGCTCTGCGCTGCGGTGGATTTGAAAAATTTGCGGCACATTCACACTTTTAGCCTGCACTATCATGCACTCATGCACTTAATGTCTGTGTTCATGCGCGTGTGTTTTCGCCACGTGAGTGTCTTCTTTTCTTTTCTTCCAGATGCATATTTCCATTGTAAGCGAGGGCAATTGCCTGCCAGGGACTCTCTCGCCATTAGGTTTTGGCTGTCCACTTTGCCCACGATACACTCCAACAGCACAAGCTTCCATCGAGAGACACTTGAAACGACACTTGACCAATGGAGTTTCTTTCGAAGGTATGCCATATTGGGAGCAAAAGCGCCTTGGACACTCACACCTTTCCACACAGATAGGACTCTCACACATGCACCCAACCCCCACACCCCCCGATTCACACCTTGTCCAGCTTTTACATGGACACCCACACCCTCCCCCACAGATAAGACTCTCACACATGCACCCACATACACGTACACACACACACACTTCTGTCATCACATGTGGATGCATGTTACCCATAGATATTTTATATCAATATTCCTATCTTATAATTAATGTCTGCCAAATGCAAGGGACTTCACAAAATAGAGTCATTTATACATCTACTTGGATATCTCGCATATTTCGTAATTGTGAATAGTCATTGTCATATCAGAAAAATACATTACATATGATGGCTCTCTATGGAGCTGTTTCATAAGTGAATGATATATTCATGTACTCAGTGTGATAAATATTTGAGATATTGATTGTTTTTATTAATACTAACTCTATCCATTTCCAGGAAAGGTCATCTGCAGATGCCATTTACCATGCAGAGACAAAAGCCATTATCACTGCCTGTTTTGTGAGGCCACAGTTCTTCAGAAACCCACTTTCATACGGCACATGCAGCTGTGCCTCTGGAAAATATATGCCACCCGAGACACCGCCACAGCAACCGAATCCGCACCACCCCAAGACACTGCCACACCACCCGAATCCACGCCAACCCGAGACACTGCCACACCACCCCGAGACACTGCCACACCACCCGAATCCACACCAACCCGAGACACCGCCACACCACCCGAATACACACCACCCCGAGACACTGCCACACCACCCGAATCCACGCCACCCCGAGAGACTGCCACACCACCCGAATCCACACCAACCCGAGACACCGCCACACCACCCGAATACACACCACCCCGAGACACCGCCACACCACCCGAATACACACCACCCCACCAGTCTCCCTCTTCTGAGAATCAGCCTGCTGCTCTTTCATCAGCAACGACTATGGACCATTCGTATTCGTGTTCTTTTGTCTCACCTGTTGAAGGGGACCATTCATACTCCAAGGCAGTCCCCGCTCCGCCCCCCCTTGTTGCTGCTCCAGAACCGGACAAGGAAATAGACTCAACTGATGTAGACCCCATTGCTTCTGAGAAAGAACTCACTAGCGATTTGCCACCAAAGCATATTAGGTGCCCGTACTGTGGCCTTGTGCTGTATAAGAAAAATCTCCTCACGCACGTTGCGCGAAAACATGAACTCACAGATGTATTGGCAAACAGATATTTAAAAAGTACTTTAGTTGACGCAAGACACGGCCTCTTTGCTGTTCAGAAAAGATCAAAAGGATTCACCATACCAGTGCATGTGCAACGGAAGACATGGGGACAACATAGTACAACATGTGAGCTGGAGGACTGCCAGCAATACCACCTGCTGGCACAACGAAGTGGCCTTCCCAGCTTTTGTCACCACATCCGGTCACTCGACTACTGTGCCACCACTGCCACAGAGGAAACACTAGACCACGAAGTCCTCAAGGAAATGGTGGATAACAATATTTTCAACAATTCCAAAGCCACACTTTGCTTGACAAGGCAACAAGAAGCAAAAGAAGCACAAGTCCCATTTTCAGTACTTGTTGACCTTACCGGCTCAAAAAATAACATCTGCCTGTCAATACATGAACCAAAACTCCATCACTACAGCACTTTGGGGAGATTGTTTGTGGTGCACAACACTGAAAGAAACACCTGGCATTGTCCCTGTGTGAAGGCACGTTTATCTTGTCCCCACAAGTACATAGCAAAGTGGCATCTGTTCCAGACGAGAAGAAACCTCTTTAGATCGTCGCTGCCAACCACCACAGCAGTAAAGACTTCTCCTTCAGCCATTCAATCTACTGTAGACATGGCAAGTAGTGTGAAGTATGTCTACAATGCCAAAAAAATACCAACCCCTCTGCCTGATGAAGTGACGGCCCGCAGACCATCATCAGAAATCCCCAGGCACTTGTTTCCCATTGAAACAACCTGCATGCACTGCACTGGTGCACCAGATCTTGAGGAGCCGGTTCGAATAACCAACAAAGCCAAAGTAGTTGGCATGGAAGGGCTCGTTCTAAGTAACTACATACATATTGCAATTGACAAATTTATGCTGATATTTTGGTATGTACTGTGCTTAAACAAGCTTTTTCATGTCATTGTTAGACATCTCCACTTATAGAAGAAGATGCCCCAAATGCCAGGTGGTGTACAGGTACCAGGAGTGGACAGATGGACTCCACAACTACAACAACCACATCATCATCACACTGCAGCTATGTCTCTTCTTGAGATATAATATCCAGGTAAGTGTAAAACCACCAAAGTCAAAATAATTTACCCTGGTATAGCTATAAAAGTATATCATTAATTATCACTGTCTAATATTTAGTTTAGTATGGCAATTGCATACTGTGCAATGTCCTTTTCCCCACCATTTTTACTTCCAGATGTCCAACCACTGAATATATATTAATCAAAAACACTCCTGTTCTTCTGTTTGAATCCATAGAACCATGTTTCTGTTTCTCGACTGATCAGTTCCCTTGAGAGTCTGCTGAAGATGAAATTTCCTGCCAGTAACCTCATTTTACAAGGATACTGCCATTTTGAAGCGCTTTGTAACACGGAGTACCAATACTCCTGTGTCAGTTGTGGCTTCTACCCTTCTGTGGTGGTAATGGACCTATACAGAAAAGGAGTATTCAATTTTGAGGGTATGATATTTTCTTTTCATTTTTACATAATATTTATTTATCATAGTAATCATTAATCTTAAATGTTTTGTCTTGTGCTCATCTGTTTCAGTTAGTGAGCTTGATCAGCCAGGACAGGAATTCAAAGGGGAACATGACATTGATGCATTCTGGCAGTCCATTGAGCTACATATGATCAGCAGAGGATTTTTTGAGAGTAAGTCCATGTAGATTTAAACACTCAAAAGAGTAGCAAACTGGCTTGTCCATCAGTCTCCCTGTGAATGAACATTTAATTTTTTTCCCCTGAAGACCCTTCACAAAATCCATTTGTTGTGCATCCCACATACGACAACTGGGCACCCTGGATTGGAGGCCAAACTCGTAGAGGAAACATTGTCTTCAACACAGAGTTTGCAAAGGTGCCATTAAAAACATCAAGTGCTGACCCACAGCTGGGGGATTTACCGGAGGACCACCTGGTCGATGAGCTGCTAAAGCAAAAGGTACATTTCACTATTTTTTGTTTGAACACTTGAGAAGAAAATGTTAAAAATATGCATTGATGGGCCAACACATTCCGCCCCCGCTTTTCTTTGAGCTCTGCAGGGGACCTTCCATGGTCCCACCTGAGTCCACATCAACTGTTGCTAGTACCTGCTGGCTTTTTTGTGTATACATGACATTGTCTGCTTCCTGTTTGATGTATGCTCGCGCCTTGTCCTTTTTGATCTGTCTCTGGGTCTATATAAAAGTGCTATCCACACCACCATTCGCGGTCAGTTCACGGACATGGACGTAGTCCTTGGTGGAAAATTATTTAACACTAAAAGTTTCCTTCATTAACTAACATTTCTTGGAATGTCTGAATGTTATATGTCCTATAGGTGTCGACTATCCGAAACCTGTGTAAAACCTGCAATCTGGATACAATGGGGTCTCGTATAGATCTTGTCAACCAGCTACGGGACGAAATGAAGAGTAGGCAGACGTATGACAAGGTTTTTCAGTCCATTTGGGGAGCCTCTGGTGAGTGTGAAACTGTTGCATTATATTAGTAATTGACTCAGATACAGTCTTACAAAACTTTATTTTTTCTTTATTCTATTAGGTGGCTGGTCTGTCATCATGTGCCCCCATGGAATCGTATACAGCGTCAAGTACAACCTCAGAGCAGAAAGCCCCAGGGATTTTGCTGACATGTTACTGTCATGGAAGCATTTACCTAATGTCTGCATTTATAATTTTGCTCAGGAATTGGTGGCACATATGAATCTGAGAGTGCCGGAGAGCCCTCCATTCCAGCCCTTTGAGGGTAGGCTTGCTGAGCCAACAAAAGAGAATGTCGAGGCTGCTGGTCAAGGACGACTACAAGTACATCTTCCTTGGCTAGTCAACAAGCTGGAAACCCCAGAGTCAGGTGGCCACCCAATAACAGGATCAAAAGATCATTATGTTCTGTATGACAAATTTCATCAGGCAAATACCAAAGACCCCCTTGATGTCTTAAGGCGGATCCAAGTGGTTCCAGAGCTGCAGGGCACTTTAAACAGTCAGGTTGCAAAGCAACTCTTTGCTGTTCTGCGGCATAATAACTACTTCCTGAATAACATGGGGCCTTCTGCCCACATATTTCTCATGCGCAGTATAATTGAGCATAGAAATACAAAGCTAAATGAGAAACAGGTGGAATGTCAGTTAAGAAGAGGTCTTTCTCCAGCTTCAACAGCAACAGAACATCACCCTGTCGAATTTGGCCCAATGATAATAGGTGAATACCACAATTACACTTCATCTTGTACAGTAACATAAATTTTATAATGCAATTCTTCACAATTGAATTCTTATTTTCCTTTGATCTTAAACTTTAGGTCAACAAACGTTTGATGACACAGATGAGTGTGTTCAAACAGAGCCACTGCAAACGGATGGAGGAAATCTGGATGAAGGTAAATCAGTGCATTATTATGGCTTAGGAAGTGACACAATTATGTAAGTTTATTAAGTTCTTGTGTTATGTGTCCTCGTCCTTAGAAAACACAGTTCTTCAAGATGTAAGAGACATCTAAACCAAAGCTTCAATAAAGGCCTCATGTGAAGTACCTTCAATGGTGGGCCCAAGTGAAGAACCTAGTTGTGGCCTTCACTGTGAACGTATCACAAACTTGGACTCTGTGGAAGCCAAAGGGTCGTCCTGGTCATTTACTTTGCACCTGGATCAGGAAAAGGTGGTAGTTATTGTACATTGTTATTGCCATTCTGTGTATGTATGGAATAGCCACAAACAAAAACCTAAATGTAAGGGTTTTTCGTGTATTTAACAAGTTGTTTTTTTTCCACAGCTCAGTTGCGTTTTGGACTACAGAAGACCAGCTAATGAGCTAATAGTTTGCACATACAAAGCTTGTCTGACTCGATGCGATTTCATGACACTCGGTGATGAGAGAGATGGAAAGCACAGTAAGTTCAAGTTACCATATACTACATGAATTTTTAACCTGTGTGGAATTTTCTAATAATGAATAACTTTTTCTTTTTTTTGTGTAGATTGGGAATGCCTGCTTTGAAATCTTGGAGAAGATATTCATAAACAAGGTAGTGCACTAGACTATCACTTCAGTAAAAATGTTTGGCATGATCGTGTTTCTATGAGCTTGCATTTATTTTTGGTCACGTTCCTTGACCTTTCCATTGCTGGGGGCATACGCAATAAAATCCCAGATCACGTGTATCGCTGCCGAACACTGCCATAATCGCTCCTCTCTACCTATCCGCTTTTGTCATGGCATTGGCCACCTTCGACCCACTCAAACTAACCCTAACCCTGCATTCCATTTTAAACTGACAAATGTCATACAGTAATAGTATTATAAAATTCTTGTTTTACTTAAGCAGTCCAATCTGGAGTTCATTGGGGTTTCATGTATAGATGTACTCTAAAATACACCAAAGGTTTACTACAGAGAATCTAAGAAGGTGGTGGTCACAGACCAGTAATGCTTAGATCAGAGCTTTGTTCAAAAGGAGCAGCTGTTTGCCCAGCAAGTTTGAGATAAGCAGACCAACACCCTCTGAAGTTTATGCAACATCACAAACCAAATGAAGTTAAAATGAGCTCGTTAAAATGGAGTGGACAGAATTGGAGATTTTATTTATCTTTACTGTGAAAAAACAAACATGCAAATAATTTCACACTTTTTATTTTTTTTTTATCTCAGGTTGTCCAGACTGGGCGTTTTCAAAGGACCAAAGTACTGCAGGGCCCGCGGCACAGAGTTGGCTGCAACCTTGTACGAGGGAGGTTTAAATGTCTCCCTAAAGCCATCATGAAAGTGCCTGGACTTAAAGACGTTATGATTGCAGAGGTGCTCAAAGTGCTGGATAACGAGTGTGAGACTCTGACCAGCGAGACATTTAACTCATTGCTTGGAGAGAATGACCCTGTGGCTCTCAGAGACTTCAGCTGGGAGAAGGTGATGACAGAATGGAAGACCACAGTACCCACTTTTTTCAAATTCCTGCGACATGCAAGCAAAGTCTTTGAAAACTCATCTACAGACCAGACATACACACCTAAAGACTGGTCATTACCTATGGCCATGGGTGGGGCTTTACTGTTGAGAGCACACTTACCATCCGTGTGTGCACCCATGTACATCGACTCCATGATTCTGCAGCAGGGAGGGACCAAAAAATGGTCTATTGAACAGTTAAATCGAGTTGGTGTCTGTTTGTCACACAGCAGGTTGCAGGGGAAACTAAAGAAGGGGGAAAAACGATGGGGACATAAGGGAGCCAAACGGAAGACTAAAGAGATGCATACTCAAACAGATGACTTTGACGAAAAGAAACAAAGTTCAACCTATGAAGAAGGAGGCAGTGGTGTTCCTGAGATAACATACATTGTGTGATAATTTGTATCACAATAAGGATGTTAAGCCTTTGCATGTCTTTTGTTGTTACGGGTGTCACTAACAATTTAAGGTCTGATGTATTATTCCAGCAGGATTAAGATAATCTTAATGAGAGAGCCCACAGGGAGTGCTGTACACTTCTTTTTTTAAATTTTTTTTTATTATTATTGTTTACAATAATTTCCATTTTTGCGCCCCCTGTGGACATAGCTGCCTTCGCTTGGCTTGTCCTCTACATGTTAAACAGTGTGTTTTGACAATAAAATGTCATCCTGCTGACTTCTGAGAGTTAAAGGTGTATAATTCTGGGAGGATTGTTTTAAGTGGAAAGTTTGGAAAGTTTCACCAACACCTCCCCTGTGCATCATTTTCAGGCAATAAAAGTTAGATTGAAGATATTGTCAGTCTTGGTAATGATGGTCTTGTTTGCTTTTTTTATTTAAAAAATAGAAATATGAGTTTTAGTCTATTATGTAAAAAAACAAACATTACAGGAGCTTTAATTTGAATTGAATGTAATGCAAAGCTACAAAAAGCGTACTTTATTTCCACAGCTTCATTACAGAGATCTCTGGTTTGACTCCTGGCCACAAGTCAGGGAAATAACTGCCTGTCATTCCCCCCTCTCTGCCTCTACAAATTCTTGTTTTATTTAACAGTCCAATCTGAAGTTTCCTGCATAGATGTACACTAAAATACACCAATGGTTTAATAAAGAGATTTTAAAAAGGTGGTGGTCACAATATTATAAAAGCTGGATTATTAAATTTCTTGGCTCATTGATACAACCCCAAGTGGACATTAGATGTATTTTTCACATTTTCAATAAGGAGACTGTAGTTGAAATCAATCTTGCAATATTTTCATAGAGTAAATATTACCTCAAACACTTTACAAAAAGAGCAGGTCTAGGCTGTAACAACCTAGCTTTTGGATCAGGCAGGGTGCTATCTTTTTCATATCATGATGGGCAGAGCTCTTTGCAGCATTTAGAAAGTAACAGAGGCAAAGAAAAACTGTCTTTTGACTGTCAGAGACCTTGAGCTAAACAAGATTTAGGTGAAACGACTACTGTTTAGGGCAAAGGGAATTAGAGGAAGGTGAAATAAGAGAGACAGAAGGCTACCACGAACCTGTGGTCACAATGCAAATGAAAATGATACAACTATGTCTACTACTTACACAAACAGCAGTAACAATGTGGCTAAGAGCTGGTTCAAGCCTGAGCTGCCTGAGGTCCTACCCCTAACTGTGAACTTTGTCAAAAAGGCAAGTTTTAAGCCCACAGAAGGGAGTGCAGTGTGTCTGCCTCCTGAGCTTTGACTGGTAGATGATCCCAAAGGAAAGGGGGCCTAACGGCTGAAGGCTCTACCTTCCATACTACTCTAGGAGATGTGAGATACCATGAGTAGGCCTTCAGTCTGGGATCTAGAGAGGTAATAGGACAGTAGGCTATATGAGCTCCTCAAAATATGCTGATGCAAGGCTACAAATCATCAACTGCAGAGGACTTTTAATATGGGAATATTAATAGGGGGAAATTATGTATCATGTTTGCCACTATTACAGTTATAAATGGCGATAAGGGTCAAAACTGTAGCAACACTTGGAGGGAAGAACAGCTTTATTCATAAACCGTCTTTCAGCTTGTTGCCTTCCTTAGGGTCACAATGGTTTAGAAGCAACTGCTTAAGTTTTTTGTTTCATTAAATTTTTGGTGGATAAATTTTAGTTTTGATGGTATTGTGAGGTTGTTTTGTAATCAGTTTTTTAAATGTAAAGACAGCGATTTCCTCGGGGAAAAAATCATTTTGTGACTGCAGAATTTGGTTAACAGTTAGGCTACAAGTAAATTATTGACATGTTAATCACTTTTGGAAAACTTGAGATAGTTAAAAATAAAAAAAACCCTCATTATTTTCCCTAGTACTACAGCTTCTTCACCAAACCATTTTTCAAAGTGTAATTTAAAATCAGCCCGAAACACTATCGTGTGTTCTCATTGAACGCAGTGTTCCTGATGAATACGGACACTGCTCATTAAGCATTGTTGTCAAGGAAAGTCAAGTTTGCGCAGCGTTTGCGCAGAGCAGATCAATAGTGGGTATACAAAAACAACAATTTGTCATAAATAATATATCAAAAAGTAAAGCAAACAGCGTGTGCTTCAGTCTTTACAGACCGATACAAATTTGATTTAACCGAAATTCGACGAAAGGAAGTCGTCGTTGATGACGCTGGGTGGAGGAAGGCGTTGCTCGTCGCTCTCGCTGGGAACTGACTAGAGGAACGGAAAATGGCGGATCTCGAAGACGTTACCCTGGACGGGAGACCGCTCCAGTCCCTTCGAGTTGCGGACTTAAAAGCTGCTCTCGAAGAGAGAGGGCTGTCAAAAAGCGGACAGAAGAATGCTCTCATCAAAAGACTCAAGGGGGTGAGTTCTGCTCTGGGGCCCCGGAGCTCTGTTTCTGTGGGCTAACGTTAACGGTGAGACGGGCTGATGCTCTCTCGAGGGCCGACAACTGAGTATGGTTACTGCCGAGCAGCGGAGGAGAGTTGTCGAGGTTAACCTCCTCTGATTTACTTAAAATACGTCGCTTTGCACCACATTGTGTCTAAGCAGTGTTTTCAACTTGCACAAATAGACAGATTGCTGCTACACAGGGAGTTCAGTAAACTTAGTGTGTCTGCCGAAAGTGTGTGCCGGGGTGATGTTGTCCTGTTAGCTCGTTAGCTCTCCGGGCTAACGCGGTGACTCCAGCGGTGGCCTGGCTCGCAACTGTGTGTGTGTGTGTGTGTGTGTGTGTGAGCTCCCGTCAGCGGTGTATGCCCACAACAGTCTCTTTGCATGCGGGGTTGTAAAGCTGCACTGAAAATTTATTGTTAACTTACCAGTGCTTTTTTCACGAAACCGCAGAGAAATACGGCTAAAATACCAGACGAGGACAATAACACTGAGATAAGATAATCGCAGGTCACTAGTCCGTACTAGTGAAAACAAACATTTACCCCTGTGTTTCCAAAAGTTAAGAAAACCCTTTCGTACTATGCCGGGGATTGGTTAGGGCAATGATGATTACTTTCTATTAATTAATAGGTCGAAGACTTAATATGTACGTGAATTCCTGGAATTGTGAAGTCAAAGAGGAATTAGCAGTTGTGATCTTTATAATTTTATTTACCTGGGGAATAAAAATCTCTTGCAGGAGAGGCTGAGACAGTGGTGATGTTAACCACTGACACATTAGCATCAATATAAACAACACCAGATGCAATCACAAGAATGTGAAAATGCATCCAAACACACAGTGCCTGTTTTCTTTGCAAAGGCACAGCCTTGACCATACTTTGAAATTCAAGTGATAACAGGGACTCTAATTTTAGCTGTTATTGAAGTTTGTCCACAGTGGGCAGTATTACCAGATCTGTCCAAACAATAACTTTGACTTTAACTCCTGTTGTAATAGTTGAAGCTTTGGTAAACTTGTCAATGCATCAGTGTATGCAGTTACAGGCTGTCTACATTGTACTTTTGCATTGCATGCTCATATACACTTTTCAACTTTGTGGCTCCACCTTGTTGTCTTCACATGGTTCTGTCTTGATGATATGACCCTAATATCCCACTCTGCTTACCACATTACAAGCCTCATTTGCAAAAGAAAAAAAAAAGAATAAAGTGAGACTGTTAAACGAATTATATTTGATGTGGAGCTACAGACCATAACAGGAACAAATACTCAGCAGTTTTCCTCACCCTGGTAGTCACTACGAAGGGTTGCAGTGTGCTCTTGCCCCTTCTAGCTTGCATGTTAGATACAAATACTCAAAGAGCAGTGTTTTCATGTTTTAAGTTTGGACCCCTTGCTTCTGTAGCAACACAGTTAGAAATAATGAAAAGTTCGGAGAATGTGTATATGTCTGTGTTTATGCCTGTGACTGTTAATCTTTCATCAGTGTTTGTCTCCTGTGCTGTTGACTGAGATAGATAGATATACTTTATTGATCCCAAACTGGGAAATTCACACTGAGCAGACATAGTGTTGTAACTGATCCACTTTAGTACTTTTAATTTTCTCCGAGTGGATCTAAAATAATTTGTTGCAAAATGTTGTTTAGTATGCTGTTCTTGGTAGCTCAATAACTCATAGCATTTAAACAGCCATGGGTATTTCATTAAACAAAGTTATTGTTCAATAAAAAATCTTGTTTTGTTCTTACTAACTGAAGAACACCAAGGCTCAAAACTGTATCACAGGCTTGCTTGTGAGCTCCCACATGTCCCTTGTTTACAATGCAGTGGTTATTCAGTTTAATATACCATGCCATAAAGTTGAACCATGAATCATGCTGTGAACTACTCTTTCCATTGTTTACACTGTGGTGTGTGGTTGCTACCATTGGTCCACTGCATTGTATATAATGACACTAAGTGGTGTTTACATCTGCATTTCCATGCCAAGCTTAAAGGATCCACAGGTGTCAGTATGTTGCCCACATTTTGGGTTGAACTTGGAATTGTGACCATGTATAAACTGTTTTAAGTTAAACAAATCATGCAAGTACATTGTCTGTCCACAGTTTATTTTAAAAAATATTATCATGGATTTTTCACGGCGAAAGCGTTTAAGATTTATGTACATCAGACTTGACTTGTACAATTTTTACAAAAAAGTACACCAATCAGCTCTAACATTATCACCACCTGTGCAGTGTTGTGCTCAGGACAGGAAAAGTCCTAACCTGATGAGACACTAACTCTAGACCTCTGAAGATGCGCTGTGGTATCTGGTGCAAAGAAGTGAGCGAGTAGATCCTTTGCATCCTGGAAGTTGTGAGGTGGGGCCTCCATGCATTGGATTTGGTTGTCAACCACATCCCACCACTGCTTGATAGAAATGAGATCTATCGAACCTTGAGGTCATTCAGTTCAACACCTTTAACTTTTTTCACTGCTCTGTGGTGCAGTTCACGCCTACAGTGACCCACTGAGTTGTGATACCTTTCTATTAGAACAAGCATGAACCTTTCCTGCAGTCAGAGCTCCAGGAGCTCAATGAGCCAGCCTTTGCCTCCCACAAATATCATTGGGCTTTGGCTGGCTGTGACCCCTTTGTAAGAACTGGCCCTTGCAGTCTGGGAACACCCCACAAGGGCCGTAGTTTTGGAGGTGCTCAGACCCAATCGTCTAACCATTACAGTTGGTACTAGGGCTGGGCGATATGGCCTCAAATCAATATCATGGTATATTGAGCAGTTCACCTCGATACCAATAAATGGACGATAACTACTCCACAAGCTGCTCACCCCCTCCCACATTAACTTTGTCTACTTCAGCCGCTACAACTTTTGAACCGTCCTCCATCTCCTCACCTGTCTTTCCCTCTTTGTTATGGACTGGATGGGTGGAGTCACGTAGTACAGTGTCTTAAAGGGACATGACACCATAGCCTACCTACACGCACCCAAAACCAATTTTATTTATTTATTTTTTAATACGGTATATATTGACATGGGCAAAATGACATCAGTTATTCTCGTAAATTTCGGTATCAGTAAATTTTCGGTTTATCGCCTAGCCCTTGTTTGGTCTTTGTTAGAGTCATCCACAACTTGACACTCATCCATTTTCATGTTTACACTTCAGGACCAAATGTTCTTCTGCTGCCTAACATTAGAGTAAACTAGTCGTGGTAAAGTGTAGAGTAGTCAGCATGCTTATGACTGGCCAAGATTATGTAGATTATACTCTTATTAAGAAACACACTGTGCTCATGAAGTGATTAGAAAAACAGTGGCAAACAGGATGCTCAGCTCAGCTCAGAGCTTATGCCAGTACAGAGACAGATGATGACAACATAAAAAAGAGATTGATTTTGAAATTGGTTAAATATCAACAGTGTTGGGTGCAGTAGCTCCTGCCTGCCACATCCTTCTCTTTTTATCACCTTTAGGGTCTGCTTGACCCTTTGACTCTTGTCATGTTACATGATTGCCTCAGATGAGGGAACTCACTTCTTCCCAGTTGTTGTTGCCTTGAAAGGCCAAATTCTCCATACCTGAAATGATCAAACCTCTTGTTTCACTGACAGGCTCTCATGCTGGAGAATCTGCAAAGAACCTCCACCGCTCACATTGGACTGCAGCCAAACTCACAGGTGAGTTTCTGAAAGATGCTTACACTTAACTACTTCAAGACTTTTTGCATATGATGACCTCTTCTCTGAGTTCCATCAAAGCTTCAGCACAATTTTTGTGACTATCTAAGGAAACGTGCATAAGGCTTGTTTTTCAGCCTGTTTTTAATGGGTTTCTCTGTGTTTAGATTGGTGAGGAAATGAGCCAGAACAGCTTCATCAAGCAGTATCTGGCTAAACAACAGGAGCTCCTAAGGCAGCGTCTGGAAAGAGAGGCACGTGAAGCGTATGAAACTAACGGTAAGAGAAGTTTTCATTTTCCCCCGATGCCAAGTTAGTTTTGTAAATATCTGTAGACACCATGCAATGTGTGTTTGTGTTATCTTTATATATGTATTTACTTGTCTTACAGACCAAGATGACCACACAGAAGTCAACAACAGTACAATGTGTTCTCCTCAAGCCCAGGTCAGACATCAAGCTGTCTTCTTTTCTTTTGTAGTCCTTTATGTCATAACCTTTCACGCTGAAGTGATAACTGTAGATTCTTTGGAGCGCTGAAATTCTCTGTGATTCAGAAGAGAGCATGTGTTAGAAATGAACTTGCTTTTAGTATAAAATTCATGATAAATCTCATCTCCATTTCTGTCCTCATTAGGATGTTGCACCAACAATGTCAGAGCAGCACAAGCCCCCTGGCACCTCTGCTGGTGGGGGCCTGTTTGGTGTAGGAAATGCAGGAGAAGCTAACAGGAACCAAGGCGCTCACATGTCTGGTCCTCCTGCATCTGCCTCAGTGGCAATGCGTATTTCTGGGGCAGGAGAGAGGGGCTCTGCAGCTGACGAGGATGCCGCTGATAGTGAAGATGAGGACAGCGAGGACGGTGAGGAGGATGGGGATGACGACGATTGGGACAGCAGTGCTCGGAGGAGAAACCTCAGAGAGCCAGCCAGAGCGCCCACAACCAGAGAGCGGTCTGGAGCTTCATGTCAACCCCAGCAGCAGCACATGGCCTCCCTTTTGTCACCTCAACTTCGCCAGCCGACACCTCCTCCCTCCCCGCCTCCAGAGCTATCGTTTCCCTTACCTGATACCCCTAAGCAAAGCCCCCCTAGTCCAGATGTAGCCCCAGCTCGCTCACCAAGTTCCTCCAGCTCTGGTTCCTCCAGCAGCGGCAGCCGCAGCAGCAGCCCGGAGCCACAGAGGAGTGGACATGCCGAGCGCAAGCCCGGTCCTCTGACTCTCCTGGCTAGAAAGATGGCATCAGAGGGTGCTTTTTCTGGAGCGGGCTGGCATGGTGACGTTGGGGAAGGGGATAAGCAGAACAGTAGTTTGGCCACATCCTTTCCTGGCAGAGGGCCTCCAGAGGGTCTGGTATCTGCCATCGCTCACACAGCCAACACTGCAGGCCATGTGCCATCATTTCCCATGATCCCAGGCACCAACCAGGGTGTCCTAGGAGCACCTCCAGCCCACATTCAAGTACCTGTGAGTGTGCTAAAAGCCACTACATCAGAAGAGAGGGACAGAGAGAGGAACTCAGAGATAGAAAGGGAAAAAGCCTTTGAGCTGGAGAGGCAAAGAAAACTTGAGCAAGAACGAGCGATTGAGGAAGAACGCCAAAGAACTCTCGCGAAGGAGAGAGAGGAAAGAGAGAGAGCCTTAGAGAAAGAGAGAATGGAACGGCAGCAGGCCTTAGAAAGAGAAGAACGAGAGAGGCAGGAAAGGGAACGAGCTTTGGCTCAGGAGAGGGAAGAGCGAGAGCAAGCTTTAGCACGAGAGCGGGCCTTGGAGCTCGAGAGGCAGAGGGAGCTTGAGAGGCAGAGAGAGCTGGAAAGGCAGATGGAGCTGGAAAGGCAGAGGGAGCTCGAAAGACAGCGGGAGCTGGAGAGACAGAAAGAGCTGGAAAGACAGAGGGAGCTGGAAAGACAGAAAGAGCTCGAGAGACAGAAAGAGCTCGAGAGACTGAAAGAGCTGGAGAGACAGAAAGAGCTGGAGAGGCAGAAGGAGCTGGAGAGGCAGAAAGAGCTGGAGAGGCAGAAGGAGCTGGAGAGGCAGAAGGAGCTTGAAAGGCAGAGGGAGCTCGAGAGGCAGAGGGCCCTCGAGCTTGAGAGACAGAGAGAGCTGGAAAGGCAGAGGGCCTTGGAGCAAGAGCGTCTGCAAAGAGAAAAAGAGGAGCGGGAGAGAGAGATGGAGCTGGAAAGAGCGAGGGCTTTAGAGCAGGAAAGAAAGGAGAGAGAAAAGGCTCTTGAGCAAGAGAGATTAGAGAGGGAAAGAGCTCTGGAGGCTGAGAGAAGGGAGAAGGAGAGGCTGGAGAGGGAAAAGGTTTTGGAGCAGGAAAGATTGGATAGGGAAAGGTTAGAGAGGGAGAGAGTCTTAGAGCAGGAGAGAATAGAAAGAGAGAAAGCCTTAGAGCAGGAGAAAATACAGAGAGAGAAAGCCTTAGAGCAAGAGAGAATAGAGAGAGAGAAAGCTTTGGAGCAACAACGACTAGAAAGGGAGAGAGCCCTAGAACAGGAGAGAATTGAGAGGGAGAAAGCCCTAGAGCAAGAAAAGATTGAGAGGGAAAAAGCCTTAGAACGAGAGAGAATAGAAAGAGAGAAAGCTCTTGAGCAAAAAAGGATGGAGAGAGAGAGGGCCCAAGAACAAGAGAGGCTAGAGTTTGAGAGGAAAGAAAAGGAGAGAATAGAGAGAGAGAAAGCAAGGGAGCAAGAGAGGATAGAGAGGGAGAAAGCCTTGGAACGAGAGAGGCTGGAGCGAGAGGCAGCTCTGGAGAAGGAAAAGATGGAGAAGGAAAGAGCTGAGAGGGAGAGGAAAGAGAAGGAGAAAGCCTTTGAACAGGAGAAACTTGAAAGAGAGAGAGCCTTGGAGAAGGAGAAGAGGGAGAAGGAGCAAGAGAGGGAGAAAGCCATGCAGAAAGAAAAGGAGGAGCAGGAGAAAGAGCAAATTAGGGTTGCTGAAAAGGAGAGGGAGAGTCACCTCCCTCCATTCAAACGTGGCCGTGAGATTGGTCTCACATCCGCTGCTCCCCCCCTCTCCACAGGACCAGCTAGAAAGCCATCAACAGAGGCAGGAGAGCAGGAAGATGTCCATGCTCCTGTGTCCAGGACTGAAGATGCAGAATCCGGAGCACCTGTGTCAGCAACTCCCTTGTCACCTCAGTCCTCATTCAAGAAGTTCAGATTCTTCAGGGACTCTCCGATTCAGTCCCAATCTTCCTCCTCTTCCATTTTCATTAAGCGACCCCGAAACTTCTCTGATACTCCCCAGCCATGGGCCCCACCTGTCCCTGCTAATGTTGCAGAGCAACAGCAGGAAGAACACAAGCCCTCCACTCAACACCAGGATCCAAAGACAGGGGCAAAAACAGAGGGATCTGTTTCAACTCAGCCTGAAGAGGAGACCACCAAGAGCACTGTTAGTACCAAACTTGTCCCGAGTCCCTCAAAAGACGGGTCATTGAACCTTGTATCTGTTGACGGAGACAAAGCAGATTCAGGGCCGATGGAACAGGCTGCCACAGAATCCACCAAAAAAGATGTGAATGAAAGGGGTCCAGCAAGCCCAGCCGGTGAATCTCAGCGCAGAGGAAGAGATGCAAAAAAGGAAGAACGAAAAGCACGCAGACGTTCATCGTCCAATGATTCCACTTCCTCAGAATCAGACTCGGGGTCCTCATCATCTCGGTCATCTAGCTCATCCACATCGTCAGAAGAGAAAACCTCCACCTCTAGAAACAGAAAGGTATGTCTTCATTTGTCTGATGTAAAGTTCTTCTGTCATCTTCATCATATTCTACATCTATTGGGAAGGTATTGCTGTCTTATAGCTACATTTATCCACATAACTACATAAGCTAAAACCACCATGGCATCCAGATTGTATATTCAACACTTGAGCAAAGTTCCTTTTCCAATCTGTTATCATCACTTAAAGGGCCTCTCACTGCAGTCATGCAATCTGTTACATTCATTCACTGAAATAAACAAATGTTTGAACCCAAGAGGTCTCCAAAAATTTGAAGAAAAATCTGTGGCAGCTTTAACACTACTGCCATGTTGAGAGGGCTTGGAATGAACAAATATGAAGGAGCAGATATGAGCTAGAATGCCCCAAGATTTCATATCTCTGTTGCAAGGCTGCTCTAAAGGGACATTCCGGTGTAAAATTAAGTTAGGGTTAAACACACCGTAACGCCGAGTTAGACACCCCCTCGAGAGATGAGTGATGCCAACCGCTTGCTTCTGTAGTTATACCAAGCGGTCAATCACTTCATGCACACACCTCAACCAAAAAGCCACTCTATAGCCACAAATAATGCTCAGAACAGCACCTGACTTCATCAACAGTACATATAGGGTCCTAGCCATAGTACTCACCTTCAAACATCTTTTTAGCTTTGCCTGATTTCCTTAGCAAAGAGACTAAACACAATCACCCACTCTCTTCCAGCAGCTGCTTGTTTGTGGGGGGGGCCCTGACGAGTTGATCACCGAGTGTAGCGGATCATTTCCTTGAAGTAATAATTATCAAAATCATTTTGCACTGCAGATGTGGTAGTTCTTCTGCCTTGGCGTCTCAGTCTGATTACATTTCCATTAAAGTAATGATTATAAATTTTCCGCTACACTCTGTGATCAACTCGTCATGGCCCCCCCCACAAACAAGCAGCTGCTGGAAGAGAGTGGGTGATTGTGTTTAGTCTCTTTGCTAAGGAAATCAGGCGAAGCTAAAAAAGATGTTTGATGGCTAGTACTATGGCTGGGACCCTGTATGTACTGTTGATGAAGTCAGGTGCTGTTCTGAGCATTATTTGTGGCTATAGAGTGGCTTTTTGGTTGAGGTTTGCGCATGGATCCATAGACCGCCGTATATTGCTATCGTGCGGTTGTTACTAAAGTTGATATAACTAGAGAAGCAAGCGGTCAGCAACATTCATCTCTCGAGGTGATGTCTCGGTGTGACGGTGTGTTTGACCCTAACTTAACTTCACGCCAGAATATCCTGTAAAGTAATGTTAGCCCACGTGTTCATGGCATATCGTCCCCTGCAACGGGCTTGTCATTGGTTAGTTACTGTAAACTGACAGCTGTATCCCCAAGTTTGTTCTCGTTCCTGTTTTCCAGTTAATAGCTGCCATTCTGTTGCTTTTGCATCTCGAGTATGATGTTTGTTTTTTTAATGTTTTTACTATTATGAATAGCTGTTGAACAGAACTGCTGGGAATCGACATCTAAGCTCACTAATCCAATAAATACATTTTGAGTTCCTATCTTGCTAAAATATATATAATTTGGTGAGAATTATGCACATAATGAAGTGTTGAGATAAACAGGTGCACAAACAATAACTGGGCAATTTTAAGCCACTTATACTGTATATCTATTTCTGTGCATATAATATTGCTTTGTTTATGTCTGTTTTAGGACGGCAGACCTGAAAGAGAACCTTCACCACAGCACAGGGTGACACTACATCCTCAGGGGAAGAACTTAAAGGAAGCACCAAAGTCATCCCCACAGAAATCTGTCCAGAAGAGTGACACAACTGCTGATGGAGACAGACAGGCCAAGGTCAGTTGCTGACAGGTTATTTTTTTCTAACGTCTTGGGTACAGCATGTATCCTTATCTTCATAAAAGCCTAAATTGTTTAGTGTTCACTTTAATCAAAATTCTCAAGATCTCTGGATTGCGGCATATTTTAGTTATTTCCCCTCTGCTGGTGTTCCTATTATTGTTGAATTTAACTTTTTTTTTTTCTCATTTGATTATTTTTGAATCCACAGGAACTGTTTGCCGAAGCACCAACCAGAGAGGCGATGCAGAGGAAAAGGAAGGACAGCAAGGGGGAGGAGGACAAAGACAAAGACAGGTTTGCTTATATATCTTAGTCTTACAACACATGGGCTACCCAGTGTCTCTGGTTTTTAGAATTGTACAGACTGGTATATGAACCAGGTCCTTACAGAACTGAAGTCTGCTGATGGTTGAGCTCTATTTGATTGAAGCTGTGGGGTCAATGAAGTGGATCGCAGTTCTTGGAGATTGTAGTTCTTGAGATAATCAATGCAGCAGAACTGTGGTAGAGCGGGCGGCTTTAACTTTCTCTATAAAATACTTTTATCACTTTTTGAAACAGTGGTGTAAAGGTTCATCAGACAAAAAGTCATTTATTGTGAAGTAGTTGGATTCTCGTATTAGATAGTCTATCTGGTTGGACAGATGGAGACTTGGACATCCGTTTAGTCTTTTTGTCTTGCCCCTTTACTGAGCAGACCCTAGAGAAACATTGTATTTTTAAAAAGCAGCAAAATGAAATGGTTATACAGTTTCTTTATTGGGAGGAAATATTATGTTGTGTGTGTGTGCGTGAGAGAGAGTGAGAAGTCTGCAGAGTAAAATGTGTTTTTTAAGCCAGGAGTGTCTTCATTTCGTTATGCTTTGCAGTGATTTGTTTATGTTGAATGATGCCAGATTATTACTGAAGAAAATTTTCATTGTGCTGACCATAACTGTTTTTATGTGCACAAAAACTTACACAAGAAATGCCTATAAAGAGAAGAACCGTATTTTTCGCACTATAAGGCGCACCTGACTATAAGGCGCACCATCAATGAACGCGTCTATTCGTGTCTGTTTTCATACATAAGGCGCACTGGATTATAAAGCACATTAAGCCAAACAAAACAGTCAGATAAGTCAAACTTTATTTAACTCATTCAATAACTCCGCGAGGCTACAGTAGCTGCAGTGCTCCGACAAGCCGTCAGGCTGTGTGGTTTTGTAGCGCACCGAAGTCGTGATAAAATATTTTGAGAGATTTTTGAGCGCTGTGTACCACATAAAATTGGTTCGAGTTCAGTAAGCACAACCAGAATTCATACAGAAGGTGCAACTAAGGATTTTTGAGAAAATTAAAGGATTTTAAGTGCGCCTTATAATGCGAAAAATACAGAACTTAAATTACAAGGGCTCCGAAGAATAGCACTGATTAAGAACAACTAAAGGGCACTGGGTCTCATCAGTGCCCTTTAGCATTTTTACAGAATTTGTTCCACTGTCCTATATCTGTAATATACAGTACACCTAAAATAGCACAGAGAAATAAACCACACTGATAAAATGTTACATAGTATCAGTGGTGGCCATACATTTTCTTTGTAAATACAGAAGAGTTATGACTGAATATCATATCATGCTCCAGCACTCAGGTAGTTTTACTGATTGAAAGAGATTTTAGAATTTTCCTGTGTTTTTATGGTGTGTAATTCACATTCACTGGTTCGGCGTAAATAGTCCGCAACATGATAACAGCCATATTATGCATCAAAGCAGTGTCAATCCTGTAATTTCTGACCCCACGGTGATGCACTGAACTGTGTACAAATATTCTGGTTTCATTTGAGGCTATTGTTTGTTGCTTTGCAAACGTACATGTTTAATCACTGTAAATCAGACCCCGATGGTTTTGCATGCCTCTGCACCGTTAAAACGATGCGATCAAAGATTAAAGGTGTCGGATTTCCCATCAGGCGATTGATGAGGCTGCCTTGAAGCCGGTGTGGCTGAGAAGATGTGGGTCCTTTTCATACACGATCATTTTTTTTCCTCCCTCGTTACAACATGGCTGAGCTCCGTCGGTGGTTTTAGCTGCTGATGCCGGCCTGTGGTTTTTATCCAGCGGCTCAGCGAAACAGCAGGCGGGGGTTTGTTTGACAGCCGGCGCGGACATGAAAGCGTTCAGAGAGGAGTAGTCTCTGGTGAGAGGAAGGTAGGAGGAGGGGAGAGAGCTACCTCGTTGCGTCGCAGTCATTTTAGCAGCAGCAGCAGCTTGTATGCTGCGTTTTAACTTTAAGTTAATGCAAGTGAAAATGAGAAGACGCGTTCACGTGCGCGAATGACATAAGAACGTGAGGCTCGCGCTCGTTTGTCAGGTATTGTGTCGCGGACGGTGTGCAGTTGGTCAATCTGGTCATACAGTCAACGTTTTGGACGGACTCAGCGTGTCTGAAGAAGGACTGCGGTGGCTCTGCATTGCTTGACTCCTCTCCCGGGTTCAGTTCTTAAACCCTCAATGAAAAATAAGGGGGAAACCTATTTGTATCACTTGTCAACACTGTGATGCGTTCAAGCTGGTTTCAGTTTTGTGAATCTTAGTGGCATAACTGGTATTTTTCCCATAAGTCTTGTACAGTGAGGTTAGTTGAATAAAAAAACATACTGTTCTGTGGATGCACATAATTTCAATCAATGATATTTTAGTTACTTGCCCTTATTTTTTATTGTTTTTTTAAAAATATATATATATATATATTTTAAACATTTTTAACGCTAGATTCATTTTCCCCACAAACAAAATCATTTTCCAATGACATTGTGTGGTAAAACTTGGTATTATACTTTGATATTCTTTTTGCGATTACATCTTTTAAATTATGACCGTTTGGTTGAACATTTGTTTACCTTTAATATTTTTGTCATCGGATCATAAATTGAAATTCATGGTCATTCCCGAATGTCCTTAATGTTTTCCCCTTCATCTCTTAATGTTTGTTTTTCACCAAACACAGGGAGGAAAAGGAGACTACCATGGCAGAGCCAGAGAAGCTTCCAGAGACCGGCGAGGAGGTAAGGAGTGTGAAGACCTGTGAACCGTCCTGGTCATCAAAGCTGTTGGACGCAGAGGGCTTAAGTGATAGGACCCATTTGTTTAAAAATCTCATTTTTGTGTACATTAAGATTAATGTTGATGTGTAGCAACATAGGTTATCTGCAAATATGCCTTTATTCATGTTGGAAGTCTACATCCCCTTTAAGACTTAATATGCCCTTTTCACAAGTGGTAGATTATATGTGGGAATTTTTAAAATTGGCTTTTTGTGAATCCTTTATTGGCACTGTCATAGCGAGAAAGGGCAAGGGTGTTTTCTCACTGTGGCTGATGTTTAAACCCCAAATGATTGCTTTGTTATAAAGGTGCTCATGCCTCTTCCATTGCCCCTTTTGGTACCTGCATACTACTTCTGCCACTACTACCTCTTCTACCAGTACTACTTCTACCACTTCTGCACCTGTTCCACTGTCCCCAAGCATCCAGAGTTGGCCACAGATAAGCTCCCAGGGCTGCACTGCAGAGGGACACCCCTGGCAACAATGACTACCTCATTTTCATGGACATTACTTGCAAGAGTCATTACTGGGACTTGTAGATTTGAAGGGTGGTTTGGCTAGTCAATGAGCCAGACTGCTCTTTGCCTGTTTTTCACTCATGAGGCCCAGTGTCCTCGAAAACATCATGGAGAAGAGATGAGCGTGGATTTCTGCCCACACTAAGTCAAGGCTACTGGGAAACTCTGCAGTTTTTTCTCTTTGCCTCAGTTTGAGACATTTCAATCCACCCCAAGGGGTTTTTGAGATATACCATTTGATGTCGAACTGAAACATGCTTGAAAAAAGGCATTTTGGACACAGAGGATTTTGTTGATCTTTTGGGGAAGGATTTTGATATCTTCAGCAAATGATAATATTGGATGCTGAACTAAGAAGCCAGTGTTTTTGTCTGGACTCAATGGACTTGAAAGGTTTCACTCGATTGAAGAATGATTCACAGTTTTGGTCCCTTTCAAGAGCTGAAATTGTCACAGTTTTGTCACCACTGGGACTCAAATGAACGCACGGCACCCTTAAAACAACAGAACCCAAAACTAAGGATTTATGTGCGCATTGACTGCTGACATCGTCCATCATTTGGTCCCCAGCCCATTGGACTTGTGTCTTTGTATTGTTATGAGAGCCTCCCACATTCTTAACGGACTAATGCCAAAACACCTGAGGATGACTGCTGTGGCTCAAAGAATATCTAAGCCCCCACCCCAAAGAACTATTGAAACATCCTGCCAGCCAGACAGCCAGCTTTAAGATTTCCATCCAAACATCTCAGCCACCTTTGATTGGACCCTTGTTGCCTAGATACAAACATGCAGTCGTGATTGGGCCATTTCCAAACCAGTAAGGATCAGGTGTCAGTGGTACCAGGGAATAAGTAGATTTTTACTCTGTGTTTTATTTCATGCAGTAAAATGCTAAGTTTGCAGCTCTACATTTTAAAGTCTTTGTCTAGAGGGTACTGCAGTTCATTCAAGGTAGTTTCAAACAACAGATTTATGTTGTACAATCTAAGTTAGGACTCACAATTTTCTAGTCATATCAAAGAATCTTGTACGGTAGATCGTTAGATAATTCTGGATAGCATCTACCTCACTACCTGTACAGTACGCATTTATAGTTTGGTGCCATTCAGTAGATTTGAATTCAGAAGTTTTAAAAAGCACACTACAGTTTTTATTTGATTTCACTGATTTTCTGCTCTCAGTCCCTACATGCCCCCTCTCTGTTATTGTTCACCTTTCCTCCAACCTGCCCTTGATCTTTTGACTCCACCTGCTGTCTGTCGCTCACCTCTCCCATGTATGTTGGGTTGTTTTTATCTTCTTGTGTTTCAGACGCCAAAGGCCTTCGCAGCTCGTAAGATTTCACTTGGCAGTAAGTATCCCTTCCTATCTTCACTAACCAGTGCTGTTGGTGTTATTAAATTGATTTGGTGTGGTTATTTTAAGCCCATTAAATGAACCTCTAGCTCTCTATACCAAAACTTACTTTTACGTATTCTGATCTAAAATAAAAACCATGAAAGCATCTTTAGGTTGTTCAGTATTAATGATATCAAACAGTTGATCATCCCAGATATCCATATGTTTATTCCAGCACGGTGTGTTTCTATAAGGCTCTTAGCTGCCCTTGGTCCACCTCACCTCCTTTAAAATTTTATGACTCTTGTGTTTTATATTGACCAAAAAGTAATCACGATACAAAAGTTTTTTTTTTTTTATTAATCTTTGAAAATAATTATAAAGATGTCTTAATGTCAAACAAACAAAAATATCAATGTAAACTTTGGCCACTGTTTTCTATTATAGAGTTTGTAGGGTAAGTGGCGTTATTGGTGAAACAGTAGAGACCTGAAAAGATGAGGATTTATAAGTCCTGATCATCTGTTTGTAAAAATGTGTTCATGATATGAGCATGGCTTTATGATATCACATATATATATATATATTGTAGATGTCAGGTATATTAGTGTTTTGGTAAACTTGTTTGTTTCTGCTCTTATCAGGCAGTAAATCGTCCCCAGGCTCTGGAGGTGTGGAAGGTGAGCAGGACTCAGGAGCTGCAGCAGGACGCAAAAGGAGGTGGGGCTCAAGCACAGCGGTCACCGCCAAGAAACCTTCAATCAGCATCACCACAGATTCACTCAAGGTATTTGCAGCATAATGAGGTTGTTGTCTTGTTTTGGTACCTTTTTTGCACCTTCAGGTGGCCTGTGCAGCACCTGCACTGGCTCTGTCTCCTGTTTTGGATTCCTGCAGGCCCCATTCATCCTGTATTCTGTGTTCTTTTCTTTCAGTCTTTAATCCCAGACATTCGGCCGTGTCTCAGCCAGGAGGCAGTAGTAGACCTACACCCAGAGGAGGCTGTCCTCTCTGGAGCTGAGGATGAAGAGAGGGATCGCTCCGACCAGGACCTTCAGATCCGGCGCACTGTCACACAGGTTGGTCCGCAGCTTTTAATCTGTTTTCCCGGAAATAAAATGTTGGAAAGTGTCATCACAGCGAAATGAGAGGTAGATGGTTAATAATTGCTTGTGTTGATTCCAGGTGGTGCACACAGATAGTCAGGAGAATGGACAGAAAGAGGCAAAGAGGAGCAGATTTGAGGAGCTGGAGGAAGATGACCTGCAGGATGAAGGGGAGAAGACAAGGGAGCATGAAGAGAAGATGGACTCATCGTTTTCTGGAGCCCCAGAAACCCAGTCTCCCTCACAGACCAGCCAAGATGTAGAAATCAACACTGGTAATTGATCCACCACCACCATACTGTTTTTAACTAGCATTAAAGTAGTCTCAAAACTCTTCAAGATTTCACTTAAGGATAGCCTTGGGCTATTTGGAAATATCATTCAACAAGACTACAAACTGAACTTTGTATGATATATTAAATTCACACTCATTGTATCAGGACTAGAGTTTTGTTAGGATAGAATCCAAGTGTGTCCTGATGTTGAACTTACCGAACCTGTTGAGGTTCAAGTGTCTGAAGCTAATCCAAGCAAAGAGTTAGTTTTTGACAGAGATACTGTGTTCACTGTATTTCCTCTCAATTGTAGTGACACCCGGCGATACCCTTATTCGTCGCTCCATCAGCCAGCAGAAAACAGGTGTTTCAATCACGATCGATGACCCTGTTCGCACGGCTCAGCAGCCATCGCCACCTCGAGGCAAAGTCTCCTGCATTGTTCATATCTGCAACCTGGTGAGAAAACTCCCACTCTCTACCTCAAACATAAAGGAACTTGAGCCGCACACTTCTTCAACCACAGGGCTTAATTTTCGGGCAGTTCCACTTCTGACACACAGATATGTCATCTAAAGCGGCTTTGCTGTTTCGACTCATGATCTCATAGATTAGATTGTAGTTTGTACTCACACTAGTCTTAACTGTGTAACTGTGTAAAGCCGCCTCTTGAGAAGTGCTTTATAATTTTTTTGTGTGTGTAGGTGAGGCCGTTCACTCTTGGGCAGCTCAAAGAACTGCTCAGCAGAACTGGCACCCTCGTGGAGGAAGGCTTCTGGATTGACAAAATCAAGTCTCACTGCTATGTCACTGTGAGTTATTTTGAGCTATTTTTAATCTGTCAAATTTTTATTTTAGTGTTGGTTCTTGTGTGTCTCATTTAGCTGTCGTCTTCTCCCTATGTGTAGTACTGCAGCTCAGAGGAAGCAATCGCCACACGGGCAGCTCTTCATGGAGTGAAATGGCCTCAGAGTAACCCTAAAGTCCTGAGTGTGGAATTCTGCCAGCAGGACGAGGTAACACCTGTTTGCAACCCTTCTGTTTTCCTCTTCCACCCACAATGCTTTGCCGTCTGTAGACTGAAACCCTCTCTGCCTCCATAGTTGGACTTCCACAAAAATTTGGGTGTAGCTGACAGACCAGGAGTTGAGGATCAGGGCCGTGGTCGAACCTCAGGCCTGCCCTCTCTGCTCCCAGAGCGAGATCAGTGGGCAGAGCGGGAGCGTGAGATGGAGCGTCGCGAAAAGGCTCGAGCAGAGCGGGAATGGGACCGGGACAAGGTCAGAGAGTTTGGGAAACCTGGAGCGGAGAAGGAAGGAGGCACCAGGAGGTCGCGCTCCAGGGAGAGAAGGCGCAAAGAGAGAGGAAAGAGTAAAGAGAAGAAGACTGAGAAGAAAGGTAAGACATGCATTCTTTACCCATTTTGAAGAACCATCAAAGTCTTATTTTTATCCATTTGCTTTCTCCAAACTGTAAGACTCTGCTGCCTTTCTGTCTCATTTGCTCAGAGGAGCATTTTTAATTTTGGACTGTTGGATTGTTATATGAATATTAAGTCCTGTCAGGCTTCTGAAATAAACCAAGCCTTTATACATTTTGAAACGGAACAATTTTATTGCAAGATAATTGGCAGAATTCTTGTAGAGAAAGAGAAATGATTAGTCATCAGTGCAGCCCTAATGTAATTTTAATTTTTGTAGAGAAAACAGCTGAGGATCCTCCTGCCAAGCTGCTCGATGATCTTTTCCGCAAAACTAAAGCGGCTCCTTGTATATACTGGCTTCCACTCACAGAGGAACAGGTGAGACCGTTGAAACCGTTAGTCTAACTTTAATTAGCTTTGTTTGATAATTAAAGTCTTCACCCTGAGGTCTTACAAGTCTTGCTCTTTGCATCTTCTCATCTCAGTTCCTTCAGAGGGAAGCTGCCAGAGCAGAACGGATAAAGGAGCGACAGAAACGGTGGAAAGAGCAAGAAGAGGAGGAGGGGAAAAAAAGGGAAGAAGAGGAGCGCAAAGAGAGGATGAAGGCTGCAGCCGGCACAGCTGGAGAGCGCAGTGAGGGTGAGAAAGACAAGGACAGAGACAGAGAGAGGGACAGAGACCGAGACAGAGACCGAGGCAGAGACAGAGACAGAGAGAGGGAGAGGGAAAGAGAGAGGGAAAACGACAAACGCAGGGATGGCTACCGTAGACCGGGCGGCAGTGGCACCGGAGGGGGTCGGCGCTCACGCAGCCGTAGCGAACCTCGTGAAAGGCGGCGCTAACAGCCAATCAACATTTGGAACTGTCCTAGAAACCACCCCTTTCCATTTGCCTTTCACTACATGTACTTAATTACAACTAAGACCCAACAGAGGACCAACTGATGTCGTCACCATCTCTTGAATTGTCACCTTTTTTAAAGCACATCTCCACCTACACACAGTCATGCTTTAAGGGGACCATGATTCTTTGCAGTGTTGTTTCCCAGAGTGCCGTACGCTTTGCTCATGTCTAGGTTTAATATTTCTTTAAACATCTGCCTCTTTAATTTCTTTGGTATTTGTTTTGATGACATAGCAGTACGGCACACTGGGTAATTTGGAAAAAATCCACCCATTGTTCCCCTTTTGCCCCAAAGTGTAGGTGCCAATTATTCTTTGCATCAATTGTCGCCTCCGTGTTTTAACAGCTCTGCAGTTTGGATGAGGTATCCTTTTGTTGCTGCTTGTAGTCCAAGGGTTTTCTTGCCAGTCCTGCCTAAAGATAAAACTCTGCCCTTTGTGCAGAGACTTGCATCTAAAATTATTGGAAAGTTTTGTTTAGACTTTTGTACAGACATATAAGATTACTCAAAATCAAGTCTTTGAAACGAGGCAGCTCTGGGGTATATTTTGACAGGTGTGGAATTACTACTAAGGCAATGCAGTGTTCCTCTCTCCCTCGTTTTAGTTAAAGGACAAACTATTCTCTGATCTGAGCAGGGAGAGTCTTTGTCAGTCACACCTGACAGAAATATAATTATGTCTTTATCATTGATTCTCTTCTTCCTCGCTCCTCTTCCTCCTGCTCTCTCACCCTGTAGAGTCGATACAGGCCCAAGAGGGGAGGTTGCATTAAGATTTTTCTCAACAATGGTTTTAATATTGTTTTTTAATCATTATTTTATCATTTTAGTACTGAGGTTTGTTTTTGTTTTTTAATTTCCTCTTTGAGTACGCCTATCAGTGGTGAATGTACAAATAATAAAAACTGAAATTTGAACATCTGTGAAGTTTCTTTTCCATTCTACTTGGCAAGAGTTTCCAGCACAAGAGATTACAATCCATTCTACACTGAAGCGGCATGGATTGTAAATTAGACTGCATTTAAACTTGAAATCCACAAGGTGTCACTCAAGACACACTGTGGTCCTGGCCATTTATAATGTAGCAGGGACATTTGATTACTTAAGTGAGTTGAAGTAAGGCTATAAAAAGATAAACTGATGTCAGCAGCTGAAGCAGTCTGATGAAAATTCCACTTTTTCTCTGCTCTGTCAAGGAAAAGGCCAATGGCATCCGTTTGATTCTGCATTCATGTGTCTGATCAGCTTCATTCAAGTTTGAGAGTTTCATCCTCTGTACCCTCCATCTTCTCGTAACTGACCCTTCCCTTCTCACACTGTAAATCATGTATTTGCCCTCTTTATTCCCTTGTCCCATCTTTCTAGTCCTGACGTTTATCCTGCAAAGCTCAGCAGTGCTCCTCTGTAATTACAGCCCTATGGTCGCTGAGCATAACATTTTTGTGCCCTGATGCAACTCAGTGTGTCTGGACTCTGGGAGGACCAGTGAATCCTTCAGCCTGGCACCCAAAGAACAAAATTCTAGCTGAGCCAGCTGAGTTGGAACTGGAGCACAAAAGAAATCTAGAGTGTTTATTTCATATGCAGATGAAACCTCTTGAGGAGAAAAGCCCAAAAGCGTCTCACAGCATCTGTTTCACAAAGCGGTAGGAGTGAAGGTAGAGCCCGACCGGTTTCAGAGGGGAAAATTGACTGAGGAGCCAGGGCATCTTAAATTTTTTAAACATAAAAGCAAAAAGACACTAAGGGGTTTGTATAGCCTCAATTCTGTGAACAACGGGGCGCTGTACAAGATGTTAAATACAAAATTTGATGGTCTGTAAATCATTTAAAGCCTATATTTAGTGCTATCAGATATTGAAACTTAACATTTTTTACTGTTTTCTATGAAATATATGCATGTTTTTACTTCCATGCCAGCAACACATTTTGACTCTGACGTGGAAACAGTTTGACACTGCAATCACTTATACATGGTAATACAGTACAATGCAAAGAGGAAACAGCAGATCAACTTGATTCAGAAATGCTGTCAACTTCTCTGAGCCCATTAAAGTTGACATTCTTCTTGGAAATTGTGGATACCACACCCTGTACCCCACAGAGGAAGGGGCCCATCCAGCTTATTATGAGGGTTTCATCAAAGAGCCAGCATCCATGATGGTATGGGTTGTTACTGAACGATAGAAACATTATACAGGTTTTGGACCATCAAATTCTAACCAGCAAGGATCTGTCATGTTACAGTAAAAAGATGCCGAGATTCATTCTGCACATCTCAGAAGTTGAAGAATCTGCATGCAAAACTGACCTCAACGCCCATTAAGAAATTTGACATCATGGCACAAGATACTGCGAAGGAGACCTGAAACTACTGAGCAGATGAAATCCTTTATCAGGCAGGGATTTTTCAAAGCTCTGGTCTCCTCAGTTCCCAGAACTGTACAGTGTTGTTAAAAGAGAAGGTGGTGCACACAATGGTAAAAACATTTTTCTAAAAATGTCACTGGCATCAAAATCAAAATTAGCCTATACTTTTTCGAAAACAAAGACACCTTGATTGGTTGTCTTTGCACTATTTCCAATAGACTTTTAATCATTTACAAACAACAAATTCTCCTGTTACTGTTTTATGCAGCATCTTAGCTCTTATGGAGTTGGGGTTATATTAGAGTTTGTCAACGACTGATAAGACTTATAGCTTTTAAGAACAAATAATATTAAGCGAGTTACTCATTGTGAGTCTGTGTGAATACTCTTTAACTATGGCGTGAAGCGTGTTCAAACCATGTGGCAAAATCACCTTGATTGTTGTTTTCAGTTATAAAACTTTTTCAACTTGGTCCCATCACTTTTCAAGCCTGTATTCATAATTAGTGAGTTGCTGCCTCTACAGAAAAGACAGAAACTGATTGAAAGAGCAGTTATCACCGGTCTCTTTGAATCACCCCCTTTTAAAGGGAGAGTGGCTCAGTTTGCTACTTTGGCTGCGTTTAGCTAGGAATGTAAGATGTCAGCAGATCAAAGCGTTATCTGATGGCTCTCTGTGTAACAGCAAGAACCAAACTTTTGAAGAATAGCTTTGTGCCTGACACAAGTATACACTTTTAGCCTTTTAGAGCCCTTGCTGTTTCAGGGTAATAGTGTGGAAGAGCAGTTTCACACAAAGCAAGCCGAGAGCGAGTATATTTTTTTTCCCTTAAGTGTATGTAGGATTTAGTCTCTCTTTTTCTATACTCTCTTCCCAGAGCTGACCAAAAAAAGAAAAAATGACCCCGCCAGAGAACCTAAAAATTCAACCTACAGAACTGCCCGGCTGATTTATACAGAGGACTAAAAAAAGCTCTAAACTCATGATCTCAGGGGACGATCTTGTCTGTGCCAGGCTCTGTGGAACGCCTGCTTTGGTTCAGAAAAAATCTCTTCATCTAAAGTGAAACAGCTGAGCAGCTTTGTGCCAACAGAAGAAGAGATGAGTCAAACAGTGTTTCTACACTTGCAGGTCTTTTACAGAACAACTCATGACAGCTGGAGGGACCACAACAGACCACCTGTGTCTGGTGCAGAGCTCAGGTCAACGGTAAAGCCCTCCATGACCAACCAGTCAGCTGAGCGAGGCCGCTTTTTTGTTGATGAGTGGGCAGTAAAAATATGTTTTCGCTCTGTAAGCAGTCCCCCCTGCTTATATGTCTCCTCCTCCCTCCTCGCCCTCCCCTCCTGAGTGTAACCACATAGGTCTTTGTGTCCAGCACTGTAAGGAACTCAGCATAGAGGCCCACTAAGCTCCACTTTCAAAGGCAACCTCTGATGTGGCCTTTCTGATCTCGGCATGTCTGACTGACTTTGCTCTGACTCTCTGACTTAGAGTTTTCCTTTCCTAGTCGGTCTCATATTTCTTCGTGGTTTCTCTCTTTCACATGCAAACTCACTCCTATAGATTTCTTTTTCTCCTGGAGTAAAGAGCATCTTGCCGGGATCATGAAAACATGTGTGAGGAGTTTGGTAAGACGATTGGAGGCAATAATATCTTGATAGTGTTTCTTACCATTCCTTGAAGTTCAAACTTCTCTCGAAATACGCACCCTCCCCCTCCTCTTCCAGTCCTCCCCTCCTTTCCTCGACTTTGTGATGACATGTATGTGCTCATGGAAACCAGATGTGCCTTGTTGCGATGAAAGAAGCAGCAAGAGAAGAATCAAAACCAAGCATGAGGTTGCATGATACTTAATTAACTGCCAGCAGGAGATATGGGGAGGGGGAGGGTGAAGAGTGAGACGTTTGGAGGGCTCTGCTTCTCTTGTGGTCTAGAGAGTTCAGACGGTGAAGTATATTTAGATGTTCGATCAAACCTGCTATCCTGTTCCTGAGTAAATCAGGAATTGGGGGGGGTTTCCTCACAGATGGGGCTGGGTCAGAACAAGGGTAGCTGGGTTTGAAGGGTCTGAATCAGCAGCTCCTCTAATGGGGGTGTTTTTCTGCAGGGCCTGGGAAACCACGGCATTTGAGACAGGGGTTTGGAGAATAAAAACCCTTGAAGTTTTTAAACGTTCATTGTTCAGCTTCCTTGCACCTGAATTTCCCGCCCCCACGATACCTCCCTCCACTTTTTAAAAGAGACTTCTCCCACCAAACCACACCCTGTCCAGGGCGCAGACCTGATATCTTTATGCAGATTCAGCGCTGAGGGGGCAGACGTTGGGCAGAAGTGCACGGCTAGGAAAACAAAGATCTCAAACCATAAAGAAATACTTGATGGAGGAGAGAAAAGTAGGTCTGGGACATCTGGGGCATACAAAAAAGATATGTTTGTCTAATGAGGAGAGTTATTTTCCATGCATAGCTCCTCGTGTAGCTTAATGGAGTAATGAGACGCAGACAGGACGGAAAAACGTATTAGATATTGATCCCCCTTTTTCTTTGGCAGTGTGTACCCACCACAAATAAATTGTGTGCATGTTTCTGTGTGTGTGTAAAATGTGTAGTTGCAGCAGTTTGAGAACTATTCCTACACCCTTCCTAAGTATGCCGTAAAAAACCTTTTTTATAAGATTTTAAACAAACATGCATTACAGGGCAGCACAGCATTGTGATTTTCCATAGAGAGGAAAAGACAAATCATAGTTAGTAACCTTGAGTGTGGCTGCATTCCATTTCTGTCACCCAATCAGAACGGTTTGAGCCTCATTCAACAACCATTTTAATTTTTTGAAACCCCATTTTTATAAGATTCTGATATACACTAAAGTCTCTTTATGTGTGGGCTTTGGTCCTAAACATAGACTGTACATACTATGGACAACTTGGCTCCGCCTTCCATCATTGTACAAATTTGGAGCTAAATTGCTCTCAGTATTTCTTGGATTTTTCCCACTTCCTGGAATCACCACTTGCGCAGTAGCGGTTTACGCATTCAGCGGGAAAGTCGCTGTGATGATGCTCTCCTTAAACAGCGTATCCCCCTGGACAAGCTAAGCAGTCTTCATACGCCCCATAGGCTGTACCAAGTGTCAATCATAGAAAACATGAAGCCCCATATAACTTTTAAAAATGGAGCTGTACCGGAAAAAAAAAGGACTTGAGCACAAATCAGTCTTACAGTAACTACATGTCGACACGATAAACAGGGAGGAGAAAAAATTATATTCTGTGTAATAAATTTCTAAAGTTTGTCCACAGCTCCATAGGGATTGCTGGAGGAGGCGGGATTTATTACCTATACTGCAGCCAGTCACCAGAGGGTGCTGTTCGCGGAGTGGCTTCACCGAGTGAGGAGACAGATGGCGTCCACTCTATATACAGTCTATGGTCTGGTATAAGAAGAAAATATAGGAACATTTGAGGGCAATTTTATGCACATTTAAGGGCCAATATGCTGGTGCAAAATAATTGTCTATTGTGTCTTTTTTTATTTGCAACTTAATATTATTTCTAAAACATTTCATAAATACATAATTTCCATGGTATCAACTTCTTTTTTTAATAACACAATGATCGGTCCAAAGCTGTGAAACTGTGAATATACTGGTATGGTAAGCACTTAATTTAGAATTTTTTATAATAAAGCTAATTCCTGGATCAGAATTAACTTTATATGCCAGATTTGTGTGTGCACACAATCATTTTGACAGGCTTCAGAGCATGGAGTATTTAAGAGGTATGAACAAGCTTATAGAATACAATACACAAGAATTGTATATTTTCAATAATCTGTTAATATCTGTTCACTCATCTTACAATGGCAGCTTTTAGAATAAATCCTTTGTTTTATTTAATAAAAGGTACAGTATGTAAAATAGGAATATTAAGCAATATTCTAGAGCTAGGTTCCTGATGGAAGTTTTCACCGCTCCCATCAATTGAGCAAAATTGAGTCTACTTTCCCTTTCTGTTATATGTATATGTTACAATTTTGCAACCCTCTGTTGCTAATGTATATCAGAGAAATTAAGTGTGCTTTTATGTGTCTGGAAACAATTGCATCTTCAATTATGCAGTATTACTTTTTAATACCTGGATCTTTAAGGGAACTTTCTGTTTCCGATTCAGATCCCTTTGTACCGTTACCACACTTTTTCCAGGCCTTTGATACCAACATGGAGGAGCAGAGGCACATGGAGGAGAGAGTACAGGTGGAGTGACGTGTTACTCAAGAAACTTTATTTTTGGAAGTGATGACAGGATGAGGACTTTTAGGTCATACACCTGACATCACACTTCCTGTTGCGAGACTGCTACACTCGTGCTCAGTACAATTGAAATTTAATCAGGTAATGAAAATAAAATGTACCCATGAATATTATTTTCCATATCAACACAGTCTGCTCTGCTAAATGCTGTCAAAAATCACACACTTTACCTTTAATCTTGAAATACAAAAAACAGTTTAGATTTGGACAGTATCTATCTTCTGTCTCAAGCATCATTTTTCCATCAGATTTTAGATCAAGCTTTTTTTTGTTTTTACTTCATCTGGTGTTCATCTTCTGCTGATTATGACATGCTTCTGATGACAGCCTTCTCTGAAAAACTGTGTAGTATTTAATGTATCTGTTAGTTGTGTTTATTCTGCAGAGTAGAATAACCTGAGTAGACGGTCCAGGTTATTTTCAGCTGATGTTTGTCATAAAATCGTAATTTGTAACAGGAAATCTAAGGCACTCTGATGCAGTAGAGAAACCCTTCACAAACAGGATATGAATACATGTTTCAACTCAGCTGAGTCTTCATCAGGACATAGTGTGAGTACCTGACTATGTCCTCAAATGAGTTTGAACATGTAGACATATCTTTCTTAATTAAAGGATTTTTGTACTGCACTGGGGAGCTTTGGGTTTTGAATTCAAACTGTCAATCCAATACAAGAATTAAGCTGCTTAGTTATTTTTTGGCTATAATATTATAATTTGACCTTTTGTCTCTTATTCTTGGACAGCACCTGATCACTTCACAACGTTTATTCTTTTTTTCCCTGACCCAGTGCAGCGCCCTCCTCTCTATCCACAATTACACTGTCGGTTTTTAAGCTTATAATGCAAGTTTGGCTACCCCGTTCACCATCTTAGTTTCAGTAATTGAGCATGCTAACACCAGTTTAAGGGCAGAAATATCCAAAGTTTTGCTGCTGGTGAAAATAATCATAATAATAATGTTATTCGTATAGCACTTACCAAAACAGATGTCACAAAGTGCTTTGCAAACATGAAACCTCATACTTTGGAAATAAAACAGTGAGACAAAATAGCAAAACATAGTAAAAGATGACACAACTAAAAGAGGAAATAATAAAATCATAAAAGAGCAGGTAGTGAGATCAGTGAAAAACAGTGGCTGCACAGAGCAGGCAATAAATGAAACATTGAACACCCTAAATAATTAAATAAATAAAAAAATTAAAAGAAGGCCATTCAATAAAGATAACTTTCCAAAAGTGATTCAAAAGAAGTTTCTGATGTACTTCATTGTAGATCCTCAGGTAGGTTGTTCCACAACTGAGGAGCCCGAACAACAAAAGCTTGATCTCCTTTAATGTTTAAATTTGAGATGGGACCATTAAGATGGTCCCTGCCTGAGGATCTGAGGCCACACACTGGCTTGTATAGCGACAGCGGTCCTGATATATGAGAGCGGTAACACGCTCTCTTTTCTTAGTTTTAGTTAAAAGTCTAGCTGCTGAATTTCAGACTATTTGGAGGCAATTTATTAATTTCTGCTTTATTCCTGTAAAAATAACAGTGAGGAGATAACAGCATGAATAATTGTTTGGGTGTCATTAAGTCAGCACAGAAACATAATTTTCTGACAAACACAACTGAACAATTATGTTTGTCTGTTTTTGAAAAGTGAGGTTGCTGTCAAAAGAAATTCAAAAGATAAATAGTTAATATTGACTCAATTTTGTGACGGTCCATAATATTTTCCAGAACCACAAATATGTCAGTATGAAGCTGGAGAGAACATCAGGGATCACCAAGGTCAGTAAGTTACATTTAGCTGTGTTGAATTTGTTTATGTCTGCACAAAATTTCATAGCAGCAGTCTTATCGTCCCTCGTTTTGACAGACTGACACTCACAGTCCAGGGCCATGTCACTATTGTGGCTCAAAAGTTTGATTAGAGTAACACATGTGGTCTCATGATGTCGGGGTTATCTCAGCCACAGCAAGGAGACCAGATTTTTTAAATAAATAAACACTCTATTTTCCAACTCTGAGTGCAATTTCAAATTGTCCCTGTAAGGAGTTAAAAGCCTGCAAAACTAAATTAAGAAAATATGGCCTCATGCTAGCACCCATACAACTGCTCCAGAGTCAAAAAATCAACAGCTTTTTTTCTCAGATGAGCACAAACACATAGTAAATTTCTACCAGTCCTCCCATTAATCTGGAATTGTTTTGGTGGAGAGCAAACAAAAGGCAAACACATCGCCTCCTCTCTTTGTTTGAGGAGGCTCTTTACTTCCTATTTCCCATCAGTTGGTTGTGAGAGGTAAAACTAAAGAGAGAAAACCCTCCTGTCCTATTGGTTTAGTCCCTTCTTGCAGGATATGGTAGAGCTGTAACTGATGCAAATGAAAACCATGTGTAACCTATATAGCCACTCACCATTTCCTTTCTCTTAAGATTTCCCCCCTTTCCATCATCCCACATCCTTGTTACCAGGCAGACTGTAACCGTTCTCTGCTAATCACTCAGGCTCTTTTAATGAGAAAGTTACTCAGTTGAAACTCTGAGGTTGGTGAAGCAATTACAGCATGATGCTCCGGTTGTGGCTATTATGAGACACAATAGCCAAGAGCAGGACTTCCCCTACTTGGAAGTTTCCATTAATGAGCCTGTAGGCTACACTCATGCCAGCTGAACAGGCCACAGGAAGTGTCCAGCATGAAGAAAGACAGAAACTTAAAAGGAGCTGGGTAATGGTGCAAGTGGAGCAGAGGTCAACGTGGACAGAGAGATGAAAGATTGAGATTAACAAAGTTGTTTTGAAAGAGTTGTTGGATTTTAGTTCAGCTTCAGTTGGAAGTGTGCAAGACTGGAAATGACCTTTTCATGGATCTTGGTTAAATGTGATGACCAGAGGAGGGGGGGTTGGAGAAATCCAGGGCATTGTGGTGTGGTCTTTTGTTTGGCTTTGTTGGGAAAAAAAAAAAAAAAGTGAGTCATTCCGCAGACAGTGAAGAAAAGCTCTCGGGTTACACAGAGATGAGAAAAAAGAGGACTGTGGGGAAGAATTGTGCTGAGGCGATTCTTTTCTTCTCTGCAGAATCAGCTGGGAAAGACAGAAAACATCGAGGAGTGACCTGCAGATACTTGTCTGACTTGTGAGCAAGGTCAGTGAGATTATTTGTGCAAAGGAACACAAAACGCACAACCCCCCCAAAAAAACTGAGACCTGCTGAGGAAAGCAGAGAAACCCAAAAACATGTTTTTACGATGCTTTTATTGTGATTTTGTTACAGTCAAAAATGCTTCATCCAAATAAACTCCCATCCCCCATCCCTCCTCATTGCTGTGTCCCGTTGTGTGTTTGGCCGACATGATACAGTTGGAATTCCAGATGTTGCTCATGGAATTCTGCTCCATCTCTGGCCTCCAAATGTGACTTAACCCTCCTCCTTTCTCCTCCTTCTTCTCCCCCCCTAAAAAGCCTCGTGACTCTCCCCAGCTCTTCAAAACACCGCAGCAAAGTGGAGACAAATGGGCGCCCTAAATCTTTTCGGCACAATAGGAAAATATCTCATCATTTTAATTGCATAAAGCACAGTTGATGTAATCATAGCATATCATAGAGCTGCCGACCCACCCACTCTCTTTCTCGTGCAGTCACTCATCTTTTACAGCCACATTTTTGGGCTGTAAGGCAGTTTTTCATTAGTGGGATCATTAAGGAGAAGGAGACGCCTTAGTTTGCTGTTTGAGCTTTTACTGGCACATGGCGGATGGGAGTGCACACTCACACATTGCATAATGCACAAATAAACACATTTATAGCTGTGCAAAACATGCACAAGCATGTTTGTTCTGTTTTTCCATGTGAGGACCTGCATTGACTAAAATCACCTCAAAGCCCATCATAAAATCTTAAGGTCTCTGCATCTTATCGAACCCAAAGAGCAAAAGCCTGAAAAGAATCAAAATGTTCCCTTGCATGATTTCAAAAAACCCTGATTCTATGGTCCTCACGAGTATGAAAAAGAAACTCACACACACACACACGCTCTTTTTCTTAACTGTAAAGCTTAGATAGGTTTTCCTGCTGTGCAGCAACAGCTTTACACTCGTCTTCATCACTGTTTCTACTTAAGCTTTGGATCCGCTCATTTTTTTCCAACCCAATTTCTTGCCTGCCAGTTTCCAGAGCCCCAGTAACGCAGAGTGGTGCGGTTGGGGAGCAAGAAACCTGGAGGTCCAGGAGGACTGGGGAAGACCAGACAGCAGAGCGGTGTCAGAGATATTAGAGGAGGATGCAGAGTCCAGGTAAGAGTTGAGTAATATTAAAGGTTTTAGGCCAAGGTTCAAATATTGCTGCAATAAAAGGGGAGTGGAAAACTGGAGTTCAGCTACAGAGAAGTTAAAAGAATGACAGTGCAGGAAGAGGGAGAGGACTGAATAATAGGTTTATTGAAAATCAAAGCACAGGAGGCTTTTTAAAATACTTTATTTTGTAAAAAAAGAGCTTAAAAATATAAGTGAGATCACACACAACCTCATTGAGAAAACTATAATATTATCATTATCATAGTAACTACTATCATTATTATTGTTGTTTCACTTCTTTAAACTCCTCACTGGCAATGTAGCACCATGATTCGAGAACTGTAAACAAGTACAATGACAAAAAAAGAGTCATTTTCAGATCTTCAATTTATTTTCATTTTGAGATGGATTCAAGTTGAAAAAAAAGAAAAGAAATAAAAAACAATCAAGTTTCATTAATACATAACCCCTTTCCCCATTCACTGTCCCCACATATATAAAATTAAGGCCACTTTCAAAATGTATGTCACTGTCCAGCAGGACTTTTTAATGACAATGTACAAAAACACATTCTTTACACAGAGAACAACAAAAATAATAGTACTAGTCAAAATAGTAATGACAACATCACTTATCATAAAAATCAGCTCTGAACACATTGATATAAAAAAGGAAAAGACACAGTTACAAGGATTGCATTTCTCTGATTCAATGATCTCATGCGTCATGAGGAGTTGAGCTAATGTTTTGTTTTCCTTTTATGGCCCACACTGGCTCTAACATGTGACTTTTACTGGAAGATTAAGAAACACAGTGACTATGCCACTGTGGTTTTCAAAATGTTTGTGTTAATGTGAGCGTGTCTCAGTTAGAAAGGGGGAAGAACAGGCGATCAAACACTCTTTTTGCTTACTTAAAAGGACATGCAAGAACAGGCGTCATGAAGACGCAGGGTCAAAGCGGGGATTCACACAGACACAAACACAGAAAACAATCTAAAACAGGACTTTGAAAAAGGCTAAAACAAACAGCAATGAGCTGGCGTCGGAAACCACAAGGAGAGAGGAGGAAACCTTTTGCAAAGAGAAAAAGAAATATCCTGGAAAGACTGAGTGGTTGAGAGATAGAGCAAAAGAAATTTGGCAGTGGTACAAATTTTAAAATGCAAGTGTGTGCTTTTCCTTCTGCTCTTTCTCCAGTTTGATCTCTTTCTCACCTGATCTTAGGATCTCTGTTCAACATGTCTTTCCACTTTTTTCTCTTTCTCTCCAAATATTTTCCTCTCTCTCCTTCCCCACCTCCTCCTCCATCTAAACCTTGTCCAGTAAAGATCGTTGGCAGTAGAGGAGTCGGCGTGGGGTACCGTACCGACGGAAAAACACCAAAGCTGCCAGCGTCGCAATCACACACACTAACAAGAACAGCGGCAGAACCACTGCTGCTGCTCCACTGCCACCACCTACTCCATCCTCCTCATCCACCTCAATAATGATCACCTCCGTATCCTCCTCCTTCTCCGTCTCCTTGTCCCTCTCTCTCTCCCTTTCCCTCTCTCTCTCCCTCTCCCTCTCCCTTTCCCTCTCCCTCTCTCTATCTCTAGTTCTGTCCTTATCTTCACGCTCCTTGTCCTTCTCCCTTTCCTTGTCCTTATCGTGTCCGCCTCCACCTCTTCCTCCATCTGTCTTGGGGTCTTCGTTAGGGCAGCCCATCCAGTCACGAAGAGCTGATTTGGGGTATCCCGGCTCTACGCGCATCATCTGGTTGTTGAATTTCCAATACTTGTTGGCTTTGTAGAAGTAGGTATAAGCTGGAAGAATAACAGGTGGGTAAAGAAATGTGAAAACCAAATCTGAAAGCAGAAGAAACTGCAACACATGAGAAAATAGTGTTGGGGATTTCTTTGAAACACACCACGCTTACCTTGATCTTTACTCATGAAGGCTGCCTTGATGTTTTCTGGTACTCCCTGCCATGTACTAATAGATTTTGGATAGCCAGCATCAACAGATTTGGTTTCCTCATTGAATCGGTAATATCTGAACAGAAAATGACAAAAAAAAAAAAAAAAGGTTAAGAGAAGAAGAGCTCTGGTTGTTAGCGGTCACATATTTAGAATCAAGAAGAATTCCTCTCTATTTATCATCCAGACTTGATATCTGAGTGTAGACTTCTCTTGACAAGCTTTTGATTTGACTATTACTTGTTTTTAATGTTTTGTTTTGTATTGCTTATGCGCTAAAAGACCTTAAAAATACACAGACTGGAGGTTTGACTCAAACTAGCTGAGGTTTAACACCTAAAAACACTTGAGGCCTGTCATACAGACAAAAGACTTGACTTGGTTCCCCTGTCAAAGACTTTCTTAAAGGCTTATCTTGGACGTATTTTAATTATTTCAGACCTGACTTAGCTTAAAAGACCTGGGATTTTTTATTAATAGAAATAAATTTGATGTGGGACAAATCACTTGAGATTTGACTTTTCTGTGCTCCAAAGTATCTGTGACCTGATGAGAGATGTTTTGACATACTTGAGGTAATATGTCGACTCGTCCATGAACTTTTAGACTTAAAATTGGCCAAAAAAAACCTGAAGACTTGAAATCGAAGTTGCTTCAACAGACTGGCCTTTGCACTCTTAAATTGAGGCTTGAGCTGATTTTTGACCCAATTTCCTTGATGCTTTAAGATGTCTTCAAGTATTAATGAACTTTAGACAATGCTTGAACTGATCTCGGTTGACTGAAACCTGACTTGGACCTTCCATAAAATATTTGAAACTTATTTGAGACTTGAGATGTGACTTGGACTTTTTTCTTGTAACTGAGGTTTTTAGTTGACTCTCCCAAAAAGTACCAGATATGTGTTCACAGCTGTTCAAAAAGACTGGGGACTAATGGGTGTGTCCAATTGAGTCCACATGTTTAATGAGTACTTGGACCCTCTGAAAGACTTGACTTGAAACAGAAGTGATTGAGATTGGAGAGGTTCTGACTGATAAGAGACCTGACTAGGATTCTCACCCGAAAACTTCAAACTTTGACAGTCTTGGGACTTGATCGGTACTTACTCAATTGTCTTGAGACATAATTCAGACTTGCCCTAAAATTGAGAACCAACTTTCCTTCAACATAAGGTGTACATATCAGACTTCAGCCTTAACGTGATAGAAACGAGACTAGACTTGGACCAGGTCTTTTTAGCTTCAGTAAGACTAAGACTTGTGACGAGACTTGTCTCGACAGATTTAGGACTCAAGCTAAATTCCTCAAAAGGTAATGATCTGAGACTTGACTTAGAATTTTCTCGGGTGAATTAGGATCTGACCTGAACTCAAACCAGAGGCAGATTTGACTCGATGCTTTTCTGCACAAATTTAGATTAGACGTAAGACTTCTCCCAGACAACATAAGACATGACTCTTTTTTGACCCAGAAAACTATGATCCATTGTTTGTGTTTCTGCTGCGCTGCACCTCTAGACAGACCACAGAATTATTGTTGTTTCTGCAGAAAAATGACTGATGAATGTGTTACCTCTCCAAACAGCCAGCCGAGGTCTTAAATGACTAAGATAAGAAATAAACACGGCTGCTCTTGGGTATGTGCAATCTCAGTTATATTTTAAAAATACAAGCATACACTTGTCATGCCTTTGTTTATGTAGGTGGATGTTTGCACTGTAATCACTGTTTGCCACATGATACCCAGTGATTTTTTATAACCATGACTGTGCTGTACATACAAATATGGGAGGGCTGTGCGAGTTTACTGTTCAAGTGAGAGGGAGATTTTGTAACTCAGGATAAATAACTGACTTCAAGCATTTGCACCTTATAAGGTTAAAATCTAAATAAAACTGTGGTGACGTAAAGGGTTCTTCTTTGGAACAGAAAGTTTTTGAACCTCAGCACAGTTCCTCTTAAACAACTGAGACACAAACACACACATAGCCACAGACAGACTCATAAAGAAGATGACTAACTTGTTTGCTCTGAAGAAAAATGTCTGTCCAGTGGGAGTGTAGTAGAGAGCTGCGTCTATTCGATCTTTGGGAAGCCCATTGCCCATTTCGTTTAGATTTCTAGGGTAACCAGACTCTAGTATTGATTCGGTGAACACCCAGTACCTGTCACCTGAAGAGGGAAAATGGTAGAAAGAAGTAGAGTAGGTTTAGAAAAATAAACACACAACAGAAAAAGATTTCATGATAGGCTCCAATAAAGTTTCTGGTGCTTTTAAAGGAGACTGCGTTTGTTAACCAATGTGTCAAAGTCAAACTCACCTTTGAAGAAGGCAAATTTCCCATCTTCCCTTTCAAAAGCTGAAGTGATATGAGTGGGCAGTCCCCTCCAGAAGTGGCCAATGGGCATTGGATATCCATCCAGAACATGGTTGTTACGTACTCTCCAGAACCATTTGTCCTGAGAGAGAGTGCAGAGATTAAAACAGACTGCCCAACAAACCGCTTTATCAAAAATCAAACAAGTTTAAGTGAACTTACCTTGAAAATAAACATTTCTCCTCTGAGGATGGCAATGGTGTCAAAGTGTCCATCACAGATGTTGGGGCCAAAGCGAGGTGTGTCAGGTGCATATGTAGGATTAGGGTCGTGATTTGGTGTACGTGGTGTTACAGGAGGAGGGCGAGGACCTGATCCGGACCCTGAGTGACCAAGAATATATGAAAATGATCTTATGCTTAAAGATCAGTCATGGAGACTATTGGTTATAGCAAAAATTTGACAGAGATTTGGATAGTAAACAGTCAACAACGCACCATAAAGTTGCTGTATACCCCTGCGATCATCATCAGGAAGTTGGAAGTTCTCAGTGTCCATCCATTGGTAAAAAGGAGCCATGATAGCTGAAGGGTCATTTGAGTGCTCAAGACCCAAAGCATGGCCCAGTTCATGCACAGCAACCAGGAAGACATCATTACCTAAAAGGCAGATGAGACACTTTCTCTCAAACATGTGACAATATGACAAATGAGCACCAAAGACAGGAATAATTATGGGGGTTTTCAAGTGACTCAAATAAAAGTACGTGTGCTATAATCACGTCAGTCAGATCAGAAATAGATTAGGCGACAGGAAGCTGTGTCTCAATAAAACAGCTGCCTCGTGTGAAATAAAGGCTTCTCTATTTCTGTAATATTGACATGGCCCAGGGCACTCAGTACCTCAGACACACTGAAACAAAACAGGACATGCTGCTGCTTGTGTTGTGTTCACAGCCTTCACTGTTAGGAGTCCTGATTCCCACCATTTAAAGTAACTCCCTGAATCTGTATCATCAGGTTTAGGGAACCACTCAACAAAGAGAGGAAAAACATCCCTCATTTATCAAAATGTCAGCGGAACAAAGATTTATTAGAGCCTCACCCATCAAATCCCGGTTTCCGACAGTCCATGGCTCAGCTGCATCAAAGTGGGTGTCCCCTCCAATTCCATTACCAGGGAAATAGGCGTGTGCTAGAAAGCCCCCCTCACCATCAAAAGGACTGCTGTCACCATGGAAACCCTCAGCAAAGAAGAGCATGATGTCGGCAAAGTTTTCCACCTTGTCTCTTATGTAACTGTAGGGGATTTCCCTGAACCGCAGCGGGGTGACGCCCTCCCACACCTTGAAGGCATTTCTGATGGCCTCGTGGGTCTCGTACTCACCAACCTTGGGGGAGTAGTTCTGTATACTAAACAGTCGATAATATGGGGGCGGGGGAGTGGAGAAATGGAAAGAGAAGATGTGAAGTTAGTTGACCTCTTAAAAAAGCTTTGTCTCCTTATATTGGATAATTTTGTGAAAACTAAAAAAAAAAGCCATTTTAAGTATCTGTGCTACTTATAAGTATTTGTTATCAGGGAAAATGCAAGGTTTCACAACAACCATAAGCAATTAGCCCTAAAAATCAGCTGGTTTCAAGTTAAATTGTCCTGATATGTTCTGTTAATTTAGTTTTTTCCTGGTTTTGTTATCTGAGTGTATTTTCTCTGTAGTTTTCCTAGTATATAGTCCCTGTTTTCCCCTCCTGTGCTGGTTCATTGTGTGTGTGTGTGTGTGTGTCTGCCTGTTCCCTGTGATCCTTGATCTGTGGGTTCCTACTCTCCTGGTGGTTTTTTCCCCACTGTCTTTTTTTATTGGACTTTGCCTTTTGGATTTTTCTCTTTTTGTTGATTTTCATTTAGTTCTTTTTAGTAAATCCTTTTCTTTTGTCTGCATTTTTGGGTCCTTTTCCTTTGTCCAACCCCGGCCTTTGACAAAAATAACAGTGTGATAATAAAAATCAACAATAGTGTTGTGCTACCATGAAGCTGAATGTTAGCCAAGGCAACTATCAATGTCCGTAATTGGTCATTTTTAAGAATTAAACAGAATATTTTTTCTTCACACCAGTATCAGAGGAATACATGGTATTGGCCAATTCTTAAGTCAACGTACTCTTATTATCAAGAAAAGTTGGTGTTAAACCTTTAACGTAAAACTCAAAAACATGACAATAATGTGAAAAATGAAGGTGTAGATTCACGCCTCTGTTGTAGCTGCATGTTCCTTAAAAGGTTTGCAGACTTACGAGAATGTTATTTCGTTCTTATCCCACTTCAGGCCCTGGATGGCGTATCGCTTCCTTCTCAGATTGGTCTTCAACTCTGCACCAAACTTGTCTGGGACCCCACAGCGCGGTCGCTTCATGGCCCTGCCAAAACACAGGCAGAATGCTCTCAATCAAAGGTAGGAAAAACTTTAGAATTAGAATATAGGAAGGCAAACTTCTTCATGTTAATTAAACATTTTCCAAAGGGCTCACTCTATGGTGCTGGGGTCAAAGGAGCCGGTCACAGTGAGGCCGTAGAATCTTTGCATGGCAGCGATGGCTGAGGAGATTGAGTTCGGGGAGCGGAGGGCATGGGTCCTTAAGTCTCCTGGGGGCAGGTAACCGTACTGCTGCAGCCATGACTTTAGAGCAAATCAAAGAAGAGACAACAATGTGACTTGGGAGATTAACCTGAGGAAACTCCAGTCTTTCTTTGTCAAGTTTATGAAGAGTAAATTAGAAACAGACACAGGAACAAAAAAACAACAACAAATTCCACCTGTTTATCTTGATGTTTAACAAAGCTGAATCAGGGAGAAGAGCTATTTGCTATGGTGTTGATTATGAGTTGCAGAGGCCGCAAGTGCAGGATGTTTTGAAGTTACCGCAGCAAAAACACATTCCTGGCTGACAGCAAAAATAAGCCCCTGAACATCCCTCTGTGTTTTGGTATCTGGATTTTTTGGCCATCATTATTCTAGTACCTGGCCTAACTCCATCTAATGACTAAACCCGAAAGCTATCCAACAATCAACTTTTGGCTCTCCAGTGAGAAACATAGTTTTCTTGAATGTCAGTGTAAAAGGACAACAAAAGTCCAAAACAACTCCAAACAAAGAGAGTTAAGGTTTTTGAGCAAAGAGTGAACATGGAAATACCCCTCACAGGGTTGAAGATTAACTTCAGTTTCAGCGTTCTATTGCTGCTTGTTTGTGTTTCAGTGCAGATAGCTACAGCTGAAACCCTTTCCCTTTCACTGAGTTTATTCAGTACATTTCATTACTATGGTCACTGACTTTTTTCAAGCCTCCAGATCCTTTGGTCCTGACTTAGATTGACCTTACTTTCCCCTGAAACACAATTTCTCTGCGGTGCCGGTTTGACATCTGGACCTGTGCCAGTGGCTTTGCTCTGCACCTCTCCCACACAGTTTCTCCTGAACTCTTTCCCTCTCGGACTAGAGCTGAAGAAAAAACACTGAGGCTATTGTAAATGTAGTAAAAACCAAGACCGCTTCAATATTCTGCTTTACAGAGTCACTTTGTGAGCTTGTACTGCACTTTAAGGATTTGTTTCATTTAGTGGAGAGCTGACAGATGAAGAGTTCTCACCCACAAAACTGGCTTTTGTTTAGGGATTGTTGGTTTTTCACACACAGGAGCTTGATTCCAATCATGAATTCTTTTCATATCATCTTCTTTAGAAATCACAGGTAGAAGTGTTGTTTGTGCAGAGAAGGAGGTCAAAAGAGAAAGAAAAGAAAGATAGGGAGTGTCCCAGGGTGAGACTCAGGCCTTGGGCAACCTCAGCCTATGTCTCCAGCCGAGCAGCAGCGTCAGTCAGTAATTTAACTGGGAATTTCTACCCTGTTGCATCCAAACCTCAAAGTCAAACTCTTCCCCCACATCCATGTCTCTGTCTTCAACTCTTCACTCCACCCCTGCTCCTCTCTTTTCCTTCATCCCTGTCTTATGGAAAACCCAGAGACTCGAGGGCAAATACTCATGAACAACCACACCCAGATTTGCTCAATTATTGCTGTATAGCTGCAGCTTAAAGTTACTAAATAGAGTGTTTCAGCATTTTTCCACTTATTGTGTACAGTGCAAAGCAAATTTGCCCAAGTTGTGCTGACATGGATTATCTGCTTGGGTCTGTTAGTTTATATTTACAGATGACTTTAATTGTGTGAGTTTGGGCAGGAGTGAATGGCAGCGTGACATGTTGGAGGCGCTTGAGGGTCTAATGTCTCCCATGGTGTCTGTCTTAAAGAGACATGGAGGTCTCTGTGTTTAGACTTCACCCCTGAATGAGCCCTTTCTGGTTCTGACTCACCCATGGAGTTCCCGAGGACACATAAAGACTCACTGTTTGACACTGTTGTAGCACATCCACATGAGTGGGAAAAACCAAACGTTAGCATCTCAGAGCTGGACTTATTTTACTGTGAATGTTGGAAAAGAGGGTGTTCAAGGCTAGGCTGGGCTCAAAACCTTAGTCCTGTATTTTACACATTCTCTGTGTTTTCTTTACTACAAGAGACCCCGAGTTAACTCCAGGCTCAGTCAAAAGACTGCTGTTGAGTGACACTGAACAGTTGTTCTTGACTCCCACACCTCTTTCATGGGTCCCGACGTTGACTTGACAAAGTCTTATTCACTGTTACTCTCAGCTATTTTTTGACCACACTTATGGGCTGAGCAGCTGCTAAAGCAGTAGCAGGAAGAGGAAATGGGCACTATTTACTGCGGCATAAGGGATGACAGCCTAAACTTTTACAGTCTTTTGATGTAGGTGAAGCAATGGCTCCCAACTTCTGTGCGATTCCTGCCACACAGCTTGAATACCCTTTGATTTACAATTAATATTTTAATTTTTCTATCCATCACTCAAAGTAATCATATTAAGTGTTCATTCATGACTTTATTGCATCTTTTCAAGTTATTTAAGTTTAAGTTCTGTCCAGCCAACAAGTCTAAAGGTAAGAAAATACTTGAAACCCAGACAAAAGACAAAACAAGGGATCAAAGGCTCTAGAGGTAAACCATATCAAATCTGTTTGCTGAGCGTGGCTAATGATAGCAAAGCTAGCCCCACCAGCCTTTTCTTTTCTTGCAGGTTAACATCCAATGAGCGGGTAACACATTGCTCCACTTCAGTTCACCAGAGTCAACCAAGATACAACTTTATCTCTGTTTTCTCCAACAAAATACTGGCAAATGATACCAAGATACCATTTGTCATCCTTGCTTGTTCAGTGCAGGATTATAGCATTATGACAGAAACCATTACCTGGAGGTGTGCAACTGCACTTTAGCCTTGACACCACACATGACCAGAAGTTTCAGCCAACAGAAATAAACACATTACTGCCTTGTTGTTTAACCCACTAGTTCTAGTTCTAGCTAGCAAGGGTGACCTACGTTGAATCTTTTGGTCAACTAAACGCAAACATCCTTAACATTCACATCACTTGACCATCACTTTAAGCTAACTGTTAGCAACATTTGATTGTTTATACATATAAATATGTTTAAGCTATGTATTTTTACTGTTTAACCTAGCTTTAAGCCAGCCTTTCTTACCATTTTTTTGATAAATTAGTTTTTTCTGAAGGTTTTTAGATGACTTAAAACTGTCCACTTTGACCAGTCCCCTTTTTGTATGAGTCAGCAGTTTTGGTGGTTTAGCAATGACTTTAGGCAGTTTTTAAACAGTTTATCTTAACTTTAAGCTAACCCCATTTACACCAATTTTAGTGAAGTTAAAACTGCTGCTTTCAATTGCTTGATTCCCAACTCAAGGGACTTTTTAGAAAGCTGTTTCCAGGATTTTGAGGTGAAGGGCACAGCTGGCTTCTCAGCCAGTACATGTGTTTTATTGTTTAATGGAAGATATACACGAATCAAACAGCGGTTGCTATGCATGTGAGGGGGCAGAACGCTCTTTTTACATAGGATGAGAGAGTGAGCGAGAGGGAGTCAGTTGTTCCGTTTGGAGGGAGGCCAATGGAAAGAAACTCTATTCAACAGTGATGGGAGTCCAACTGAAGCATGCTGGGTATACAGCACATATGCACACATGCACACACAGACACACACTCACTGCCCAGAGAGCTGCAGTATTATGTCAGATGCCATAAACATGTGAAATTACTGCTTCCACTTTGCTTGCAGCAGCTTGTTATTTGCTGTTAACTGTGTGAGTGTGATGGAGTAATGTGTTGGTACAATTGAGATATTTAACTCTTTCATCACCAAAATCTTAGAGGATACTCTAGGAGGGCATTTATGAGTTTGCAGACCCCTCTAGCCTGAACACATGTAGAAAAGCCATTAAATCCTTAAGTGTGTGCATGTGTGTCTATTTCCACCAGCTGGGTTTTTTTATACAAGAGTTCTCCAGCCACTGACACCAATAAAGCTCAAAGACAAAAGGTGGAAAAACACACGGCTCTGCCAGTGTCATTTGAGAAAGAATTTAATCCCAAATAAAACACCATGGCAGGATTTTGTGTTTGGAAAAAGGAGGAAAATTATCCCTGAAATTTGCTCATTGCATCCTTTGTGAACAGGAAATGAGGTAATGACTTTTCATACTAGCTTATTTCCTGAAACACCTCCTATCTTTCCTCAGAGACTACCTCTAGGCCACCCACTGGTGACCTCCAGGATGTGGCTTTGTCTAAAATCTATGCTCCCATCCTTCCTTTTGTTCCTCTAAAGACTAGTAAGAAATCCTGATGGGACATGTGTAATGCCAGCTATAAATCCTTTTTGAATTATCTTTAGAAGAAAGAAAAGAAAGGCATGCATTCATACAGGATGTGTGCATGACAGCCATGATATACTTCCTGTCCTTTTCAACAAAATAATTGCTCCATTTTCCAATTGCCTTTTTCCCAGATTGCATCACTCCCAGCACCACAATGGCTTCCTTTCTACTCATAAACAGCCTCCTCACTGTCTTCTTAGTTCTGCTTTAATCATCTCATTTTATATCCTCTTTTGTAATCGATGACCTCAGCTCCAGGACATTTCTGCGTGTGCGTGCGCTCATGTAAGAAAAAAATATACGCACGCGTGACGGAAGATGTGCGTGTCATCAGCAGGTGGCCGTTGAGTTACTTAGGTGTTTTAGATGCAAAACTCAGCTGTCTGCTTCCTCTGCCTAAGACCCCAGGAAATGACTTTAGCATCTTTGCATCCCCCAAATGTTTATCTCACCAATGTAGACGCAAACACAACCACTCACTTAATCAGAGTCTAGCTGATTAAAACATCCTACACTGTAGAGGAGCTGTGTAGTAATATTGGTCAGCTGTGGGTTTGTGTAGGCAACTTATGAAGTCACAAACATCTTCCTCATGTGGTTTTCCAAGAAATGCCATAAAAATAGAGGACATGAATCACTAAATGAATATAAACTCATTGAGCAGCACACTTTCCAGAGAACTTGAGGCCAAGCTTGTCCCGCACTTGGTGCAAATTTCCGCCTAAACTTGTCGGTCAGTGTACTTAACGGCCATTTGTATCACAACTGTGTAGTAGCAGTTATGCTGCTTTCTGATGTAAACACAACAGTTAACATGTTTAGAGCTCTTTGTTAGTCAGGTTTCTCATTTTGTGTTAATTTTAAAGTTCTTTTTGACCAGATTCAATAATCTTGACCAAAAGACTCTTAAAGGACTCAACTTGTTATCTCCCTTTTTTTAGTCTCTACCGTCAGTAAACCGTTGATTGCTGTAACTGCCTTTTTACAAGGTAAACTGCTACAAAATCAACACCATATTTTTTTCTCAGCGCAGCCCTTTTCGCTGACATGCAAAAATGTCGCAATAAGATGTTTTTGGTAGGCTGTTATTTTGGGAAGAAAATTGCAGTGTGTAAGGGTTTTTCACCAACAACTGTCTGATTCCTGACATATTTACCAATTTACTCAGAAAATTCCTTCATACATGCACCTAAAGCATCATTAGGTCTTTGTTCATTGGACCTAAATTGCTTCTCAAATCATACTTATTCATTCAAAGTGACACATTTTTAAAATGTATTTTCCTGCTCCAGTGATGTATTCTCAGCTTATGTCACTTTGGCACTCCTTGTGGACAAAGCACACCTCTTGCCTGACTACACTCCACCTAACCAATTTTAAAACCAGTTGAAACCCTCTGAACACACACTAGACGGTTGCAGAAGTCTGGCTGATCACACCCTAAACTTTTGTGTTTCATTGAATTTGAAACATTTTTGTGTTTAAAATTTCACAGGGGTGATTCCACAGACACGAGATGTCATAGATAACCACATGCCCTTTTTCTTCCTGGCCCTATTGCAATATGGCATGCATGAGACACTATAAAGGCTCTGGTGTTGTTGCCTCAATACCAGAAGCTAGTCTTTGTCTTCAGTATTTCACTGCTTTGCCATGTTTGTGATTTGTTGAAGTACACAGCATCTGTTGATGCTCCTTACTTTACCTCTCTTGTTGGTTATAGGGTCATCAATATCATACAAATTTTTCTATATTTACAATCCCAGGCTGGGGCAGCTCTGACTCAGTCTAAGGCAATATAGTCATATTGACACCACCCATGAGGGGATTATTTGGACAAATAATTGATTACAAAAAGCCTTGAATCAGGCCATGCCTCCATCATTGAGGTTGGCAAATTGGGTCCTAGCAAGAGTTTAAAACCATCCAGTGTGTGGCCAGCCTAAGTGATGTTTTCTGAGGAAAAATGTCTTTTACATAGCATATCACTCACTCTGTAGAAAATGTAAACAAAGGCTTCTTCTTTGGTGTGCTCTGACTCACTTTCTCCTGACATCACCCTATGGCATTGCTTAGGCTACAACATACAAACATTAAAAATAACTATAGAAATATACAATCATGTTGCTGATGGTCTTGCCTGCTTTTGTAGGTCAGGATTCATTTTAGCTTGTTAAATGTCCAGCTACAAACTCTTCACATAAGTTTTTAATTAAAATGTAGTCATTTGTGGTGTTTGGCTGGCTCTCCTGTTTCCATTTAAATCAATATAAATGAAATATGTTGATTCCTTAATTTGAGAGCTGTATGTAGGTCAGTGGTGTTAACTCGACTTTCTTCCACCAGCACAGCTGGAAATATTATCCCACAGGCCAAAGCAGGGTACAGTGATTACAGAGATGCTTGGCGCCACTGTTCAGCCTACTCAAATCATTTAGGCCTCCTTGCTCTTGCACACAAACTCTTTTCTCCAGGTCCCACAAACAAACACACACACAGATAGTTTTTACTAATGATGCTGGAGGAAGCAGGTGTGTGGAGGAATGATAACTAAGTCACATCCTGCAACAGTAACCCCAAACTTCCTAATGCTAATCTGGTGAGAATGAGTGACACTGCAGGCAGATGGGATCAAAGCTGAATAAACAGAACAGGGAAAGAAAACAGGAAAATATAAGCACAGTCATCCTGACCCCACAACACTGCTTAGACCTGCTACCTCAGCTCAGTGGGTTTTGGAAGTCTTTAATGTACTGAGCTGGAGTTTAAACTGTGGTAGGTATTTTTCCACAACTGACCATGGCTGAGATGCTGCAGAAGTTCTCAGATTGTAAAACCCACCTCCTCACAGTCCACCGAGCCTTAACTCAGGACAGATGTCAACAATTACATCTCCCCATCCCTCTGAATAGAACTATACCCACGACTATCAATCCCCCCACTCCCACAAAAATTGCCTCTGTCTCTGTGCAGACCACAATACAAGCTCATGCATTTCTCCTTATTTGCTTTTTCTCTTGCTCTCCAGCTTTTTCTTACTCAGCATTTCTCAGTGTTTTCACGAGCGCCATCATCGTTATGGGCTGCTTCCTCTAACCCGGGGTCAGAGCCCTTCCCAGATCTCTGAGCCAACAAAGGCAACTGCTGAAATCATTGTCCATCTGGATGCCAAGTTTGAACAAAGCCTTGTGTACATGTGTGAAAACTGCACAGTATGTTATGAACAGCCCCGGTTTTCTTTCTTTTTTTAACAATTCAGAAAACTTTTTTTTTAAATTGGTTCAGTGTGAGATCAAAAAAGCAGTCAAACCTTTTATCACACTGCTTACTCTTATGTTCTTCCATTGTCTAAAACGTTTGTCCTTCCTTTGTGCCCTAATCATTAGTTTTGCTTGTCTTTGAAGTCTAAGCTTCTGCATCAGTTTTTGATGACCTCTGATTTTATTATCTAGCTAATTCTCTTCTTCTGCATTCATCAGTTTGGTTTAATCCCCTGGTCTGCACTTTTCAGAGTTTTCTCCTTGATTTATTTATCTGGATTCATCACTAAAGCCAACCTTTGTTTATTCAGATTTATGACTTGATACAGGATTTATTTATCTTAATAAGTTAGTTGCTTCAGGGGTTTATCAATTAGCTCTAGAGCTATTTGTCTGGAATACCCTAAATTCTAAGAATATTTATCCAGATTAATCACATTATTTTAATTTATGGCTTGATATTTGAATCAAAATATCAAGCCTTATAAGTATGCTAGAATCAAGAGATTAATCAAGACAGAAAAAACATCTAAAATGCAATGAACCCATTCAACAAGTAATTTCTTGATTCGTGAAAAATTATCTAGATTCATCACATAACTAAAGATTTGTTTATCTAGATATACTTAATTCTGGACCTATTTTCCTGTTAAATTACTTGGTTAATGATTTTTTTTCTGCCTTAACAACTTGATCTGTCATCTGACTTACTTTTTTGACTCTATTTCAGCTAATTTCTTGATATGTTTTCAGCCTTTTTGTTTACCACTTCCCGTTAGCACAGATTTTTTTTTGGCAGCATGCCTCACCTCTGGATTGACTTGTCGCTCCGTCGCTCCCTGCGCGCTCAGCTCCCACACCACCGCCAGCAGCAGCAGCCGGACAAGAGATTTGAGCTCCGGTGCCATCCCGTGACTGTCCAAAAACAACTAAAGCAGACAGATCCTCTTGCAAGAGCTGACGAAATCTTGTCTTTGCTAGTTGTCAAAACATCATCTATGAAAAAATGTCTCCTATAAACGAGTTTCCGTGCGCAGCAAAGTTCGACTCGTTTTTCACAAAGAACGACTCCTGGAGATATGCAGCAGTGCGTCTGCTACTTATTACTTGAGTTACTGAAACAATGGCAGCTACATAAAAAGCCCTTGCATTCTTCTTTTTTTTTCAACTTTTAACCAAAGGAGCGGACATGGGAAGCAGGAAGTGTGGGATCTGGGACTGGAGGCTGTGCGTATTTTTGTCCTGATTCAGCTCGCGCTTCGCTCCAGATGCTGCAGCCGTCTTTGTTTTCATAAAACTGTCTTCACTCCTCGCTGTCCCCTCTTCTCTGTCCTGCACTCTGCTTATTTTGATCCCCTCTCTTCTTCCCCTCTCTACCCTCTGCAGACGTGGTAGTTTGATACTCCCCGGAGACATTCAGCTGGAAAAGTGGAGGATTGTAAACCTCCCACTCTTGTATCAGCCCGCCCCTCTAACACATGGAGGGCTGGAATCAACTTAGTGACCTTAGCATTAGACTTGGCCCCATTTTCTCTTTACTCTGAGGGTCATTATTTGTCTCTTATGCTTAATGATGCGCATCAAAATTTGATTATTTACGAAGATAAGGACTGAAACACTGAGCTGAATGACCTTGGGTTGGCATCAACTAGATCCTATTTTACGCTTTTATTACATTTCTAATTATTAGTTGATTTTTTGAAAGAGTCGTTTAAGGATGAAGAATAAAATGGCCTCACATTGTTTTACTGTTCACTTAGTTCTGCAACTTTTACTAACTACTTTTTCAGCATTTAATACGTTTTTATCTCATGTTAGTCTGTTAAGTACCTACATAAAGTTGGGGATTTTAGTTTAACCTTATAGGGCAACTTAGTGTTCTTACTGAGCTATTTAATGTAAATCAATCAACCAATTCATAACTACTACTATTGAGAACCCTCCCATCTTACACTGACTGTTGAGAGTTGCAATATTATCAAGTTGACCTATGAAGCAGCCTCAAACTATGTAAAAAAAAGAGAGAAATTGCGCCCTCTAATGCACACATTGCATACATTCAACATGAGCTGCTTACCATATATTAATTGACCCCCTCAAAACGTTATCATCGTATCTTGCACACTTTTCCTGCCTCATCAAAGTCCGTTGTAAATCTGTTTTTCACTTTACTGAAGAAATTACTTTTGGCCAACCCCCCCCCCCCCCCCCCTCTTGTACATGTGAACTGGAGAAAAGACCAGCCAAGTTGGTGATGGTCTGTTTGCCTCTGAAGGTCATAAAGAGACATCAGTTTTAGTTTCTACCTGTTTCTCAACCAGTTAAAAATCCCCACAGTGTTTTTCAGTTTCAGTTCTCCCCATGTTTCAAAGCATTACATCTAAGTCTTCACAAGTTTTGAATGAAACCTCATTTGTGTACTCTCCTAAAATGAATTTAACTGTACAAATTAATGAATATTCAGCTCTGAATTGTGGTGGAGTATGAGTGGAAAGTTGAACAGAAATAGTGAAGATCAATCAGAGTCCTTTACATATCACCACTTTAACTTGTTATTTGACACAATAGGCTCATTTGTATGCATGTGGTCACACTCATTTGATTGTGGTAATGGCAGCAATAGATTTCACATCACATTGCACAACTGCTGATCCTATTTAGCGGTTAATGTGTGCAATGAAGAGATCAATGTACGAATAAATACAAACATCTATCTGATTTAGACACCTTTTCCTACTCTCGACCTATGTACCCACATTCTGTAGCTCTGCTCTGCTTTGCTTGTCATGGCTAAAATCACAGCTGCCCTTGTCGTCTTGGTTGAGGGGACACAAAAAGGGATGCTTTGACTATCTTGGCAGTGAGCAGGAATCAGTGGTGTGTGACTGCTGGGAATCATTGACATTTTAACTAGACAAAAATGGCTGCAAATGTACAGTATGTATTTGCTGGAAATAAGTCAGCACAGTAGTTACAAAAAATTATATTGTGCACAGTTTTACTAAAAGAAATAGCAAGGTTTTGTTTTTTTTCAAATGGGGTTTTTAATTCAGAGATACTGAAAGTACATCTTACAACAGACAGACTTCTGATATTTATAGAAACTCAAAGTTTTAGTAACTGAAAAAAAGGTGTTACACATAGTACTTTTTAGACCAAACAACAACCATAATATACACAAAGCTGAAGGTCAAAGGTCACACAAAAGACCATGTCCTCACTGGGTTCACAAACATTGCAGCTGTGTTTATAGTTAGACAGGACAACATGGTGAAAAATAAACCACAACAACTGGAGTGAGTAGTGTTTGAAACAAGTTATGGTGGATTTAAGACCTAATAATCCTCAGTAAAACACTGGTCATTTTATATTCCCCTTGTTAATAGCATTTCTTTTGATAATCGTGGAAAAGATTGTTTCAGATATGAAACAAAAGTTGGGATACATTTGTAAAGAAATTTTTCTTTTGGTTAACTTGAGCCTCCTTTGGTGCCAGTTGGATCAATTTGGTATGTGGCACATCATACTGAGCCCTTGACTGCCGACTTATTGAATGGCAGGTTTTGATTGACTATTCTTCAATTGTAGTTCTCTGTGACTTATTTATAGGCTACTTGTCATATTTGTTCAGTTGTGCATGTTAAACCTTCCCTTACTGCTCTTAGTAATGAAAAAAATATATAATCACTTGACCCAAGTCTAATATGAAACATTGATACAACAGGGATATTTCTGTTAGAAAGTGCATTAAACTATTGACAACTTCATCTGGACAACTGTTATGTCACATTTTCAACAGATCCAGCAAAACCTGGACTCACTTTGTCACATCTTCCATATTTGCATTTTTATTTTTACAATAGCTGTCTTTTTTTTTTTGTTTTGTTTTGTTTTTTACACAGGACCAAGCTGGTTGACTCACAACTTTCACGTACAAACATATTACTCTGACTATCAAACTGACAGGCTACTAAAATGTGTTTAGGAAGCAGTACTACAAATGCCCATACAGTTTCACCAAAAAGTAAACATTTATTGAAAACATCAGAAAACAATCAAGCTTATCTCGCTGACTCAAGTTATGACCCTTCACCAGACTCTTCCCCAGTTTCATCAGGAACTCTTGGATCCATCTGAGACTGAGTAGACTGTGCCATCTCGTTCTCTTCTTGGCTGCTAGTGGTTGGGTTATCACTTGATTCATTACTACTATTGAGGAAGGCTTGGTACTGATTCCAGAAGCCTGCTGAGCTCCTTGTGGCAGGAATGTTCAAGGAAGAAGACTGAAGCTGGTCAGCAGTTGACCGACTGCTCCGTCCTGATGGACGTGCCGATTTGGTCACCACACCATGGTGCTTCATGTGCCCCTGGGAACAAAAAGAGATAGGATACACTAAATAAAAGTATCAAATGTAATGCAGTGTTGAGCAAAACTCATAGGACTCGAACATGCAATTTTTCTTTATCTTTAATTTTCCACACACCTTCAGTCCACTGCGACTGGCATACTCCTTTCCACATTCTGCACAGCAATAGGTCTTCTTCTCAGGACGAGATATTGGAGAAGGCAAGGTTGGGGCGAGACTGATGGGGACAGATGCATCCATTGTCTCACTTTGAGCTGATTCACTGATCTTTACACTTTCTATTGGGTCCTCTCTCCCATATGAACCAAAATGAAAGCTCTGGCGCGTCTCTCTTACAAAAGTGGCAGCTCTCTGTGATGCACCCCTTACTTCAACACCAGTATTGTCAGAAGTGTCCAAAGTGGGCGCTATTTTTGGGTCCTCATCAGGCACAGTTGCTTGGTCTTGCTTTGGTGTTGCTGGTGGTGGAGGCTGATCTTCTTCTTCTTCTTCTTCTTCTTCCATAGGCTCTGGTGATTGAGGCCTTGGGGGGACTGAGTCTGATTCTAATATTGGTGTTGGATTAATATTAGGATCATCTTGGCAAGATATGGTGTTAGAGGAAGTACCAGGAGAAGTGTAAGCTAAGTGGGCATCAATGCCAGGTGTGCTTTGTAAGTCCTCCTGGTTAGATTTGGAGCCAAGGAGGGAGGAGGTAGATGCCCCGCTCTCTCCACAGTCCTCTTCCATAGCGTTAGGTGGTACTGTGGTTTTGGTGACAGTGGAGGCATTGGCTTGTCGTTCAACTGTGTTGTCAACTTGAGAGACTTGATCCATCTCTTGGGGGGATAGTAGGGAAGCACTGACACACAGTACAGGGGGATCTACACTGCCAGGTGGTGGGGTTTGTGTTGTAGTATTCATGAACGGGTCAGGGCTAAGGTCAGAGGGGGGAATGAGGTCAGGGCTGGGGGACCCAGACTTACTGGGATTTTTGGTTAACTCAACTGATTTTCCACTGCTAGAGACAGGGACAGAGCCAACATCTGGAGTTTGAAATAATGTACTAGGGGCTGGGCTTGTAGGGTGACCTGCTAGAGGAGGTGTTTTACTTGTACAGGTGTTTGAGTCAGTAGACTGGGACTGGGACTGGGATTGTGACAAGGGTTTGGCATTTGAGTCAGCTGGTGTCTCCTGTGTGGGATCCTCTGTGATATCTGTGGGCAACTGCCCCCCAAGGTGCATACGGATATGATGCTGGAGCACCAGGGCATTGGTGAACTTGCGCTGGCACAGTGGGCAAGAGTTCTGGACACGTGCATTTGGTGGTCGGGCATGATGTGTGGCCACATGTGACCTTAGACTGCCTTTGGTAGAGAAGGATCTGCCACATATCTTACAAGGAAAAGGCCTTTCTCCAAGATGAGTAGCCTGGTGTAAACGCAACGCTCTAGGACAACTCAGCACTCGTAGACACACTCCACACTGATTGGTTGCCATGTTACCAGTTGGTCCTGTGATGGTAAGTGGTGGTAGCAAGCCCCCCGCCAAGGCATTTCTTCCATTGGCACTCATACCCAAGGCAGCAACCATCTCATTTGTCAGGTTTGAAACAGAGGTGGAGACTAGAGTTGAGGACGGTGGGGATGCCATGACATATGTTGCTGAAGTGCTGGCATTTGTGAAACTGCTATTGGCTGATCTTGCTGAAGAGGTAGTGATACTGCTAGACAACATCTCCAGCATGGAGGAGGAAGTAGAGGAGGCCCATAGAGAAGAGGAGCCGGGAGGCACCTTCTCTAATTTCTCCACCAGCCTTTGCAGCTTTGAGGTTTCAGATGTAGGGGTGGAGGTAGCCATGGAAGACGGCAGTGAAGAGGGAGTAGTGGTGGCTGGACCTGGGACTTTGGGAAAGGCAGAGAAAGGAAATGAAAGCTGGGAATGACTGGATGAAGCAAGTTGATTAGAGCCTGGGGTAGAGGGTAGGGGGTTGCGCAGCAAGCCCAAGGCTGGGTGGTTATAGAGGGAGGCATGTGAAGCTGGGCTAGAGGCAGAAGTGGAGACAGATGGGAAGAGAAGCTTGGGCAGGTTGGCTAGCTGAGAGTAAGCTGCAGGTGAAAGCATTGGAGCGTGGGGGGGAGTATTCTCATCAAAGTGCTGCTGTTTTGTGCCTTTGAATAACCCTGCAATGGTGGAAGATGGAGACAAAGAGGGGTTTGAAAGGAGCGAAGTAGCCAGTGAGGAGGTGGAGGCTGAAGAGGAGGATGACTGGGCTGAGCCAGAAGTGATAGAAGCTGCAGCTGCAACAGCAGCAGCCCTATTGAGCTGAAGGAGAGAGTGAGAAATCAAAGCCAGATCCACACTGGGGGGCAGGGGTAAAGTAGAAGGAGTAGATCCTCCAGAGGCCCCCAGAGAAAAACCAGCACTGGTTCCACTAACTTCCAAATGCTCTCCACATGTCTCATCCTCAGGCCTGCTTCTAGGCTTCTTTTGTATCATATTCATACCACTAGTACTACTTGCACTGCTTATTGCCTGTCCCATATCAGACACCCTAGTGGTCCCCAGTGCCACTCCAAACAGAGAAGGCGGCAGAAGTGACAGTGAGAGCTCTGGGTTTTGCTCACGATGGCGTAGGAAGTGAACCTTAAGGTTTCCACGTGTGGTGAAGCGGCTAAGGCAAACAGGACACTGGTAGGGTCGTTCCCCTGTGTGTGAGCGAAGATGTATCTGTAGGGAAGAGTCACCGTTAAAAGTTTTGCCACAGAAGCGACAGGCATGTTGGAGGCGACCAGTAGTGTTAGAGCTGGATGCAGAGGGGTCTGTTCCTCCAGAGAGAGACTGCAGACTTTGTTGGGAATTTGGCATCATTTGGACTGAGGCAGAGAGGGTTGAGTTCAGGAAGGACATACCACTTTGCTCACTCTGTGCAGAGGTGTTTGGTGATTTCTCATGAAGATAGCGATTGGGCAGAGCTAAAGACAGGGGTAGAGGACAGTTAGAGGAGGCCATAGAGATGGCAGCAGAGGAGGGAGTGGAGGAAGTTGTTGACCGAGAACTTCCCCTGAGATAACCATGAGCTCCAGCAGACCCTACTGCCCCTTCTATTTGAGACTTGTGGGGCTGCAGGATTTGAGACAATGAACTGCTGGGCTTTGTTGGCTTGCTTGCTACTTGAGAGGGCAGAAGGGAGGAGAAACACGCCAGGAGGGGAGCCACAGATGTGGGAGGCTGAGTTGCAGTTGGCTCAGTGGTTGGACTAGCTGCCCTTTTGCTGCCTTCAAGACAGAGCTGAGGCAAGGAAGGGAGGATATGCTGGGAGGGAGCATCTATGGAATAAGAGGCTCCTCCAAGGCGTAGCACCTGTCTACAGATTTCCTCTGTTATCTGCATCTGGTGGATCTGCCTTTGCTGCAGCACTCGCAGTTCCTCCAGGATCAGGGCAATGCTCAGCTGAGCCCTGGAGGGTCCAGATGAGGATGATGCCACTCCTGGGCTAGGAGTGGGGGTAACAGGGCTTGGAGGGCCTTCAGGCACACGGCTGGGGCTTCCAGGATGTGGTGGCGGACAAAGGGAGGCAGAGGACGATGAGGATGATGAAGAGGTGGTAGTGGTGGCAGACAGTCCCAGCTTGGGGGAAGCCATGTCTGCACTTCTAGAGGAGTTGATTAGGGCACTTGAAGATAGAGTAGGATTGGAGTCAGACAGTTGGAGGGCAAGGGGATCTTTAGTGTTGGAAAGGAGAGGAGAGTAAGGGAATTTGGGAGGGAGAGAGGGCTGTGAGCCCTTGGAGGACTGGCTGGTTGAGCAGGATAGCAGTGGACCCTCAGTGGGTGGCGAGGGAGTCTGAGAGCCCTTGAGAGTTGAACAAAGTGAGAGGTGCAACTGGGAGCTTTGAAGAGAGGAGGATGGAGAGCACAAAGGAGAATCCAGGATAAGTTGAGAGGGGTGGGACTTCAATGCCAAGTTATCATCTGGGGAAATTGAAAGGAGAAAATCTGAGTGTAAATTTTGTCATCTTTGACTGTAACAAAATAATCTCGCTTAAAAAGATTGTAAACCATCTGTGTAATAGCTTTATTTGTTAAAAGTATTCTAATTATACATTCTCATTTCATGGCACTGAAACACTCAAACAAGGACAAATGATAGATGTCATCAGGTGAAAACTTGGTGTTAAGGAAATGGGAGTTGTCTAAGAGGTGACTTTCGGCAACTTGGTTTAATTTGCACCACCTAATCATTCACCCCCTGCTTCCTTTTCCTTTTTGTTCTGTCCTCCCTCATCAACTGCATACTCCTTGCTACTGTTGCCACACACACAGACACACAGACACACACACACATGCGAACTGGACATGACATGCATGCAGGCACACCTGCTAACATACACATACACACCAGACACACAGATTCCATTGATTTGCAAGAATACTCTCCTCACCCGTAGAGGAGTCTACCTTGTTTCCAGGGCAACACGCACAAGATAGTGGACTTTACCTCACCCCCACCCCCCATCCCAATAAAAGAAGCCACACTCACTCACTGAGACACTCTTCCATCCCTGCCTCTCTTTCTCTTTCTTCTTCCATTCAATCTGTCTTTCTTTCATCTCCTTAAGAGCCCATCCCCCATGTAGCCCACAGGGGTGGTCAGGGTTAGGTCCTGGCTGGATACTGGACACTGTAGTGGGTGCCTGATTGGCTGGCAGACTTGACCTTAAACACTCTAAGGTCACATTCCTGATATGGTTTAGCGCCAGGCAGAGGAGAGAGGTGTCGTGCAAAGAAAACAAACAGCCTTGCAGACAGACATGATGACTCACAGACCATCAACAAGCTAACTTAGCCCAAAGAAGCACAGGGGGACATGGTGAAGCATACACACACAGTAGGCCTGTCGATCCACAAAACAGAGACATAAGAAATCAAAGTCTTCTTTTTGCACCAGGTTTATCACTCACACATGAGCACATACAAAACTTGCAGCCATTAGCTGAAAGCAAAGTTTTTATGACACAATGTGGGCCCTTTTCCTGTAACTGGAGTGTCTGGACACAAACAAATACACATACTTGTGGACACACTCACACAAACCCCTGTCACATACACACTTTCTTCATGGGTATGCTCATGCTTCAGTGCCCAGCAACAAAGCTGAAAGAGGACAATGGGGTCTAATGCTATTGGAGTAAGAACACCTTATACAGTGCCTCACAATGTTTCCTTTTTCTTCACCTTCTCATGCTCATCTTAAAGCCTCAGCCCAACCGACGTCTTGCTTTGACTAATTTATTTTCAGATTCGCTCAATGTTCACCTCACAGATGTTCTTAGAGAGGTTTACAGGATATTCCTCGATTCTGGGTGGTCCATGTCTTTGAACCTGGCATTGATGAGGAGTGAAGACATTTGGTTTTTACAGGGCAAAGAAAGCGGCTAATGGCTGCCACCACAGAGAATGAATTAAAGACTCTGCAGGCCAGTAATTCAAGATGCCTTCTTTCTCTCTGTGCAAGTATAACATGCACCTAAAACTGTGTACTTCAAATATTGTTAACTTTTTCAATGAAAATTAAACTAAAAAGATTAAACTCAAACTCAGAAACAATTTATGAATGATGAATGTGGTAAATAAAACTTTCATATTAGGAAGGCCTCGTAACCTTAAGTGGAAAATTACAGTTTAGTGCAACAGTGAAATGCATGATGGGTTAGAATAATGTAGCAGATATAAACAATATACTAACACTATGAAATGTTTTCGGCATGATCTCTGCATGTCCACGAGAAATGACTACAAGAGCTTAATAAACCACCCAAACCGTCCAATATGAACACTCTATTGGAAGAGCAGTACTTTCTGGATATATAGTCTTTCTCACCATGCTCAGGTATCCGACAGGCACCGAGGGTCAGGCTCATAAGCTGCTGAGGTCGTTTCTGTTTCCGACGGGACATGCTTCTGCAGGATGGGACCGACGGAGGTGCACATTGGCCAACACACAACTTCTATTCTGCCTCCTTGCACACTGGAAAAAGTAGGTGTCTAAAATTACTCAGAGGCAAGGCAAAAAATGAAGACAAACTAAAGTACTTTTTCCAAAAAAAAAAAAGTAACACTATAACCTAGGTTCCAAGCTGATTGATCTGAACAAAGCCTGTCCACGTTGGTGGCATTGTGGTGCAGAGAAAGAAAAACAGCTAAAGTGCCATGTGACAGTTTCTCTCGACAATTCTCCCTTTTCTCAAAACTCACCGTTGGCCCTCCTTCCTTGCACACATACACACACACACATACACACACACTCACACAGCTCACTTGTTCATCCTCTACTTTGCATTCAAATGGCGAGTGAACACCCCTTCTTTTGAGCCAAGAGTCCACTGCCTCTCTTTGGTAAACCCTCATAAATTGACGCTCAAGTTCATCGCATAATGGCCTGTCCCTACGCTTTCCTGCACTGATCACGATCCTACAAATCTCAATCTCCCCTTTAGATTATCCCTGCGTGCGAAAGAGGGGAACTCGGCACACAGGTGGACACAAAAGTCAGCACCATCCCCTTTTCATGAATTCTGCTTTACGCATATTTAAACAGAATTTAATGTCAAAGGCCACCTTGTTGCTCAGGCATACAGTCTAACCCAGCCTGTTCAAGGTTAGTGTGTGAGAATGCATGATGCTCCACACAGGCTCATGTGTGTGAGCTCAGTAAACAGAGCGGCTGAAATGAGGTGGAATTTGCAACAATGGCGTTGAGGGAGCACAGCTGAGTGAGCATCACCCTCTTAGAGCCTCTCCAGCACATAAGGCCACTGACTGGAGGCACAATGCTCTCTTTTCACCCTCAACTCGACTGCTTATCACGTGGAGAGAGGTAGAGAAAGAAAGACAGAGTGGGGAGGAAAATCATTTTTCACCCAGGCCCTATAAGACACCCACCACCCACCGAAACCCCCAGCTCCTTTAGGCTATGTCTCACTGAGGCTAGGTAAGGAGAATAAAACACATCTGCTGCTTGGTGTGAAGTCTGTGGTCCTCGAGGTAGTAGAAACATTAAAAATAATTTGTCTTAATTTTTCAAAAGGGGTCCTCCATTTTTTAAGACTGGGTTCTGTTCATTGAATATAACAAACAGCTTTAACATCGAACTCATGTAAATTCTGCCGTGAGCTAATTAGCTCATTATTGTGAAACCTAAACTGTTTTTGTTGGCCGACACTAAATCATCAGAAATAAATCAATTATGATGAAAACACGCGTGTCACTGCGCAATCGATAATATTATAGACGAGATAGAAGTAATAACTCGCTCACAGTTAGGCTATCTATTTGTTTAAAATGAGCAAATATCGCTGCCTGTTTGGAAAAAAACAGAAGTCCATTGTGTCGACTACGCTTTCGAATCTTTCGTGCCATCTTGCCAAAATGTTCGCGTACACGACGGTGGGACGTTATAAACGCCACAGTTTGGAAACAAGCGCAAAATACGGCGCTGAGATGCGCGTCCTCGCTACTGTACGGCGACCTGTTGCACGCCACGCGCGCTCCCACATCATAACAAGTTATGATTCATAAAATATTATGACTTCTCCCAAAATACAGTCCCGGATGTGCATTTCCCCAACAGGCCGCTCGTCGCCGACACAGCCCCCGTTAAAAATAACAGAAAAGAACTTACCATGTTGGAAACGATGATTTTGGCAGCGATATTGTGTAATGTCAGGAGGGGGAAAAAGCTCAGGAGCATATGTTGGGTCAGATCGGCTCCGTCTCTCAGCCGGGACACTGGCGCAGCATTTCACTACTCACTCCCAGGGATGCGCAGTCGGACAGCCGCATTTTTTTCAATTATTTATCCCCGTCGCAAATGGCGTTTCTTTCTCTTATGACAAAGGGTTATTATGCCTGAATGTATTTACTCATAGTCCTCTGGCAGCAGGAGAAGCGGGGCGGTGCGCGGAGCTGCAGCCGCTACAGGGGGAGGATTATTTTTCTTGGCCGCTCGTGCTGCTGCTCTTCCTCCTCTCTCTTTGTATTTGTCGGGCCTGCTCCTGTCAGGCCTGTCTGCGCTCTCTGCGGTACTGTCTGTCTGTCCGTCTGTCTGGTGAGCTGGCTAGCTGTCTGTCTGCCTGTCTCTTATAATTAATGGCCCTCGCCGCCAGACGGTCCTCAGGGAAACAGTGACCACGGTTACCTCCTCATTGGCTCTTAGTGTGCATCTCACACAGGAGTGCAGGGCCGGACACAGACACACGTCCCTCACTAAGGGGATAAGGCAGATGGTGATTTCAGATCTAAAGACTTGTGATTGCACAGGTGGTCATGGCTCCCACATAACAATAAATAGTAAAAAACCATTAATATATTTGTTGGAGTTTTTCCCAAAGGTAGCTCCTATTGCTTTAGATCTAAAATTTAACATGTCTGAAATTCAAGCTCAGTTAATTATTTCCACGGACCAAGACATGTTTTTGAATCCCTCTGGCATCATGACTTGGTCTCACATGGAGAGAATATCTTAGAAACACAAAGGGAAAGGAATAACATCATACTGCCTGGCGTCCCATGAGTTGCCTCACACTTTTTTAATGCAACTTTATCCCAAAGCAAAAAAGAAAATGTATGTAGGCTCCATGGATCCATTCTTTGGTAAAGCGATTACATTACATTTCTATTTTCTTAACAATAATCTAGCTGTCTGGGGGTTACTTAGAAAAAATTAGGGACTAGTTGAATAGAAATTCACTGCATGTTACACTAGCTAAATACTTAAACAGGAGAACCATACATTGCAATTGTACAACAATCAGTACACGCGCAGAGAAAATGAGGTAGACATGTCTTAAAAAAGGACCACCATTGCAGTGACTCCATCATTATTTGTTAATGTCACTGAAAATGATATACTCATTATGTCCATTGTTTTTTATTTTGAAAAAAACAGGCCTGAAAGTTGAGTCTGAGCCTTTCTAGTGGACCTATGAGACTTAAGTTACAATCGGTACTGACGGGACTGCTGTTATATTTGTGTTCAGAACCACAAACCAAAATAAGAAAAAACTGTTGACCACCAATGTGTAGACATCCAGACATTCTCCACAGTCACAGACTCATCTTCTTCATCTCATCTATTCTACACTAAACTGCCACCATGACCCCCTGTGCAGTCCACAGCAGTCCAATCCAAACAGCTCTAACTTCAGCCCAGTTTTCAGAAGCTTCTGCTCATTCAGTTACAGTTGATATAGTCAAAGGTGATGATAACTGTTAGCTACTCCAGACTCTTTGATTGAGTTGCAGCAGGAAGCGTTGTTGGTGTGCTTGGGTACATTTTCTCGAAGGTGCTCCCAATACTTTGTCAGACACCATTTACATAAGGGAGCAAAATATAAGGAACAACTGTTGTATGGAATAATTCCCTCAAGCACACCACCACTTGCCATCCTCCTCTAAATATTCATGTGCAGTTTGCATCTTCTGACCATGTCAACAAAAAGTTAACATGTTTCTTAACACTCGAACTACCAAGGCAGTCATTTTGACTGCTTTCAAAATGAACAATGTCATAACTTTTTAAAAATAAAACCTATACACCAATCACACACTGACTTTTCTAAATGTGTGTATATTTTTATTTATTTGTTCATTCTAACATTGTTTTATCACTCAAATTTCAAAACACGAAAGCGATCTGAGTAAAACTACCTCGAACTACCAGAGCAGTCAAATTGACTACATGCTTTTTACAAAGGATGTTATATTTCGTTTTGGGTGCTATATTTTCTCGCTCGTTCTCCTGCTGTATTGTTTGTTTGGTATTTCAAGCTCTCTGAAGATAAAATCTTGCTATAAACTTTATTCAAAACTCGAGACTCAAAAATGACAACTAGAAGAAAAATGAAAAGTACGGAGGCTTTAGCCTTGCTTCAGAGCCTTGATGGGGAAGAGTCCGATGGATGAGCAAGTTCAGGGAATGATGTGTCTTGGTATTTTGAGGAAGGTTCTTAAAAATCTCATTCATTATAATTTTGTTTTTTATCTATTCCTCCAATTTATTATTAGTTTTTATTATTTATTATCCAAATTATGTGCAAATAAAGACTGAGCAGTCAAAGTGACTGCTATGGTCGTACTAGTAGTTTCAGAATTCTGGTAGACCGAGTGTTAAAAGCGTGATTTTTGGTAGAGCTGCTGTATTTGGTCTCATACCCTGTCAAGCACAAAGCTGAAACAATATTTCAGTTTGGTCTGCATGTTTCATCCTCTCTTTGTCTGTTAGCATGATTGCTTAAGCCTCATAGTACGATATGCCTCCTGCCCTAGAGCTTGTTGGTCCAGCATATCTTTGGGATGATCAATAGCAGGAAACAACAGTAAAACAATAAACATAACTATGAAGAATTAAGCACACTGAAACAAAAGGCAGAATTAAAGAACTTAAATAAGAATCTCAAAATATGTACATTTTCCCTAATTGTGTCGTATCTACTGTTTAACTTATACAAGTGATTGCAATATAACCATCTGCTAATGATTAAACCAAAACACTGCACCCACCTCCTCCACTGCTTAACACCATAAGAGGCTAAAACACCATATGTGCTGCATTATTTTGCTGAGGGTCAGTAGGTCAAGAGTAGGTCATGAGTTGCATTATTACAGTGTAGGATCTGACAGTCTGACAGCTGATGGTGGTGCAGCAGGACCACCGGCAGTTTGATTATTGCACATTTAGTTTGCAGGATTTCTTTCATACTCTCACCTTTTAGCTATCATGAAACTGATAGGACTTGTTTCAACTATTGACCATTTATTGTGCTTTGGTTTATGTCTTACATCTGTAATGCCACAAGATGTCTCTGTAAGACAAAAATCAGCAGCATGTTGTAATACTCTTGGTGCTGTGACGTATTTGTTTCAAGTTCTGCCCTGTCATTTTGAGAATGACACTTAACATAGTTAAGATGAAAATACAGGTATATGACAAGAAAAGTATTAAAAATCTAATTGACCCACTAAAAGAAAATTCTGTTATGGCAGTATCTAGGAGAAGAGACAGAACAGTGAAGTTTTAAGCAGTTAAATCAACACAATAATTTGAAGGAGCTAAAACACTCTGTAGCTTCTGGGCACTGAAATCAGGTGAATAGTGTCATGTTTTGGAAGAACAGAAGTCCTGTTATATGTTTTTGACACAGCTTTGATTCAGTGTACAACATAGTTGTGCTCAACTCACTTTACCTGATTTTACAACTGTAAACATGTTACAATACATAATCTGTGTTAGGTTAGACACTAAGATGTTAAACCATCAACAAACTAATGCAGAATTATCACTGAAGCTTTTCCCTGAGCATTATTTTCCTCACTATTTGTCAAATTTGTGAAATTCAGTAGGAGGTGATACACCGGGTTTGTAAAGTTAGACACAACTTAAAGCAGTCACATGTTAGATGGGTAAAACAGGCAATTCAGACTAAACTACAGAACAAAGAGTGTGATGTAAAACTCTCTGTGAGAGACAGTTCAAACCAATTAATCAATTATAAAGCCGTCACTGTCTGAGGAGAGTCCTTAAATCCTTTGAGCTTCATCAGAATTGTGTTGCAGCAGGGAAATGCCGCCATTGTGTCTCGAATGTCTCTCCTGATGAAAATATAGAGCAAAGGATCTAGCAGTGGGCTAAGGTAGACCAGAGCACTTGTGAAAATACCTGATAAATCCCTGACCGAGTCCGCTGTATCTGAGTCAGCATCAGCTTTTAGAGAGTAGTACAGGTTCCTGAAACTAAACGGGAAGAACAAAACAGCGTATGTCCCCAACACCAGACCAAGGACACCCAGAACTCTCCTCCTGTTTGGTGCTCTATGTCTCATGGCTGTGCTCTTGTTTAGAGCTTTCCATGTTCCTATGAAGAACCCCAGGAGAAACGGAGAGGGGAGGAGGCAGAGGATGGAGAACAGCCACGAAGGGAATTTGGCATGTCTCATTAAGAAATAATCCAAAGAGGAGAAGGCCAGTGAGAAGATCCATGTGCAAACTGAGATCAGGACGGATAGCTTTACATTGTTCTTGGTGTGGTGCCACACAGGACAAGCCACCATTATAAACCTCTCCGCAGAAATCAGCAGCATGAAGCTTAGGCTGGAGGAGAGGCCGAGGCGGACAAAGAGTCGTGCGACGCAGCGGGCTCTAAGGAAACGGTCGGAGGTTGGATCAAAAAACCTGCTCACGATGAAGACGACCATGATCCCGATCTGAAGGAGATCCGACAGAAGCAGGTTTATGGCAAAGATTGGAGCTAGTTTGTCCTTCTTGAGTAGACACAGCAGGGCATAGCAGGCCAAGCAGACCTCAGGTAGTCCAACAAGGAGTATCACCCAGTCCACTATGGAACCAATGGTACTATAGTAATAGACTGGCTCTTCACAGGGATGTGAGGTGTTTTCCTGGCTGATGTTAGACATTGTAGATGTTCCCTGTTGCATGTTCTTTTTGGTTAAAAAAATACTGAAGTACATGCTGTCGTATTTTTGTTGCATTATTCCAAAGTAACATCAACACCCCTGTTTCCAATAAGAGCAGTGATGTTATTCAGCGTCATATTGCCGAGCACTCTGACCTTTTATAGGACCTGCGATCCACCCATTCAAGGGAGGATGTGAGCAACTATGCAAACAAGGAGTATCTGCTTTGGAGAAATTACACAATGAATTTAGGGGGAGTCAAGTCTGGGATATCATGTGCACTATTCTGTGGAGCAAAAAAAAAAAAAAAAAGATCTTAAAGCTTTTTTCTTTTGAAAATGAAAAGAGCTGAATTGGTCCTGATGCGTGAAATAAACAGTGAACAGCACACTGTCATGATGCCATCATATTCAAAAACAGGCAAAACAGGTGAGCAGTAAACAACAGCAGCAGTTGTCAAGCAAATGCATGCTCATCTGTTTTGGAAACACAAAATCACATTTATAATCACATACAGACCTCCTCACAAAAGACCAGCACAATATATTCAAGCTCCTGTGAGGAGCTTTTGGTCTGTGTTGGTCTTGGCACCACCTGTTTACAAATGCTGATCTTGTCCTTTGCATGCATAATAAGTGTTGTCTGATGAAAAATCTCCTCCTGGTTTCTTTTAACAGTCTACAGAAAAAAATAGGGACCAGGGATGAGGAACACTGATTTAAAAAAGAAAAAAGAAAAATCATATTTCTAGAATAAAGTCAAAGAAGATGCAAGTTGAGACATTTTGAATAAAACTGCTGTTGTGACGTACTCATTTTTTTTTTTAACAGATTAAAGTCGAAATGACGTTAGTTAATATTTTTTCTGCTATCCATGTGGTGAGAAAGGAAAGAAGAGAGGCCTGATTTTGATCATTTCAATTTAGATAATTTAATCCGTAACTTATTTTAAAGAAACTCTAAATCCCCCGAAAATTGGTACAAAGCTAAATCTTCAATGAAAACATAAGCTTGTTACAAAAGCGTCTTACACAGATATGTGTCATGTCTGAGGTCATTGACAATGTTGATAATCCCGACATCCAGACAAATAGCTGCAGTAAGATACACATTTGTTGTGTAAATGACCACAGATCAGACACAGTCTGTGGTCAGTTTTTTTCCCCTCTGCTGATGGGATTCACTTCACAGCAACTTTGGTTATAACTAAAACAAACAAACGTGAAGAGCAGGGAAAAACAAGTGTCTACCAAAGAGTAAAGGAGCATTGTGATCCAAAGGCATTTTTAATGGAGGTTTGCAATCTTTGACTTTGTTCTTAAAATTATTTCTCTCCCCTTTTCCCTAAAACTGAATAACAAACAAACAAAAAAATCTTCCTCCTGAAATTATTTCCTCCTCATCTCTAGCTTTTACACTCTGTGCGTAAAATGATAAGTTCTGTCTCTTTCTCTGTGCTTTCTTGCAAGGCAAACCCATACCAGGTTGATTTTTTGTCATCTCACTATCAGGATAATATTGAGGGTGGGAAAAGTGATATGCAGCAGAGAGCCACAATGTGGAGTTGAACCTGGACTCTGTACATGTGGGACTCTAACCTCTAAGCCAAACCAGAACCCCGAGTACATGATTCTAATTGGTCTTGGCAGTGACTTTAATAAAGCCATCCATTCATCAGAGACCTCTCTAAATATTTGAGAGTCGGAGCACAACAGCAGCTGTACAGGAGAGAAGAAAAAGACGAAAGGTTTCCTCCATTAAATATGATCCAGTTTTGATAAACATGACCCAGGCCTGTGGAAAAGTCTGAAGTGTCACTTCTAACTGTGCTGTTATATAGTACAACAGGACTCAATCTCATGAAGGGGCTTATCAATGGAGTGAAATGATCTCTGAATATTTCACTTTGGATTGGATCAGATTGATAAAAAGTCAGAAATCATCAGTGAAGTCATCAGATGTTTTGCTTTGTCTAAAGAGGTCAAATAAAGTCCACACAAAATAAAAAATTCCTCACAGTAGCTTTGGAGCGGTACAGCAGCTCATGTAATTTGTATGTGAACATGTTTAGATGAAAACTGGGATGATAAGAATATTTTACAGTGTTTGCTAACAGTACACATTTCAAATAAATTAAACCTTTGAAGGCAAAGGCTTAATGTAGAGTAAAAAACACTGGATTTTTCTCTCATGGATTAATTATATATACAAAATTAAAGAAAGTAAAACCGGTTTAATTTAAGGTTTCTCGCTCCTCCCTTCTTATCATGGTCATGTGACCTTCTTGATTCCTGTGAAGGTTCAAGCAGAGGCTGATCTGCTGGGATTAGCCTCCACAGCCGGCATACTGACCACTCCCCCACAAGTGCTTTCCAATGGACACATTCAGCTAACGTTAGGACACCAACAGGTAAGAAAAAAACTTCATTTGCATTTTGAATAATTGGTTTAAAACTATCAACAAAGCCAGTGGTGTTGAACATTTGTGGGTTTGTGGTTGAACATGTAAAGCAGAGTGCACAAAGACTTAATTAGGCCAACAAGCTGTCAAGGATGATCTCTTGATCCTCTATACTTGGGTTCGATTCAAGTTAACGTTCATCTAGGGTCAGTATTACAGCCATTTACCTCCACTGTGACAAACAGGGAGTCAAACTTTAAATATGTTAGTGTTTTTGAGGTGAATTAATGTGTGTGTTCAAATTTTGTTGAATTTCTCACTTTACATAAGCATGTATGTTAAATAAGTCCTGACTCAGCTATCTTTGTTCATTGCGTTTGTGTTCTGTCATCTTGTGTTAAGTTTGAAGGTGTTTCTATTATGTCTACTCTCAGTTCATTTGTAAGTAACACCGGTTCTATAGTTAAGTATTCTATATATAGAGCACAGTAGGCGAGAGCCCGGTATACAGGATTACTAATCTGAGCGCACAGCCAGGAGTGAAAAAAGAACTTCTCTCCTGCCAGCACCTCAGTCCAGCCATCTCTTAATTCTCCACAACATTTGTAATTAAAACACGACACAGCAGCATATGTCCTGTGAACCTGTTGACCTTTTTTGAGTGCTCTACAGCCCACCATGTTATCTCTGGTTTGGTGTATCAGTTTGAAAAAAAAAAAAAGAGAGAACATTTGTAATGAGATGTGTGGGTGTGGTGAAAACCTGTAAATGGTTTGTGTGAAAACTTCACCTTAAAGACATACATGGAGATGAAAAACAACTTAATTACCAAAACTATAAATTGTTAGTATTAAAAATCATATTAGAGTTCCATTTTAAAAATATTGCAGATATGTAGTGAAAGAGAAAATATGTTGCCATAGCTACAGGACCAACAAATTCTTATAATGGTCATTTTTGTTCCACATTTAAATCTGAACAACAACAGGAACAGTGTCTTTTTGTGAATAGATGTAGTCAAAAGTGCAATTTATTCATACTAACAAATGAGAGAAATGGTTTCAAAACAACAGTACATATTTTGTTAAATAAATATAGACAGAAAAATATTTGGCTCAATAAAACATCCCCACAAAGGACCTGTAGGTGTCTGTCCAGTCATCTTTAATTATATAAAAAATAAAAATGCGAGGTAATATAGTGGTTAAATTTTAAAAGTCATGCTTCCATCCTCTATTCCATGCACATTAATATCTACTGCTCATTGATATCTTAGCCAGTAACTTGTCTCAGATGGATTTGAACTAATTGATGAGATTGACAAATACATTTGGTTGTGCTTTAGGTGTCAGAAAATGGCTGATATTTCTGTTAGAGGCAGCACTGAACTGCATTATTGTGCACATCATGACAGAGTTTACATTAAACATTAACACGTGACTTTAAGATTTCATATGCTGACATGGAGGATGAGGAAGATATGTTTTCATCTGGTAAAGATAATGGGGATATTTGCCTTGTAATGGCAGATTTGACACCAGTTATTTCAAAATGCCTTTAATCAGCTCCCTGAATCAGTCAACCAACCAATCAGTCTATCCCTACTTTGAATAACATACATTTTTTATGGTAAATGTATATGTGTCACCCAGAGTTATTATCTAGCTATTATGTGTTTTTAATGTGGTGTACATACCCTCTATCAGTGATTTCTTTATATTTCCTTTTTTTAATAAAACAAGGACTTTAATCTGTCAATAAGCTATCTAACTGTGAAGGGCCTTTATTTTATGTTTACAACAGGGATGCATGATATCATCGTGATGATGATATGATATTGTTATTAGTAGATGAAGGTTTAAAAGTTCAGTTTTAGTGTCCTGTTTCTTACCCTGCATCATTGCATACATAATAGTTTTTATGTCATGTAAATCACTTTGCAACATCATAATTATTTTCTCTTATTATTATCATTTTTATTATCATCATTATTCTATCTGTGTTGGGTATGTGTACTGAGTTTTATATTTGTTAAGAGTTTATTCTGTGTGTTTCTGATCAATCTTCTGTACTAATCCACTGTGTTTTTTAGTGCCCTTGTGTGACAAACACAACTCAAACATAGAGAAGCCTTTATCTGCTCATCATGGCACCTGGGGAGGAAGAGCTGACCTGTTCTGTGTGCCGAGACAACTTCAGCCAAGCCCACCCGCTACCCTGCGGTCACAGTTTCTGTCCCACCTGCATCCGCGAGGCTTGGAGTGCCCAGGACGAGGAAAAAACTCGCTTCACCTGCCCGCAGTGTCAGGAGGAGCACGGGCAGGTGCTGTGTGACTGCTGCTCCTCTGATACAGAGGAAGGACAGAAACCGTTAGCTGTTAAGACCTGCCTGAAGTGTGAAGTGTCATTGTGTGGCCAACACCTCCAACCCCACCTGGAGAGGCCGGCCTTTAGCACACACCTGTTGGTGGATCCACTCATGGACCTCTCTCAGAGACGATGTCAGACACACACAGAAATGTTACGCTACTACTGTGCAGATGAAAGGCTGTATGTGTGCGGAGACTGTCTGCTGGACGGAGGCCATGCACAGCATAAAGTGAAGGCTCTGAGGCAGGTGGAGGAGGATCTGAAGGTCAGACTACACACACCGTGTTCCTCTTGTTTGTTTGTTTTGGGAGTTAGTGTTTTCTCATGGTTTTAGTTTCTCTGCAGGTCATTCTTCAAACACTGCTCAGAAAATCAGAGGACAAACTGAGAGAAGGAGAGCAAGTCCTCAGAGAGCATGAGAACGTTGATACTGCCATGACTGTGAGTAAAACTAGTGAGATTGCAGGGAAAATACAGCTTTAGAATCAGCTTTAATAGCCAGATGTGTCTGAACATACGTGAAGTTTGGCCACAGTTTTAAAACTGCTCCCAATATATGGACATGGAAATAGACATCTGATTAGAACAAGGAACGTAGCTCAGTTGTTCATTTTGAACAGGCTGATTTAGGCACAAATAGTTCTGAAAGAGTGTGACAAGAATAATTGATTTCATGTACTCAAATGCAGTGATGATAGTTTCATAATTAAAGTTGGTGTTTCCACACAATGAGAATCAATAATAAGATCCATACGTCCTCTTTTACCGGGACGTGTCCTCTTTTTGGGGGGCTGTCTGGCCTGTCCGGGGGGAGTTTATAAAACCTTTCAAATGTTCAGTGTTTTGTATGGAAGTTTTGAGTTTGTGTACCATGGGTAAAACTGAGTTAAAAGCGTGTAAAAAAACACTTGACCCAACACTGAAAACCCTCAAAGTTTTGCGCGCCACTCTGCCTCCACTTAGTAGTGTCCTTTTTTTAAAATTCAGAATATGGTCACCCTAAACAAGATAGCCAGGCACAGTGGATGTTCATGTCCTCAGGTTATTGTACTATCCCAAATCCAGTTGAGTTGAGATGCTTTATAAAATGCTAATAGAAACAAATTTTGATGGTTTGCAAGTTGTTTAAACCCTATATGTCGCAAAGACAAAATTTTACATGTAGAAACAAACATTTCTTATTATTATTTATTAAATTAAAAAACATACTTACTTTAAATCTGATTCCAGCAACACACAAAAAAGAGAAATTAAGAAGCTGAACAAGTTGTATAGAGTTCAAAACAAAACAGAGAAATGCCTTCCAACAATTAAGTCTACTTTGCAAAAGTTTAGTAACATGACTGGGCACAGGAGAGAGGCTAGTATCCCAGATTCATACAACAGGAGAGAGAAAACAGTTCAACAGTGACAGTTTAACTTCCCTTTGTGTGAAATTGTGAAGAATTATGGTGTTCATCACTGAAAGAATCTGGAGAAATCTTTGTATAAACAATACAGGGTCAAAAACCAATACTGGATGGTTGTGATCTTCAGACCCTTAGGCAGCACTGTGTTGAGAATATACATGACTTTGTAGTGGAATTCACCACATGGGCTCATGATCACTTCCAAAAACTGCTGACAGTGAACACAGGGAAGAATGGGATGAGTATTGTCCCGTCCCAACTGTTTTGAAATGTGTTGCAGGTATTAGTTTTAAAATGAGCTCGTTTTTTTTTAAAATAAAAATTCAATTCTTTACATTTGTTTGATTAATATTTTGCACAGCTTCACACTTTTTGTGAATCAGGGGTATGTGTTGTGACCCTGGGTGCCTGATTTCATTTCCACGGTAAAGTTATTCTGTAAATCCGAGTTAGGATATACATTTAAACCCATTCGAAGTACAATCCTCAGACTGGTCTACCCATGATCTCTGGTTTAATAATCCCCAATCACTGATGTTGCACCGAACAACAGCCTTTCTTGTCTGATGGTTGCAGGACTCTATGAAGCAAGATGACACTCAGGTGGAGAGGCTGGGCTCAGATCTGCAGGTCCAAGTGAAGAAGCTGGTGATGGCTCTGAGGGAGATCACCAAGAGGGAGAGACAGCAGGTGATAGAACGAGTGAGTGAGGACTGTTCCAAGGTGAGGGAGGACATGAGCCGAGTACTGAACATCCAACACTACCTGTCCTCCCTGCTGGCAGAGCCTGACCCCTTCCTGCTCATCTGGGTAAGACTCGGTGCTAAACTAATACTTGTAACATTTCCAGAGTTATTTTTAAGAAGGTCTTAAAAATGCACACAGCTCAGCGCTGTCAACATCGTATTTTAGTAGAAGTTTTCTCGGTAATGGGATGAACTGTTGATGCAGTTAAGCTTCTTGAGATCTAATCTGAATATCCAAACCTGGCTCAATCGGTGTTATTTTAGCTTTCTATCTTGGCAGAGCTACTCGAATGGGTCCAGTGAAAGGCAAAGCTGTTCTTTCTGTAGTCCGTTTAGGCAACAACCTCCAGTCTTGACAAATAAGCCTGATGTGGAAGTGCTAAAAACTGCAGTTCCCCAAGTGTACATCTGAAGTTGGCTGCAAAAGCTCCTCAAATTACATCCACACCCATTCTCAAAAGTCCATCTCTACAACAAATATATATGTTTCCATCCTGGTTCTAAGAGTTATTTATCTGAATAATTCATTTCTCTATCTACACACACTTTAGAGGGGACTTTTTTTTATAACTCATTAAATATAAAAGGTTACATTGAGGTTACGGGTTTTGCATGTAAAGAGGTGTGGCAGATTCAGCTTATAGGCAGGCAGACTGTAGCTGTTTGCAAGACCCACCTCAAGTCCACCTGTTTGACTCTTGTAAGGCCAACAGAAAGTCAGGCCGGGTCAACATTTCCAATGTGGCAATAGATGAACCGTGAAGTGGAGTCAAGTTAGTGTCTGTTGTGAGCGCTCCTGTGAGGAACTCTCTGCCTGTCTGTGTTGACTTTGGCGCCCTCTGTGGTCAAAGTGGAAACTCTTTGTCTTCTGCTTGTGAAGGGAGTTTTAAGTGGCAAAAAATCTCAGAGTATCTTTTCACAGTGAAATTTATCTCTCACATTTGAAGGTAACAAATGCTGTTTTTTCAGAGTACCTACACCCTCACAGCATTTACAGGCATTAAAAATTAGAAGATAGAAATTGTCAATCATAATTGATGGTCTTGTTTGCTTTTTTACATTATACAGAAACATCACTGTCCATGTCAGTCTGTTTCAAAATCAATCCAAAACTCCTTACAGGACCTTTAAACAATCTGTCCTGTCTTTGGCCACAGTGACACTGCCCCCTGCTGGACAATATATAGTTTTCACGTGTAAAGCACTTTTAAGACAGAGGCTATAGCCACTCCAAACATTAAGTATATGGTTCAGGCTGAAGTATTGCATCACAATAACTTTGATGCTGCAATTGATCTTAAATGGAACAAACACTGGATGGATTGCCAATGAGTTTGATAAGAAATTATCTTTTTTCAGAATGAATCATCACTACTTTGAGCACTTTGGTCAAGGTTAAACTTTATTTGTTGGTTCGGTACCAGAAAATAAAAAACTGACAACCCATCAGCCCTAGCTGTAAGTTTTCATAAAAAGCATGCTAATAAACTATACTGTACGATGTAAATGTTGAACATTGTTGTCGTTGTTGGTGCGTAGCTGCTCCTGGCTGTGTAGTCTTTGACTTTTTTGGGTACCTCTTGGTTTGTCTCTGGTTACTTGATTATTACTAAATATGCACAACATGTTGTCATAGTTGGCTTTGTTGTCCTTTGTTGTGGTATATCTCAACTCATTAGGAGAACAGAAAACAGTTTGAGAAAATCCTCACGTTGATGTCAATATGGTTTAAATTCAAAGCCTTTAAAAACTCGAATTGAATATCAGTGCGATGCTTCAATATTCTTTTTTTTTTTGTTTCATCCAGAGTGAAAAACCACCATCAAGGAACAGCTCACCACCATCATATCCATGTTAAAATTCATAATGAGTGCCCTCAAACTGAGACCAAAGTAGTAAAATAACAACCAACGAAGCAGTGAAGACTGTTTTCTTCTGTTGAAGACTGTTTCTCTTTTGAATAATAACCAGGGCTGGTTGTATTTATGACCTCCAGACTGATTGAGATGGGGAACGTGTCCGTTGTTGAAACATAAAATCAATTTCTATCGTTACAAAAAAATGCTCTGATGTTTGTAGTTTTATTTCAAAAAAAAAAAAAAAAGAAAAAATTGGATGTCTGTTTCTTATTGCTCAGGGTGACCCGATGAGTCATTTTGTAAACTGCATCTTTAGGCTGTAAAAAATTTACAAAAGTATCTTCTTATATCTTCTTATAAAGTTTATTATATTTTAAGTACTTAACTACTCCAAGATTTTAAGCAGAGCAATGCACTAAAAACACATTTTTGAGGTAGATTTTTGGAGGATTTTAATTTTTTTTTCCAAGACAGCTGAGGAGAGACAGAAAATGACTGTGATAGGTGAGCGGGGGACGATATGCAGCAAACACTCGAGGTCAGGGATGGTTACAACGAGGGCTGCACCTCTGGGTCATGGGCATGCTTGAACTGCTGAACTTAATGTGATTCTTTTGGAGGAACTGAATATTATCTGTGAAAAAAAGTATTATAAAAGAAGTGGACATATTTTTTTCCTGGAATTTTTTGTATCTTAAAAGCATGAGAGAAAAAAGTTTTAAAAGGTGAAAATGTAGATTATCCTGGGTCATCTTTTATAAATTAGATTTTTGTCAGTGAATGTAACAAGAGCTAAATCTCCTGGGAGCAAATTATCTACCAGCAGCTTAGAAAAATAATCTAAGATTGAAGAAGAAATGTTATTGGGAGAAATCATCCAGGAAAAAGAATGTTTGCACCTACTTCTAAGAGAAACTGAATATCTCTGGAAGAATACAGTAATTAAGTCTTGGTTTTCCACCTTTTCTGTCATTATATAAATGACTCTGACTAGATTTCTCTCTTCTCATATTGCCTTCTATGTTTCATGTTATATTCTTGGAGAAAGGTACTGAATAAAACATTCAGGGCCACAGGTGTGCTCAGCTGTATGAGTGAATGAAAATTTAACCTTGTGTGTGTTTACTCTCTCAGCAACTCTGCAGACTCACTGAGACATTTGTAAAAAAATTTCAGTGAATAGATCACTCTATGTCGAGTTTCTTTGCTCAGCTGTCCTTCACTTTCTTTCCCTCAGGCCTTTCAATCAGACGACACAAAGTAAGTTCACAGCATGTCAATGACTCTGTGTGATGCTGTGTTTGGACCCACATGGATTGGTGTGTGTGTAGTCTCTGTTTGCATTTAGTTTGGAGATAGTAACACTAGTGAAGCACATGGAGAGTAAGGAGTACATAGGTGAAATGAGTATTTCATTTCAGATGCCTTAATCATTATATCCTTATGGGATAAACCACATACTTGTCCCCCTCATGCAGTGAGTGTGTCATACTCTTGTCTTTAAGGTTACTAGAGGACCTGAACAATCCACTCTTCACCCCTGATGCCGTCAGTCTAGACAGGAAACACATCTTAGACGACATAGAGAGCAAGTACCGAGAGTTTATCACCGCCACGCTGCGCTGCCTCAGTGACCTCAAACGAGAGCTCTGTGAGTGACACCCACGAGACACTCACCTGCCATGTTTGTTTGATCCTGTCAAAGAAAGGGTTTGATATTGGGAAACAGGTTTTGACTTCTTAGACAGTGTCAGCTAAGAAGATTGATTGATCATCAACTGGCAGCTGTACGCTAAGCTTTTCTGTGCAGAGACTGAAAACAAGACAGCCAGGGCCAGCCTGACTCAAACATCCTGGAGCACCCTATAATGGAGCTGGTTTTCACACTGTGTCAAGATGTTTTTGAGGGTTGATAACTTGTTAATAACTTAAGCCAAATGAATAAATAAGATGTTCAGTCAAACACAAGACCATGACTTTAATTAATTGATCATTAATTGATCATGAAGATCTCATTCAAGAGTAAAAACTATGATATCCAGCTAATAATCCACCATAGTTGATCAATCATTCATTTGGCTGCTCACAGCTAAACTTTTATAACTTGAATAAAAATTCACTTTTTTGTTGTCCATCTGTACACCAGGTTCACTACTTTGTCATATTTATCTTTGTTATTAATTCAAGTGCAAACGCTAAAATACTCCTTATGTTATTGTTTTTTTCTTCTTCTCTGATAGTAACCAGTCCTTTAACTCTGGACACAAACACGGCTCATCCTCTGTTGAGCATCTCTGACGACCTGCGCTCGGCAACACGGGTTAAGAGCCGCCTCCCCTGTGCTGCTCACCCTGAACGTTTTGATCACTGGCCACAGGTCCTGGCCGCTCAGACCTTCTCTTCTGGGACCCACTACTGGGAGTTGGAGGCTGAAGGATTCTGGGATGTTGGCATCTGCTACAGAAGTATTGGGCGGAAGGGGAAAGAAGGCAACGCCTTCGGGAACAATAAGGTAAAAGTGCTGAATACATACAGGCTCTTAATTTGCTGATATTAGAATTTTGCATATTTGTGTTTTTTTCCTTATTGATTAGTTACAGTGTGTTTGCTGTCAGTGCAGTTGATTCAGCTTCTTGCTGCATGTTTTCTCTTTTGCAGTATTTGTTCGTTTTAGACTTTTGCATGTGCGTATGAATTTGCATAAGCAGAGCAGTTACAGCACATTTCATTTAAAGAAGGCCATTCAGATCCTCTAAGCTGAGCAGCCACTACAGTATTTTTTGTCTTTACTAGATATTATAAAGCTTGTTTTGCCTTTAAACTTTAATTTCTACCAGATTAAAAAACAAACAAACACATGACACTCTTTATAATGTCAGGTAATTTAGTCAAGAAGTTAAAGATTTTAAAAAGATTCTGTATTATGCAGGGTTAGTATCGACAAGACTACAACAGGTGTCCTCACAGGATAAATCTAACCCTGGTCAAAACATTTACTGTAAGTTGGAGAATAAAAGGAGGAGAAATTGCCTTTGTGTTTACAGATTCTTTTGTGTTTCACATTTACCTGGTTTACTGCTATCTGTTGAATATTGGGACTGCACCTTTTGAGGACATCCTGGACCACCATCCAGTGTCTCAGGAGGGAGAAGCATTAAACTGTCAATACTGTGTATGGTGGGGATGATGTACTGCTGACCTCAACTTGGGATGTTGTTGATCGGTGGAGGGAATACTTTGAAGACCTCCTCAATCCCACCAACATGACTTCCAGTGTGGAAGCAGGGCCGGGAGGAATCAGATGTGGGCTCTTCTATCTCTGGGGCTGAGGTGGCAGGGTCCTGGGGGTGGATGAGTTCCCTAAGGCCCTGAATGTTTTGGGACTGCTGTGGTAAAAAAAGGAAGTTGGTCAACGGCACAGCGTTGACAAACCGTTCACCAAAGTATGAGTGTGTTTAATGAACTTTTTTATTTGAGTGCTTCCACGTGCAACACTGCTGCTCTTCTCGTTGTCATTGGAGACTTTTTTTGTCCCTTTACATACTTTTCAGATTAGACTTGGGGTCCAAAAGATGTGACCATATTTAATTTCTTGTCATCTTAAACATAGAAACCCATCTTTTCAGCATGGCAACAGCGGAGAAGGCTTTCTCGAGTGCTGGATTCCAGTGTGGAGTGGGGCCTTGAAGAGACAGTTTTAATGAAGTGTTTCAGACAGAAGCTGAAGTTAGGGTTTTCAAAGACACAACCTCAGTTAAGTAATGAATCTTTTGAGCTGTAAATCATTCAGAGACACCACACGGCCTTCTAAAAAGACAATATAAAGCCTGAAAATAACCAGCATTACCCTCTAGAAGCTAGGAGGCTTTAATTTTGAGGTAATTTGTTCATAAGCCAAGAAAAACAGGGAAAAAAGAAAAAACTAAAATATCATCAACATCAACTTTCATCCCAATTTTTATCAGCTGAAGTGCCAGCAAACATTAAAACACATTCCTTGTCTTTTCTCAATGTTCAGGTATCATGGAGTCTGACTCAGCAGCACGACAGGAAGCTGGCAGCCTGGCACAACCGCAAGAAGACCCGCCTCACGTACCAAATGAGCGGTAACCGTGTAGCTGTTGCCGTGGACTATGGTGCAGGCACCATTACGTTCTCTGAGGTGGGGTCATCCAACAACCTCATCCACATTCACACCTTCTCCACCACCTTCACTCAGCCGGCATGTTTGGGATTTGGACTTTACAAAGCAGAGCTCAACAGCCGCATCTCCATCATCAAAGTGTGAGGAGGACAGAAAATAAAAGGAAAACTGCTGTGGACTCATTTTCTCATGTCATGGAGGTAGTTGGGGGACTTTTGTCAGGAGACTCTGATGTTTCTAAGGCTGAATTCATCTTCATCCCCACAATGATGAAGAGACACATATCTCCTCTGACTATGATCAGGTGGTTCTGAAATGGAAATTACGAACAACAGAGAAAATTTGGAGCATGTGACGAGTGAAAAAGTGGATACGTATGAGGTAGCAAAAAGAGGAAAAGGAAGGACTCTAATTCTGATTTGAAATTTCTCCTTTAACCCCATTTCTATGAAACTCGACCTGGTATTTGAAAGCTCTGAAATACATAAATCTAGTTTTCTTTAGCTGTTGGGCTAGTTTTGTTTTTGAGTCTTAAAAAATGACATATTTTCACCCCATTTTATTTTCAAGCATCACTGGTCTACCTCAGTTTGTCTGTTGTGTTTTATTATGTTTTAGACATCACGCGTACAATCATCAGGCTGTTTTAAAAGTTTCATGCAGGAAAATACCGAAATTATATATTAAAAGAGAATTTACCCAATAATTAAAGTGTAATATAATCCATTATTTATAAAACAAGCATCTTAGCTTCATACGTAAGTAAATTTGAGGTTGCCCGTTTTTCCTACTATGGAGCACAAACAAGATTAGGAGCATTTTATCCTTTGTAGCTGAACTTGAAAATGCACAAACATACATGAGGGAGTCACTGATTGGATACGTCAAAATAAAAGAAGGAAAAAAGCTGCCACTCACACATTAGCTTTGCCCTTTGATGCAGCTCAGATACCCAATTATCCTTCCGTTTTTCTTTACTTCACTGTAAAGGTGAGTGGGTGGATGTAACATAGAGGGTGAGAAAGAAGCAGGAGGAGAGGGAGGGTGTTGCTGAGAAAGAGAGAGAGCGAGAGAGGAAACGGAGAGAGATCAGAGCAGGCGCTGGCTCGGTGGTGATCAGACTGACTGCCGTGTGGAGAAATAATGTGATACAGGAGCAAGAAAACTGATTTTCAACTGGAGGAATCGGATCTTTTTACCTGATATGGAGTTCATGTTTGCTCAGAAGGAAACAGGTGATCATTTATTGTCTTTATTCACTTACAAAACAAAGGTTAAACTGCTCAGGGAGAGTAGCGGTGTGATTTTAGGACACTTGTTTTAACCTGAAGAATTCATTACCTTGCAATAATATCTTTGCTCAAAGAGTGGATCTATTTGCTTGTGATGGAATAAGTTTTATTAAAGCTGTGAAAGATGTTTTCAAAGAGGTCCTCACTCATCTTTGTAAGAGTTTTTTCATCTATTGTTTGAACCTCGAGGCATCACATGAGGTCACACTTTACACTTATTTCTGGGATTTTGACAAGATAAACGTGCAGTGGATTTAGAGAGAAAACTGCAAGAGGTGATGTGAAATTGTAAAGCTGTAAATATTTCTGCATGCATAGGTGTGAAACCAAAGCATGAGCCAGTGTGTGTTTTGTCAGTATACTCGTGTGTGTGTGTGTGTGTGTTTGTGTGTGTGAGAGGGAACAGCGTGTAGAGCAGCGTTGGGAGGAAGGAGGGGGATATGTGTAGAAGACAGATGGTCACTCAGTGGAGTTGTTCCCCTCTCCCTCTCTGTTTCTCACTCCCTCCTGGGTCCGACATCTTTTCCCTGTCACCTCTCCAGACTCTTACATCCACTGTTTGTTGTTTTCACACCTCTCCTTGTATCTTTCATCTTTTCCTCCTTCGCTCCATCTCCAAACTCAGATCTTGACTAACTTGCTGCTCTTTTTCTTTCTAAATATTTTCTTCTCTTTTCTTCCCCAGCTATGTATCATCTGCCTCTGCGTCTGCCTTTTTGCTGATCAAATCAACTCTAAATTATCAGGAGAGTTCTGGTGTGATTGTCATTTTGGCCCCTGCTGACTCAGCACGCAGGACGCCGAGGGGATTTGGGATTTGAAGGGGGAAAAAACAAAAATAGACAAGGAGAAACAGAGGAGTGACTGAAAGATTTTCCCAGTGAACCATTTGAGTATTTCTGAAAATTATTCAGACCAGTCCACTGCCTGAGAGAATATCAATGAACATCGTCAAAAAACAGGAAGGATTTTAAGTTGATAACGTTTTTCCAGACATTTTTCCTCACTGTAGCATGTTTTTTCATAGCTCAGGTTGTCCTGAGTGACACTTCTCAAAAGTACAATCAATCTGAGAATCCTAAGCAAATATCCCGAGTTCAGTCATGCACCCAAGGTTACCCCTTTCCCACCTCCCTACCCTGCTGGGCCCACTCATCCTCCTCCTGATGTGGGGGCCTCAGGGGTCCAGGGCCCAGAATGACACAGAGCCCATCATCCTGGAAGGGAAATGTTTGGTGGTGTGTGACTCCACTCCATCCTCGGAGCCTGCTGGTAATGCTCTGGGCATGTCCGTCCGCTCCGGCTCAGGAAGAGTCGCCTTTTCAGTCAGCAGGCAGACCAACCACGAGCCAACAGACATGAGCAATCGCACCATGATCATCTACTTTGATAATGTGAGTGTGCTGCTGTGCATGTCTGTAATGTAGAACTCAGTTTGAAATGATAGACTCAAAAAGTGTGTGAAAGTTTGAGGTCTCCAACAGTTTTGTCTGACACCTCACCTTATTCCACATATGGGATCTTTTTTCTCTGCCACGATAAAAATAGGCGGGTCAGTTTTCTCCACAGTGTCTTTTCCAAATAGTTTGCAGTCAGAAGTCTTCTCCCAATAAGATGCACATATGATTAGAGATCTGACAGTGAGGAAGAAAGTCTGAATAATGAGGTAAACACTGAGCTTTTAGACAGGGATGCTTTTTTGGTCAACTTTGAGGCTTTTATGGAAATATAAATTCTGAAAAAAAAAGTGTTTTGGAAGAAGTCTGAGGTGTAAACTGTAAAAAGAAAAAGACAAACGCTGGAGAGCCTTGAGATTGAATGTGTTTGTATTTATTTTTTCTGTTATCCCCACTCTTTACTGCTAACTTTCAAGTTTTTCCGTTTCCACCACATACTCTGAACCCTCTATATCTACCTGTGTACACAACCCATCCTTTGTCCTCTCTTCTTGTCTTTCTTCCTTTCCTCATATATCAGATTTTAGTGAATGTGGGCACTCACTTTGACCAGGAGAGCAGCGTCTTCCTGGCCCCAAGAAGAGGCGTGTACAGCTTCAACTTTCATGTCGTCAAGGCATACAACAGACAAACTATTCAGGTACAAAACCTCATCTACAGCACCTTTTTTTCCTGAACGTCAGCAGGCACACTGTTTTTTCTAGACTTCTGTCCACCACCGAGTCGTCTCTGCTCAAGGTTTCTGCCTGTTAAATCAAGTTTTCTTGCTAAATCGAACAAAACTGATTCTTTGGTTGGTCTTTCACTCCTTTAGGTCAGTCTGATGCTGAATGGCTGGCCGATGATTTCAGCATTTGCCGGGGATCAAGATGTGACCAGAGAAGCGGCCACAAATGCAGGTCTGGTGATCATGGAGAAAGGGGACAAAGCCTACCTGAGACTGGAGAGAGGAAACCTGATGGGAGGCTGGAAGTACTCCACCTTCTCTGGGTTTCTCGTCTTCCCCTTGTGAGGAAGGTGGAGGACATTTGGGAAGGTCATGGGAGGAGAAATAGTAAAAATGAGAGTTGGGAGAAAGGCTTCAAAATGTAACTCTTTATACAATGCATGAAAGGATGTGTTTTATGCAAAATGAGATAACCATAACTCTAGCTTAAGGCCAAAAGAAAAGGATAGAGGGGAAGAAAGAAGTATTTAGTCATCTGTGGATATGATTTGCTGTATTTCTGTGTATAAATATTTGTTGGATTTGTATTTGCGATACTTCTATTGTGACAGAACTATATAGTAGCTATGTGCAATGTGGGCTTCTGTGCTAAAATACTTTTATTTTCTCACTGAAAATGTTTGACACACTGCTGTGCTCCACATGACCTCTAATCTCACTAAAACATGCCAGACTTTCCCTTAACTCTGCTGTGTTGTGTGACTGATGCTCTTCTCTATGCCTGTTTGTCTCCTGCAACAAAAGTTTATTTACACAGAAATTTCTATCAAGAAGAAAATATAGTAATAAAACCATATAAAGAGTACCAGTTTACCTTGTTTGCATACATTGTCAGACACGTGTATGTTTGTAATATTTATGGATCATGTCTAGACAAATGCACAGAATTAACTGAGCTGATAGCTCAATATGTTGTGACATTTTAATCTGCTCCTGTAAATCAGTGTTCCTCCCTTCTCTCAATGGTTCTCGGTGCCACAGCAGCTGTTTGTAAATATAGCTCCCACCAGCAGAGTTGGCGTTGGCGGGGACCAAAGAGAGCAGCAAGGAGCAGAGTGTGAGTGTGGTGGATAGCGGATACTCCTTGCAGGGCCGCAGACAGATGGAGGCTCTGGCGAGCAGGCAGGCTCCTCTCTGCAGGGCTGCGATGGATAAAGAGCGGAGCGCTGTCACATGCAGTCACTCACGCTCCCCTGCTTCATGGCCACCATCTCCGGCTCATTTCAGAGTCACATTTTCATGATTCAAGAAGAACGAACGTTCCTAAAAAATGAAAACCATGACCTTGATTCATCGTGTCACATTAATGCTCCGACTGAGGAAACTTTAAGAGCAAAAGATGGATGGCTGTAGTGAGGGCAATTCTTACCAAAGTTACTTGAGATCTTAAGAGGGAAAAACAGTCTGTTTTGCTTTTTTACAAGAATATCTATTCATACCTGAAAAACCTCTGCTCTATTAAGAAAAACTGATCTGAATCAGAAAATCAAACATGTAATTTGCAAATCCCAGATACAAAGACAATGCTGGTCCTCTTGCTGTAAAATGTTTGTGGTTGTACTATTATTTTTTGTTTTGTTTTCCAACCTTAGCTCTAGAAAAGATGGGTTGTAGTGTAAAATGCTTACATAGAATTTGACGCTTTACAAATCATTCAAAGTCTATATTTAAGTGAAAACAGTAAAGACAGATTAGTATTTGGTAGCTTTATGAAAAATACTAAGTTGTTTTATTCGGATGCAAGTAACACGTTTAGGACAGGGACAGCAAAACATTGAAAAAAATCAAGGGGTGTTCAACAAGTACCTTTTTTTATGGCTTACATTAATTTGCAACATGTAAATATCGAGACTGGGTATGAGTATAGCGCTACAAAGAGACTGAGGCTCTCAGAAGTCAAGAGGTTAAACACTCTGAGAGTGGCTGGGTGAGCCTAACTGAGCAGAAATATTGCAAGGAATTTGGAAGTGCCATCATCTATAGTACATGATATTAAAAGGATCAGAAACGCTGAAGAAATCTGAGCAAAAAATTGCAGAAAATTTAAGAAAGTCATAATCTATGGCACATAAAATTTCACAAAGGATTTAGAAATTCAATGCCAAAAACCAGTGCATGATGGCAATGATCTCCAGGCCTCAGATGACACTGCAGTAAAAACAGACATGACTCTTCAGAGAAAAGCACTGCAAGGGCTCAAAATAAGCTCTAAAAACCTTCACTAGTGAGCACAGTTACAGCTGCATCAACAAATGTAGGTTAAAACTGTACCTGTAGGTGAAAAGCTTTCCTGAACAATCAAAACTTGACTTTCTTTTTGGAAATCAAGGACACTGCATCCTCTGCTTTTAAGAGGAGGGGGACCACGCGGCTTGTTTTCAGCACAGACTTCAAAAGCCAGCATCCCGGTGGTATGGGGTGTGTTAGTGCCATAGCTAGCTTACACATGAAGGTATAAAGACACAAGGATCATTGTATTCATACGATACAATTTTGTTAACACTCTCAGCAATACACGGTTAAAATAACTGTAACACAGAGAGACAACTAGGGAAGAGCTAAACGAAAGAGAAATGACACATGACACCAACACTTTTCAAGTCAAATACATGAATAAATAATGAATATCAAGTAATAAAATAGAAGGCAGCAGCAATGTCAGTGTGGTCTTTTCAATATTGTTTGTTTAATTTACAGCATGTTTAATTAATCTTTCAGTGATTTACACCCATTGTGTCAGTGACTGTGCCTAAGGGGAGAGGAGCATGCAAACTGCTCAATATAAAAAGCTGTTTCTCTGCCAGTCAAAGACATAGTCGGTCCAGGCTGCATGGTACCTCTTCCTTGATGGTAGGAGGACAAACAGAGGATGAGTCTTGTCCATGCAAATGGACCAGGCTTATTTTTGCTGCAGGCACTCACCATCAACAGTGTCTGGGTCTGGGAGTGCAGCTCTGATTATCCTTTGAGCTAACTAAAACCACTTGGGACAGAGCGTTCCTGCTTTCTGCTGTGCAGCTTCACATCAGTACCACTGATGCTAAACAATAAATTTTTGGTCTAAAATTATCAAGTTGTGGGTCTCAGTGAAGGTCTAAGTCATTTAAATATTGGTTCACGTTGCATATTTCTAATCTAATTTTTGATTCATCAAATTGACTCACAACAATGTTGCTTGATAAATTGCACAAATATGAGCAGGTGATAATTTTGACATTGCACTACCAACAGGATTGTTTCTAATTCGAACATTAGGACTCATTAATCCGGTGTGGGCGGTTTGTAGACGTGTTTCTGTCTAGTAACGCTAGAGGGCGACAAATCACCCTTTACACAAAATGGAATTATTAATACCTGAAGAAAGCCGTCATTTATGGTTCAACGTGATTATAGTTGGCTGAAAACACAGGAGGATTGTTAAAAGCACAACAACGTAATTTAAAAGTATATTTTAATTAAACGAGAATGGATATCAGGTGTTGAAGGTGATTCCGGTGCTGTGGCCAATGTAATAAAACCCTGAAAAAACTGCCCGCGTCTTTCACAAAGAGGCCCGATAGGTTGCGTGCTCCATTAAACATTTTGGATAATTAAAACCAGGTTTATTTTTCTTCAGTCAGCTCTAAAAGATCGACGCTTTCCTGGTGTGAACATCTGTATCAGTAAAACAGCGATGTAGGAGATCACTCAGTCAAATGATCCCAGCTAGGCCGCATTTATTGTTTTCTCAACCAAACTACTACTCTCATCCCGCCCAAAAGCGGCCGCTCAAATGAGGGATAGTTCAAACAGCCAATGAAATAGCCGCATGCTGCCGGCTTGGGAGGAAAGGGACCAATCGGGCTTTGATAGATCCGAGGGGCACGCTTTCTACGCTCTCTCTGGCAAGAATGTTAGTTCCTGCTCTTCCCTGGCCGTTTCCTGTAATCGTACAGTGTTGTGAGACGGAGAAAGCCATGTGTGTCGATGCAAAGGTAAATTTAGCACCCCGAAATTATTACTGAGAGAGTTAGGGGAGTGGATATGATGGTCAATGTCAGGTATTTTTGCCGAAAAATAGACGCAGACCAAGCGAAAGAGTATTGCGGCCTAAGCCGTGTCTGAACGTTGACGGGCAGTGGTTATTGTGGCACGTTGCTTTGGTTTGGTCCGGTTTGTTGATGAGATTGAAGGAGTCCGCTGGACTGAGTGGTTGGAAGTAAACGATAGAGAAACGATGTTGTGTTCGCAAACATACAACGAGCCGTATTTTTAAGCCTGAATATGTTTTCGGTGGCACCCAGGCGTTTGTAACAGGATCATCTTTGTAGCGGTTGAAGCTAATGCTAGCCGACGGTTTATAGAGAAAAGACTGCAACACACAGAGAGAGAGGGAAGCATCCTCTCCCTCCAGCATCACTGCCCTCCACATCTTACCACTCTACTACTATTTTCATTCAGTCTGAGTGGTCTGCTTTTCTACAGGATAGTGAAAACCCCCTCTATTCGCTCTGTATGTCTTTTTCTGACCTTTAATTATTACGTTGAACCCATTATCCGGAGCCGGTGGCCACGAGTTTAGTGTTGTGATCAGAAACTATCTTTGAGAGATCAAGTAACAGGCACCACTCCTCTCCATGTTTACTGTGAACTTTTGTGGTAGTAGGAAATCCCGATTATCAATGAAGGTTACTCGTTCATTCAAAGGACATTTTTATGTGTTAGGGTGACCTTTGGTGATGCTTAGCCCACTAGCTCAATGGGTTACTATAGAAATATTGTACTAATTGATTAATGGCAAAACAATCCTATAACGTGGCATACAAAATGCCCCTTAGGAGTAAAGTACTGGAGTTAAATACACAGACCAGCCATAACATTATAAACACCTGGGTAATGTAATGCATCTCAGTAAAACAGCTTTACCATAACTTCAACTTTTATGAAGTTTCTCCACCATTGATGACATGGTAGGTGTAGTAGGTGGTGTACTGGAGAGTGTTTGACTGATAGGTGCTACGTCCTCTCAACAAAGAGGACAAAATGTAAGACGCACCTTTACATAAATGCACCCAGGTACACCAACAGCATCACTGATAAAAATATGAAATACAATAATCGACTCTTCTATCATGTCACTAAAAGTGAATTTGGATACTTCCTGAAAAAAGAATTAGTGGTAGAGCTAGTATATTAGATTACCTATGTGTTCATAATGTCGCGACTATTTAGTATACTTTTTTCAGCTCCAGTTTAGTTTGGATTCACTGGGATCAAACAATGCTTGTGTTTTTAGCCTGTTGGTTAAATTAATACATAAAAATACACATTTCTCAAAGAAAAGCTCATTTACAAACAAATGCGCATTTTAGTGTTTGGTCAAACAGATCAAGCTTTTGTTTGATCACATTTTATACCCGTTTACATTTAATGCTCAAATGTAAGAGCGGTATTTTGTTCTTACTTCAACAGAATTAGCATTTTATCCTACCAAAAATGATAATTGTAATTTTTTTTTTGTTTGTTTTTTCAAAAGTAGATATAAAAGGATAAAGTTGCTCTTGACATTTCTAGGTTTTGTAAAATAGAGTTTTTACATTTTTTTCCGGATGCATTATTGTTCCTTCTTTAGACAAACTCTTAGTGCTGTTTAGACTCACAGCTCTTGAGATGCACAAATAAATAGGGTGTGTTAAAGGAGTGGGGTTTCTTGCTCCCCATCACGTCATTGGTGCTTTTTACAAACAGTAAAAGTAGCCATTTTTTTGTCTTTGTCTGACACTTTCGAATAAGTTAATGCTGAGGCTCATTGTTGGGGTGCGTAAGCGGTCATCTCATGTGCATAATTACTGTCACACTCACCATATCGACCTTACATACAGGCAGAAATTGCTACATTAGCCATTACTGATATTAAATTGATAATATTGTGCGCCTCTGGTTTTGTGTCAATACTTAACAATATAAAACTTTGTGGACCTGAGGACCACAGAGGTGAAGATTTGCATCCATACATTTAATTTACTCTGTTTTGCCATGAAAATGACTTAACTTAAGTTATATTCTTGATGTACCAATTTGACATAAAACTCTTTATATTCCCAGAGTTGTAAAAGTACCCAAAAGAAATATAAAAATAGACTTAGCTAAACTTTTTTTTTTTGTGTGGGTAATGGCAGCCTAGCAGGGTGCAGTCTCGCTCCTCACAGCAGCCAATGTGTTGCATTGTTTTCTTGACAGCCAGAAATGTATCCCATCATCACAAGAAAATGCGCTTTGTTGTCTTGAGATAATGGGCTGGATAAATTGGTTGTTATTGGTAAACCAGCCTTACTTTCTTGAAATAATGAGAATAAAAGGTGCATACCTCTAGAAAACGACTTGATTTAACTTTGTGAGAGGAAAAAACTGTAAACTTACAATGTCTGGATACATGTCCTGATCAGGTTTTCACTGGAGAGGAGAAAAAGATCTGATGTTGGTGTTTTCTTGCTACATTTTAAAGGAAGTGTTGGTCTGCCTTTAAACACACTTTTACTCATCAGTGAGTTTAACCAAACTGCAGAAGTTGAAAACAGATTTGAAAACAGTCTCAACTCAACTTCTCGTGCCTCACTAACATATGTTTTGTTTTCTTTTGCCAGCTGTTACTTTAAACTTTGAGAAGAACTGGACTGCGACTGCTTAGCTCCCATCTCAGAGTTTTCTTTGCGCTGTGCCCATCTCCCTGTGTGGAGTGGGCAAGATGGCAGATCCAATCATGGACCTCTTTGAGGACACACCTCTGTTTAACCTCGATGCCCTACCGGACGACTCCTTCACCCAGGGCTCCTCGGACCCTGTGGAGGAGGCGCTTAAGCTGGCGCTGGGTCAAGTGGATCCACCGGGCGAGCCTGAGCTCACAGTCAACACGGGCCTTAATGTTCCTGTAGCAGCTCCTGTTATCCCTGACCCTGCCCCTGTTCAAGTCCCCACACAGCAGCCGGTGCCAGTGGTGACAGCACAGACTGTTTCCATAGCAGCGACTCCCACTGTAGCCCCCACCCCTGTTGAAACTGTACCTCAGATCCAGGCCCAGACCACCTTATCCATTGCCAGCAACACCAGCGTGGCCCCCAGTAGCACTGTCCTGCTGAGCTCACCTCTGACTGTTTCCAGCTCCCCAGCCACCTCCACCAACACCATCACCACGCAGCAACTCTCACAGATAACCCACCAGCTCACTCCTCAGCAGTTAGCCGCCATCACACAGCAAGCAGGGGGGAAAATTGTAATTCTGAAGGGTCCTCAGGGTCAGGCCCAAGTCCTGCAGACTGTATCAGGAGCTACAGGCCAGACAAGTGGAAAAGTCATCCGTGTGTTATCAGGCACGCCTCTTAAACCTGGCATGTCTATCCTGCAGGGGGGAGCGGTTTTGAATCAGGCGAGCCCAGGACAAGCTCAAGTCAAAGTGGGTGCTGCCGGTGTGCAGAGGCTGCTGCAGTCTCCCAACGGTCCGGTGAAACAGATGCTGCTGACCTCGGTGCCCCAGCAGGCACAAGGCCAGCAGGTTCAGGTGCAGATCCCAGCCCAGTCACAGATCACACAAGGACAGACTCAACTCCAAGTTCAACCACAGGCACAGATACAGGTACAGCCTCAGGCCCAGGCAGCTCAAATCCAGGTCCAGACTCAAGGCCAGGTGCAGCTCCAGCCAGCCATGGCAGGCCAGACACCGGTAAGCAACATCGCTGCTTTGACACATCATAGAGGGTGACACTCAAAAGTGGTTTCAAGATTTGCTCACTGCAGCTGAGTCTCCCGATCTGTGTTTTGGTGTCAGTCTCTATCTTCAGAGCCATAATGAGTATCATTCTGTGCATCTGATTCTAGGGTGGTGAGGCAAAGCGGATCACCCTGGTTCTCCAGCAGCCCTCCCAGACTGCAGCTCCAGCTGTGACGGCCCAACAACAGGTCGCTCAAGTCCAGCAGGTCCAGACAGTTCAAGCAGGCCAACAGCAGCAGACTCAGGCACCGGCTCGTTTGGTGCTGGGTCAGCTCCCTGGAGGGAAACTGGTGCTCCAAGGAAGCCAGTTAGCAGCCTTGACCCAGGCTCGGGCTGCAGGCCAGGCTGGAGGGCAACCCAAAGTCCTCACAATTCAGCTGCAGGTGCAGCAGCAGCCCAACCAACAAGGAGGAGTTAAGGTAGGGAACAAGTATTTTAGAGTGTCGAATTACCCGTTTGTTTAATTAGATTAGTGTTTTCCCAAAGAACATGTTTCACGCTTGTTTTTCCTCTTTTGCTGGTTACTTATCACCCAGAGCTTTGCTCCTCTCTCTGGTGAAAAAAATGTTTGGTTCTCTTAGTACATGGACAGACATTAATCTTTAGTGATGCAGTTGTCAGGAAATCTTTTCTGATATTTGTCGGGAGCATGAAGTGTTAAAAATATGGACTGTTGTCTGCTTTCTCTCCAATCTCGTTGTACAATGTTTGTATAATGACAGTAAAGAGCATTCTGTTCTATTCTATCTATTCTTGTTTAGTTTAATACCTTTCCTCCATAGTCATAGCCAAAAATTTAATGATACTGAGGGGTGAGCAGCTTGTGGAGTAGTTACCGTCCATTTATCATTATCGAGGTGAACTGCTCAATTATCGTGATATTGATTTGAGGCCATATTGCCCAGCCCTAGTCAGTTATTTCAAATCTTGTATTTTGATATATGAGCTCTAAAGATATGTTACCGTCCTCTTTGCAACGTGCAGATAAGTCAGAGGAAACCTTGTTGTACCTTTACCCAATTGGTAATGTCAGACAGTTTCTGTTGTCAGCCTCATGGGATTGTTCAGCATTACATGTATCCACTTGAAATATGATGAAGGAGAGTGGGCAGGAATTAGAAACAGCACCGGGGGAAGGTGGTTTGCTTTGCTGTCTAAGTGCCCACCCCGTGTACTTCGGCTGTGGTCCTAGTCTTGGTGGTCGCTGGTTCGAGTCTTCCCCAACTCTGCTATCCCCACATTTCCTTTAAAACAAGAAAAACAAACAGTGCCGAGGGTGTTCAGCCCTCAGCTCAGATATCAGTCCAGGCAGTTTTTGCATTTTTTGATTGATCAAGGATCAGCAATTTGAGTTGATCATCTCATCTGGATCATTCACATCAGCTGCCACTGAACACAAATTGCAGCAGAACTCAAATGCACAAGTCACTTGGTGTAACCCGGCATTCCTGGTTCACCTAACTATACCTAACGAATTTAACTGCGAGAACACAAGCGCACAGACAGCCAGATTATCGAATCAATAACTGCTTTAAGGCAGCCTGTGGTGACTCTCCGGGCACACGTGGCTCAAAAACACAAAAACAACACAAGAGAGTGAAGGTGTTAGCATAGGCTAACCTGTGGCTAAATGTCAGCAGTGTGGGAATATTTAAAACTATAAAGTGAAAATACATTTAAAAAGATGGCTGCTTATGGCTGCTGGTCTTAGGGTGCAGTAGCAAATTGCATGTTTCATATAGCAGAGCATATAAAGCAGATTGTGGGAGAACTTGACAACAATGTTATTTGTGCTGGATAAAATGGAATAAGCCGAACATATCTTTGAGTTAATTTCTTAACTTAACTCAAGTGAATAGAATGAAATCAGTGCAGCTCTATGGTCTTGGTAAATAGTCGATCGGATCAAGACTTGATATGAACAAATATGCTATAAATATTGATATGCTCTGATGTAGTTTATTTCTATTTACTTCAATGATTGTTGACATGCAATTTAAAGACGTATGCAAATTTATTTCAGAAACGCCTTTCTTTACCTGGTTATTCAATGTGAACATGAGTTTGGTTTCTGTGGACTGAGAGAAAAAAAAACAGGATTCAGATGTATTTTGCCTCGTTTTGGATGGTTAGGAATCAGAGTAAGGCAGCCATGCTTTATCAAATGTGTATTTTAAAAACTCTGAAGCTTTAAAGTCTGGATTATTTTTGTTCAAGATCACAAAGATAAAACTGCTCTTATCTCACTCCTGATAAGATGCCAAATAAGCAGATTTCACACATTGTCTGAGTGTTCTTAAAATTCTGCCAAGTGTCTCTTTCTCTGCACATACACTCAAACCGCTTTACCGTGCTACGTGTGACTGAAATGGACATTTGAAGATGCGTCTTCTCAAAGGGGACCCTGACTTAGACCCCATCTTCTTTCATTCCCACAGTACCAGCTGGTGTCAGGAACTGGAAACACTGGCAGCCCGCAGGTGTTGCAGATCTCGCAGGGCCAAGGAGGACAGAGGGTTGCAGTTCCACTCAAAATGCTCCTGCAGCCACAGGTACACCTCCAGTTTAGTGATTTTTAGATTCACAACAACGTTAAAGATGCTGCTCTATGTTTTCTTCACCCTGAACAAATTTTAATTTTTTCCAGACAAGCGCAGTATCCTCAGCCGGTGGCACAGTCTCCGTGGTGAAGGTCATCAACACATCGGCTGCAGGCCCCTCCACGACAACCACCACCCCATCCCAGGCCATCCGCATCACCAAAGCCCCTGGTGAGCCCGCCTCTGTGCGACGAGTGGAGATCCTGTGCAAGCAGGAGAAAGCAAACCGTATAGTGGCTGAAGCTATAGCCAGAGCTAAAGCACGTGGCGAGAAGAACCTTCCTCGAGTCCTGAACCAGGACGAACTTCCATCCACACAGACCTCCCCGGAATCAGGCGGCACTTTGACCGTGGTTTCTGCTGCTAAGAAAAAGAGCAGCGGAGGGGGAAGCAAGAAAAAGACTCCTGTTGCTGGAGCTACAACGCCCAAAGCTGCAGGAGGGGCCGACAAAAAGGGCAAAGTAAAGACACCAGGAGGACCAATGGGAGTGGCTGGAGGCACAGTGATACTTGGAGCTGGGAACAAGAGCAAAAGCAAGACTAAGACAAAGTGAGTTTCTTATACTCCTGGAAGAGACTCATTGAAATCTGAAGGTGTTTGCTTGTTTGAGAAACACAAAATGTATTCCACACTTTTCCTGCTCCATCTCACCTTCTCTTTACCTTTTCACAGCACTATAACTCTAGTGGGAGCTAAAAAGAGAAAAAGAAATGCATCTTCAGACCACTCAGATGGGGAGATGAGCCCAGCATCACCTGCTGCTCTGGAGGAGGATCTCATTACGGTACAAAAACAAACATGCACACACAATTAAGATTTACACATCTACAAAAATTCCCTGCAGTCATCCAAATGCAGCGGATGGTCTGGACTTGACATGATGTGCACTCCAGCTCCAAATGTGTCTGACTTGTGATGTCATTCATTTTGACACACATAGCTGTATATCACATTTTTTCTTCTTACTCTGCAGATGAGTTAGGCTGCTTGTTCAGCAGCAGGGTTGTTGTGGATCTCTGTTGCCTCTCTGTGAAATTGTTGGCGTATGCCTTTTTATTTACTGGCACCAGCTCACTGTTAGAAATCATGTTTGATAATGTGGATGAAGAAGCCAGAATGTTACACTTGTCTCTCTGTGAGTGCAGATAAATGTCAGCGGACCTCTAATAAAGCAGTGTTCTTCCTGCACAGAGTGCTCCTCACTCTGGTTTCTGTTGGATTTGCATTTAACTTGTCGATTACTGCCTTTAGCTTCCTGATGTTTCGCTCAACACTCTGAACTTACACCTCTCCCTTTTTTTGGGCCAGAAGAGGCGTTCCAACCGCGTTGTCAAGAGGAAGAAATACACAGAAGACCTGGACATCAAGATAACAGATGATGAAGATGAACAGGAAGATGTAGACGTAACTACAACTGCAGCAGCAGTGGCCTCTATCAGCAGTGGAGCAGCAGCTCAGCTGAAACAGGAGATGGAGCTGGATGTGGATGGGCAGCCCAGCATGCAGTTCTTCGTGGTATGTGTGTAACAGAGATTGGCAGGCTATACTGTTTGAAATGAAGGGAAAAGGGTTTGCATTATGTCTGTTTGTCATGTTGGATAGAGAGATTTGAGGATGCGTGCATGGGTCGATGGTATTAAGAGTCTCTCTGATTTTTCAGGAAAACCCCAGTGAGGAAGACGCTGCCATCGTGGACAAAGTTCTCTCAATGAGGTTAACCAAGAAGGAGGTACGTCTTTCAATCGTTACCTCATAAATATCTTGAATTGATGTGATTATTTGATGTAACAGAGAGACTTATGAAAGCCTGTCCTTTTCTTTAAGGTGACACAAGGCCAGTACACCAACGTTGAGGAATTCTTCGTCAAATACAAGAACTAGTAAGTTATAGTGTCTTGACAGAAAAAGACTTTGGCCCTGCTTTTCTGACTATTTTTAGGCTTTGTAGAAATCAGAGTGAGTAAACTGTCCCCTCTTGATCTCAGCTCGTACCTACACTGTGAGTGGGCCAGTTTGGAGCAGCTGGAGAAAGATAAGAGGATCCACCAGAAGATCAAGAGGTTCAAGACTAAACATGCACAGATGAGGCACCTCTTCCAGGAGGTGGGACTGAAGCTGCCGCTGCAGAACATTCTTCTTTAAAGATATTGTGGAATAAAGCTGAACTGAAATGTCGTACATATTTTCACTCTCCCTGACTCTCTGTTTCTCTGCAGGAGGAAGAGCCTTTTAACCCTGACTATGTGGAGGTGGACCGGATCCTGGACGTCTCTCACAGTGTGGACAAAGACAATGGCGAGGTGAGAGACAGGAGCAGCTTTGTACTTTGTAGTTCTTACTGAAATATGACCCTCTCTTCTCCTCATGAAGAAGCACTTTTGAAGATAGTCTAATACTATTTTTCTCTTTTCTCTGCAGCCTGTTATCTACTACTTGGTGAAGTGGTGCTCGCTGCCTTATGAGGATGCCACCTGGGAGCTGAAGGAGGACGTGGACGAGGGCAAGATAGAAGAGTTCAGTAAAATTGCAGACAGACAACCTCGTCTCAAGAGAACAGTGAGTAGTCAAGGGGATGATTGTCAGGAGCGGTTTATAACCCATTTGTGTTGCTAATGCATGGTATTTATATGCAATCATTAAAAAGATTAAAAAATGTGCCTGAAAAAGGGCAAATCTTCATACTTGAGTGAAGAGGGAAAAATGATGTAGCAATAGAGAGAAGATAAGAGAAGGTGACCAAGGACCGAGAGTACTGTATGTTAAGAATATAAATAGAAATACATTTCAGTTCCTGTTCTTGTTTTTGTAAAAACAAATGAGGTATGCCTAGAACCAAAAACAGCTCAAGTGGTCTGGGGGACTGATGATGTCACAATCAGAGTCAACTGTTTTCGTCTAGCTTTGTCATCAGTTACTCTAAAGTGTGCCCCCTGTTTTTTTAATTAATTAACACTTGGATAGTGTTTATAGTACCTATAAACAACTATTTTCAGCTAGGGATGGGCGGTATGGGCTAAAAAAGTTATCACGACAAGTTTTGCTATTCTAGCGAAAACAAAAGTCCAGATAAAAAGATATTTATATTCCAGTCAATGTTTTTGACTCATTCTGTCTTGAGAAAGTTAGTTGGCATAGTCAAATAAGATACTAAACCACAAGTTTAAGGCCCGAACTACACGAATGCGGATATATTTCAAACCGCACATATTTATGTCCGATTAGGCCTCCCTACCACACCAAAACGGGACTTTGGAACACTCAAACCGGATAAATCTGAATCCGAAAAAATAAGTGGAGAAATAAAAAAAATATCCGTATAAGTGGATTCGTGTGGTTGAACTTTTACGGATCGATGACGTCAAACCGCAGCTCGCGCATGCGAGAAAAACGACAACAACAATGGCGGACATACAGGGTATTCTTTACTTTTTTTTTTTTTTTGCCCTTTTGGGGCTAATTTCAGCCTTGCAAGTGAACCTTGTTTTATACAATTACATCCACCAGTCAACCAGCTTACAGAGGCGTCTGCCTCGTTATAGCCGCCACACCGTCACATGGACCCGACGCACTAGCGTAGCTTCCGCAAATAATGCATAATGCATCACGCTGTTACGATTCATTGGACAATCAGGTAGCTTTGTTCCTGAATTTTTTTTAAGCGGCACCAGATAGGATTGAGTTTGAAGGCTACGTGTGGACGCAGATATTTTTGAGAACTAACACGTGTGGACAGATACATTTATTTAGACGGGAGTACAAAAATATCCTGATAAATAAATATCTATATACATGTAGTCCTGGCCTGAGTTATAGGTTATGGAGAAAACTTATCACATCAAACAAATCTGAAATGTGAAAATGCTTTCAATGTTTATTCAAAACTCTTATTCAACAGAGTGAACAGCAGCAGATTCACTGTCCAATGTCAGGGATACCTGTTAGCACTCATCTAAGGCCCAATCTTGAAGGAAATCCCTCATATGGAGTCTTGTTTAGCAACAAGCTGCTCAGAAACATCTTCTTCATTACTTTCAGCCATGTTTGTTTGTTATTCTGCTCTGTGTGGGCTATGGCTGCGAGTCCATCACTCGCGCTTACGTCATCAACTTGCATTCACCGCATTAATTGTAAGATGGCAAAAATTTATCGTGGAGGATTTTTCTGAAGATAAACTGAGAACAATAATTTATCGTTCATCCATCAGCACTGTGTGCTTAAATCACCTCCAACAATTCAGTTGTATACCAATGTTTTCTCTAAATGGTTAATTGGGCAGAAAAACTGTTTTCTTAGTTCTTGAAGTACCATAACACAACAAGATACTTCTCTGCATCTGTCAGACTGTTACCACACTGGTGTTTACAACGCATGGAACATTTTAGATCTGAAAACAAGGCAGAAGCAGCATGTCTTACACACCCTGTATCATGGTGAAAAAGGCTCTGACAGTCTGAATGACATCAACAAAAATCAACATCATATGTTATGTAGGGATGTTCCCAGCGGTTAATTTCACTGACGTTTAAATGACCATTTTGAAACCAAATATTCGAATACACAAAAATTAATTAACTCCCAGAAAATAGCCCAAATTGAGCACGTGTCGATCTATATGGCCAGATGTCATCTGAAATAAATATTAAGAGTACATGAAAGCCATGCTTATAATATTAAAATATGTTACAGAATGTTGTTTAAGTGCTGGAGAATGACAAAGTATGTGAAATATCAAAGCAATTAAGCTCCACTCCGCTGCGCTTAAGCCAAGCAGCCTGCTGCGTAATCGGCCTGCCTCACACCATAAGCACAAAATGAAGAATCTTCAGTCAGACAACATCACATTCAACGACGTTTATTTTCTAAACTAGACTTAAACTTTGCTCTTTTTTCTCACCAACATCGCTCTGGCTGATCGCATGTGTTGATTCACTCTGAGGAAGTTAACCCACGATGCCATGCATGCTGCAGGCCAGCGCTGTGAGCCCAGAGCAGCGAGCCAGGCAGAAAGAGTCGCACGCAAATGATCCACACATTTTAGCTTGTTTTTTATACAAAAAAAGAATACTATTTACTAAACGGATGGTTAGGACAGCCCCGTTTACACGAATATCTGAGTAACCGCGCACATCCCTAACATGATGTCAGACTAAAGGTGGGCTCAGGTTCAAAACTTGGGGAGATTGAAAACATTTAAAACAACTTGTTCCCTGTTTTCTTCCTTCCTTCCAACCTCAGCATGACAGGATTAAAAAAAATAAGCTCATGTATGTAAAGAGGGGAGACAAACAAGCATACGTCATTTTTTTGTGGTTTCTCTTGTCATTAATTTCTTCTCTCTTCTCAGCCACGACCCGCTGCTGCCTCATGGAAGAAGCTGGAAGAGACCAGAGAGTACAAGAATGGAAACACACTTAGAGAGTATCAGCTGGAAGGAGTCAACTGGCTGCTTTTCAACTGGTACAACAGGTAATTACCACGACCAGACACATTTTGGCTTATTTGGACTAGTTTGGCTCTATTTTAGTTAAATATTTGATGAAAGGAGGACGGTAGAACTTGATATGAAGTAGATATTGTGTCATTTGTAGTTTAGAAGCTCCTCCTTTTGCAGCATTGCTAATGAACTTCTCTAATTGATCTGTTTCTGGTCTCACAGGCAGAACTGTATCCTGGCAGATGAGATGGGTCTGGGTAAGACCATCCAGTCTATCGCACTGCTCTCTGAGATTTACTCTGCTGGCATCCAAGGCCCTTTCCTGGTCATTGCTCCACTGTCCACCATCACCAACTGGGAGAGAGAGTTCTCCACGTGGACCCAAATGAACGCCATCGTCTACCACGGCAGCCTGGCCAGCCGACAGATGATCCAGCAGTATGAGATGTACTGCAAGGATGATAAGGTGGAGTAACTGATCAGAATTGCTCTAAAATTATACATGAAGATAGATAACTGTGAGGAAAAAATTCTAAATCAAATGTTTACGTCTTCCTACAGGAGCATTTGATTCCAGGAGCGTACAAGTTTGACGCCCTCATCACAACCTTTGAGATGATCTTATCTGACTGTCCAGAGCTGAGGGAGATTTCTTGGCGTTGCGTGATCATTGACGAAGCTCACCGCCTCAAGAATAGGAACTGCAAACTCTTGGACAGTTTGAAAATGCTGGATCTGGTGAGTAAGCCTCAGCTTAACGTAAATTTAAGAACGAAATCAGTTTTTTTTAAATGTGAAGAAAGTGACAGGATTTCTGCCGGGGTCCAACAGTCAGATACAGTATAGATAAATAAATTCTTGGTATTTGTCCACACTTGAACTGATTGATATCTAATTCAATTGTGATATAATGATTAAGGGGCTGAATTTTAATTCCAATCGTCCCCTTTAAAGTCCTTGTTTTCTTCCTCATACTCAGCTGTCTTCAATCAATCAATCAATCAATCAACTTTATTTCTATAGCACATTTTAAAATAACCACAAGGGTAGTCAAAGTGCTGTACAATGATACATAAAACAAATAACACAAAGAGCAAGATAAAGTGAGCAGAAATACATTAATGCAAGGGGATAAATAAGTAAAATAAATAAGCAGGCTCACGGCAGGTGCTAAAATGATAAAAAACAAAGTAACACTAAAAAGTATCAAAAGCCAAGGAGTAAAAGTGTCTTTGATACCTTGGACATCCTAAAATTTCCTGACTTCTTGGTCTGCTCACCTGCACTGCCTCTTGTCTCTCTGCCTTTGCTGACTTCTTTTATTGTGGTTTCTCTCAGGAACACAAGGTGTTGTTGACCGGCACTCCTCTCCAGAACACTGTGGAGGAACTGTTCAGCCTGCTTCATTTCCTGGAGCCGACTCAGTTCCCCTCTGAGATTGAATTCCTCAGAGACTTTGGAGACCTCAAAACAGAGGAGCAGGTGTGAATGAGAATCATGTTGAAACACACACACACACACACACACACACACACGCACACACACACACACACACACACACACACACACACACACACACACACACACACACACACACACACACACACACACACACACATATACACACATAGCTGTCATTGAGTGAATGTTTGTTGCGGCTCCACAGGTCCAAAAGCTGCAGGCCATCTTGAAACCAATGATGCTCCGAAGACTGAAAGAGGATGTTGAGAAGAACTTGGCACCCAAACAGGAGACCATCATTGAGGTGAGTGTGAATCACATCACATCTTACATTGAACCTGTGTGTCATGTAAGGAGATCTAAACTACACACTCAAGACATTGTTTTGACTTTGCCATTTCACCATCCCTCAGGTTGAGTTGACGGATGTCCAGAAGAAGTACTACAGGGCCATCCTGGAGAGGAACTTCAGCTTCCTCAGTTTAGGGGCAAACAGCAACAGCAACGTCCCCAACTTGCTCAACACTATGATGGAGCTGCGCAAGTGCTGCAACCACCCCTACCTCATCAATGGTATTCACATCACAGTATTTACATAGACCTCTGCATGGGTTGAAGTTTAAATCAGAGCTGTGGCAGTATTCCAGGAATGATGATAATCATTGTAAAAACAAGCTTAATTTGGTGTCTAAGTAAGTGGTCCACACCAGGGGATAGTATTGTTTTTTTTTCACCAGCCGTAAAACAGAGGGGAGACAAACAAGAAGCAGGAACACTAACTAGCGTATTGTAGAAACCTTCCAGTCACTTCCAAACTGATCAAAACAGTCAGAGCTTGTGCCTCTTTAGGGATGCTGATATATTGATCAGTTGTACTTTCTTACTGCTCTTGAAGCTGTTTCCATTAAGTTTAGATCATAGACTGTATATAGAATGGACAGAGTCTGCCTCCTCGCTGGGTGAAGCCACTCCGAGAACAGCACCCTCTGTTGGTGGGCTGCAGTATAGGTCATAAATCCCGCCTCCGCCAGCAAAGCTTATGGAGCTGTGGACAAACTTTATTACACAGAACATAAATTTTTCTCCCCCCTGCTTGTGATGTTGACATGTAGTTATTATTAAAAATATGAGGATGTAAAATAAATCATAGGGAACAAAGCAACCTCGACAGATGACAGAAAAATGTAAAAATAAAAGTATCACAAACAATCATTTTATTAGGCAGTTTCTTTTCCATGGGACTAAATCTTCGGTCATTTACTATTACATATAAGCAATTAAGTTGCCTTTATTACTAAAGTTAAGGAAGTAATCAATCAATCAGTTAATCAATCAATCAAACTTTAGTGATAAAGCACTTTTTATACATAGAATGTTGCACAAAGTGGTGTCCATTCAAGCAGGATATTGAAAACAATAAAATAAAATGAAGATACAAATACCAAACCCCACCCACCCTCCTTACCCCCAGTCAACACACACAGCACTCACATGCTCACACATACAAAAGAGCAGGTGAGGACTCTTCAACTTGCCACAGATGACTGAGGAAACGCTATCTTGAGTTGAAAAATGAGGAAACACTGAACCTAGGACTAAAAAGATAAAACCATGATAAAATATAAAAAAGGTTATAAAGCATTTAAAGTTAATTAAATAAAACAGTCTTAAAATCAAACAATAGAAGAGGAAACAGAGGTAATAAAACACAAAATAGTAACTCTAGGACCAAAATAGGCTAAAATCACATAATGCAGATTAAAAGATTAAAACCAAATTCAACTAAAAGCCAGACTAAAAAGGTAGGTCTTGAGTTTACTTTTAAGAATGTGAACAGTAGTTGTCACTCTCAGGTCTGCAGGTAGGCCGGTACCCCGTTTTCTAGGGAGATGAAGTTTACAGTTACACTTGGGAGAGCTTTCATTATCAGATAACAAAATCATATTTTTTGACCGTCTCCCACAGGCGCTGAGGAGAAGATTGTAGCGGAGCTGCGGGAGGTGTATGACCCGATGGCTCCTGACTTCCATTTGCAGGCCCTCATTCGGTCGGCTGGCAAACTGGTGCTGCTGGATAAACTGCTGCCTCGCCTCAAGGCTGGCGGCCACAAAGTGCTCATCTTCTCCCAGATGGTGCGCTGCTTAGATATTCTGGAGGACTACCTCATCAACAAGAGGTGACAGGACCAGAGCGTTGTTGAATAGATTTGATGATATGATAAAAAATTTGGAAAATTACTCTCACAAATGTTCAGAGCACTGAGAGACTTCTTTGGTTTTTAATGTAATTAAATTATTTTTATTACAGATACCTTTATGAGCGAATTGATGGCAGGGTGCGTGGAAACTTACGACAGGCAGCCATTGATCGCTTCAGCAAACCTGACTCAGACCGCTTTGTCTTTCTGCTGTGTACCCGTGCCGGTGGGCTGGGAATCAACCTCACTGCTGCCGACACTTGTGTTATATTTGACTCGGACTGGAACCCTCAAAATGACCTGCAGGTGCCAACTGAATTCTCTTTAAAAGAACTTTACTCTATAAAAAGTAACTTCAAACTATCTACCTCCCCATGACTTAATTAATATCTAAAACGTACTTGGTTTCTTTTGTCACTGTTGAATATGAACAAAGCTTTTGTTAACTTCCTCTCTCAGGCCCAAGCACGGTGTCATCGTATCGGCCAGTCTAAGGCGGTCAAGGTCTACCGACTGATCACGAGGAACTCGTATGAGAGGGAGATGTTGGACAAAGCTAGTCTGAAACTTGGTCTGGACCGTGCTGTCCTGCAGAGCATGAGCGGCAACAAAGACAAAGACAATGTCAATGGGGTAAGAAAGCTAACACTTTCAGTCATTTTGAGGTTTTTCTGTTGCTGTTTCTCCAAATTTGAAATGTTTCTGTACCTGATCCACTTTGGTTTGCTTATGTTCCTGCCTTTCTCATCTCACCGTTGACAGATCCAGCAGTTCTCAAAGAAGGAGATCGAGGATCTGCTGAGGAAAGGAGCGTACGCAGCCATCATGGATGAGAATGATGAAGGCAGCCGCTTCTGTGAGGAGGACATCGACCAGATCCTCCAGCGGAGAGCCACCACCATCACCATTGAGAGCGAGGGGAAAGGATCCACCTTTTCCAAGGCCAGCTTTGTGGCCTCCGAGAACCGCAATGACATAGCCCTCGATGACCCTGAATTCTGGCAGAAATGGGCCAAGAAAGCCGACATCGACATGGACACCATCAACAGAAAGGTGAATGCAGGCTTTTGATTTAGATCATTCAAAACTTTGATAATTTTCTATTGTACAGAGGAATATACTGTATAACTGACACCAAATGGCTCCTGCTCCAACAGAACAACCTGGTGATCGACACTCCCAGAGTCCGTAAGCAGACCCGTCAGTTCTCTAGTCTACGAGGTGAAGGTGGAGACTTGTCTGATCTGGACAGCGATGATGAATATCCACCTGCCAATTCAAGACAGTCACGTGCCTCCCGGCGCTCTGACAGACACAGTGGAGGAGGTTATGGGCGCACTGACTGTTTCCGAGTGGAGAAACACCTGCTTGTCTATGGGTTAGCAGACTTTCCAAACCTAGCTAGTTTGATTTGGAAAGAATTTGTTTTTCAAAATGTCGATAATCAATTTCTCCACTTTCTCTTGTGCATCTCTGTCTTGTTCCTTCTCCAGGTGGGGTAGATGGAGGGACATCCTGTCTCACGCTAGATGTAAACGCCGCCTGAGTGAACGCGACGTCGAGACAATCTGCCGTGTCATCCTGGTCTTCTGTCTGCTTCATTACCGGGGAGATGAAAACATCAAGAGTTTCATCTGGGAGCTCATCACACCTCCTGAGAACGGACGTGAACCCCAAACACTACTCAACCACTCTGGTACGAGCTGCACTCACATACAGGCGCTACATGTTTTACATTTCAAAAGAGAGTCAGACTGAAATGGTAAATACATGAGTTCGGTCTCCAAAGAGTGAAAATGTAACCTTATTGTTTAGAGATCCACCTTTTGAATTCTTTTTTACTGAATGATACATATTTATTCTGTTTGTCCAGGTCTGTCTATTCCCGTTCCAAGAGGCAGGAAGGGTAAGAGGGTAAAGGCTCAGAGCACTTTTGATGTTCAGAAGGTGGAGTGGATCCGTAAATACAACCCTGACACTCTGCTTCTGGACGACAGCTACCGCAAACACCTCAAGCACCAGTGCAACAAGTCAGTGAATCTCTAAACCTGCTGTATATACAAGAAACTGTGTTTTTTTCCCCCTTACTTGAACACTAAAAACTCTCCTTTCATACTTCAGGGTGTTGCTGAGAGTACGTATGCTCTACTACCTGAAACAAGAAGTTATTGGTGAACATTCAGACGCTGTCCTGAAAGGGGCCGACATCAGGTATCAAATACTCAACTTAAAAACTGCATAAATAACTGTTGAAGTTCCTGTGAGCATGGTTTGATGAATTTCTTTTCCTTTTTTTAGGGACCTTGATATTTGGATGCCTGAGATGGAGCAGCAGGAGGTTCCTGCAGGATGGTGGGACGGAGAGGCCGACCGCTCACTGCTGTCTGGTGTATTCAAGCATGGTGGGTTTTCTCTCTGTAAGGTACTATGAGCTGTCTGAGAGAAGTGGGGAGAATTTTAGGATATCTTTTCTTTACTTAACAACATTTCATGAAGATTTTAATTCTAAAGCTCCACTTGCAACTTGTACTGTAAAAAACGACTACTTTTTGAAAAAGGGGGCTGTCATAGGTGGGGTTTTTTTGCATGTCCTTGTTACTACTAAGGTAGCAGTTATGAGTGGTTATTTTTCCAATTATTTATCAAATACTCAGTGCCTGATAATTGTATTTTGATAAGAACATAATTATGCTCTTGTGCTGGAATCGTTCTAACTCTGGAAGTCGTTCTATCATTTCTTTGTCATTTGTTAACTCTTGAAAGGTTATGAGATGTACACCACCATGCGAGCTGATCCATGCCTCTGCTTCCTGGAGAGAGTTGGTCGGCCCGATGACAAGGCCATCGATGCCGAGCAGCACACCGGTGATGCAGAGCTGGCAGACGAGTGAGTGATCCTGGCTCCCAGAGCTGTTCAAAACATATTTACTTGTTGATTTATAACAGACTATAGAGTCAGTGAGACATGACAACAGTTGTATGTCTTCATTGAATGTCAATTTCAAAGTTTCAATTTGAACTGAATTGATCAAAATCTTTCTGGCCTGATGAAACATACTGTATACAGATGTTGGTTCCTTTTCTTTCTTTCTAATCCCTCTGTTTGTGTTGATCAGTGGTGACTACGACAAGTACTCAGAGGACCCAGAGTTCAAGCCTGCATCAAGACACACAAAAGAACTTTTTGAGGAGGTAAAAAAAGTTCAAAAGATAAAAGCTGATTGGATATTTTGATAGTGTCGATGAACCTTTTTTTAATGAGTCCATGTTTGACCTTGTTACTACAGGCTGACTCCATGAACGTGGACGACGAGATCTCTGTGGAAGACAAAGCAGCTCCAGTGGTGACAGAGAATATATCCAGCCAGAGCAGTTCTTGTGATTGGCCCTCCAGCTCGTCACTCACGGCGCGGCTGCGGCGGCTGATCACAGCTTTCCAGCGCAGCTACAGACAGGAGCAGCTGAAGATGGAAGCTGAGGCAAAGGGCGACCGCAGACGCAGGCGTTGTGAACAGGCCAGCAAGCTGAAGGAGATCGCACGGCAGGAGCGCCAGCAGAGGTACCCTGCTGTGACACCATCTTATTCTTGTGTTTATTTTGTCTTGATTCAAGGCTGTCATCAGTGTAGGAGTGTACTGCACTTATGAAGTCATTTTAGAAAACAAGCTGAGGGTGCCATCACATGTAAAAACTGATTTAAAAAAAAAAAAAAAAAAACACCTGAAGCCATTATTGTTATACAGTCATATTTAGTCACCAACAGCCCTCTCTGTTTTCCCGTGAATGGCTCATGGCTGTGTATCTAGGTGAATTATAGAGACCTATTTGGAAGTGATGTAGTGTCAAATGATTGCCAAGAATGAGTGAAGTCTCAGATTGGGTCCAAGACAGAAAACAAAGTCACCCTTGTCACATACCTCTCTAAGTCAAAGTTTTAAGTGAATTCATAGTGGAAACAACTTTCATTATTTTCTGTCTTTCCTACTCTCAGGTGGACACGGAGGGAAGAAAGTGACTTCTACCGTGTGGTTTCCACTTTCGGTGTGGAAAAGATAAAGAAGGAGTCCGGTCTTCAAGAGCCCGGTGAACCTGAATTTGACTGGAATCGCTTCCGTACCTTTGCCCGTCTGGATAAGAAGACTGATGAGAGCCTGAGCAGATACTTCCGCTCTTTTGTCTCCATGTGCCGGAGAGTTTGTCACTTGAGACCCGGACGTGGTGAAGGTAAAATGTGCCACTTACGCCCTAAGAGACACTCATAATGGTTCTTTAACAACAAGTGCTGGACACTGGTATAATGTAAGACCGAACCATGGTCAGGCCATGTGCTGATTTTGAATTCATGTGTTATTTACTTCTTCTCTCCTCATTTTTCAGATCCAGCAGAACCTTCCATGACTGTGGCTCCCATCACAGAAGAGCGTGCTTCCCGAACCCTGTACCGTATAAACCTCCTGCGCCGCCTCAGAGAGCGAGTCCTGCCTCACCCCTCCCTGGAGGAGCGTCTGCCTCTGGCTCCAACCAGCTCTGAGCTTCCAGCGTGGTGGAACATCCCGGACCACGATCGTCAGTTGATGCTGGGTGCCGCGCTGCATGGCGTCAGCCGCACCGAGCTCTCCATCTACTCAGATCCGCAGTTTACCTTTGTTCAGGCTCGGGAGGACTTTATTCAGAACCAGCAAGCCCCGCCCCCTCCACCTCCTCCTCAGGTACCGCCCATCTTGTCCTTCAGCACACCAAAGACTGAGGACTGTGTGAAAGAGGAGGGAGGAGAAGTGGAGGCTCATCTGCTGGGAGGTCAGATCAGCGCTGACCTGCAGAGTACGCCTTTGAGTCACCATGACAGCAAAGCACAAGGGCAGGGCTGGGGCCTGAAGAGGAGCAAGATCAGGGTCGGGAAATCAGGAAGAAAAGGAGAGGGAGGGTCAGATTCCGATTCCGATTCTGATTCAGGCTCCTCTTCATCAGACCGATCAGGAAGCAGTGATGACAGTGGGGAGAGTGAGGAGGAGACAGAGCGGGGTAAGTAGATTCAAGATAAAACTGTTACCAGCTGCAAGAATAAACACAACTCTATAAAATCACCTTTTTTGTGTGTGTCCCTCTCTCTCTCAGCTGGCATGAAGCTGTGTGACGTGGATGAAGAGAACAGTTTACTCTCCATGACTCCTTCTCAGGATGGTATTCCTCCTCCTGAGCCAATCAGAGTGGACTGGCCCAAGGTAACTGATATACTTTGGACTCAGTGTTTACCTAATTCAGATGCCGAAGCATTACCCTCTTAAGTATTAAAGCACTTTCTCACATCTGTGATTGTCTTTCTCAGGACCGCGTGTTGATAAACCGCCTGGACAGTTTGTGTATAATGGTGCTGAGTGGTCAGTGGCCCTCAGGCCGCCGTTATGTGTCTGAGGCTCAGCTGAACCCCAGCTCAGAGCTGGCAGGGGACGAGCTGGCCTACACAAGAATAATACGTAAACCCAGCGCCGCACCTGGTGGCCCTGTAGCTGATGGAGATGATGGAGAGTTCACTGTGAAACTCCTCAAGGTGAGAATCTTACATGCTAGTACAGTGTGTTCTCTGACAAACTGGTTTTAAGTCATCAATCACAAACAGCTGCGATGTAGACTCTTTGGCTTGATCAGAGTCTTCTCTGTCAACAGGAGGAAGGACTGAAGCTGACGTTCTCAAAGCAGGCCCTGATGCCAAACGGATCTGGGGGAGAGAGCAGCGGACGCAAGAAGCGCAAGGACCAAGAGGTACAGGTTTTGTGTCTTTGTGTCTGTCTGTAAGCTCGTAAGATGCAAAAACAAAACTGCTTTGATCTACTTTGTTAACGTTTTTTTTAACCCTCTTTTTTTTTTTTAGTTTCTTGACCCAGATGGACTTCACGACCCACTGGAGCGAACTCCTCGACGTAGGGACCCACCCACCTGGTTGAAGGAGAACCCTGATTACGAGGTGGAGGGAGACATGCTGGAGGTAGCAGTTCATGACACTTGTCGGTTATCGAGTAGGGAAATCTGTGTAAAATCATACACTCTGTCTTATAATGAAGCTCTGAGGCCTGTGCTAAGTAGCTAAGTTGTAGTTTTGTCAGCACGATAACTTCAGGATTAATTTGAGGTTTTCAGGACCAGGAAGGTTGTTAACATCATACTGGGAATATCAGCTGAGGAGCATTTCCAGATAACACAACACTTTATATAAAAAGACCTTCCTGTGGATCAGCCAGGTAGCTTAAATCTTAGACTTTTTGTGTGGGATGTAGGAGTGTTCAGAAAATGGTAAAACACTGATGTATAAGTTGTTTAGAAACACAGTAAATCTGCCGTGCAGTTCTGTTAGCGTGCCCCACATATGGGGACCATGGTTCCCACAGCGGTTGCGGGTTCGAGTCCAGCACTGACTATGTGCTGCATGTCCTCCCCCCTCTCTCGCTATCTCCCCACTAGAAATTGCAAAAAAAAACCACTTCAAAACAAACAAAACAAAACAAAAAAATACACAGTAAATCCAGAAAAGCACGTGACTCAAGCACTAATGGATTGTGCTCCCTGTTCATACAATAAAAATACAAGCATCTTTCCCTGTGAGTTTCATAGTCATAGTCTATGGGTGGCCTGATAACATAGAAATGGTATCACAAGCATTGTATTTGAAATGTGTAATTTTGCTCAGATTGTTTGTTGAACCTCTTAGTGTAGACTAATATCACAGGCTAAGTTTCTCTCGGTCAGTAGTGTAATATACCTCTCAGCTGTCATTTCATGTGTTAAGTCATATACTGCCAACAAAACTCCCGGTAGTAAACCATGGCGTGTGCCTGAAGCCAGTAAAAGATTGAGTGACCTGAGTGTGTTGAACTACGCCACTGCAAGCCTTGGGTCTCTGCATCATTGTGGGAAAAACCAAACCTGTGTCTGATTTTGACCATGTAAACATGTCTTTTTGTCTGCAGCTTCTGGTTAATAGAAGTAAGAGGAAGAGGAGGAGAAGGGCGGATAAAGCCCTGACAGGAAGTGAGAAGGTTAAAGTCATTAACATGAGGACAGGAAAGAAGGTGAGACTTACAGGAACGGTCATAAACCTGATTTTACGGCTGTGTGTTTTCTTTTGTCACCAATTCAACGAATACTTCTCTCCTGTAGGTTGGAGCAGCTTTCTGTCCGATGTTGCAAGACCTGAGAGAGTACCTGGAGGAGAATCCCGATAATGCTGTAGCACCTGAGTGGTCTGACGCTGTTCGAAACTCTGTACGTACACAACATCTCCTGTGACAAGACTTAGTTGTGTGGGGCTGTAGTCGGAGAATAGTTGTATTCTAATTCTCATTTAGCCTCTTTTTAGTACAGTCTCAAGAAACAGAGGAAGTGATGATATGCAAAACATTCAAACTGCTACCCTGTGATTTTCCCAGCACTGGTAGAGGACTGTCTTTAAAACAGTCTTATCTAGTTTTATTCTTTTACTTTTAAAGTTCCTGATCAGTTCTCTTCTCCTCAGGGTTTCCTGCCTGAGACCTTCTTCCACCGACTGCTGACTGAGCACTCAGAGATCCCGAAGAAGAGCCGACGCAGGCATCACCACCACCACCATCATCACCACACTCCAGAGCCCACGCCTGAGGACCCCAACCTGGACGGAGTGGAAGAAGAGACTCTGGTCTCAGACGGGGCCTACATGATGGATGAGGAGGACCTGGAGACCTCCCATCACTTCCTTACCAGTCCGGACTTTGACATTAAAATGGAGGGCGGCGACAGCCTCTCTCAAGGTGACTATGACAGCTCGGATCAAGAGGCGCTTTTGGACGATGTCATCATGGCGCAGAAAGACTCTGATTCCTCATCAAGCTCAGAGGATTGACTGAACCTCACTCTCTGAACACATCAGACAAAGTCCCTGTCTGAAAATAAAATTATGTAATTCCTCATTTATTTTTATCATCATGTTATGTATCACTTTATGGATGACTGTTCTTTGTTGCTACTTTTATTCATTTATTTTATATAGGATTTTTTTCCGTCAAAGGAGCAGCTTTGCACCCATGAATTTTTTTTCATCACGACTATGTTTCATCTTCGTCTCCTTGATCCTCCTCTCTAACCTCTGACAAAATGGCAAAAAGCTGAGCTTTCGTACTTCACAACTCGTCTTTCTCCTCTTCTTCCTCTGAGTATTTTCTTTCCCATCACATTCCCAGCCATGACCAAAAGAGGATCCCTGCTGTACAGACTCTGTTTTCTTATCTAAGAACCTCAATGCTGGTCTTCTAGCGCTACATGAAACTGGACGTGTACTGCAGAGCCCGGATCCGGATCCCACGATCCCCTGCTCTCGTCTGGTCATGTGTTTTGTGTCCGGACGAGCCTGTGAACTGAAAAGGGGACCTGTGCGTGGATGTACTGTTATTGTTTTCACTCTATGGGAGGGGTGGGGTCTAGAGGGAGGGAGGGGAACAGTGAAGTAGTTACAGAAGCTAGGAGGATGGATGTATTGTATAATGTAGAGCTGGTCAAATGTGTACTTTGGTGCAAAGATGACAGCGATGAGTTACTATTCTTGTTTTATGACCTGAGTGTATCTGTGAAATGAATAACAGCAATCTACAGTGAAAACAAGTTTCTGTGTTTTATTTTTAATCATGTCAAGCAGAAAGCAACCAGGAGGTATACTGTATGCACACTGGGCTTCTTATCTTTATTTCTGCAGTGATTTAACCTGCTGCTAATATGAGTGATTGTATAAATGCAGCAGAAGTCAATGCATAGTGACTGAGATTTTTCCATTTTACCATGAGCAACAGGAAACCAAACGGTTACAAACATCTAACAAGATAAATGTCCAAATCCTTCCTACCAAACACATCTTTTAGGATTATGAGGCGTTTACACGTCACACACAAACTTCTCATAGTCGTGTGTTTGTGTGGCTGTTTGCAGCCACTAGGGAGCGCCATTTGTGACTGATTTGACCACAACTTTCTTTCTACTGGAGAGAGTGAAATCATTTTCGGTGAGGGACCTTAACTCTACTATGCTGGAGTTCCTCCTTCATCTCCAAGACAACATGCTGGCCCACCTCTGCAGCATACCTTGTGTTACTTCCAAGCATATGATGTGGTGTTAACAAATGTGCAACCTGTATTTTTTGCGAGGGGGTTGCTGAAATTTGCATCTCCTCTTGAATGGCACCAGCTGTTAAACCGTGATGTCTTTGTTGGGGTTGAAAAGGAGAGGCAAGGGATGTGCCCAAATTTCCCTCAAGAATCTGATGGGTGCAAACTTGTCCTCCATGTGAGCTGGTCTCTCAAGCTTTTCATCAAAGCGCAGAGATGCATTAATCCCAAGATATCTAAATGGGGCATGGTGGCTCTGAAAATAGCATGGTTGCTTCAATCATCCCATAAGCAGTGTGTGGACTTTTCTTTGGACCTGTGGACTCCGGCCAGAATGAGGACCCCTTAGTAGAGCTCTGTGGATTACACCTGGTCAAACTCTACTCTTTGGTGCCCATTGAGGATCGTCGCTTGGATTATCAGGTCCACCATCTCCCTCATGAAAAACAAGTTGAAGGCAGATCCCAGGTTGTGGACCCTACACAATAGCATAGTGTGCTGGTCCTGGTGTCCACCCTCTGTCCACCTGGTTGAAGAGTGAGGTCTATGTGTAGGTGGGAAACCACATTTGGCGATTCTTCCCAACCCACCCAGATCCAGGTTCTTCTGTATGGAATCCTTAGTGGAAGATGGTAGAGGATGATGGGAACGCTAACACAATCAGGATCTGACTCTGAGGTGATTGTGTCAGGAAGAGAGTCCGATGAATCCTGCAGCTTGATGGAAGAGTCAGGCTGCATAACCATTTCCAAGGCCTTGCTGCAGGTGAAGTATCTCCTCATGGCTTTTGCTGCTTATCTCTTAACCAAACGACCTGCAGAACTGCTTGCAAGTGCTTCCATACTCTTATTTTCAAACTGAAATTTAAATGGGCAAAGCAGAAATGTGCTGGTGTAAAAATCTACTACTAAATATCCCAGGAAGGTACAGTGCTTAATTAATGTATTGGAGCACTGTACCTTCCTGTGGACTCAGCAAGCACACTGGCATTCTCTGAGAAGTCAAAAGTTAACAAAGAATAACAAAACAACTATAACAAGTTTTTCTGTTCAGCAAGGCGTGAACAACTGTCATTTTGCAAATTTATTTTAATAATAATGTACTTTACTGATTTTTTTCTGCTTTGTTGTAAAACAGTGGATTTGAAAGTTCCTGGCTAACAACGGTAATCATTTTCAAGCATTTTAATTTAAGAGCTTGCACATACTTGTTAACCATTACAGAAACATAAACTAATAATCAGCAATATTGTTGATTTAGGTCAGCCGTGGCAAACACCTTAAACTGTCATCTTATTCATTTACTAAGCACAGTTTAGCAGTGAGTGCCTGGTGTTATGTAGCCTGATAGAGAATAACTCAGCAAATATTCTTTGAAATGACCTGTAAAATTATTCGAACAACTAAATGTAAATTTACAAACGATGCACACTTTGGCATATACAGTTGAAGTGTATTCAGTGTTAAGCATTTCAACAATATGTGACTGATGCCATTTACTGATCTTGTTTCATTGTGTTTTCCAGATAAATATTGCAATGTACTCAGATGAAAATTACTTCAGTCACATATTAACAGAACAACCATGTTCCTTTATCATTCTTCAAAATGACTGGGAGAAACCAATGAGGCAACTGTACGAACCACAATTTAAAGCTTTCAACTTAAAAATAATTACAGATAGACTAAAAACATTTTACCCGTACTGCAGTTCTGAATTTAGAAATCACAGCGTCAAAGTTGGAGGTACCACGAGAAGTAGACCACTTTTCTCCTACCTTGGCTAATGTCTTTTCGACAATTGCCGAATTAAAGTGGAGGTGAAAGTCCATGAGGAAACGTCACTGAAGGCTTTAGTCACATTTAAAGGAGATAGGGTTTGGCACCATTGTGAACAATTAAAAAGATGACCTTTGCGTGCAGATGAGAGGAACAATATTGCTGATGCCCTTACCACCAAACTGCCAAAGAGCTTGTTCCTCAAAAATGTGGATCACCTTGATGACAGCATGGTGGAATCAGGTTGTAGGGATCAAGTTCCCACAACTGCTGTAATGAAAATGTTTTTTTGGAGAAAAAGACAAAAAGAACAGAAAACACAAAAATTATATGATCAGCCTGAGTAAAAGGATGAAAAAGAAGCATAGATCTGAGGATGCTGTGATACAGAAGATCATCATGCATCCAAAAGGTGTGATGCTATGGTCTAAAAAACCTGCTGGCCTGTTTTTGCAAAGGTGTAATATTTTATACACTGATGCAACGATAAGCATTATCTAGAAAGCAAAGGGACAAAGTTACCAACATTGTCATGAGGAATCCATCAAAACACTCCATTCCTGTTCATGTTGCAATAGATGTAACAAACGACCATACGACTGCATCTGTATCCTATTTCCAGGTGGTGTTTACAACCTACTTAATTCGATTTCATGGAAAGAGGGTAAAGAAAGGACCAGTGATGCTAATTTGTCATGGCTCTGTTGTCCTGTTGTAGTCAGTTGCTTATAACTTTTGTGGAGTGAGCCGGCAGGGATTGCTCTCCAAATACTACCACACTGTAACAGGTCAAGCAAGGGAGATGTAATTGGACGTCCAATTATTCACCGCTGTCTCAGCCATGTCATGAAGGCTGCCAAAGACCTCCACCGGAAACAGTGAGGGATCATCAAGACATTGTGAAATCTTTGTAAAATTAAAATTGTTGACATGTTCCTGCAATGCATGTTCTTCAAACATTACCACTTGGCCATGCTTATCTTTGGGCATACGGCACAGGCCACAACCCTCTGTTATAATCCTCTTTTACTTAGTTCACTGTAAATTTGTACTTTTCCACTGGATTCGTGCACCTTACTGGCTGTTTTCATCTAACTCACTGGTTGTTTTCATTTAATCAGAACACTGTGACATTTAGCTCGATAAGCAGGAACCTGATGAACCACAAGGCTCTCTTTAATCTGCCAGACAGGTCTGCTACAAGAGATACACGCCTCAAGGACAACATTCGCATTCATTCATTCATCAAGACCATGTGAACAGTGAAGGATATTTGTACTGTTTTTCTTTGGTATCCCCCTCCTTACTTTAATGTTGAAATAGAAATGATGGTGATTTTATGTTAGAAAACTACTCTTCAGTATAACCATCAGGGGCACAGAGTGTCCGAATAACAGTAAACATTTGTATCACACCTCTTTGATACTTACAGGAATAAACGTGTGGGCTGACAGTCAGCACGGCCCACGATAGAGAGGGTCCTGAACCTGTTTGAACTGGAGCTAGAGACTGCAAATCTCAAAGTCCAACCCATTGCAGCCCAACCCATTGCAGCCCAATGAGATGAATGTTCATCTTTTCTGTACATCAAGACTCATTCCCTCTGAGACCTCAGCTGAGCACATGCTTCACCTGTGACCAGAATGACTCTGTTAACTTGGGACTGAGCTCTCTTCTGTCTTTCTTCGGAGCATCTAACAAATGAGCACTTAAACAAACCCAAGGAATAATGGAGAAAAGACAGCGGGATTAAAAAAAAAAAAAGATTCCAATGGAGGTGACTGACCTGACGAGATGATTTTGTACACACACACAAGAGCACCCCAAAAGCCCAGCGGAGGGCATACGGAGACTCTGAAGAGAAAGAAGAAGGTAAAAAATTGACAGCATATACATTTCAATGTTTTTTCACTGAAATGCCACTAGAAACATTTGTCTTCTGTTATTAGCATTGTTACTGGTATTTGCTACTAAAAATGCAACAAAAAAGTGCGTTTGCCCCGTGGCCCTAACAAGGAATTTTTCATAACTTCATAAAAACCAACCAGGACAGGACTGCTGTTTACAGACAAATACATGCAGTGTGTTTTATTAGGCTACTTTTTAAAGTGCTTGTTTTCTGTTGGGTTGGGTTGTGTGTGTGTAGTTCATCTTGTAATGGTTTATTTGTTTTCTTTTTTCCTTGGTTTGGATATTTTGTTGTAATCTGTTTAGTTGTGAATGTTTTGTTGATTATATTTTCCTTGTTTTAAGGCGTGTGGTTATTTTCATTTGATCCATTTAGCATCCAGCTTATCTACTTGAGAATTTTTGAATGAATAACCTGTTGATTAAATGGTTTTGATTTATATAGTAAATTATAAGGGAATTATCACAATGTCAAAAATGGACATCAAAATTTCAAAAGCTATTACCCTAGTTGATGTAGTGCAGAAGAGTAATCCCCTCAAAAGTATTGCTGAGATCTTGAAAAAATGGAGTAAGCATTGGCCTGACGTTGACCTGCCTTGGCCAGTAGGAGGTATAATCCAGATGTACAGCTGAGGCCAAAATTATTAGCCCCCCTATGAAATTTAATTTTTTTCCCAAAATTTCTTAAGTGCTGTTCAACAGATTGATTTTTTTTACACAGCTTTTCCAAACATCCTAGTTTTATTTTGGATCATTACATTATTTTACTTTGCACACAGAAACAAAACTATTTCAACAAAATTATATATATATATATATATATATATATATATATATATATATATATATATATATATATATACATCTGCATTTACACACCACCGATAGACAATTTAGGCCTCTAGAAGAGAAAATTAAAAGATGACCTTTTTATTTTATTTTATTTTTTCTCAGATTGTTTGGAAATTGTAATTTCTTCATAACGACAAAAAAAATCAACACCCAGTAATGTACACAAGAAATAATAACACAGCCAATGTTTGAAACCCTTGGTTTAAAAAAAGAAAAACAAGTGCTTTTATTCGCAAGTTTCTTTTGCCATAAAAGGTCAATTTTGTATGTCTACACATCCTTCGAAAATTCCCAACACATAAGAAAGAAAGAAAGAAAGAAAGAAAGAAAGAAAGAAAGAAAGAAAGAAAGAAAGAAAGAAAGAAAGCAAAAGAGAGTCCAGCATTAGGTTGCAAACGGAAGTAGTGCTGCTTTCAGGGCTGCTGGTTTAATCGATTATGACAAATTTTTATACAAAAGTAGATTGGCTATGTATAAAGAAAGTATGAAAAACGTCTCAACAAGTTATACAACTGGCAAAAAGTCAACCAAAACTCTAGCTACACCTGAATGAATCCGGCGTCATTTATATAGTGTTTTATTTTTCCGACAGCCTATGAATCCACCACATGCTTCTGAGCCCAGGTCAGAAGAGGGAGGGATGATAGTTTTAGCATCACTACTCCATCCTATGAATGGGTTTTGTTTGGCCTCTTGTTGTCGTTGCGCTTCGGGGTTCTTATCCTTGGATAATTAGCAACAATGCTGTGATAATCGGGTGTTATCACCATTTAATTCAGTTCATACCCCAGCTTTTTTTCGGGTCTCAAGCGGGAACAACTTAGCATCATTTCGCCCTGAACGTTATGCCAACCGTTAGCATCTAGCTAGCCAGCTAGCCCACTAGCATGTAGCAGCTCCAGTCAATGTTGAAACTATCCACCTTAGTGGAAGTTTTAGTTTTTCATTACACTATAACAGACTAGTAAGTGTTTATACGGACAAGACATTTTAAAATGGACCTTAATTTTTACTCGGAGCTGTCGGATAGTTGTCCTCAAAATGTTGACTCGGAGTTTTTGGACACCCAAGCTTATGGTGGATACTCGGAGGAAAACAAGGTAAAGTTGAACCTGGTAGAAAAACTAGGAATCCATGATGTTTATGATACTGGTGTTTTATGTTACTTTGTGGTCTGCCTCAGTTTGCAGAAGGTGGAGACAGCTACCTGACCATCAGTGGAGCGGGACACCCTTTCTTGTCAGCCGAGGTCAGTGTTTTCAAACATCATGTCATTGCTGGCCCCATCTGATTTATCTCATTTCAGTTCACTTTAATCAAACGAAATAATGCCAAACCTAATCAATGAGATATTTAGCAGTTATAAAACGTCCTATAAAACGCTTGAAATTAGAGGTAAGTAAAATGACAAAAGCAAACGGTTTAGCAAAACCAGTGGAATAAGCTCACATACATATATGATACATTAAGGCCGCTCATCTAAGGTAGATATAATATTCAGGATTACAACTATAATCCTAAAACCATGATTAGTAATCATAAATACACACTGGTTAGATGATGAGACCGCCATCTCGATAGAAACAGAACAGCCAGAGTCACAAATTAGTGAAAATGTATAATGGTCTCAGATTTGGAGTCAGTCAGCTGCGGAACATTTTCAGACATTCAGATTAACCCACTACTCTGTCTCTTTCCTCATGTAGCAAACATTTCATACACCCAGTCTCGGAGATGAAGTCTTTGAGATTCCCCCCATCAACCTGGATCCAGACCCGACCCTGAGCATCGGTGATGCTGTATCCCACTTTGAGCTGACAGATGGGTCAGACAGTACTGGAGGACCTACAGGCTCTCGTAGTCTTGTTAGCAACCTGGTGGTTGGGGCCAATGATCCGTCTTTTGCCTCCACTTTTGTGAACTCTGGATCTCAGAGCCTGGAGCAGCTGAACCTGGGGACCATTGGGCAGGCTGGAGGGGGAGCCCTGCTGAGCTCCTCTGCACTGGTAAGTGATCTACTTGTATGCTCTCAAACAGAATTGTGTTGTGGGTCATTTGTTCTTTATTATAAATACATTAAGAGTATTTCTCACCTTTTTTAATCCCTCTACAGGAACTGGCAAACTCAAGTGGTTCACATTTCAGCAGTTCCTCCCCCATGACGATTGACGTCCAGCTCGGAGAAATTGGTCAAGGTCTTCTAGGTAGTAGTCACTTGACAACTATTAACCAGTCTGAGCTCTCCATGGGTCTTGGGGGGCATTCAGAGCAGCCGTTGTCTGCTACACCATCACCAGCTGGCTCCCTGCAGGATGAAGACATGGACGACTTCAAGGTGAGGGTGGCATCACTTTTTGTTCACTGGCACTTTCGCTGAGGTCGTAAAAGACAAATGCACATTCAAAAAGGTTTCTACTCCAAAGATTCAGACAGAAAAGGAGAATATTTAAAAATAATATTGCTGAAAATTGACTTTTTTTGCTTTCTGCCGCTAATCACATGAATAATAGTTTTTGAAAACAGATATATTTTAGATCCTGTAGCTAATGCTCCCCTCCTCCTCCCCTTTGCCCCTTTCCTGCTCTCTCCTCAGAGGAGTGTCCTGGTAGACTCCCCAATAGTCCTCGCATCCTCTTCTGCAGTCACCCACATGTCCCCCCACCAAGCACCAATGTCCTCCATGTCCCCGGCTACAGCCAGGAGAGGTGGGGGTAAGCCGGCTACACTAGCCTCAGTGGTTGCAGCTGCGGGCACCAGAAAAGGAAGGAAGAAGAAAGACCCGAATGAGCCGCAGAAGCCTGTTTCAGCTTACGCCCTTTTCTTCAGAGACACCCAGGCAGCTATCAAGGGCCAGAACCCCAATGCCTCTTTTGGAGAGGTGTCAAAGATTGTAGCGTCCATGTGGGACAGCCTGGCTGAGGAACAAAAACAGGTGAGACATATTTCATTTTTATGACAATAATTGAACATTTTATGAATGAATGCAGTTAGTTGGGAGATTCTCCTCCTGGTACATTTTTTTAGCACTACCCAACCTTTTCAGCGTTTTCTTGTCCTCATTCATCCGTTTGAAACTTGTTGTAAACCTCAAATTTAAAATGACCAAATATGTTCCTTAAAAAACATTTTTCAGTGTCAACATTTTAAATGCTGTCTTTAAATTGAATATAGGCTTTAAAAGATTTGCAAACATAGACTGTATATAGAATGGACGCTGTCTGCCTCCTCGCTGGGTGAAGCCACTGCGAGAACAGTGTCCTCTGGTGACGGGCTGCCGTATAGGTCATAAATCCCACCTCCTTCAGCAATCCCTATGGAGTTGTGGACAAACTTTAGAAATTAATGACACAGAATATACATTTTTCTCCCCCCTGGTTGCGATGTTGACATGTAGTTACTGTAAAACTGGTTTGCACTCAAGTCCTCTTTGTCCATGTTTTCTATAATAGACACCTGATACAGCCTATAAGATTTCGTAGCTCACCCGGGGGATACACTGTTTGAGCCGAGCGTCATCACAGCGACTCTAGGTGACTCTCCCGCTGAATGCGTACAATGCTACTGCGCAATGTTGTTTTCAGGAAATGGAGAAAAAAAAAGGGCTTTTTGGCTTCAAACTGGTGGAAGGTGGAACCAAGTTGTCCATAGTATATACAGTCTATGTTTGCAAATCACTGAGAAATGTTTCAGTCAACATTTCAGACGGTATCCCAACTATTTGGGAATTGAAAATTTCTAACATACGACATGATGATTGATGTGTTTTATAGGTGTATAAGAGAAAGTACGAAGCAGCCAAGAGGGACTACATAAAAGCATTGGCAGCTTATAAAGAGAGTCAGCTCACACAGGTAAGATCACATTATTCTGTTCTGAAAACCAAGGATAAATAAATGGGGAGGATTCTTGTAAACAGGCTCATCGTCACTTTGCTTCCTGTCTTTAACACAGCCTGCCTCAGAGGAGATGGAAACCACTCCTTCACCTCCGTCATCAGTTGTCAACTCAACACCTGCAGCCCTTTCTACTTCAGGTCACCAATCCCTCCACCTGGCTAACAACAGCCTAGAAGAGAACACAATCACCAACATTTGTGCCTCAAACATCATCCTTGACGTCCCTGAGATGACTACACGTTCCCGTACGGGGGCAAGCAAAGCTCCAGCGGCTGCAGCTACCCCCACCCAGACCATCACCAAGATCATAATCCCAAAGCACATGCTGCAGACTGGGGGTCAGGTAGTGACTGTGCTGCCTGGAGGGGTCCGTGCTCTGCAGCCGACTTTGGTTGTATCAAGCGCCTCTCGTCAGCCACCTCCACTGCAGCAGATGCAGAATGCACCGCCTCCACCACGGCTGCAGCAAATGGCACCAGCACCTCCACCTTTACAGGCCAAGCCCCGTGAGGGAAGCGCTACACCAGGGCTCCCCGTGTCCATCACAGCTACACCTCCACCTCCACTCCAAATAAAAATAGTTCCCGCTTCTCTGCAGAGCAAAGACGCCCTGCCAATTATCGTCCCAAATTCAGTGGCCGAGACTAAATCTGCCAAGTCTGCACCTGTGTCGGTGCAGATGGTAGGCTCAGGGGATGGGCCGGGTCATGCGGATGATGATGAAGTTACAGAAGTGCTGCATTCAGAAGAGGTAAATTTTGATAATATTGAAGCTGTACTGAGTAGCTGTACAGTTTGCTCTTGTGTTGGGTTTTATTCTGACTGAGGTGAGCTGTCAGCTTCTCTCACTCTTTGCTGCGGGGCCTGTTCTGTGCTATATCATGCCAACAGCTCTAAATTCTATCCACATACATGATGAGAGAGGGAGAGAGGGGAAGTCCTAACCATGTTATTTTAGAGTCTATTTATGACAGATGTGAATCATTCTCATTTCAACATTAATATAATTTCCAGCATGGAGTGTGCTAGCAAAACACTTTAAGTAGAACAAAATGTGAATCTTGGGATAACGACTGTTGTGATTCCGCACTATATCAGTAAAAATTGATTGATTGATTGATTGAAAATGTGTGTGATGGCACAGCATGTCTGCATGAGGGTTAATCTACAGCTGGAGCGGGATTGATGTAATCCTTAATTCTTACAAAAACAGGATTGTTAAAATGGGATTTGGAAATTGCCTTAATCACTGAAGCGTTCAAGAACAGTGGTGTTTATCATCACACCAGTGCTATTACCATAAACTTTTAGTGAACAGTAATAGTTTTACTTAAACCAAGTAATCCTATTGTAAATTAGTTCCTGAGAAGTTTGTGATGAACTTATCTTGGCGTTTGTAGAGCTGTATATTAGACTATTTCACAGTAGGGTTGGGAGAAGCAGTGGTCACAACTACTGTTGCCTTGGTGTTTCTTCAGTTTTCTACAGACTGACAAGAAAAGCCACAGTAAAAGTGTTCACACATGACATCTTGGGAAGTGAAAACTGCTGTGCGATGAAAAACAAAAAACAAAGAAATGGGCAGAGTGGAGGCAGTTATTCACAGACGTCTTACCCAGATAACCACGTGTGGTACAAACCTCAACAGTGGCCCTCAAAAGTTAGTGTTGTCAGAATGACTGTGCGAATTGTGACCAAATTTGTCCAGGTATGACCAATTGAAGCAACTCAGTCTGCTGTCCAGAACAAATTATTGCAGGTATTTTTCCACAACAATCACAGTTGTGCAACACTTTGGTTATTTCTGCTGGGCTCTAAAGTATGTATTTAGTTGTTGGCTCCGACGTACATCTTTATATGTGCAGAACAAAACACAATCAGTTATAACTCAACAAACAGTGAAAGAAGCCGAATACTTTGAATGTTGTTTTTTCCCTTCACTTCGGAGATATGATGTTTAGGGGTGTCCTGATACCATATTGATATCAGATATTGGTCTGATATCAACAACAAATTAAATATCGGATTGTATTGGCCTTCATCTAAAATCTCCGATATCAGCACTCCTATACAAGCGGTACATTCCAGACTCCACTCCAGCACCTCTAACTAGCAGTGCCCTGATCCAGCAAGCTGAGCCCATGTAATCACAACAACAGTGTGTACTAAGGTACTAACAAGTAGCAAGGAGTATGAGCGATGTCGGCTGTGTGGCAGTATTTTTCATTAAAGTCCGAAAAAAGATACAGCAGCTGAGTGCAAAACTTATCATGCACAAGTTTATGCTTATATCGGATCAATATCGGTATTGGACAATACTGAAGGCTACAATATTGGTATCATATCAGAGGTAAAAAAGTTGTATTTGGACACCCCTAATGAGGTCTCCACTCAACAAACCTTTACCTGTGCTAAGATAATATGTGGCTCTCATCAGATGTGCTCCTTCAAATCTCAAATGCTCCTCTTTCAGGATGACATGGAGGTCAATGGGTCAGGTGACGGTGCCACTTTAAAAAGCATGTGTGTGAGGACGGGCTGTAACAACCTGGCTGTGGAGAGTGAAGACTGGGACAAAGAGTACTGCAGCAACGAATGTGTGGCCAATCACTGCAAGTACGTCAACTGATAATGTTTTTTGTTTCTAGTAGACTTTGAAGAAAACATGATGATTATTTTAACCCAATGACGTCTGTTTTTGATCTTTCAGAGATATATTCAAGGCATGGTGCTCGATCAGAAACCAGAACATGGGAACAGTAAAATGAAGGAGCTCCTCTCAGTCACATCAGCAGAGAACTCGTGCAGCACAAGAAGATTGTTCTTTTTGTTTTGTTTTTTTACCACAATGTCATAGTTCTCATTGTTTTTGTACTTGTCTGAGTGTGACAGCTGTTACTCTGGAAACTGAAAAAGTAGTATTTGTAAATGGGACAGAAATAGAACAGGGACTTCATGTTGGTATATTGTGTATAATGCTCTAGTTGATCATCTTTACAGTTTTAAGCCAGTTATCAAAAGACTTCAAGGCAGCTAGAGAAACGATCAAGCCTTCACAGGTCAGTTTACACTTGTCATGTTCAAACAGGGGAAAAGCCTTTTATAAAACACTCTGGCATAAAGAATCAACATTTCAATCGTTAATACTCAAGTTTAGAAATAGGATTTTACTGTGCCAATTCCATGGCTTCAAACTCGTGCTCTGAAGTGTTTGAATGTTTCTTGACTTTTGCAACAAGTGAGAGGAACTTCTCCAGTTCTTTAGATTCTCCGCCGAAATATGTCTATGTCAAAGTTCGAGTCAGGGTCACGATGTTGCCCTTTTTTGTTATACATTTAGTTCAAAACATTTTAGTTGGTAGTACATGCTCTGCCTGGATTATTTCTCAATAAATGAGCAGTTATACTCAACCTGATTTTTTTTTTTTCTCACTTTAATTCCTTTCACTTTACTGGTCGGGTTTACTCTTTTCAGTTCACTCTTATTACTAATACACCCTGACATGCTATCTTGCTAAGAAGAAAAAGACCTAAGTGATTCTCAATAAGAAATATTTTTTATTATGTTATTTGGCATGCAAGAATCCCACTGATGGCAGGAATATGCAGCAGCAGAATCCTATAGACATGCACCAGTGTTCGAGTTTCATCTGCAGAACAAAGACGTACAGTCCACACTGTGCTCACTGTTCATTCATCAAACCTTTTATTTGTTTGTTTACATATCAGTGACAAAAAAGTTTGATTTAATTTTGTGAACAGCAAGCCAACATAAGAAGACTTGATTTATTCGTTCATTTTGGAAATAAAACTGATTTCCTGCAGTTTTAAGATACCCTTGACATTGAGAAATACAGCCATGTCATCTGTTTAGGATAAAGTCAGGAAGCAGACCAGTTCACATTAGTATTGTATAATAGTAATATTATATTGTTATAATACTACATTATTGAACTATTATAAATTAATGCACCATTGTAAAGCCACCTTTTGGTGTTATAAAAGATCCACAGTGTAATTTAATTACTCACACCCACATTTAATATTTATCACCTTGCGATACAAAAATAGATTCCTGAGTTGATTTGATCTTCGATTTTTGGCATTACTGCCTTAAGTGCAAAACTTGTCTTTCTCACAGAACAGTCTAGATCCAGTGTCAGTTTAAGATAACTTTCAGAGTTTCAGGATTATCACCAAACGCTAATGATGGTGGCTTTACTGAGCGGATCCACACGGTAAAGTCCAAAGCCCAGGCACACCGGCTCAGTCAGTTCAGCTTTGAACTCATGCAGATGTTTGATTGTGGAGTCCAAAGCACTGAATGTGATGTTTCCTTTCTCAATATCAACACTCACTGCTATCCGGCTGCTCTGCAAAGTCTCAGAGAGAACAGTTTTTACTCCATCATGATAGGCAAACAGATTTCCTTTGCCATTGTGCGTGAGGCTCCAAGACTCAGTGTTTTTTCCGAAGGTACTGCTGTTTTTGCTCTTGCGTTTGATGCTTTTGTAGGATACGGCGATGTCCCAGTATCCCTCAGCCTCCACTTCCCAGACATGACTGCCAATGGAGAAGCAGCGGGCAGAGAGGACCTGCGGGGCTTCCGCAAAGCGTCTGGGTTTGTCAGGATAGTTCAGCTTGGTTTTCAGTCTCTCTGCTGTTCTGAGGTCAGTGGAGAGTCCGAGATAAGGACTGGCTGAGTCCCTATCCAGGGAGAGAGTTCCTGAAAACATAATGATTACATAATGATTATTAAATGATGATCATTATTGTGCTTTCCCTCACAGTAATCACCTTTGCATTTAGTTATTTTAGACTGGTAGTGTAACAACCAGTGTTCAAAGGCACAGTGATGATACTCGTCTTACAAGAAAAGTTAATGTGTAACAGTACAGATTTATGTCATGATTTTACTGCTGTTCTCGTCATCTATGACTCAAGATCAGGTGGGAGTGACACCAAGAGCAGTAAATGCAGCAGAGTCCAGACAGTCACCAACCAAACCGGGCTCATCAGTCTTAGGTTGGCTGTGCCATAATATGAGTAGCAAACACTTCAGCGTATCACCAAAACCAAGTTATTCTCTCTGGTTTGTTTCAAATCAACCCTCATTTTTTCACAGATGGCTCTGTACCTGGAAGTGCCTCCTGATGGTTGTGGCTCTTCACTGGCTGATCAACCAAGACTTCTAAGACAAAAGAAGGATAAAAAAAACAAGTTATTTTGGAGCATTTTTCAATTCCACAACCCACTGGGGTATTATAACAACAACAACAAAACTTTGATTAATGTCTATAATAAAAATCTGCATACAAGTGCTGATGATTATTTCCTATTCTAAGTTGTATCACAGACTTTATTCTCTATTTTATGTTTTTTTAAGGTGTGAATAACAGCACCATGCAGACATACAACTCTTGGTCGGGGGCCTTTTATTGCTAACTTCTGGTTACATCCGTAGCTTTAAAAAGTCGACTGTTCCTCCCAGAAACTACAATGCACCCTCTACGCACATCTTGGATAGCATTTTTCCATCAAATGTCATTAAGCAATAGCTGCTGGAGGAGAGTGGCTCTCAAATTGCGGAATATGTCTGTAGAATGAAAAGTTAAGCATCCAGGAATACAATGAGATTATTAAAAGATAAGGTTGAACATTATCAGAGTCAGTCACTCCTACTGTAGATATGAATCTGCAGCCAGAAACTAGAACACATAGATTTATTAATAGCTAGTCAAGTGAGCTGTGAAGAATTAACAGTTCAGCATGTGTCGAAAGGAAATATTATCAATTACAAGCAAAACTATAATGAAGGCTCCACACTTCATTATATAACAAGATGTAATAAAAACAATGAGATATAACAATAATAATTACCTAACATAAGACATGTTACTTATTAAAGTGAGATCACATAAAACACTGTGAGCCAAAGGGTCAAAGTATGGCAATCCTGTTGTTATTAATAAAGGTGTGTTACTGGGCAACACGGGGGAGCAAAAACCTGCCCTCTTACCTGCAATAGAGGAGTACAAGTGATGCACACGGTTCTGCTGCACGGCCAGAGCTTCAGTCAGTGCTTGATTTTCTGTAGAGTAACTGTATGCTGGTTGGGGTGGAGAAAAAAAGCGGTCATGTCAAAAATCTTTTTTTTTAAATGAAAAAAAAAAAGTGTTAATTCATTCTCATGCAGCAGAAAATTAACAAAAGGTTGGGCAATGACAAGAGATACTGTATCTTTCATTTGTAAAATCAAACACATGTATAAATGTTCACAGATAAAAGTGAAGGCAAACTAATGTTGATCAAAACCCTCTGTAGTACCTCAGTCATCTTGCCTCATTGTTTATCTGTGATATGAATCCCAGATCCCTCCCTCAACTACCTTTAAAGGCTGTTGTGTTAACAGAATTTTTATACAGATGTGCTTTTGCCCAAATTGTCCTCAAACACTGAGGACTCCATTTGGGAGGAGTTGGGCTTATCCAGAAAACTTCCCTGTCTGGTCTGTCTGAAGTGTTGCATCTGTAGAAATTACAGGAAGTATCTGGATTGACTTAGGTGGCAATCCTCAAAAGTCCCCTGTCTTTATAATACCCCCCTGGACCAACATCTTGAGGGTCTGGTCTCTTAATGTGAGAGGCAAAATGTTGTTGATTGTGAAAAATGTCTTTGAAGAGACAGATCGGCTGTCTCATATCTTGTATGTACGCCTGAGTGGTTGATTATGGGCTTCAAATATTTTGATCATTAAAAAGTATTGGATCTGACATTTTGAATATATGCCATTCAATTTGAGTCTATGTGGGACAGCATTCCTAGTTAAACCATTATTGTAGGGGTCAAACTGAGGGGCCCCAGGAATATAGTTCTGGGTCCAGTAGACCTAGTCCTCCCTTTTCAAAAGGCAATGCTCATGTGCTTCTTTTTCTTCTCTTAAGTTCTCTATCTCACAAAACTGTACTAACTACAGGATTATGTTTTCTAAAGAGGAGTCCAGTTGGTGAGGACCAAAACAGTTACATAAGTCCGGGCACACTCACATTAAAGGTTCCTTACTGAAAGGGAGTGGCAATCTCTTACCGTAATACAGAACTATAAACCACAAGAAGAGCAGCACCACTATGACACTGTTGATGGGTGAGTTTGCAGGGTTTACTTTCTGTTTCTGTCAGCAAAGAGAAAAATTCCATCAGTAAACAAACTGTAAGGATCATATGACTGGAGCGAAGTGCTACTGTACAGTGTTGCTTATTATTTAGTCTCTTTAATTACACGAGATAGAGGACTATCCAGACTTGCTTCATCTCTACAAAAGCCTCTGATAACTTTGAGTGGAATTTGGCTGATTGATTCATTAAAATTACAGTCACAGATGAACTGCGCTCACCTCTTGGTCGATGTCTCTCTGCAGTTTTTTCACCATCTTATTGGATTCTTTAATTTGCTCGTCAAGGGCGTTAAAATGTTGATCCATGTACTCCTGTTGAATGCACAAAGGTGAACTCTTTAAACCACTACAATTTTTCTTTCCTTTTCACTGAGTTAAAAAAAAAAAACTCTTTGATTTACACAATTTGCAAATAACCTAGATATTATATGACACCAGAAAATTACCAACCACCAATAATCACTCAGCAATATTTCCCTCTCAAATTAGTGTTTTTATTTTGTAAGGTATAATACCCTGTGAACAGCTCAGTTATAACATCTGTCAGGTATGAAATTTATGATGTATAAAGACAAGTAAACATAAGATGTCTTCCTTTAATAGATCTTCCTTTTATAAATACACTAAATACATTAATGTTTTTATGCCCAAATGAAAATCTTAGTGGTTAGTATATAGTTTATTAACATTTCCCGGAAGTAGTCTGATACATGTGGTATCATTGGTGACCCTGGATCTGCACCAGACTTTGAAATAAATAGCATGGAGTGGACAGTATGGGTTTCACACAAACCGTTCAATGCAAAGGGACTGGAAAATCCAGTCATTCCACTTCTAGTCAGCGATAGGAATTTCCCCCTGCGTTTATAAGAAACCCTTGCTTTCATGTCACCTCACTGGATTGTTATTGTTAAACTCACAGTCAGTTGTCTCCGCAGGACAGTCGAGGTCTCAGTGGCTTGGTTCAGCTGCTTATTCTCCAGGGCACACAAGTTACAGATGTAGCGTCTGGATGTTTTGCAGTAATACTTAAGCACTTGGTCCTCATGCTGTGGACATTTCCTCTCCAGCAGGTCACTAAGAGGTTTAACCAGGGGATGTCCTGTGAACACCTGGAGCTCCTGGTGGTCCTTTACGTGCTCTTCACACATCGACACCTCACACTTCAGACATGTCTTCTTCGCCAGAGTTTTTTTCTCTGGGCAGAGGTCACAGTACACAGTTTTTATCTGCTGATCCTTTTTCACAAAAATCAAGATATGAGGAAAAAGTGTTAGACATTTGTTTACCAGTGAGAAAACATCCCAACAATAAGTTTGTTTGTAAAATCTGTCAAGATAAAAAAAAGATATCAGGTAAAAGAAATGCTTGTGGAGTCCTTACTTTCCTCTTCCTGTTCACCTTGAAGTCCTCTGCTATGCTGGACAGTGTGTAGCTCTTCTGTACCCCGACAACACGTCCGAAATAGCCCCTACAGTCTGGACATCGAAAAGGAATAAGGGTGGCATGATCAACCATGCCCTCCAGGCAGCCCATACATATACTGTGACCACAAGGTAGCTGACGAGGATCCTGAAAGATGTCCTGGCAAACTGGGCATGTCAGCATCTCTTCTAACGTTGAGTTGTCTGTGTCTTCCATTCTTGATCCCTCTTCTTCACAGAGTTCCAGTAAGCATTGAAAGAAATGACAGGAAGAAGTTTACAGCAGATTCAGAGGAGTTCTCAGTCGCTGCCTCAATACACACCTGTCTGACATAAACGACAGCTGAGCCTTTGCATGAGATAATGCGGTCTGATTGATATCATTAATCCAGAGTTAGAAGAGTCGAGCTGCAGTGAGCAGTCACTAGTGCTGTTTTTCGTTCCCTGTATGTTCTCATTGCTGAAAGTGAAAGCACTTCAGACTTTTGATTGGTACTTCCTGGTAGGCGGGGCCTCAGAGGAGGGGACTCGAGAGTAACTCTTAGGTTTGTTAGTTCAGTGTAAATGTTAATTTTAGCAAGATACCGTAATTTACAAAGATCATATAAGATAAAAACTGTTCAAGCTTCGAGTTGATGTCTATTTTTAAAGAGTTTCAACAAGCTTTTAACTACTATTGATTTGAGAAATTAGTTTAACCTTCCTCCTGTGTTAGGGTCTGTACTTGTTTTTAAATGTTTAAAAGAACCACTTAAATTAGCTTTATTTGCATCAAGACTTTTTGACTTTGTCAGGAACCTCGTTTTCAACAAAATAAAAATTTAGTTAAATTGACTTTATTATAAAATCCTCTTATTAAAACCATGACACTTGTGTTAGGGTCGCTGTTGATCCGGTTAGATTAATATCTAATAATCAGAGCAAAAACTGAAATCATATGTGTACTGTCAGGCACCACACTGACAGTCAGATCCTCTTCCAATCATGTGAGATTTAGGAAATTCTCATTTTGCCATGTTTCTCCCTACATAAAAAAAACAACATTGGGCATGTCCAGACATGAAATAAGTTCAGTATAGATGTCTGTATATGGGTTATACTGACAAAGAAAGGCCCAGAGGCCCACTACAAAAAAATTGTTACTAATATTTTCACAGATAATGAAGCCTAACAAGGTAACCTAGAGATGAGAAACAAGTTGGATGATAGATAATTGTTTTTAGTGTAATTAACAGCTGATTTAGGACACGGGTCAAAACCGACCCTTAACATAGTGGGTACGTAGTAAAAACTAACACAGGAGGAAGGTGAAAAATGAATCAAAGTTCGGACATGAAGACGTAGCCTGGCTGGGCCATCCTGTTGCGTGACTCACTTGACGTTCCTTCCCATCAGTGTGGGAAGTGATTCACGCAACAGGATGGCCCGGGCAGGCTAATGAAGACGAGCCAGAACTGGTGAAATGATCAATAATATAAATTCTTCTTTTAAATGAAAGTGTTACAAACACTCGCTGTATCTCCAAAAGCTGTCTGACAAAGTCCGGCTAATGGCAGATACGATATTGTGTAGGTGTTGATGTGTGGAGCCTCCATCTCTGTCCGAAACTGTCATGTTATTGTAGCCAAGAGTTAACTGGTGCCGATTAGATTCAATTTAACTTAACAACTAGAAATCAAAGAGTCCGCACGGGACGGTCCAAACTTTTCGAGGAATTACAATTTTAAAAATATATACAAGACAACTTAATTAGAGGGGAAAATGTAAAATGAAAAGTTATTATACTCACAAAGACAGTTGGTTAGGCTAATGTGGTCCAGCCAGTCACTCCTCGATTTTTCACAATCGACTCATCCGCTCTTGAATCTTAGTGCACATGGATAAATGCAGTTATCATTCCCGTGTACTAACAAGAACTCTGATTTTTATTTTTTTATTTTTTAGGCTGGCTGTGAAATGTAGTAATGTTCTTACACACTAGAGGGCACTTTAACCCAGGAATCGTTCACTCACACGTCTCCAGATTGCCCAGCATAAATCCACAATACTGACACTGATAATAAAGTAATCTCATAGGAGGCTAATTATTGTTTTTCATCTCTTACTATACTGTGGACTGTATGGTGTTATCACAGAAATTTGTCAGAAAGGTTTGATTTCCCGTCCCAGTGGGTCATTTACAGGTGTTTCACTGCAGTGGTAAAACAAACAAACAAACAAACAAACAAACAAACAAACAAACAAACAAACAAACAAACAAACAAAGAATTGTGTAAAAATGGGGCCTTTTAACATTTAAAAAGACCTTTTAAAAATAAGGCCTCAAATTAGGCCCCAACTCCATATAGGCATTATAGTGTACACAAGGAGTTGGTAGCTTTGTCAATTTACTATTATTATTTGTTTTAAGAATATGAATTTTACTGTATGTAACAAGATTCAGTGCATGAGAACCAGACAAACAATTTAGTCAAGCCTATGTCAAAGAGGATATAAACAAGATTAAACGAAAATATATGGAGAAATTTTTATTCTTAACATTTCAAATTACTAAAGGAACACAATTTTGGTTATTTTGATAGATGTAAATTACGATGTTTAAAATGATCAAGCACTCAGTTTGTTGAGGTTTCTCTTCTATCTTATAACTATGGTCTGGTTGGCTGATCTCTGCCCTTTTCAAGGGGAAGTGGTTTTTCATACCTGTTTTTGTCAGTTGATGTTTTATCGTTGCTTTACCTCTTTCCTGCTTCTACACCCCCCTTCTTTCATCTCTTTCTCTCCCTGCCTCATCCCTCATTTGGCCTTTCCTCATCTACCATCTGCTTCAACCTTGCTGCAACCCAACTCAGGAGCTTTTCACTGACAATCAGCAATCTTAAACATTTCACCACAGGACTACATGTGGCTTAAACCCAGAATCAAATATTGAAAGGAAGGGACCTTTACCACTACACCACAGGTAAGCCTGATCCTGCACATTGCAAAACATAAAGTGCCTCTGTCCTGGATTTGCACCAAGGACCCTTCCATGGAGTAGCAGCACCTAAACCACTATACTACAGGTAAGCCTGGCAGTACTTCCTTTTTTTTTTTTAAAGTCCTTTTTATTTTTATTTTCCATTGGAAAAAGATGGGAGCTCAGGTTTCCTTTCCAAGATAACACATTTAATTGCTATTTTGCAGGGATTGATTGTGAAATCTGATCTATTTTCTATTATGTTGTGTTTATTCAAAAGCACGGCCTAGACTGCAGGTGTGGGAAGCCAGCACTTTCTAACCATAAAAAGAAACCCCCACTTAAAACCTATTTACCATGAGGCATCAGCACTTACCCGCCTCACTAAATTGGGACTAAGCACAGTCCCAACCCCTGTGGAAGCAGCCAAGTCATGCTAGCTTTAAATAAATGAGTCTCCGCAGGTTTTTAAATGTAATTCACTCTCCTGCATCCAACGTGGTACCCAAAGTGGTTATCTCATTGGATACAGAGACAGCTTTTGACATGGTGAACATTTGTTTACATGTTTAGGGAGGTTTGGTTTTGGTCCTAATTTTATTTCCTGGGCATAACTCACCAAAAGCTTTTGTTGTCACAAGTCTCACCGTTGTCAGTTTTTATGAGGGACCCGTCAAGAATGCCCAATTAGTCTACTGATATTTTCTTTATCTATAAAACCCTTATCTATAGATCTCACATCTTAGTAGAACATCAACTATCCTTGTACACAGATGATCTATAAAGTTTTGTATCTGACCCAATTCATAGTGCACTGCCCAATATTAGTCTGCTGAAGAGATTTGGTGTATTTTCAGGGTAGAAAGTGAACTTTTATAAAAGTGTATGTTTTTCTAACAGTAGTCCAGCTCTTTAAATACAAGATCATACCTCGCCTTCCCAAATGTCTAGGAGTGGTTTTGAGCGTTTGGGCATTAATATCACCAGAGATATGCAGAAACTGTAAAAAGATTTTTTTCTATCTCCATATGAAAAAAAGAAATCATGAAGCCCCTAAAATCGAGGGCACTTTATCTTTAGCAAGGGAAATTATTAGTATTAAGATGAATGTGCTTCCCAAATTTCTTTATTTGTTTTATTGTATACCTCATAATCTCCCTAAATCTTCAAAGCTGTTGATACACCAATAACTTGATTTTTATGGAATAGCAAGAACCCTAGGTAGCAAACTAAGTTACTGCAAAGATCAAAACAATTGGGTGATTTAGCCCACCTAAACCTTCGTCTTTATAACTAAAAAATGTAACTATTGAAAAATATTATACTGGCTTACCTCAGACACAGACTCATGACTCAGACAGGTGCCATCTAGAGGCTGTATTATGTACTTGTACATCTCTCACAGTATTCCTCTTCAGATCTCACAATTCACTAATAATGCAAAAGTTAGTCACACTCCCAGGATATAGTTTTAGTTAGGAAAAATCATGGGTTCAGTCACTTCCTTATAACAAGTCCTCTATGCAATAATAATCTGTTCCCCCAACTCATGTAGACTCTGGGCATCCTTGAATTAAAAAATCCATACAGATCCATTCGTGACATATTTGCAAGTTTATACTATTTATCCCAAAAGTTTTACTATCCTCAATCCAGTGTCTTTTGTTATTTCTAAATTTCTCTATTCAACACCAGGACCCCAACTTTCCTCACATATCTTCAACCCAAGGTTTAGATAATATACCACAATTCTGTTAGGTTACTAAATTGAATCCCAAAAAGCAGAGGTGGGGTCACGAGGATGTCTTAAGCAGAGGTTTATTACAAACAAAAATTAAGCAGGCAGTGAAGGCAGGGATCCGGCTGGTTGGAGCAAAAAAACTGCAGCAATATTGGCAAACTGGAGATCCTGGTCAGAGAAGAAACACAAATGAGCCAAATGAACCAACAAAGTTCAAAAATTTCTCATAAACACTAAGAACTGAGTACATAGAGAGCTCTACCATACAAGACAGAATTATCTGGCAGTGAAGTGGAGTTCAGACCAGGCTGTTAAAGGCAGCTTGATTGACTAAGCGACCCCTTGTGTGCCTAATCAGCTGGTGTAGCAGAGTCAGCCTATCCCTGCCTCACACAGAAGCTGCAGAAAAAATAAAAAAAAAAAAACAGAAAAGGAGGGGGAGGGAAAGCAACAAAACAACAATACAACACAGAATCATCTCACAAATACTTATTTCAAAAAGTCTGATTTCTAAAATTAATGGTTGTTTTGCTTCTCTTAAAAATTCTACGTTTGAGAAGTCCAAGGCAGACAAGGAGAGAGAATTAGAGGTTGACATGGACGAAGATATGTGGAACTCTGCTCTGCAAAGAGTTGATAATAGTACTTTATGTGCAAAACTTATCCAATTCAAAGTTCTTCACTGAGCCCACCTCTCTAAAGAAAGACTGGCTAAAATGTACCCAAAACCTTAATGCCAGCTGTGACAGATGTGACTATACTCATATCATTATACTTAACTCACATGCTTTGGTTATGTCCTGTTCTCGTAACTGATTGGACTGAGGTATGAAAATTTTTTTTGTCAGAGGCACATTCTGCTCCTCACAGCCTCTTCTCTGGACAAACTCTGCCCTCTGGTGTCTAAGCCTGCCAGAAACACTCCACCCTGTCCCTGGCTCACTGAGGTCATCAGAGAACAGAAGGGAGGGCTAAGGGCGGCAGAGAGATAATGGCATAAATCCAAACAATCCACTGACTTAACCGATTATAAGCAAAGCTTACCTCATTTTCCTTAGCTTTAAAATCTGCTAAGAAGTCGTTTTTATCAAGCATAGATTTGTGCTGCTACTGATTCACACAAACTCTGCTCTGCTTTTAACGCTCTCCTCTCCCCTTCAAATCCACAACCCTCCACTATGTTGACTTCGAACATGTTTGCCTCATACTGACAGGGTTTCTACCATCAGTAATCAATTCTCTGAGCCTGACCAAGTCAGCTTTCCTCCAGCAGCTGGTGATACCTCACTTAGCTCTTATCAACCGAGTAAAAGCGGAAAAAAAAAAAAAACACTCTCAACCCAGCCCAGGTTGTAAATTACAGGCCTGTCTCACTTCTCTCATTCCTACCAACAATACTGGAGCACACAGTCTTCAGCCAGCTCTCAGAATATCTATAGAACCACAATCTACTTGATCTGAATCAGCTTGGATTTAGGCAAGACCACTCTACTGAAACTGCACTATTGTCAGAACTGGGATTGTTGCGTTTGGCTAAAGCGGCTGGTCAATCCTCTGTTCTCTTGCTGCTAGATCTTTCTGCTGACTTTGACACAGTAGACCACCAAATCCTCCTCTCCACAATCTCCTTTCTTGGTATCTCAGGGTCTGCTCTTGAGTGGTTCAAGTCCTACCTCACAGGGAGATCTTTTGGAGTATCATGCAGGGGAGAAGTTTCCAATGTGCATGACTTATGAACAGGGGTGCCTCAGGGGTCAGTGCTTGGTTCCCCTGCTTTTCTCAAAATACACCACATCACTTTGTAAAATCATCCACTCCTACAGATTTTCCTATCACCAGGACAACGCAACACAACTGTCTCAGCTCAGATCTCATTCTGCCTTGCTGACATTTCTAAATGGATGAGGGAATGTCACTTTCAGCCCAACCTGTACAAAACTAGGCTTATTATCATTCCAACTCGCCCCCACTGTGGACTGTGTCCCACAATTCCACATGGTAATTTCTGGTTCTAAACACCTGCATCTTATTGTTACAGAGAAAATAAAATAGGCTTTGAGGCGTGAAAGTAAATTTATTTTATCAAGACTTTATTTTGTTCTGTCCTTATAAAAAAGTTCTTCAGTAATTCAACAAACGTGAGATCTGCGCTGTCTGAAAGAATTTCAACAAGACAGGGTGAACAAATTGAGTGGGTGTCAAATTTCAAATATTTAGGATTTTTAATTGATGATCAATTGTCTTTTAAGGACCACATTTTGTATGTTACCAAAAAACCTATACTTTTCTAAGGATTTTACTACAGAAATAAGAGCTGTTTTTCTTTTGGTGTTAAAAGTAAATTGGTGGAAACAACCTTCTTTCCTGTTATTTACTATGGAAATGTGTTTTACACAAACGCTTCTGCTCACTGTCTTTCAAGGCTTGTAAGTGTGTACCACAGGGCACTAAGATTCATTACCAACTGTCATCCACTTACTCACCATTGCATTCTCCACTCTAAAGTTAACTGGACTTCTTTAAGCATTTGACGCCTCACTCACTGGTATATCTTCATTTACAAAGCCATTCTGGGCAATATCCCGTCATATTTGTCTAATCTCTTAACAAGAAAGCATGGAAGTTACAATCTCCATTCGATGGATGTTCTATAGTTAGTTGTCACCAAACTGTCGCCACTGAACTGGGCATGAAGATACCTGGAACAAACTACAGTCTGAACTTTGTCTTCAAGCTCTTGTGACAATAAATGAATTTACAACTGTAGTGAAATCATTACAATCTACCTCATCTGTGTGTAAATGTTTTATGTGAGATTGTTTTAATGTTGAGATGCTGTGAACTTTATCTGTTGAAGGAACTACGATGCTGCCCTCTTGGCCAGGTCTCCCAAACATTACCTCAGAACGGTACAAAGCATAACGAAGGTAATGACATGTAAACAGCCAGGTACAAAGGGATTTTTCCTCAGTTCTGAATGTGATGTGATCATCATTCAAACACAAAAAAACCTCTGATTTATCTGTGTTGTACAGAAAAGTGTTTTTTATTAACACACAAAAAAACAGGTATCAGGATTTTGATAAGACTAAACCAGACAGTGGTCTATGTAGAGTATCTATACTAGAGTATAAAACAGTATTCAAAAAGACATGAAACCTTACATTCACTTGCCAATTAAAGAGTGTAATAACAGTGTTTAATGCTTTAACTTTTTCACAAGGGTAGTTATGACACCTGTCATAGAAAGAAAAATAGAATATACACTGCCTGGCCAAAATAAAAGTCACCACCTGGATTTAACTGAACAAATTAGCAGACCAACAAAAAATGAGGGTGTTACCTTCTTTTTGGTGGCGACTTTTTTTTTGCCCAGTCAGTGTATTTCGAAACAAAAAACTCTTTAAAAAGAGATCAATACTAAGTAAAAAAGGTATAAAAAGAACAGAGACCAAAAAGTACTTTATATACAGATTTAACTATTATATTGCAGTTGAGAACGTGACCTCTGCCATAAATCTCCATAGCTTTTTTTTTTGTCTATAAAAGCACAATATTTTACTGACAAACTATAAACTGTTTACAAAATACAACAATCTCAAAGGAGGTAGAGTATATATCAGCATGTATGTAGTATACCTGGTGCCAGGTGGAGGAGATCTCTTACAGTTTCTCAGTCGAATTCTAAATTGTTCAAACCTGCACATTGGCCAGTCCTGATATGCTTCCAAAAGTAAAGATAAAAAAAAAAAATGCTAAAGTATATAGGTCCTCCTTAGTTAATACATAGCTTTTAAGATGGACTAATAATATCAGCAGTTATTCTGGATCTCTATCCGCTCCTGGGCTGCTTTTCTTAACACTGTATGACAGTCTTTGACAAAATGTCCATGTAGATTCTCATTCATCCAGGTCATGGTTATCTTGAAGACTTAAAAAACAGGCAACTGGACTGTGTAGAGTTGAGAAGACGTTTCGCCTCTTATCCAAGAAGCTTCTTCAGTTCTAAAAGTGCTAGTGTCAGGAGCAGATATTTATCTGCTCCCGGGTCATCAGAACACTCAACCACCGGGCTGAGAACATTCCCACGAAGAAAGAAGGTAAGGAAAAGGAACAAAAGCACATCAAAAATGCCCTGACAACCTGTGGATACCCTAAGTGGGCCTTTGTGAAGAACAGAAAGAGAAAAAACACTGAACAGGAAAGGGAGGAAAGACGCAAGAGCACTGTAATCCCTTACGTTGCAGGCCTGTCTGAAAAACTCAAGAGGATCTTTGGCAAACACCACATTCCTGTTCATTTCAAGCCTGGTAACACACTAAGGCAGAGGCTAGTCCATCCCAAGGACAAAACACCGAGACATAAACAGAGCAATGTGGTATATGCTGTCCAGTGCAGCGAGGAATGCTCAGACCTGTACATTGGGGAAACTAAACAACCGCTTCACAAGCGCATGGCTCAACACAGGAGAGCCACTTCCTCAGGTCAGGACTCAGCTGTCCACCTTCACTTGAAGGATACGGGTCACTCTTTTGAGGACAGCGATGTACAGGTGTTGGCTCGAGAAGACAGATGGTTTGAAAGAGGAGTTAAAGAAGCCATCTTTACCAGGCTGGAGAAACCTTCTCTGAACAGAGGGGGTGGACTCAGGCACAATCTCTCTGGCACTTACAATGCTGTTCTCAGCTCTCTCCCCAGGAAGCTCCACAAACATTCACACCTGGAACCACACGACTCAGGTGGCATGAGTCATGTGGTCACATGATAGGAGTCGCTAACGACCCTTTCAGGATAACGACTTGGGGGACACACACCGAGAGATGGGTTTCTACGACCCATTCTTTTCAACTCCAGCCAGTCGTTAACTGTCCCCCTTCTCCAGTAAGATAAATATCTGCTCCTGACACTAGCACTTTTAGAACTGAAGAAGCTTCTTGGATAAGAGGCTAAACGTCTTCTCAACTCTACACAGTCCAGTTGCCTGTTTTTTAAGTCTTCAAGATAGTCTTTGACAAAGTGTTTTCTGACTGAGGTAGAAAACGTTGCAAACACTGCAACAAGCTAGTGTTACCACAGCTAAAAGCCAGCGATAGTCCTGAATGAAGGAACAAAGCCAAAAGCACACTGATGTTTCTCCAGATTCTTCATGATCCTGAACATCTTCCCACAGGCAGTGCAGTTGAAAGGCTTCTCTCCGGTGTGAAACCTCAGGTGTGCTTTCAGATTGTCTCGCAGACGGAAGCTCTTGTTGCACTGCGTGCAGGTGTGAGGCCTCTCTCCTGTGTGGAACCTCAGGTGTCGGCGGAGGCTCTTCCTTAAAGCAAACGTCTTTGAACACGACGAACAGGAGTACGGTTTTTCTCCAGTGTGAAAGCGCTCATGCCGTCGCAGGATCTTCCTCCGCTTGAAGGTCTTCTTACAGATACTGCACATGTATCCATCACGGGAGTGGGTGACCACCTTCTGTAGCCGCCAAATGCCGTTTTCACAAAGAGTGAAGCAGCAAAGGCGATGGCCTGTGTGGAGACCTTGGTGGGAGCGAAGGTCTTTGGGCAGAGGGGAGCCACTTTTGTGGTTAGCATCGTGACTTTTAAAAACACCCTTTGTTTTGGCTTCGGTCACTTTGAGCACATCCACCAGTTGAACCTCACAGGAATGCTTCAGCTTTTTATCAAGAGGAGTTTTTAGTTTAAGGCGGAGGTTCGTCTTTTTTGGCATGTGGACCTTTTTCTGAACTTTACCCGCGGCAGGAGTCATAGCTCCATCAGACAGGGATGGACTATAAACCTTGCCCTTGGCAATGCTGACGCAGGGTAGCCCGGGCTCTGCTTTGACAGGGTTTTTTGAAGTCTCTGGTTTGCAAGCTGTGGACTCTTGTTTGAGGATTAATGGGCAAACAAAGTTCACCCTCTCCCCAGAGATGATGTCACTTGTATCTGGCTGGATGATGAGTGGCTTCTGTTTAGATAGAGAGGATCCATGTCTTAATGTCTCTGATGATTCTGTCAAAGATCATAAAGACATGTTTGACTTACATTTGCAGAACAAAAACTGTTTTTCAGCACTGTAGTGTTAAGTCTTCAAAAGTAGTGAGGTGTAACTGCTTCATAGTTTGAAAAAAGCTTGAAAAAAATTCTCAAACTGCTGTCAAGCCAGTGTTTTATCAGCTGCCGGGGTGTTGTCAACATCCTATTAATCCTATTTGTCTTAACAAGTCATAAAAAACAAAGTCCTCCCCGACAAAACTTGGTGACTGAGATGTTACTTTTAGCGGCTGATGCAGCCTCCTCTTGACACACTATGAGGTTGAAATGTAAAACCTTGTAAACTGTTTTTCATACATCATTATATGCCTTCAGTGAATAGATATGACAGTGCATGAAGTAGAAAATGGCAAATTGAGTAGGGAATAACCTTAGTCTTTCTACATGCTAAGCTGAACAGGCGGTCTGTGTAAATTCTTTTTTTGTGTGTATCAGTTTGCACAATTGTGTGATTTTTCTGTCATGTGCTTTAATAAATCTCTAAATACAAATAAAAAAAAAAGGAAAGCTTTTTTTTCTGGTGTGCGCTAATTCTTGACTTACATATACTTCTGTTTTCTTAAGTATATATCCTGTATAAACCTACCTGTCTACAGTGGATGGGGGCCGGATTGTATCCTGTTACCCCCTGTGACACAGGTTTACGACGGGTTAGTGCAAAGTTCACTTCTGTTATGCATTCAACTGCAGTGCGCAGGAACAAAACCTACAAATGTAGTGCACTGATAAACTGTGCATCCTCTGTTTTTTTTGTAAGCAATATGTATTTTGAAATATTTACACTATTAATTTATGACATTAAAAAACACAAACATATTTGAAGACAACTTACACTTCCAGTATTGTGTTATTGGTAAAATATTTGTTCTTCCAAAAAAACAGTTTTTCTTTCCCTTGAACTGGGTCATAAAACAGCCGTCAGAGTCCTCCAGTCCTCCTTGCTTGACACTTCCTCTTTTGCCATTTTTAATTTGCTCTCGTAAGAATCTTAAATAAACTTAAGTCGTTGCAACCTACACTGTGTGAGGCTCTACTCTTTGTAACTTGTGCAAATCTCTTTTTTTTTCATTTTGAAACCATGTTAAATGCTTTTCTTGTGTTTGTCATCACATCCATCTTGACCATCATGATCCATCTTGACAATCATGGGATCTGACGACAGTCAGTTAGTTTGTTATGATGATTTTGATTAAAACCTTGAAATTGATTGTTTCACGTTCAGGTTTTGTCTTTTATTTCCCTTTATCAGTGGTTGCAAGTTTACTGTGCTGTGACCAGTGCACAAGTATAACCCCTTTTAATTATGTGCCTTTTTCTAATGGTTTCTTGTTTTAAAAGGTGGATGTGAAACCTTGTTCTGAACTATTTCCACTGGCTAAACAAAAGATAAGGTCATTTAGATCTAGACAAACTGACAGTGTGGTGAAAGTACTTAGGAGAGGACTGTTGGGAAACTTACACACCTAAGACACATACATTCGCTTTCAATGGCTTATCTGTGGAAAATTCATTTTGATGTATCAAAATGTTGGCTGTGCTACAGATTTTTTTGGGGTTGTATTATTATTATTATTATTATTATTTCATTGCCTTTAGTGCAGTGACACCTGCAAATGTTTCAAGACAAAGGCAATTGACAAAAAAAAAAAAAAACACCAACTGGATACCCAGTAATTACATCTAATACATTAGCCAGGCTATATCAGTTTATCTGTACCTGTTGAGCCTGTTTGCATAATTGTTTTCTGATGTTTGAAATTTTCCAGGGTGTGTACTGGCCTTGAATAAATCCCTGCAGAGTTCTTTTTCTTACCATTCAAAACAACCTCTGTTTGAGGATCACTCTCAGCCTTTGTCCCTGCTTCAGACTCAATCAACTCCACCAATTCCATCCCTTCCACCTTCACCTGATTAGAGGAGAAACATAAAACTTGTGGGTATGCAGGACAATTCGTACAAGGAGAACAAGCTTGGTGAAGTTCACTCAGTTAAGACACAAATGTGATAAGGTGTTCTGTTATAAGAGAAACAGCCCTGGCTCTGGTGGTGTGATAATGTATTAACATCCCTGTAAATCCTCACTGACCTGCTCCTTTAAAGAGGACCACTCGGAGTCAACTCGACCATTATCTTCAGCCAGAAGGATTTCTGAAGGAATGAGGCACCCCTCCACCACCACCTCCATCTCCTCCCCGAAACCTTTCAAACAATCACCATCTAGAAGGGGAGAGGGGCCTGTGGAGAAGGAAGGGGGGAGGGTTGAGCCATAAGGACACACAACAACATTCCTTTGAATCGGGTTTGCAGAGGGGACACTCTGCACGACCTCACTGTAACAAACATTAATGAATGATGGGGTTTGCAAAAGCTGATTGCAAATGGTGCACAGGCGTTGTTGCATGCAAAATTTGTTTATCTGTTTCTTTTATCAGTAAGGGAGAACTAGTCTGTACTTTGCTCATGCATCTATGCTTGCAGAGTAGCCCTGGACAAACAGGAAGTCAGTGCATTTAAACCTCAACAGATACCAACCACATAGCTTCAGCGGCACATAAATGTCCTCATCCACTTGCACTCCGATACTACGTTTGCTGCTCCCCGACGTTAAGCTGTCCCGTTTCTCGATGGTATCGCTTTCCTTTCTGTCCTCGGTGCGGCCCGTCTCCACACCCAGCGCCGAGACTCCGTACCTGCTCTCGAACAGTTTGGTCAACTCCACCGTGGCAGCTTTGACCAGCGCTCCCAGCACCGACTCCACCTGCTGCTGGAGGTTCACTCCGCCGTCCGACATCTTCACGGTTCCGACTTTACAGTATCCGCGTCGGTACAACAAAAAAATCCGACTGGAATCGAGGTTAAAATTTAGCTTCGATCATTATTTACCATCCGAAGCCACATGGTTTGCAGAAAGAAGGGGCGTGTCTCGAACTGGCGCAGGCGCGGAAAACAGGGTAGCGTGAAATCCGAGGGGCGGGGCTTAATGATTGAAAAAGGTGGCACGGAGAAGAGGTATCGTCCAAATTAAACCAAGCAAGAAATCCTCCTTTGTCGGTCTTATTGTTATCTCTTTGTGTTTTTCTCTCGTCTCCCTATAAATAGTAAAATTTGTCTGCCAAGCTACAGTGGTCCACGGAGGTAGACATACTTCTCCCTCTCCTCGAAAGACAATTGAAAAAATAAACACAAAAAAATGTCACCGCATGTTAATCATTGAGAAATCAATTCTAAATAAGTAAATAAATACGACCACCAACACAACGTTAAAGGTGCATCTTAAGAGTCTTAAACACCAATAGTCTTTAGTCAAAGTCATCTTAAGTCAAAGATTATGTAGGGGAGAGTGGGGTAAGATGAGCCATTTTTCATAATCGGATCACTACATCAAGGCAATCATAGTTTTGTCTGTAACTAGTGTATCTGCATATATTTCAAGATGTTGTGCATCCCTGCAAACCAAAAGAGTGAGTGTAAACATAACTGTCTTGATAATGTAGCATGCCAACCCCCCCCCCCCCCCCCACACACACACACACACACACACACACACACTCTCCACCCCAGCCCTCCATCACCTTCTCTCTCCCTAAATAACAGTCACTTCTTCACATTTATGTGTATTTTTATCTATTATACACTATTCAACTGATACAAATATTCTTTTTATTGTTATTGCTAAAAAGCTGTTTTGTAAAATAACAAACAAAAAAAAAACATTTTAACAGTGATTCAGAACATTCACAGCTCAGCTGTATTTTAGAAAAGAAAAAGTAACACATTTCAACAATCTGAACTGAAACTCTGATCCTCTCATCAGACTCCTTTACTTTCTCATTTGACTCACTGGCTCAACTTACCCCAGAACTACTATCATGACTTTATAAGTCCTCTAAGCTAAAATGATGGACTTTTATGCTAGGTTTTTGACATCATGTTGTAGCTCATAGATACCACAATTGATGTTTAAAACAAATTCACATTGATCTTTTTTGGTCTGTACACAATTCTAATAAAAATTTATGACAGACTAAATTCACTTTCAAGAGAGAAAAATGATTTTTTGGAAATAAATGTCTAACCCCTTCACCCATGTGCTTCTAACCTTCACAGATTCAATGAATTGATGCCCATCTCCTAAATATTTGGTCACATGATCAATTTCTTTTACCATTTCCAAGAAACAGGGGGTGGCTCAACTTACCTTTTGGCTCAACCTACCCCACTCTCTCCCCTATTCATTTGATCATCTTATTTCTCATCGTTGGGGTTCCGTAATTTGTGTATTAAAATTTAAGAATACAAACCTATGTTCATGATGTGGGGTACTGTTTCACCCCTTTTTTATTGGCAAATCTATCCAAAAGTACCTGTCTGCACACACAGCAGTCCTCCATATGTGCATGCACAGTGGGAAATTTGACCTTCACTTGGTAATTGAGATATAAGGCAATCTCATCAGCAGAAGCTGACTTTTATTGTATTTTCCACAGACTTTCTCAGTAAAAAGTCAACAGACGTGCAGAGGTTAAAATTTCAAGATGCTTTTAGGAATAATGCTGGGTAGCTATTTAATGACGTAGCTCCAAACAGGCACTGTTTCATCTCAGCTGTTATCAACAATAGAGACCATAAAAGCCCAATAAATCTTCAATTTAAAAAAAGTCAACTCAAAGATCTATTTTAAACGCCTCTTATTTCCACCTAGAAGAGACACATTGTTTCTGTAGCTTTCATCCATTCATTTAATGCTAAGTAGATTATTATGCCTTTTGCTGATGTGTATTTATCCATCAACGGTGGTTCTCAACTTGCAAATGTGTCTCCAGATGTAAGTAAAAAAATCTACACAGAGATAATGTATAATAATTTTATGATGTAAAGATGTAAAGGGCATTAGACTTCCTTCAGGATGAGACAAGTCCCCTCCACTCCTCTTCTGGTCCCACTCAACCTGATGGAATTTCAATCATAAAGACCAGAATACCCTGCTTGTTACCCATTTACCAGCTAAAGCTTTATACAAGACAATAAAGTATTGATTTCAAGATAATTATATTAACCAAAATTTTTCTGCTAAATGATATGATGTGATGTGTATGTCTGGTTGTCCCTAGTGTTTCCCTTACTATTCAGAATCACTGACTTTGATTATGGGGTTTTGACCAATCAAAACATTGAACACAGCTAGAGGTGACTGGCTAGTAATGCATCATAAACCCTGTCTCACATTCAGGTTACAATACACAGCCCTTCTATGCACACACACAAACGCTCACACACGCGCACACACAAACTACAAACAGTCTATTAGATCTATTAACACTGTATTAGTGGATGCTGCAATGAAAATAAAATATTCAACTAATGAGAGCCTTGTAAACCTATTGTAAGGGTGAGGTGGGGTTTCCTTGAGTTTTGCTGGTTGTGTTAGTTGAAAAATATTCATTGACAGATTTTTCTCACTTATTCACATACACACACTTTTAAAGAAGGTATACACTTATGGTATTTCTGTCCAAGCTGTTGTTTATTTAAGACTTTACAGTTACTTAAATTCCTCTTGTTACAAAAATAGAATAAGGCTGTTGTCATTTTCATCATTGTAGAAAACATCCATATGATGCACAGCACTTTTGGTGCACAGCGTTACATTGAGTTCACAGATTAGGCTGGTGATATTTCAGACCCGTCAGAAAATCCTGCTAGCACCTTCTGATTAGACTTCAGTTGTTAAAATACTGGGGCAAACAAGAAAAGAAGAGGACAAATACGACACATTCAAACAGCAACACACTCCACAGATGGACTCAGACATATTGCATACAACACTGAAACAGTACTTAGGAAAATAAACCTTGAGTAATAGCAGTAGATGGAAGTTTTGAAAGAATTTCTTCTTTTATTGTACCAGACAGTGTTACATGTTGGAATAAAGGCACTGTGGGTTCTTAGTGTTTTGTTACATGGAGATCTGAATGTGTAGGGGAGAGGGATGAATAAGTTATGGAATAATGTTCTTGAAGGATGAAAAGAGAAGATGATGAAAAATGAGATATCAAAGTTTCATGTTCAAAATAAGAACAAGATACAAAATGTTATGATCTGACATTGTTAATGATGTTGACTTGAAACTGCATTGGTCAGAAGTGTAAATAATACTTGATGATTTAATAATCGTCGTCGTCGTCATCATCATCGTCATCATCGTCGTCATCATCGTCATCGTCATCATCGTCATCATCATCATCGTCGTCATCATCATCATCATCATCATCGTCATCATCATCATCGTCGTCATCATCATCATCATCATCGTCATCATCATCATCGTCATCATCATCATCATCATCATCATCATCATCATCATCGTCATCATCATCGTCATCATCATCGTGATCGGGGTCAATTTCACCTGACAGAACAGCCTCAAGCCAGTCCTCCAGTTCATCTGCAGTGGGCATGTCATCGCCATCGTCCATGTCCAGCCACACACTGTCAGCCTGCAGAGCATAGAAAAGAGGTTTTTTTTTTTTTTACAGTTTTTTAAAGAAAATATACACATGTTTTAAATTTGATGCCAACAAGTTAGCGACATGACTGGGTAGAAAAAGGACACCAAGAGAGAGTGACTCTCAGGAGTAAACTTTGTTAGGGACTGCTTGAGCAAATAGTTCAGCGATTTCAGAATGTTGTTCCTCCCTGAAAAACAAAAAAAATCTACAGTACATACATTCTTAGATGATGTTAAAAATTCACAGGGATGCCTGTACAAAAAAGACAAGGCCACAAACCAACACTGGATGGCTATGATTTACAGCCCTCAGGCAGGACTGTAATCAAAACAGACCTGACTCTTTAGTGGAAATCACAACATGGGTCCAAATTCACTTTAAAATCCATTGTCTGTGAGTAAAGTGTATCATGCTAAGAGGAACTAGAGATACAGAACAGCAACTTCACAGAGCTGAGGCAGAGTGAAAACTGTCCTGTGACTTGACAAGTTATACTGGACATTCTTTCTGGAAATCATGGACACCACATCCCCTGCTTCAAAGAGGATGGGGGCCACCTGGCTTGCTTTCAGTGTGCAGCTCAAAAGCTGGTATTCCTAATGACATAGGGATGCATGAGTGCCCAAGACATGGGTAACTTACACATATGGGAACACACATCAATGCTGAACAATGTAGGCAGGACTTGAACTTACACATGCTGCCATCTGGACAAAGCATTTTTCAAGGAAGACCTCAAACATTTCAGAAAACCACAGCCAAGCCCTATTCTGCACATATTGCAACAGCTTGGCTCTGTGGAAGTGAAGTCTTGGAGCTAAAATGGCCTGTCTGAAGTGCTGACCAGACCTGTTGATGTATTTTTATCTCATGGTGAATCATGAGATGAAAAAACATCAAAAGATACCCTGGACTGTTGCACAGCTGAAACAAGATAAGAATGGGACAACAGTTTCATGGAGTTGAGGTTTTATCAGACTAATTTACTGTATGAATTTTATAAATACCCCCAAACTGAAAGGGTAGTCTGTCATTTGAGTTTCTTCATCCCTGATAGTGGAGTGAAAACTGACAGGCCTATAGGTTGTTTATTGTATAGAAGTGTAGGCCTCTCAAGGAAGAATGACAGGATGGACCAAATGATGACCTTAAACCAGTGGTTCTCAAGTCCAGTCCCCCCCCCGTCCTGCATGTTTTGGATGTTTCCCTGCTCCAACACATCTGATTCAAATGATCAGCTCGTTATTAAGCCATTACAGAGCTTGTTAACGAGCTGATCATTTGAATCAGGTGTGTTGGAGCAGGGAAACATCCAAAACATGCAGGACAGGGGCGGCTCGAGGACTGGACATGAGAACCACTGCCTTAAACCAATTATTATCTCAACTCAAATAGTTCTTTGAAATAAAAGGGTACAAACGACCCCAATATCTCCTGAGAAAGTAACACCATCCTATTGGATAACCATCTGAGGCGAGCCCACTTCCTGCTCAACCACTGGACAACCTAAAGTTTCTAGGACAACATAAAAATCCCATGGAGAAACTTGCCAAAAGTGTGTGGCAAAAAAGCAAATCAAAGCATTTAGAAAAGGCTCTTACATGCCCCCCTACATTGCTTTCTTTCACTGAAATATGTTACAAGACAGTGGTGGTAACAGAAAGACCCTTATTCTGTAACACCTGCGAATCCTTGTACAGTAGTGGCACATAGCTTTGCTCTGCATCCACATGTTGGTCCACACTAATAAGCTGCAACCTTTTCATTTAACATAAAAAAATAAGTTCAGCTGAGCCGTCTTGATTGAATTGATCTCTGTAAATGTTTGATGGTCTCTACATTTAGACATTTAGAGCAGGAGGTCTCAGATGGTCAATACCAACAGATAATCTGAAAAGGCTGATATTTGTGCTCAAACATACTCCAATGTTTGGAAGAGTAGCTAAATAACGGCAACAGGTCTGAAACCAGGGACTTCAAACAAGGAGATACAGAGGCTGCCTAGACCTTGAAAGTCCGACACAGCCCTCACAACCTAAAGATGGCTTGGGGTTTTTCTACCAGGAGAACCTTCTTTAGCGATCTATACTTTACCCTTGATTTAACAAAAGCTAGGCTGTAGGGGTAAACATGCTACTTATAGCTACTAAAGAGAGAAGCTTCTGGTTCATAAATGACTCCAAGCACAAGGCACAGGATTTCAGGGTTGTCTTGTTTCATTCAGAGGTTTAAGATGTGAGTCTTTCTAATCACTTGAACATGACACTTAAAGGCCTGTTGGGCTGAGGACCAAACAACAGACTTGAGCAACAAGTAGCGTGTTAGTGTCTCCCTGAACCAGTCCAACGGGGAGAACTGGGGAAGTTATACTTGGTGCCAAGCAACGTGAATATATATCCATCAGCCCCACTGAAACATCACTTAGAGTGTTTGTGCTAAAGCAGCAAAACAGACAAAAGCAAAGCCAAACTATGGCTGAAGAAGCAAAAAATATTACTCACATCATCAGCCTCGACGACACCAATCTGTGGGTGGGACAGGTCAATTCCAAAGGTCTTCTCCCAGTGAGGCAGAAGCTGCAGATAGGAAAGACAGTTAATCCACATGTTGGTTTCAGTCTCACAGAAATTTTTTCATGACTAAACCTCATTGCTCAGTTTACTGGGTGTTGGTAAGTTTTGACGGTTTCTTGTACATGAAAATTACACCTTATTTTATTCTTACCAGGGGGAAGTCATCAGGGTCAACCCAGACAATGCTGAGGTTAGGGTTGTCTGTGTTATCCTCGGCAACTTCCTTCAGGATCTCAAGGAACTCATAACCGTCTGTGGAGAAGAAAGGGTGAAAATTCACAGAAGTATCAATGGAGAGAATCAACAGCATGGCATATCCGTCATTCCCCATTGGCTGCATGGGATATTCTTTTGGAAAGATAAACATTAAACCATTGCCATACACAAACCTCTTCAAAAATATTGCTGAATGTTCATAATTGATTTAGGATTTACCTGGGTCAGCCTCCTCTGCAAAAGCAATTATATGTTCTCCATCAATATGATCCTCCTGTGTAGAAATTAAAGAAAAAATTTAGCCAACTGGGTTTGACATGTTGACAGTGATTTAGGCTGTCGCAATAGACTTAAAAAAAAAAGAAATATTATGTCATGCTTAAAATCATCTCACAGTTTTACATGTAACTAATAATCACATCATGATTTTCATGATAAAAGGGAGGCGTGCTGCCCACTTAATTCAAAACAATGTTTCCGCTAGCTCATAAGTCTTTTGGATTTTGTAAGAAAGACAGGTCGCTGCCCGACATCATCCAATGCGGAATCACAAGCAGAAGTGTAGTTAGAAGTTTAGGTTGCAGGTAAAAAAAAACAATTTTGAACATTATGAGTAATTAATGAGCAGATGTCAGTTAGTCAACTGGACTTATACGAGGCCAAAAAGTCAAGTTTAGCAATTCAAAGTGCTTTACAGAGTTTAAACACAAACCACAACATTGACAGGAATTAAAAATCAGACATTTGTCAAACATTAGCACTAATTATACTTTATACCTGTCTTTCCTTTTCTTAGTATGACTGACATCATAGTTTTTTTCAAAGTGCCCCATAAATATTATGATAATATTATATTTGAGTTTTTTTATCACTGTAATTGTGAGGTGGAAATTTAACAGTGTTACAGCCCTAATAAACCTCCTAAACCTCCTCTCTCTTCGCTGCAGGACAGAAAGATTCAAATGATCTTTTGTACCCACATAGAGACATGACAAATGAAATGACAGACAGCTGAATTTCCCTTCGGGGATCAATAAAGTTATTCATATTCTCATTCTTGATAGTGTTATCTTTTAGCCAAAAATCGATTTTTAACTACTCTTTGATACAAATAATAATAAAAATACTTAGGTTTGATATCAATTCATATAAATCCATTTAAGCCATGCTAGCCCAAAGATCACAATGTTTTGCTGTTTGAGACACTTGAAAAGAAACAGAGCCTTAAGATCTTACTCCCTTCAGAAACCCATATTCCCATCACCATGTTACAGTTTTTAAAAAGCTTTATTGACAAAAGTCAAACGAAACACATCTTTGTCAAGTTCAAGTTCTTACCCAGATCTCATACATGTTGTGTGGTTGCAGCTTCCTCAGGGTTGGTCTAAGGAAGTAGAGAAGAAAAAGATATGTTTTATCTTTTTTTTGTACAAAGGATTAAGATATTGTCTAATCACAACACTATTGTTGTATAGCATTAATGTGATCTACCTGTCATTATCTTCAATGAAGTCCACCAGTTCATCCTCAGTGTAAGGTTTTCCAGGGATAACCACTGGGTCATCCATGAAGGGTTCATAGAAGTCGACCTCGTTCAGCTTGAGATCCAGAGCTTTGGCAACCTGCAACAAAAAGAAAGGATCATAGCCAACAAGTTTTCATGAAGGGCTGAGCCATGGTATTAATGGTTTTTCACAAAAGGACAAAAAAAAATAAAAGCACTAATTCAGGCTCAGGTTTGTCAACTGACAGAATGAGAAACAGAATTCAGGGGGTGTTTTTGTTCGTTGAATGTCTGTGAACTCCTCCTTAAAACATACTAAAATACCTTCATTCTTTTTTGTTTTTTTTGTTTTAGCTGTGTCACCATTGACCATGAAAAATCTTTTTACTTGTCAACAATGTTCTCAATTATCAAGCACAGTCATACCTAAAAATCATTTTACAATGGCCTTAGTACAAGACTTAATCGCCGTGATCAGACCTATTCATACCTCACTGTGATACCAGTAAGCCTGCAAGTGGCTCTCCTCCTTGGTACTAGTATGGGAAGCAGAGCCTCTGAATAACAAGGTCCCCTCTGGTGTAACAAACCTTACATTGAGTCCAAGAAGCAGACATCCTGGGTCGAAACTGTCTTTTGTTAAATTTCATGGTCAGTAGCTGGCTAAGCTAACTCTGGACCAGCCATTGTGATGCTGCTAAAAGCCTAGACTACGGAGAGACTTAAGAAAACAAGCTGCTTTCCCCATCTCTCTCCCACTTTCTTGACAGTGAAGAAAATGTATGGTCTGTAACAAGTTTCAGATATATGTAGGAAAGATTATCACTCTAAGGCGGTTGGTTGCCTACATTTGAAATAAAGTTTTCACATTTTAATCAGTGGTTCAATTTGAAAGACGTTTAAGTCTAATTGTGGAGTGCCTCAAGGCTCACTTTTTGGCCCACTGAGTTTTTTGAAAGTTGTAATGATTTATACTTGCATGGATAATTGGGATTGCAATAATTATTGCCTCTCTGTACAGTCAGTATAAAGGATACATTTTTCCTCAACAGTATTTAAGAGTACACAATAGTGATCTGAAGCGTTTAATCAAGGTTGAGTGGTTATATCTCACCTTGGGACTGAATGTGGCATAGAACTTGATATGAGGATGGAACTCTTCAGCAGCATCAGCAAATTCATTGAAATCTGAAATTTAAAGGCATTCATGAGTTCATTTCAGGTGATCATGGATGTGAAATATCTTCTTATGTAGACTTTTTGTATCATTCATTAAGCATCAACTGTTCTCACTGAGATATAACAGTAAAAAGCTCAAAGTTAAATCAAGTTCACAAAGCCAGTCTCAACCTAAAAGCAACTACATTGAGGAGCTCCTGCAAAAGAAATATTAAAACAGGTAAATATAGGCCTTCACAGTACAGATTCTTACGTTCTGACTTGTGACTCTTAAAGTAGCCCACCAGTTTGATGTCCTCTTCGACGTTGTGGAAGCCGTTCAGTTCCCTACTATTGTCAATAATTTCCACAGGGTCCTCAAGAACCTTTGAAGAAAAACAAGGGTCATAGAGGAGAACGAGGAAAAAGAATGGAAGATGAGCCCGGAGTTAAATTTTCTGGCTCATCCTCCAAAGAGCAAGGTGAAAATCAAGGACTTTTTGCTTTATTAATAAGGCAGGCTATTAACTGGGAGTTTATATCCTCACGAACATCATAGATGAACTCCACAAGAGTGTCTGCTGCAAGCTCGCCGTCATATTCTATAACTTCATCATCTGTGAAGATGAAGATGCTGTCGGACTCTTCCAGGCCTGGGTGTAAAAAAAGAGGAAACTTTACTTCATGCCTGGAACAAAGACTGGGCCAGAGTCATACCAATTAGAAAATTTGACTTCATCACTTGAAGGCTGGTATTGCCTTGCTCTATGGCTTAATTTTAGAAATCAATCTAAATTTAGAGAGCTATGGTCTGACTACAACATCAGTGTGATGGCAAACATTATGGGACTTTGAGCTCTGGCCAGCTCTTAGAAACAGAGGACTTCCTGTCAAGATTTCCTGTGATTGTTAACAGTTCTAGTTCTTTTTTAAAGTTCACTTTAACGTCTAGAAATGGATTATAAGCTGTATCTGCATAAAGATTTGTGTCTAGAGACATTCATTTAGTTAGATTGCATTCTGGTCTTTTTTCTCTTTTCACTATTTTCCAGGACAAAACCAAATCCTGCTGATATGTGTGTGTGGGAATTACTTCTCATATAATGCATAGAACTCTATAAATAGAGGTTACAGATCGGCCTTTGTAACAATGTTTTGTCTGGTGATTGTTTACCTAATTTCTTTGCAACGGCTTTGTCCTGCTTTGCATCGAGAAGGCCGACACCAATATCTTCATCATCAAACTCTTCAAGGACTTGGGCTACAAGCTGCAAAACAAAGACACACTTAATTCAAATAACTTAGGGTTATTTAGTTTACTGTAAGTCTATGAAACATGGAAATACATGCCAGTGCGATTGTACAGAAATATAAGTGCATATATCCATACTTCTTGTGCACTTGCACCTTTTTGATACTGTTATCTCACTCAGTGGTTTCATTACCATAAAAGCCTGCTTTTCAGAGCGCTGCTTATGCACTTTCTAAATCTGTATGAAACTTGAACCTCTTGACTGACAGCTCCTTCAGCCAATGGCAGGGCCATATTCACTGCCTGACTGCATTCAGGAAGTGGTTTGAGTGTTGTTGCAATGTGTTTGTAGGGCACACACCCACCCACACACGCCCACTCACACACACACACACACGCACACACACACACACACACACACACACACACGGGTGCGCACACTGGTGTCAGAGATCTCGAGCAGCTGCTTTTACTGGCAGAAATAGTTTAACTAACTATGATGTCCTGCAGGTTGTGCAAATACTTTTGGGCATTTTCGGGGGCACTTTTGGGATTACATATGGGTGAAACATCATAAAGAAGTTTGTAAACACAAACTACTTTATGAGGCAAGTTAGGCCATGTTTAAATCATGCAAATAAAGCTTTTGAGGAAAATATAATGCAGAATAAAAATAAGTCACATTATATTCACTTTGTTCATGTGTTTCAGGTCACAGTGTAACCTACACTATTTTTCTGACTTTGGCTTTTTTTTTTACAGTGTTGTACATTTTGTTACTGACCCCACCATTTGTGTGTTTATGCAGACTAAAATAAACTTTTAAAGGGCCAGTGACTGGGATGCTTGAGGTTTTCTGCTATCCAAGCAGCTGAAGAAGGCACAGAGTGGAGTTAAGATTAAAATGAACAGGTATGGAAAGACAGAAGTGTTGCTGCATCTTCCTTTGTAACCCCTGTGAGTTTGTGAGAGGGGAATTAGAGATGTGTATTTGCCAATACTGATATGAAAAGTAGTGTAGTGGTCTTAAGTTTTGGTATGTTTTTATCGTTAAATCAGGGTAGATATCCAAACATTAATGTGTCCTCCAAATAAACACCATGTAAAGTTGTCTTTTGGGTTTAGTGTGCAGAATGTGCATCTGCAGTAACATGACTGCTATAATTTCTTTACAGTAACAGAACCCTCCAACTACGTGTAAAGTTAAACCAACAGCATCAGGATAGGATTTCACTGTAGAGTCAGATTCTTTATCTTTTCCAAATGCACATAAATCAGAACATACTCATCCATCATTTTCAAAGGATTACAAGAAGAAGGGATTTTTCACCTGGTTCAAACACAAGCACTTTCATGGCTAAAATGTGAACACATAGTTTGATGAGATGGCATATTCTGCAGTTATAATAGCTATATTAATGCCATATGACCAGGGTCAAAATAATATTCGTCCCCCTGTTGAACAAAGCAGAAGCTCATTCTTTGTCTTGTTTTTTGTTCAATTCTTAAATTTTGTGCTCAAAGTTTGAAGCCTGAAAATTACAATCTAATCTTGAACCTGTGGAGAAACTTCCTCACTGTCATCAACTTCTACTAACCCCCTGCAGAGCTTTAACCTCTGAGATTTAGAGCCCCTGGCTGTTACTAATATTAAATCCGCGTCATATTCAAATCAGAATACATTCAGAAGGAGGAACACAAGCCTTCAGGGAGCTGGACCGGCCACAAAAGCAGCTTGGGATAAATATAGCGCCAGAAGCCACACAGGGACTATTTTGGCGAGGTGGCAGTGATGCTCAGCGCTGCGGGATCCGCTGACGAGTACAGTACTGCAAGTGTCAATCACAGTGCTGAGCTGAGCCAGCAGTCCTGGAGCCAGATCCTCCAGAGCTGGCCTTCAGCCCAGAGACTGAGCCCTAACGCTCCCTTACAGAGACACGGGAGGCTGCTGAGATGATGTGATATGCTGAGAAGCATCTCTCTTTCCGATCAGTTGGTTATTAATATTTTCCTGCCTGTTACAAACTGTTACTCTCAGTTGCCTGTCATTAACCTAACACTGGGTTACACCGTTTTTTTTGCCAAATACAACAAAAGACTGCAAATAACTCCTCTTCATAATTCATTTCTACAGTCATGTGTTGGTATGATCAAAAAGGTTTATTACATATTAGTTAGGGCTTTTGAGTGCAACTTATTTCTACACCTTAATGCTTGCAGCTCTCATGAAACTGTAGAAATGAATCATATTTATAAGATAGCTTTCTTAAATCGACAAATGATGAATAAAACCATCTATGGTGTTAACCCTTATGGCCCACTGTGTATGTTCTATCAGTCATCACAGTTTTAACTGCAGAAATAAACTCAGCATTAGATGATGATAGGTGATTTCAACTTTATCAGACTCCAGGTGGACCTCCACACCCATCTGTAATTTGTGTGATAACAAAGCTGTCACTTTAGTTTTGCACCCCTTTGTTTCATCCAAAATAAAATATCTGTCCTAGCAGAATAACACCATCAACCTTAACCTGACAAGAACAAGAGCGCGCAGATTTACCTTTTCTCAGAACATGTGACGTGAATATATATGACATTTGATCTTCCCTGACATAGGTCATGCATGCAGCTTTGCAATGAATGATGATGTAATGTCTCCATGTGAGGAATGTGATAAAACTGCTGAGTATCCATACCCAGAGCAGGCCTAAGGGGTGATGTGCATACTGAAAGAGGTGCATTGAGTACATCAGTGACACCCCCCACGCCCATACACACTCACACTCAAAAACACAGCTATTAATCACTTTGTAGCATCACTTTACCATGTGTAAAACTTTACCTCTATCATATCATATCATATCAAAAAATCACATTCCACTTTATCCTCTCTACTATGAATGACAATCTCTTTTTATGTTGTCCATTCAAATCTAAATATATCATGTAAACTAAAGTCCTTAAACCAATAATATACTGTTGCTTGACAGTTAAGCACTGGCTAATTCTTGCTGCCAGATTTAAATCAAACAAGACCAGAGCACAAACTAATCATGCACCAAACCAACTTCACACTCTCACAGATCTTGTGACTGCACTGTAAAACCCACCTCAAGGGCCAACTCCTCAATCTCAAACTGTTTCTGGGCGACGCGGCTGGATCCGGGATGGTCATGGTAGTAAACCACCATGGCATCATACTTCTTCATCACAGACTTATAGTTCTTGATGTCGAGTTCATGGACACGGTCCTTGCCATCATACTCGGGAAAGTCCAGGCTTTCTGCGCCCAGTGATAGCCCACAAAAGGACAGCAAGACTGCCACAACCACCCAGGTCCACTTCATGGCTCCTCTCTATGATAGACTAGGTTTATTTGCAGTTTCAGAAAATAAACGTCGAGGGGCACAAAAATATTTATCAAAGTATGGAGAACCCCTTCCAATCCGCGTCACCCAGAAGAGAGCAAGACCAACTCTTGCATCCACCTTATTAAAAACCTCACATGGGCAACTGGCAGAGGGGCACAGGGTACAAGGGGGGCTGGGCTAAGTTTGACATAGGTGTAAGTGTGTCTATGTGGGGTGAAGCTGAGTTGGGGGTTGCTGTGGTTGTTGGGGTGATAGTTTTGTGTGTTAGTGTGTGTGTGCATGCTTATGTGTCTGTTGCAGACCTGTAAAAGTGGGTGGAGAGAAGAGTGAAGGATCATACTGCTGTCTCTCCTCAGAGTGAGTAAAGGGAAGGACAGGGATGGAGGTGGAGGGAGACAGTGAATAAGAGAGAAATAAAAACAAAATGATGGTTTGATTTTGTGTTGACAGCCCGCTCTGAATGACATGTTGGTTTTGGAAGAAGCTGAACTGTAAGACTGTCTTTTCCCTTATTAAGCACAGATGGAGGCTCAGATCCCATCTAAAAATAATGGATGTAGGACGGAGAAGTACATATCAGGAGGGGCTGCCGGTGTCTGATTTGCTGCTTCTGGCACAGACGCAGCGCTAGAATGTGCTGCAGGGTCACTCAGGGACATGGAGGGAGAGGAGAGGAGAAGAGAGGAGAGGAAGGGGAGGTGCACCTGCTGAGGATCCAGGGCACAGGTGTCACTTAGCCCTGACTCAAGAAGAAAGTGAAACAGGGTTTAACAGAGGAGCCATGAGGCATTCTTACAGTTTTAAAGCCTGAATACACAGTGCACATGTCCTGTATGTGAAAGATGATCACATGTGATATTCATTTACAAATTGAAAAGGACGCGGTATGGCTAAATATAAATTCAGGCTACATGGTATCTCTATACTTTGTTTGAAACCCCCTCCCTAAATGCACACATCACATCAGTCTTTTGCAGGACATACAGCTCCCTGTATCAAAAATGTGAATGTGAGACATCGGTCTGGACTTGTGGTAAAGTCATGCGTCCTCTTTAAAGAGACCTAGTCATTAAATGTCTTACAAAGCAGATTTCATGATCCAACAGAAAACATTATTTAATTTAAATGTGCAAAATACTGTGTGATCATGTCTTCATGTGTGATACATTACAAGATAGCTAAGTGAAGATGCAGTGTGATGATGTGGTACAATCCTGCATCCTTCCTTCAGTGTAGACCCCATAGGAGAGACATTACTCCTAGCTTTGAGCCTCACATCCGCCTCAAGTACATGAAGACAGTGGTGGAGTCAAATTACCAGACATTTTATAGTTCTCACATTTTTTAAATCCTGTAAAATACTTTATCACCCACTCATGTGCCTTTAATTTATATATATATATATATAATTATTATTATTATTATTTATTTATTTTTAAGTTTAGGTATGAGGTCTCACCTGACTGATATAAATGCACACCTAACGTTACATGCATAATTTAAAACCTGCTGTTACAAGCACATGTTTGGCTGTGAGCTCCGAATATCAGATAAGAAGTTTATATAATTAGCTCGGTTAAAAGGTTGTTTAGAGGGACTATTGTGCCGTGTTTGTCCACTAGGTGATGTTACAGAGCTCAAATATTTCAAAACACAGGAGAGAGAGGATGCTAGAATAATAGATTCAGTGGAAATAATACGGGGTCAGTCTACAAACGGAAAAGAGTTTTAAGTAACTAAAGTACGCGCTTATTTCACATAGTCTTAAAAGGGACACTAAAGAGGAGTAAAGGTAAGACCTTTTTCTGTCAGCCTCACGTGATACATTCAAGGTCTGTTGTTAGCTCACTTTAGCTCAGTCTGCAACGCTGAACTCTTTCTGTCCGATAGCGAAAACAACCACACTTTTACTTTTACTTAAAACAATGCAAAGACACTACTATACGTCTGTTCAACCAGTAATGAAGATATTTACTATTAAATTAAACCCCATACAGAGCTAATAGCTGCTGAACAGTTTGTACTCCTTTACATAGACAGAATAGGGAAGACTAGCTGAGCGCGGATATAATCAAACCAACCTCCTGTCTGTTATTTACAGAGCACCTGATTAAGAGACACCTGTTTCAATGACTACACTTTATCAGACTAAGGCTCACAAAGTTTCCAAAAGCCATTGTAATATCTGAAGAAGTCTTGGACAGCGCAAAATCAGAATATATCCAGTACACATCAGTCATTTTCCTGTGTTGCAGCTAAACAATGGCTACAGCTCTGGCCAACAGAGCCATTGGAGCCATCGTGGGATCAGCTGTTGCAGATGCAGCAGGTGAGGTTTTAAGACTTTTAGTCCTGTTTGAGAAATCATTAGATGGCCTTTTCCCCTTTTTACCTGTTACCCCTCAAAATCAGACTGATTCTTTCAAAGAGGGGGAACCTGAAAACCTCCACATAGCTTCAGGTGAGAGTTGGTGGCTTATACTTTTTTTTTTCACCAGCATGATCGAAATGCATTTTCTTGCCAACAACAGAAGTTTGTCACAAATCTGTATTGTGATTGGGTCAAGGTAACTTTCCTCAAGGCCAGGCAATGCAAGAGACCTGAATTACTCTGAATAGTCACCAAAAAAAATGCCTCTCAATTCTTGAGAAATTGCACCCAGAACCAGTAATGATACTGGGCACGGACCTCTCTTTGCATAATTCATTTTTAGGGTAAACACAGCTCCCCTAACCACTGTTTCAAACTACTAAATCAATATCATGGATTTGTTCAATGTAAGGGTGTTCCAGAGTGTATTAGGTGTCTGTAAACATAAGCTTGAATTGTATAGCTGAGATAGCTACTTTCATATTCATCCTCATAAGTGGCTTTTTCTTTAATAAACCTGACCCTATGACTTGTCCTCTACAGCTCAGCCCTTGCATTGGGTGTACGACCTGCAGAAGCTGCAGGGGATTCTGGCTCAGGATCCAAACCCTGAGTTTCGTCCTGAGTCCGCCAATCCTTTCTACAAGAGGCAAACGGGTCAGCAGAGCTGCTACGGAGATCAGGCCTTTGTCCTTCTGGAGTCCTTGTCAGAGTGTGGAGGTAGGCCTGCTTCTTCATTTCAGATGGCTTTGCATCTGCTCTGGACATGAAGCATACCATCCTCCTTAAGCCTGAATAAAATTTATGTTTTATGTTTTATGTTATTTATGTTAAAACAATCAGCAGATCAATAATCTTAACTTTTAAATAGCTTGCCCATTTCATGCTCGTTGTTTTTTTAATCCAGCAGGGTTAAAAGGTGGCGTATATTCATCCAGCACTTCAAAGATGTGTCATGAGCCTCAGAGATGTTCTGTTTTGCATACTTAAACAGTGGGAATTTTGTATTTGTCCTTGTCTTAGTTGTGCTTTACATGTTTTACCAGGTCTTAATGTTGATGATCTGAAGCAGCGCACCTTGAAATTCTTTGGGCCAGGATCAGAGTATGACACCCCTGTCAATAATCCTTACAGAGAAAGAGGAGGTAGCAAACTCTACATCTTCAAAGATTCATAAAGAGAAGAAATGCTTTATTATTTTTTAAATGAGATGAAATACTGATATTATGCTCTTGTTTATTTGTTTTTTGTCCATCAGGACCAAGACCCCAGCTGCCTATTGAGGGACCATGGAGACATGCGAGTTTGAAGAGCTTTCTGAAGAACGTGGATGCAGGCAAAGAGGAGACAGGTAGAGCAGCAGTCTCATTACTACATCCAGTACACTTTGAGAAAGAGTTTTAAGTGATATGTGTTTGTCACAGGCTGTGAGAATGACTGCCAAATTGATGGGATAGCCAAGCTGGCTCCTATAGTGGCTTTTTACGCTGGAGACCCCAACATGCTGAGTAAGGTGGAGCAGGCAATCCGTGTTACCCAGAATAATGACGACTGTGTGGCAGAGACTCTGGCAGCTGCAAGGTCAGTATCTTTTTTCTATGTAATTCAAACTGGGAGGAAAACTCATGAAAATCATCTTTACAAGAATGTCATGGCCAAGACAAGCAGCAGAAGAATGAGTTCCACAAATCACTGAGTAGCCATTTATTTGTGAAAATGTCCAATATAGATATAAAGAGGAAGCAATAAGTCTCTTTTTGTACTAAGGGAAAATGCTGATTTGAATCTCAAATAGGAACAAATTTTCAGTTTTGGTCTTTTAGCAGCTGCTGAATTGCCGGTGTAAAACAGTAGAAGTACCAAAATAATTCATCAGTAAAAGTACCAAAATATCTGATGTAAGAGTAGCATAATAGGTATTGTATGAATCTGCAAATTTCTATCTCTTGGATCTCAAACAAACTATACAAAAACAAAATCTAAAAATTTTAAATAAAGCACAATAAGAACTGATGTCTTGTAACCAGCATTTACACTGAGCAACATTTTGATACCACTAGATTACCTTGTAAAGAAAACTCATCTACACCGTCTTCTTTATTGAATTTATAATGCTCTGTAAACTGTTGGTGCCCCATCATGCTGACACCTCATTAGCTGCCTAATATAGTTGATTCAGAAGGTGTGTTTTCTCAACATTAATTATTGATGACTGGCCATTTATGGGTTCTGTAAAATATTAAATTTATACGTTTGAAATTACGAATCAAATTTTTAGATACAAGAAGCAGATATTCCTGTTCAAAATGATGACATTTGTGTGAAAGATATATGTATACTCAAAGACAGAGGAAAATGACGTCATAAAATGCACTGTGTACTGGTTTGTCTGCAGGATCCTGGAGCATTTCATCCTGAATGGTCCTGATCCAAAAGCCTTGGATGCTGTGCTCAACCAGCTCAGTGATACGAACAGAAAGCAGCCACAAGATCTGGACAAAGCAGTCATTGGTATGTAAAGCTTGCAGCATTTTTGCAACCAAGATCATGGGACTAAGCCATGTGATCAGTGGGTTTAGCCTCACTCAGCTGGTGTGAGGTTGTTATAATAAATAACTTTCAAAATTCTGAACTTTAATGTGGTCTATATGAACCTTCCTTGCTTTAAAGACAAAGGATGTTAGGTTTTGTCCGGTTGTAGTATCATATGTGTTTTGGGTGCCTGCAGATTTAACTTCTTCTTGTCTGATTACAGCCCACCTCCATCAGGTGAAAGAGAATCTATCAAAGACTCCACGAGAGCTGATTCCTGCTGTGTTTCCAAACACATGAGGTATGACGCTCTTTTTAAGCTTTTTAATATTTAGCTTCATACAACTTATGATAATGACTGACGAATTTGGTGGTACTTTTTATAACTTTGGGAGCTGCCATTTGCTAGAAAAGTATTGAGACATGCAAAAAAAAGGACTCTCGGTTATCGAAACGTTGATTTGCTTGCTGTACAGGTTTGCCTGGTGCGTTCCAGGCAGCGCTTCATGGAGTCCTGACAGCCAAGCACTATGAGCAGGCAGTCAGAGACACCATGAGCTGCGGGGGATGCACCTGTAGCAGAGGGTCCTTCATTGGAGCCTGTCTTGGAGCTCAAGTATGACTAAATCTTATCTTGTGTTCATTTTATATAATGCAAATAATGTTTGTCTTACCTAGTAAATGTGCTGTTCTCACAGGTGGGGCTGGAGGGGATTCCTGCCTCCTGGATGTCCAAAACGCTGCGCTACAACTCAGTGCTGGAGCATGCAAAGAAGATCACCAAGCAGCATCAATAGTTTGTTTTTCTGTCAAGTCGATGAGCCTAATGATCAAAGAAGAAAAGAAGAAAAACTGTTGAGCATTTACAGAGCAGTGAATGAAGGTTCTTGTCTAAACTGTTAAACGACAAGAGCCAGATGCTTTTGTCTCTGTTTAAGTTTGACATTTTTCTGAAATAAAATAATCCTTCAAATGCAAAAAATGGAGACTCTTTGTACCTTTGAGGGTGAATTTTTAGTGAACGATAGTGCAGCCAATGTTATTAGCATTATGAGGGACCAGTTTCAAAAGTTAGTAAATTAAAATACGAACAGCAGCTTAAAGATTTCATCATGGCAGTTCATGCTGACTTAACACTATAACATTCTTTTGTGTCTTTGTGAAGGACAAATATGAGTACTCTGTTCCACACTGTGTAGGTCCTGTTTGGACCAAGTGTTGAAGTTGTCCTAACTAACAGAGGATTCAATGAGGCAAAAAGGTGTCTTCAACCAACCTTTTATTTCTTGGAGAGCACAACATCAACCCAATGGTATCTCTGAGGTGGTCTGAATACTATTTTTCAGTAGTTAACATTTATACACTTGAGGCGTCTCATCATCTTTATGGGCGGAAAGTTTACATAACCAGCAGTCCCCAGTGTTTCTCTACGGACAAACAAGCACGCATTCTTCTGTTTTTTTATCTGACTGAAACCGTGGTTTCGGGGAAGTTGACCTTGGATGCACACAGTGCCTGTCTCTTTTTTTATCTTATTTGCGTCATGTATTCCGTGCTTTCACTGAGTTCTCACTGATCAGACAGCTGGGCATGCAAACCCTCCCTGTACACCTCCACATCTTCTCAGGACAGAGTGATCTTCCTCCCTCATCCTGTTGTTCACATCTCTGAGTTACACCTGCACATCTGTTATGAAAGGCACATCATTATATAGAGCATGTGTCAAGGTCATAGACACATGATGATTATAAGGAACACTTCTAATAAATGACTGTTAAGGCAGCATAGCAGAAAAGTTTAAAACCATACTTACCAACACTTGGAACTTCTAGGCATAAGCTAAAATCTTTCTTTACTGAGAGTCTCTCGTCTATACATTGTGACACAGTGATTAATTGCCCCCGTGTTAGCTTTAAACTTTATTATCTGACTCATCAGTACATGCCTGCAATGGGCACACAACATAATGTAACCACAATAAGGAAACAGTTAATCACCTGAAACAATGACTAAATGATTGGCATGATATATTATATTATTACCTGAAACAATGACTAATTGATTGGCATGACATATGAGTTCCCACACATGTAAGCTCAAATGCTTTACAAAGAGCATTCTCATATTCAGCACAGCAGGGGAACCATGACTCATCCAGCGTGGCATAATAGATGAAAATATTTCTCTGACTTCTACAGGCCAGACTTCTATCCGTTGCTAGCCTGACACTTAAGAAACTAAGTCTAGCTTTAATCCAGGATCTCAAGAACGGAACTGGATTAAATGTGTCTGCTATAATTAAAAGTTAAGAATGTCAGGTCCTTCAGAATTATCTTAATTGAAGACTTTATTAAAATTAAAAAGTAACAGGTTACCGCAAATAGCTGTGCAGTTGTGGTCAGAACTTCGGTTGTTGTGTACCTTTGCACATTTTCTAGTGGGTAGATACAGAAATTTATGTACTTTTCCAGTGGGTATCACACAGACTTCACCACTGGCAAATAATGTGTTTATGATTTTCCCACAACTTGTTGTCACAAAATGTATTGTTTTGCACTTATAGTTGTTGTTTGTTTAAATTTATTTGTAAAAAGAGTCAAGAGTTGCATTCAGCTCAGAGCACTAGTCCTTTATTTGTGAGGACAATTAAACATCACCAAAACTTTTCACTTAAAATCAGGTTAGACCAACTTGATTAAACTTGTAGAGCACGAAACAAATAATGTTGATCGTAATAAACTAATTAAATAGGTTTAACTATAAAGAATTGTAGGATTTATTCAAAAACTCTTTAATTAGGATTACTTAAAAAGATGCATGCAGATTGTTGCCTTATTTGAGATATGAAACTGATTCAAAATTGATTTAAGATTGACTTAATATTAAACCTCTGAGTTAAACTTTTTTTTTATTTCCCTTTTATTAAAAGTGGGTGGTTGCCCTATATCTGAGTGTATAGATGTCATAATTCAAGGTAATCATCAAATATTAATCTGAAGACATTTGTTACAAATCTAAACCATTACATGCCCAATATCTTTTAGTAAGACCCAACACCTGTCCACGGGAGGCTTTCAGTGACTTATTCACACAAATTAATGTTTTGTGCACTAAAATATAGCCACTTATTCCCACAAGATGATTATTTTAAAGCTCAAAAGATAATGAACTGGTTTCCACCAGATCATTTCTTGTACATACAAGTAACTTATAAGTTAACACTACTGTGAGTTTTCTGTCAAAGCTCTCTGAGAAAACTATCTCAAGTGGGATATAATACTAACAGTTTCAATTAAATATATTGAGATGCTGCAGGAAACATGAAATCATGGCAGCAATGTCGAGAAGCTGACCTGTGACTAAAAGTAAATTCATGGAGGGAAAAAATGGCTGAGCACAGAAAATGTCTCAGTATGGGAGTCTGACTTCAGACTTCAGATACTTTGTACTAAAGGTATATCTTACTCAGGTATATCAGAACCCTGTCTGTGTATCTGGTGTGTGGTCCCCATAGAATGTATATACACTCACCGGCCACTTTATTAGGTACACCATGCTAGTAACGGGTTGGACCCCCTTTTGCCTTGAGAACTGCCTCAATTCTTCGTGGCATAGATTCAACAAGGTGCTGGAAGCATTCCTCAGAGAGCTTGGTCCATATTGACATGATGGCATCACACAGTTGCTGCAGATTTGTCGGCTGCACATCCATGATGCGAATGTCCCGTTCAACCACATCCCAAAGATGCTCTATTGGATTGAGATCTAGTGACTGTGGAGGCCATTTGAGTACAGTGAACTCATTGTCATGTTCAAGAAACCAGTCTGAGATGATTCCAGCTTTATGACATGGCGCATTATCCTGCTGAAAGTAGCCATCAGAAGTTGGGTACATTGTGGTCATAAAGGGATGGACATGGTCAGCAACAATACTCAGGTAGGCTGTGGCGTTGCAACGATGCTCAATTGGTACCAAGGGGCCCAAAGAGTGCCAAGAAAATATTCCCCACACCATGACACCACCACCACCAGCCTGAACCGTTGATTCAAGGCAGGATGGATCCATGCTTTCATGTTGTTGACGCCAAATTCTGACCCTACCATCCGAATGTCGCAGCAGAAATCGAGACTCATCAGACCAGGCAGCGTTTTTCCAATCTTCTATTGTCCAATTTCGATGAGCTTGTGCAAATTGTAGCCTCAGTTTCCTGTTCTTAGCTGAAAGGAGTGGCACCCGGTGTGGTCTTCTGCTGCTGTAGCCCATCTGCCTCAAAGTTCGACGTACTGTGCGTTCAGAGATGCTCTTCTGCCTACCTTGGTTGTAACGGGTGGTTATTTGAGTCACTGTTGCCTTTCTATCAGCTCGAACCAGTCTGGCCATTCTCCTCTGACCTCTGGCATCAACAAGGCATTTCCGCCCACAGAACTGCCGCTCACTGGATATTTTTTCTTTTTCGGACCATTCTCTGTAAACCCTAGAGATGGTTGTGCGTGAAAATCCCAGTAGATCAGCAGTTTCTGAAATACTCAGACCAGCCCTTCTGGCACCAACAACCATGCCACGTTCAAAGTCACTCAAATCACCTTTCTTCCCCATACTGATGCTCGGTTTGAACTGCAGGAGATTGTCTTGACCATGTCTACATGCCTAAATGCACTAAGTTGCCGCCATGTGATTGGCTGATTAGAAATTAAGTGTTAACGAGCAGTTGGACAGGTGTACCTAATAAAGTGGCCGGTGAGTGTAGAATGGACGCCATCTGCCTCCTCATGGGGTGAAGCCACTCCGAGAACAGCACCCTCTGTTGATGGGCTGCAGTATAGGTCATAAATCCCGCCTCTGCCAGCAAAGCTTATGGGGCTGTGGACCAACTTTAGAAATTTATTACACAGAACATAAATTTTTCTTCCCCCTTCCTCTACCCCTGCTCTCTCTCCTCTTTTTTCCCCTGCGCTTTCTTTTCCTGCTTCTCCTGAGGCTGCCTTATTCAGGGCTAACCTCATGCTTGCCCTCCTGAATTCTCTGCTACAAGAGGGCAGTCAGAGGACGGTGATCAGGAGGAGAGCCCGTCACCACAGATACCAACATGGCCTGATGAGGAACCATTAGACCATGTTGGCAGAGCTCCTCCCATCCATGCAACACCGAGGACACAGAGGCAAAAAAACAAGTAAGTACAAACTTCTAAATCTATTTCTTATTAGTGATTGAATTATTTATGTTAAGGTTCAACTAGTTTAAAGGACAATTTTTTATGAATTTTCAAGAACAGCCCCAATCCAGTGACTGTAGACTCCCAGATTTGGCATTCAATGATAAAATACTGATTTCCTACTACTCATGTTTGTAAAAATTTATTCTATTTCTGTCAATGAAACTACCAATGATTTATGTACCATTGTTGTCATCATAATTCAAAGAGTGTTTGCCAGTCTTACTAACACTTTAACATCGTTTTCTCTCTTTCACCTGAACGGCTGTGTGCCTCTACACACCAAAACAGTAAGTCATAGTTTTTGAATCTGATCAAATATCACATCATATTAATATTTATTGAATAATAATTGAAAGACTTTTTCACTAATCGATCTTTGTCTTATCTCATTTTCGTCTCACTACGCTTCTCCAGGACACGGAGGCTGAAAAAAGTAAGTATAAGCTTATGAATCTGTTTCATATTATTTATTAAATAATAGTTCTTTGTCTTATCTCACCTTTGTCTTACATGGTCTCCCGAGCTCCTCCTGGTCCCTGAGGATAAAGAGGGTCAGTCTGAGTTCATTTACCTGGATTAGGGTGGCGATACTTATTGCTCCCTGGCTCGGTGCCTCTATGTTGGGGTTCACCACAGTGGACGAGAAGGGTAGCCTCCCTTCATTTTCGGGTGGGGGGATGGATCCTGACTGTTGTTTCTGCCTATGCTCCAAACAGCAGCTCAGAGTACCCACCCTTCTTGGAGTCCTTAGAAGGGGGGCTAGAGAGTGCTCCTTCAGGGGACTCCCTTGTTTGGCTGGGGGACTTCAATGCACGTGTGTACTTGGCACCAGGACACCCTTGGCCGCAGTTCGATGATCGATGTTGTGGTCGTGTCATTGGACTTGTGGTCACATGTCTTGAGTGAAGGACACTTCACTCGAGGGGCGGAGCCATCAACTGAACTGAAGTTGTTGATATCTACAATGTTAATTCTGGATAGTCAAAGTTAGCTATTAAATGAGAACGATGATAATGATGATGACAGTGGAATAATAAACATCTTCCTGAATCATGTAAGATGTAAGGAGGAACTAAATGTGGAGGATATTGTCTACAAGCCATAGAGGCAGGTGGACAAAAAAGTTCATTTCCAGTTGCGCAGTGCTGTGCCTCAATGGCCTTGTGGGACCCCTGCACCATCCACAGCAGCACAGGTGGGACTGGTTTGAATAATTGATTGATTAAACTGCAGTGATACTATCCATGTGCTGTGTGGCACTTTTATTTGTATTTCTTTTGTTTTTAAATGCTTTTATAGGCACATGAGTCTGAAATAGGGCAGAGTTCCTCGATTTGTTTATCTGGTAAGTTTTAATGTTTGTAGAATTTCAAGCAACCATCATTTATAAGCTCTAAACAGTCTTTCATACCTAATGTGATGAGTAGCCTGTTGCACTTTTTTGACGATCTCTGTCCCCCTTTTGAAAGTGCTGCAGCAAGGTTTCTGTAAACTGTTGGAAATATATGGAGATTAAATTTGATTACTGTTGAAGACAGATTAAAAAATGTCATTTGTGACTTTCCAACCATGCTTTCTATCAATGTAGCTGTCTCTATTCCCCATCATTCAATGTTTAAAAGCCAAATACCACCCCTTAATGTAGTATATCCTGTAGCACTCAGTTGTAATGCGGGTCACATTGTCAGCAGGTATAACGCTCCCCTACAAGTAAAAACTTTTTTATGATTTAGGGTGTTCATTCTCTTCCAGAAGTGCAGATTTACACTCAGCCCTGTTACAAACTGTTGATGAGACACCATGCCATCACCTACATCATAACAGAGGCTCACTCACAGCACCAGCTTTCCTCTGTTTATTTGTTATAAATAGATATTTTTAACAGGAGGTGTGCACTTATGGTTCAAAACTGAGAGACTTGACAGGCCAGCCTTCGCCATGGGTGTGTGAATGAGGCCTGTGATGTAAAGGAGCTTTCAGTGGTTAAAAGACTAGAGAAAGAGATTTAAACACAGTCTGTTCCATTTATTTGTCAGGATATACCCTGTTTATAGAGCCATAAAATTATGTTCAGATTCCTGCGTACTTGTAATCTGTGCACAGATAGTAATCCATACTCACAGATTTGAACGTGTCCCCCTCTGTCTCTCGCTGTTCTGCACTGTGCTCACCGGTCGGTCCACAGGTAGGACACTGGTCCGTATATGGCGCTTCGAGTGAAAACGTGAATGCGAACATTTGCTGCGGCACAGATACGCCAGGACGATTGTCCCTCCGCAGCCGCCGTAGATGTGTCTGTCTGACGACAGAGCTGGTAAACTCTTCTCTGGAATCAAACATGGCTGGTAAAGGAGGAAAACAAAGTCGTGCTGGCTCAGGCCTTTCAGGGAGAAAGGGTGGTGGTGAACAGGAGGAAGAGGATCAGCCGCTGCAGGCAGTTTTAATCGCTGACAGCTTCAACCGGAGGTTTTTCCCTGTGACCAAAGACCAGCCGAGGGTGAGCAGGCAGCCAAGCTAACTGAATGCTAATGCTAACTGACTGATGCCCATGCTGTGACAGGACTGACCCTGTTTTATTCAGTGTTAGAGCTACACTCTCAGAGGAGGGAATCAACAACGCTGAAGTTAGCACTTCATATTCGCAGCTTCTGGTTAAGATGTTGCAGGAAAAGCAAAGGAAACCAGGTCAATAGATTAAATCCTAAACTAGATTCTCTGGCAAAATGTGTAGACCTCTGAAAACACAATATAAGAAAGGGCGATTTCACCTCCTGCTTTGGACCTGGACCTGGTCCAGAACCAAACACATAATACATGAATAATGATTGCAAATGTGCTGTGAATAGCACCAGTTTACAACAAACTTTTTATTCTATTTGCAGAAAAAAAAGAAAACGGGGCAAACTCACTGCTTTTATGAATAAGATGTTAACTTAAGTGTCTTTGAGAATCAAAGGGCAACTCATGCTAAATTACTGCATACATGGTCCATGATAACAGTATGATCATGATAAAATGATACTGTCATATTGATTATTTCATAATGATCAGATAATGATACATATCTGATTAAATTAAGTTCAGACGATGGTCCAAAAATGTCAAGTCGATGTTACTGGTGTCACTGTGAGGAGCTGTAACATGTTGATCTCCTGAGTCAAATTTGTTGAAAGCGCTGTGTCATTTTTGCCGCATGTTGTCAACCATATATTAATTGTATCCCACATTTCTGGAAAATGACAGATTGTTGCATTGATAGTTTTTCTCTCTTCTCAAAGATAATAATGACATTTGTATTGTTGCCATATCGTAGACTTATTTGCAGTTCCCGTCCATTATTTTGTGCTAGTTTCTCACTCACTTTGCCAATGATGACAGGCCCTGCTGCCGCTGGGTAATGTTGCCATGATCGACTACACCCTGGAGTTCCTCACTTCCACCGGGGTGCAGGAAACGTTTGTCTTCTGCTGCTGGATGGCAAGCAAAATCAAAGAGCACTTGCTGTAAGTTTCACTGTCAGCAGGTTGTAAAAACTGCATCCATGTATGCTTTTCTGAATGAAAGCTGATGAGCTTTCACTGTGTCTAACAGGAAATCCAAGTGGTGTCGACCCACCTCTCCAAACACAGTCCACATCATCACCTCAGACTTGTACAGATCCTTAGGGGACGTACTCAGGGATGTTGATGCAAAGTCACTTGTGCGCTCGGACTTTGTGTTGGTCTATGGGGATGTGGTTTCTAATATCGACATCAGTCAGGCACTGCAGGAACACAGGTAAGAAAAAGTCTTCTCCAGAATGACAGTGCAAGTGATCCCCAGCTTAAATGCTATGTGTATGTTTGCTTGTGTTCAGGCATCGTAGAAAGATGGAAAAGAATATCTCAGTGATGACAATGATCTTCAAGGAGTCATCACCAGGTCACAGGTCTCGCTGTGATGAAGATGATGTCATTGTCGCCATGGACAGCAAGAGCAAGCGGATTTTACACTATCAGAAGACACATGGGCTGAAGAAGTTACACTTCCCCATGGTAACGGTTTAATGTTTCATCACGTCTTTTACTCACTCTGGATTTGGATAGATGGATAACATCCAGTTTGTTTTGCAGAACATTTTCCACAGTAGCAGTGACGAGTTTGAAATCAGACACGACCTGCTGGACTGTCACATTAGCATCTGTTCCCCACAGGTTAGTTTCTGCACAGAGGCCGATGTGAGCAGCGCATCATTATCACTGATTAACTGTAAGTAACAGGGTTCTTCTAATCTTACAGGTCGCTGAGCTCTTCACAGACAACTTTGATTATCAAACCAGGAATGACTTTGTCAGAGGGATATTGGTCAGCGAAGAGGTATTTCTGAACGTTCCTCACTTCAAATTGGATAAGAATTAGGTGATGGTACGACAGCTTTAACACTTTATTCATTTTGTCTTGTTTAGATTCTGGGGAACCAGATTCACATGCATACTACCAAGGACGGTTATGGTGTCCGAGTGTCCAACCTCCTCATGTATGACTCTGTATCGTCAGACCTCGTACGGCGTTGGGTTTACCCGCTAACGCCTGAAGCAAACTTCATTGACCAAGAGGGACGCAGCTGCACTTATTCACGCCACAACGTCTACAGAGGGTCCGGGGTCAGTCTGGGTCATGGCAGTCAGATGGTGGAGAATGTCCTCATTGGCTGTGACACCAGCATTGGTGCAAACTGTAACATTTCAAACAGTGTCATAGGAAACAATTGCACCATTGGTGAGCTCAATGTCCAGCAGCATTTTTAACTTGAAATCTTCTTATGACTGTGTTTGATTGTTGGAGATTATGCATTAACTGTGACAAAACAGGTGTTTAATGGTCCATCTGTATTTATGTCAACAGGTGACAATGTAAAACTGGACCACGCTTACATCTGGAATAACGTTCACATCGCCAGCAATGTGAAGATAAGCCAGTCTGTGGTCTGTGACAAGGCTGAAATCAAAGAGGGTGTCGAGCTGAATAAACAGTGTGTCCTCGCATACAATGTAAGCTGTTGGTGTTGTTATCACCATTTAATAGTGATGAAATGAATTGAATTGAAATGCTCGGCTATTTCCTGTATTACATGTATCACACTTTTACTTTGCCTCCACTTTTGCTGACATGTTGAGTGTTGACAACAGGGGACAATGTGACTTTTCAGCTTTTACATTTTCACTGAAATTCACCATCTTTTGTCCTGTTTTATATCCAGAAGTTCAACAGCTTTCAGCTAAAGACTTTCACCTAAATCAGCTGATTCTCTAATTCATGTATAAACTGCTTCATCTCACAACACGACTCCTTCCAACGCTGTCAAAGCAAGGAGGAATTTAGTGTCTGAAGACAAATTCACACATTCTCTCTTAAAATATCAATTATTCAGCATTTATCCACAGGGGGCACCAAATCAACGCAAACTTAAAGATCCTTATAGGGGCTTTAAATTCATGCTACATCATGTTATTGAATGTTTTATTGTAAAAGTGTTGCTGATGAGTTCTGATTATGTTTTTGGACACTGAATTTGGATTCAATTCCACTTTTTGTAGTGATCAAAAGCTCAAGTGATTATTTGCTGATTTTTTTTACTGACTTCATCTCATCACTCAGTTTGGTCCACAATTTTTTAAAGGTGGTGATTGGACCAAACATTGCTCTACCTGAAAGCACTGTGGTGTCCATGCACCACCCAGAAGAGGAGGAGGAAGAAGATGATGATGAATTCCTGAGTGATGATGCTGAAGTTGGTCAGAGTAAAGAGAAAACCAAACGGAAAGGTGCGTGGGAAAATTCTTCTGACATAAAAAAAACAGCAATAAATGTTAAGATATTTTTTTATATCAAGTGTGTCTTCTTCTGTCCTTCAGCATTTAACCCTGCCGAGGTCGGAGCGGAGGGGAAAGGCTATATCTGGAAGGCCAGCAGTCTGGATGACTCAGAGGAGGAGGAGCTATCACAGTGTCTGTGGGGTAGGAGGGCAGCCTAGCTGACATTTTGAGTTTATTCTAAGGATATCATGTAGTCAGCGGGTGGTTATCTGGATTACAATCCAAACAGGATGATATGAGACCCAGATGCAAAACCCACCACTTAACTATATATCATCCCACTTCATACTGGGCTATGAACTAAAGACACAAACAAGTTTAGACTAAAAAAAGGATCTTAAAGAGATATTCCAGCATACAATTAAATTAGGGTCAAACACACCGCATAACACCCGAGTTAGACACCCCCTCGAGAGATGAATGTTGCAGACTGCTTGTTTCTGTACATTACAGTAAGAACATTATGATCATTTCTTTATGGAACTGCAATCAGACTGAGATGCTAGGCAGAAGAACTACTGTGTCTGCAGTGCAAAATGATTATTAACATGATTATTACTTCAAGGAAATGAGCATTATTTATGGCTATAGAGTGGCTTTTTGGTCGACGTTTGCGCGTGGAGCTATAGATCGCTGTGTATTGCTGTTGTGCAGTTGTTTCTCAAGTTAGTGTAACAAGAGAAGCAAGCAGTCGGCAACACTCATCTCTCGAAGGGGTGTCTAACTCAGTGTTACCGTGTGTTTGACCCTAACTAAATTTTACGCAGTAATATCATGTCTGTTTTCTTAGGCCCCTGTCTCTTTGGCTCAGCTTCTAGTGTGTTTTACATCCCTTTTTTTTAAACACAAAGACTGATTTGATATGATGTGTGGGATTGGTCTTCCCCATTGTTGCCTTTGTTATTAAGGTTTAATCATGGTTGCCAAGTGGTTCTGACCAGTCAGAATCAAGTGTTTTACACAGCTGGATGTTGAGTAAGAAAGACAAGAAATACATATAATTCAGTCAACCAATCAATATTTTTTTCTATGTTGCGCCAATTCTTACAGAGCTGGTTTAGGTACCCTTTATTTTATTTCCAAAACCCAACATAGAAATATGACAAGATTAGGTCTTACTGTGGTAAGGTAGGACCCACTCTGATTTACGGGTAATTCTTGACCCAGGAATCTCCCATGATGCTGTAGTCCATAGGTGTTTTTTTCTCTTGTGTCAGGTTTGGTGCTGAACCCTGACCCTGAGAGCGAGAGTGAGGACAGCGAGCCTGACGGTCCTGATGATCTGGTGATCCCCTCCCCTGAGTTGGATGATGTCAAAGGTGGGAGCTGTTTATTGTACTTGGCTGTGGACTGGCTTGACTGCCCTCTGCTGGCAGAAGAGGGGAACACAAACAACACAAACAGTGGTTTAGCCACTCAAGTCTGCTCTGTTTTAGTTCAGCAGCAGGTTGATGAACTTTGTTATATCTCAGGAGACTTTAAGGAATATATTTGTAATGCTTGACTTTTAAAGGTGTTTTTTAAATTTTGGAATAACTCTACTTTTGATCTTTGAAAATTGTAGATAAAGAAGAAGAGCTGTATTGATCTCCAAAGGGAAATTCAATACAGTGATTTAATTTGGTTTAATTTCCCAACAATGTTTGAATGATTTCTTTGGCAAAATACTGGGATTGAATGACATATTTTTGAGAGAAAGTGAATGATACCTCAAATTTAAACCTTGAAGCCAGGGTGCTTCAAGCTTTGAAACCACATTAAAAATACAGTATTTTTACAGGCCTCCTTTAATTGTTAAAGGAGATAAGAATAAGAATAACTTTATTTATCCCAGAATATATATTCAACTATGAAATACAACATAGTTTTATTGTGATCATGAAAACAACCAATAAGTATGTCGTAACTCAGGATTCTCTGAATCAAAAACAAGGATAACTAACTTCTCTGTGTCTCTGTCTTTGAATCATTACTAAATTACTCATCATCTGGTTTGTTCTCAGTCTTCCAGATGGAGGTCTTGGGGACTCTGCAGAGAGGTCTGGAGGAAAATATTGGCTGTGACAATCTGGTTCTTGAGATCAACTCCCTAAAGTAAGGAAGGACTCATAATTCCCCATAATTCTTTGCTCTTTCTCTCACAGTGAGCTTTAGTCAGCATGAAATCCTCTGTGTCTGCAGGTACGCCTACAACATCAGTCTGAAGGAGGTGATGCAGATTTTGACCAGAGTGGTGCTGGAATACCCTTACCAGCAGCAGGGCCACCAGATTACTGCCTCACAATACGCTTCACTGCTCACACCAGTAAATATGCTTTTAAAGTTCACCCAGCTCATTCAAGTGAAAATCAAAACAAGTATTCCCAGTTCAATTTGTACTTTTTCCTCCTCTCAGTTGATGAAGAAATGGGCTCCAGTGTTTAAAAACTATGTAAAGAGAGCTCAGGACCACCTAGACTGTCTCTCTGCATTTGAGGAACACTTCCTGGAGCAGGAGAGTCACTGGGCTGCGATGGCCAAGGTCAGAATCAGTCAGCTAAACTTTGTCCACAGATATCTGCTAGTTTTTTTGAAGGGGCTTCTCCTTTTACAACATAACATGATGGTTTTGAACATCTTGAATGTAACTCTGTCGTTTGCTTAGCCTTCATTAAACCTGCTGTTGTTTCTCCATGCAGGTCCTGATGGACATGTACCAGCTGGAGATCCTGGAGGAGGAGATAATCCTGCGCTGGTTCTCACAGGGAGCCACAACAGAGAAGAGCAGAAAGCTTCGCAAGAACCAGGGGGTAGGTTATTCAGTCACACACAGCTCAGGGCTTTAGATTAGATTAGATATAACTTTATTTATATTTTGGGAAGGTTTCCTCAAGGAAATGAAAGACCACATGCCAGCTCAACAAGAGTGAGGCATTTATGAGTTTGTGCAAGAACCAGTGAAGATGAAAAACATTCAACTGACTCAAATGCTGTGAAAACCCAGGGATAGGTACACAGCTTACAGTGAGACAGATTTCATTATGAAGCATCCTTGAAGGATGTAAAATATCATCATTTATACAAAGAATAATAGACAGTTAAAAATGACTTCACTGAATGACAGCTTTATTTACTAAACAGTGTTTTTGAATATTTAATGTCGAGGAGATTGGGTTTTCTGTTTTGATGAGTTTAGATGAATTTGCAAAGAGGAGCATTTTCCTTTATTTTACTTGGATGACAACTGTGTGACAAGCTTATTTTTGTATCTTTTTTTTTTAACTAAGATCACTTAGTTAAACCCACCTGCGACAGATTACTTTGTGGAGCTTTCTTTGCAGCCAGTGGTTAGCAATGAACAACATCTGAGAAAGGTTTCTTTATTTAGGCCTTGCTGTTTTTTAAGGAACATACTAGCAACTTGTCTGGTGAAAACTGAGTCAGAGTTCAATAACAACATCTAATAGGGGATAACTGTCTGAAATTGACTGCAGATAAAGGCATTACAGCTTCATGGTTATGGATGACAGCTGAAGCGTTCCTGGACTGCATTAAAGCACTTAGTGTTTGCCCCCTCTGATATCCACTCAGATTGTTTTCCTGAGAGCAGCCAAGGTCTGCAGAAACATGACAGCGCTTTGTGTACTGCATACTGAAACCTGGACACTTTGGCCTACAAATTATAATGTTAGTCTGAGGTGTTGTTTGACCTGCTCTTCAGAAACTCTGAGTTTCAGGGTGCTGCATTTACCTCTTCTCTGCGCTGACATGTTTTTTTTTTCCTCAAACAGCTTCAGAAGTTTATCCAGTGGTTGGAGGAGGCCGAGGAGTCTTCAGAGGAGGAAGGGGAGTAAAGAGGAGCACTTAATGAAGGACAAAAAGGACTCATTAAAACTACAAATCTGTGGAATAAAAAGGGGGATTTTTGTTGTTCTGCCAACAGCAGCTTTCTGCCACTAACATCCATCAACAGTTCGGACTGACACACATTGTATCACATGGTGCCACCTCATTTTAAGGGCTGAGTGCTTTGAATGTCAACACCTAAATAAAGGAGAAAGAACCTTCAAAGTGTTGGTTTAGCATCATCCTTTTGTCTTCAGCACAAGAAATGTCATTCAACAGAAAAGCATTTTAAAGTGGATTTAATTCAAGGCTGAATCCATCACATTTGAGAGGAGACTGCACACAACAGTGATAAAACTATTTCGTATCTTGCAGTTGATTCATTCACAACACAGCACAATCAACACAGTGATCCAACAGGTAGAAAATTACCTGCTTAATTGTAATACATTAAATCTGATTATAATAAAGTTTCACATCTGTCCTATCTGGTCATAATGAATGTGGTCTAGTTTACATAAAATCTTTTAATCAGAATTTCAAGTAAAAGATAATGAAAAAGCATGGTGTCTCAAATTGAGCTAAAATGATTAAAAATACACTTTATTTGCAAAACAAAAATATGGTTCCCTTTACATGGAAGTTGCAGTTTTTGTCTTTCACTGTCACAGAAGGGTTTACTTTCTCCTCTTAAGTAGAGCTATATGAGGTACTTGTCAATAGTAGGTGTATTATCAACAGGAGATCCAGAGAGGGGGGTGGGTCCAACCAGAGAACCAGCTGGGAGACTAAAGATGAACAATGACTGCAGAGGGAGGTCACTCGCTCTTTAGGTCTGTTAATTGTTTTGTCTGCTGTCTCATACTGCCACAGTCAAATCACTCTTTTTGTTTTATTTTTTAGTTTGGTTAATCATCAATCTTCCCTTTTTAAGTCTGCAAAGCCAGATAGCTGATTAAACCTCATTCCCACACTGACAGCAGAGGCTGCTTTATAAAGCGCCCATCAGTATAAACTGACATGCCATGCACATGTGGACCTGGGATTGGACCTACAGTGCCCCAGCTGCCCCCAGAGGATGTTGAGTTTCTTTGAGGTCTGATAGTTTTATGTCAAGTTTTTCACTATAATCTACGTTTTTTTTTTTTTTTTTAGATGTTAGACTTAATGAACTTAAAAAAAAAAAATCCGCTCTCCCTCATCACTTGAAAATGTTTCAATTATTGTGCCTGGAGAGCTGAATCCACTGAGTATCCTTTAACATGAGTTTTGCTTAGACAACTAGAAAAACAGGTTCACTGATCTCATACTTCTCATAGCAGAATGTACTAACATTACAGCGTTACATCCACAAGAACTCACCTTTTTGCAAAGGCTTTACTCAGCCATTCACTGAGCTGGTTCTCTCATCATCAGATGCAGAGACAAAACTTTGTATTATACTGCATTTTTTTGTACAGTGCTTAATCTTAAATCTCTGCATGAAATGCAATGGCCACTGAGTAACAAAACATAAGAACTTTGGACTGAACTTATTAGAGTTTCTTTGACTTAAAGAATTTCAAGAAATAACAGGATGGTAATTTCTTCAATATTATCCGTAATTGTTTACATTGTTCTCAGGTCAGTTTTTTGTAGGCAAAACAACAGTATCTTTATAACCTCCTTTGGGCAGAGCATATCAATTTCTTGAACAAAATAGAAATAGAAAAAAAATCTTAAATTTGTACTTTAAACCTGTCTTTTGAGTGTCATTATGTTTCATTAGGTAGTAGAATAAATCACCAGTGGCAATATTTGGTCCTAAAAATTTGTGATACTGCTTTCTCAGTCATTTATCTTGAGTCTACTTCGATCTATCATCCTGTTTTGCCACCATACCATAGATAATTTTGGCTAGAATAGTTGCCCCAGCAATGCCCGTCACAGCAGTCAGCGTCTTCCACATGCTGGCTGTTCTCTCATGTCTGTCCATGAAACTTCTGTGGTCTGTAGGAATCAGGATAAACTTACGACCGTCCTGTGGGGCCTGTAGCCTCATCACCTCACCCCCCTCCAGAACCACCTCACCAAAACCAGTCAGGATGCTCCCTACACGGAGCAGCTCTTCGCTCTCCTCCATCGCCCCAGGTTTCTCCCCACTGAGTCCCTGCACCACAACATCTACCAAGCCCTCCTCAGCACGTCTCACTTTGTGGTGAACCCTCTCCAGATAGTCCCCAGAGGCCTCCAGAGGGTTTTGAACCCTCAGGAACAAGTCATTGATGTAGGCGCCGGGGCTGACCAGGCTGAAGGGTACTGAGTTGTTGGTTTCTTTTTTGTTCATGGTCCGAGAATTCCTGTAAGAGTTATCAGATACATTAACAAGCTTGCAGACGATCAAGGGTTATTTTTGTTGTAGTTTTGCAGACTTGTATACCATGTCCTGCTGAGGGAGTTCCAGTATTTCCATGTCTCCTCCACTGATATCTTCTGAATCACTCCAAAGCATCTTGGAACAAACCGACTGGCCAGAGGCTCCCCATCAGCCTGGACCAGACCTGGAAATCAGGTATGACAAGGACTGAAAAAACCCATTCAAAATTCATTTTAGAAGAAACTGGTAGATCTAGACATACCTTCCACAGCAACATACTGCAGTCGCTTATGGGGGGATGATTTCAGTACTTGAACCAAATGACGATCTGGCTTAAAAACTGGAATTTCCTACAATGGAAAATAGTTTTAAGAAACAAGCTGCGGATATCTCGATATTTAACTAAGATTTAATCAAGATTGTCTTACCTTCAGCTTTGTCAGCTCTTTCTTCTTTTCTTGGTATAAATGATAGAAAAGGCTGGAGAAGGCAAAGCTGGACCCGACACCGATCAAAACCAGCGGGTTCAGAGAAGAGTCACCCATTTCACAGTTATCTAAGAAAACAAACAACCTGCTGTCAACACATTATTAACTTAATTTACACAGCAAGTAAAAGGAGATTGAGTGTTTACAGAAGACAACAAAATAAGAGAAAAATATGTAAAAGAAAAGTTACCGGTTAAGAGCAGCAGCAGGTAAGTTTTCTAGTACATTTAGAGTTTCTCCTCATTAATCGAAAACAAAACCTTCAGCAGCATTGGTTTCACTTCCTTGGTTGCCCTCGTTGCGTCACGTTTCTTCAGCCAACAGGAAATGACAAACCGTCTTTTCCTTCGGTATTTCGACCACTAGATGGCAGCAGCGTGTTGTCCAGAGAGAGAGGAGCTTTTTTCTCTTTCTTTGGGTCCTGGACCGAAAAAGTTTAGAAGCACCTGTTGGGTTAGTACAAAGGGCATGAAATAGTCCTATAGGTTGTCCTAGTGTGAAAGTAAAAATGAAAGCATGGAATTCTTTAGATTGTTTTTAAGCATATATTGCTGATATACAAACATTACTGTTACCATGAAATTTCATTTTTGAGGTCCCCTTAGTTCATATAAAGAAACAGACACTGCATTGTGGTGTTCAGCATAGTAAGATAAAATGATGTTGAAATATGAAAAGCAGCGTGTCAAACGAGTCTGTTCAGGTGTATTTATGTAGTCAAATGTTACTGTACAAACAATGTGTCAGTGGGCTTGTCTGGCCTTGTATTTTAAACTCTCAAATAAGGGATGACTAAAGTAAGCAAAAAGAAAAATGTATATAATGTCTAAATGTGTGTAAAATGTGCTTTGAAATGTCTTAAAAATATCAGGTAGCATATTTTGTTGTTGTAAGCGCTTACCTGTTCACCGTACACAACACCAAACATAGGCCTTTGAAAACTTAAACTTTTGGTAGACCAGCCCCGTACTGCTGTAGATAAATGGACTCTGAAAGACTGGGTGAAGAACTAAGTTTTTATATTTGTGAAACCAACACAATGTGATATTGTCCTCTTGAACAGCATACAAGCTATTGGACTAAAACGACAAATTCAAACTTGTTAAAATAAATTAGTTAATACATTTGTAACCTTAGAACTTTATCGCTTAAAAATTATAGGGTTTTTTCTTACAACACCCGCACACTGTCCAACTTGCAAGTTGCAAGCTGGACAGTGTGCAGGTGTTTCCCTTTGTATGAATCGCTGAATCCCTTGATCTCCGAAGCACCTGTCCTGAATTATAGATGTGCAAAGTTACCTCTCCATTCTTACAATAAAATGGCATTAGTTTTTGTAATTTTATGACCCCACTCCTGTTAATCTAATTTTTTCACTTTATGTACTCAATCGTACAGACAAAAACGAAGACTTTTTGGGTGGTCAGTTTGTACAAGAAACCACAGAAAGACAGATTTCCCTTTTCCTATCGAACATTCCAAAAACTGACTGCATCTCATGCACTGATGCAACTATTGCTTAATTTTTTACTGAACTCTGTCACATTATACCCCCCCTGCATCAGTAGTTTGGGGCCTCAAGTATAACAAAATAGATATAGATTTCTCAGATGGGCTTGTTTGCCTTTGTGAATCATAAAAAGTTGTCAGAATCAAATGCACCAAATACAGCCATTTAGAGGTGCTTTTAAAAAACAAGTATTGATCACCCATTCAACGTTTTTTCAGCCCACACCTCAATGGGTATATGAAAACAGGCATTGACTCTCATTTACCCTCTTAACAATGTGAATGTTTGTGAATTTTCCAAACCTGTATGACTAAATACCTGCAACCCTTCCTTCCCCATGAGCCTTAGCTACACTCCATTTTTTTGTGTGCAACAGAAGATGCAAGCTTTTACTTTGATGTAGTTTTAAAGAGTGTCTACCATGGCTGCAGGCTTTATTTACATTGTATCATCAATCAATCAATCAATTTCTATTTGTGTTCTGCCAATTCACAACACAAAGAGCATGTCTAGACAATCTTTGTTTGAGTATTTGCAAAACCCAATATCAAGGTAAGACTTTGTCTCAGCTAGTAAGAAAAGACCCACTCTCATCCCATCTTAATCCACCATGAGCAAAGCAAATGCAACATTTAGTAAGTTGCTGTGGAAAGAAAAGACTTCCTTCAACAACAACAAAAGTTCATGGAGATGAATGGTTACAGTGCCAATAGTCTGAAACACGCAAGTGTTATATGTGTTGTCAAGGCCACATAGTTGCATTACATTAACTGTAAATATATCTATTCAATTCAAATGCATAAATACATCTACAGTTACTCTGCCTCTCATGTCAGACTGTCTCTAATAGGAAAGAAAAAGTAAAGAAAAACATTCAGTCTGTTTGCTGTGAAGAAATGTGTCTTTTGTCTTCTCCCACTCATCAGTACAAAGAGCAGCCAAAAGGGTGTGAGCACCGTAGAAATGAAAAAAGAGAGGACACAGAGATGTGAATGCAAGGAAGATGAATTCAGGGAAGTTTTGGAGCTGAAATAACAACAAAGCTTTTTCAAAGACGAGATCATATCAGACTTTTGATATTTGCCTTTACTGTATGACTCCTGACAGCTCCAGTCCTGATATGAAGCTGCTTTCCCCTGCTGTCATTTGATGCTTTTGTGTTTTTGGTGTCTTCATGTGGGTTCTTTCCATGCAGGTTTGGAAATGCTGCTTAAAGACTTAACAAATCTGAGCAAAATGCATTTCAAAAATAAGAAAACTGGATAACTTTTTTTGGTTAATATTAGATGTAAAAGATGTGTGCAGATGTGTGAAAGCAATAACTGACATCTAAGTCATTAAGAGCAATAAAAGTCAGAGCTATTAGTGGGTATGAATAGACCAACAGAGGAACACATATACAGGAATTCTGTCATATAAAGCAAGCTGATGGAGAAAACAAAGGAAGAGCTGGAAACAACAGGTGTGGATGGCATCCAAATAACAGGAAGAGATATGAGGGCACAGTTCAAACAGGTGTGTATTCACAGTCAAACACTGTTGACGAAGGGAAAGTAGTCAGCTATTCAGTACAGAGAAAAAAGGAAGCTGGCAGAGACTGTGACGTTTGACTTTATAATTTATGACATTATTACACTGATCAATACAGCAGCTTTCAGTGATAACGTATAATCAGAGGATAAGAGTATGATGTCTTCAGGGTAAATAAATCTGACAGGCTGTGGGATAATTTCAAAGACAGCAGAAAAACATCACTCCGCTGAATTAAAATGATGGGGCATTTTTGAATATATTTTTTTAATTACCTTTTCCTAAACTGGAACATTTTAGGGGAAATCCTCCTCGAGTGGAACAGCTAACACCTCACAGACGTCAGAAACCAGAGGCTGATGAGGAGGGGGAGTTACAGCCTCCATTAAAACAGCATGACTCAGCCTATAAATCTTCTCTGTCATGAATATAGATAAGCAACATGTGAGACACTGCATTGATAACAAGTGAAGTCAACACTAATGATAACAAAAACATACAGAATTGAAAATATTTAAGTAAACAGTTTTATCAGAAGAATGCACTTAAAGAGACAGTATGTGATTTCTGAGGAGACGGATCTCTCCTATAAAACAATCACAATGGGTTAGTAATGAAAATCTGTGTCCTAAATAGCTACCACTGATGAAACATAAGTCTATATGATGTAGTTAAAACAGGACCAGTCCAGCCCAACTGTCATACAGTACACCGTGTGCACCATGCACACTGACAGCTAAAGCACACATAAACTAACAGCAGCAACCATCGATCTGCATCACCACAACCCTCTGGACTGGATATTACCTAACATACAAACATCATTACAGCCCGAGCATCTCTTCTTCTCCAAAAGAGGTGAATCTGACTAAGCAGGACGAGACAGGTACAGACAGCAATCATTTCCTGTGTCATTGCAGCGACAATATCTTGCACTCATATCTTCAAATGTCCCTCTTTGAACAAACGCCTAGAGTGCCATCAAAGGGCTCAAGCACACACAGTGCATGTACACAGTGTATATCTAAATTCTTTTTAGGACTTTGATATCTTTTCATAGTCACATTTATTAATTATTACTCAATTTTACTCCAGATACACAAGTTTGGACATAATATCTTACCTCATGCAGAACATGCTGCAGGTTCCTCCTTTAACATGCTGGTGAAGAACACAGGTGAACATCTGAATGTAGACTCCTACAGCTGGTCTAATACAGTTTTAACTGTATTAACTTAATGTACTGCCACAATGTTCTGTTACCTCTGTTTTTAGCACTGTGCACTATGGACCAGATTTCAGAGGGATGTAAAGTAACCAGCTCGGATGCTGTATCCAGTTCATGAAGGGTTTAAAGGGGGGTATGATGTAATGATCTGTCCACTCATTTAAGGTCTTGGTCTCGTCTCAGAATCAAAAAGACTTTCACTCTGTCTTGTTTTGGTGTCAGACTGCATAGACTCCTGATTTTAATTCAAGACAGGTCGAGACCAACCCTGATGGTGCTTTCTGTCTGCATCATTTGATCGGAAGGAAACGCCATGCTTAAGTTCTCTCCTGGGACTCCCGATACCTCGTCCCACAGTCCAACAATATAATCATCGCATTTGCTCTTCACTCTAAACTGCTAGTTTGGTGTGAATGTCTATCTACATGTTAACCAGATGATAAACTGGTGACCTGCTCAAAGTCTATCCCCAAAGACATCTCCCCATGACTTCAACAGGATAAAAGAGTCAAAGATCATGGATTTATGGGCTTTTTTTAATTTCCCAGGACATCTTTAATAATTGTTGAGGGAGGACACTTCAAAAACTATCACAACACCATTCTACTTTCCCAAATGGTTGTTGGTTGCTGAGATTTTTAAAAGATCCTCATGGTGGTTCAAGACGAAACATCAGGAGATCTAATTTCAAATAAAACTTGGTGGAGGGTGTAAGAATCAGTTATTTGGTTGACTGTTCGAGGTCAACCAGAGAAGTCTTCAGGTCTCAGATGAACCTTTTATCATTGTCCTGATAAAGTAATACAGGATTGGACTTGGAATGACAGAGCTCCTAGGCTTTCCATCACAGCGAGTAGTTATCTCAGGGCGTAATTCACATTTATTTTCTCCCCTGACAAAAGTTGTACTTGCACGCAACCAAGTCTCATCAGCCAGTTTTCTCTAATGTGAACAGGCCAACCACTGTTCATGTTGTTTTACATGGTTTTACTAAAGTGTGCTATGAAACATGCGTAGATGTTGTTTTTCAGGTGTGTATCTACT